CAATCCCGGCCTAATGGGTCCGCCGAGCCTGTCGTCCATCACTTCACGCACCCAACCACCTAGGTTTATGAAACAGCCCAGCGGAACCATGTCTTCGAGCGGTGGACCTTCGTTCCCAGGCCCCATCAATACGTCCATACCTGCGATGGCTTCGGTCTTCTCTGCACAGCCGTACTCTACGGCAAGCTTCGGTTCGCAAGGCTCCGGTGGTTATGGCACTCCAGTCCCGGCGACGCCACTCAGCGCCGCTCTAGGAGCCGCAGCCCAAGCGACTATCCCAAATACCCCTCGCGTTTCTCAGGGTTCCAACACGCTCAACGTCTTCGAGCGAGCTGATCGCCTGCTCAGTCAGACAAGTCGTCGCGTTTGACATGTATAAGCTCTATATACCGGCTTCCGTCTATCATTGGCCTCAACTGCGTATGGCAATGGATTGATATGTACATTGTCTATACCTGCATAGGTTGTGTCGATGCGTAGCAGCGCACGTACGCATTCGTTTGCTTTTCTGATTTCTTTTATGCTTGTTTTTTGCCAGAGAATGTTTCTATTTGCATACCATTAGCGACGGCGTTTGTCCGGATTTCACTCTTTTCATACTATGATGGCATATCGGATTGCATATCGGACATGGTGTTTGGAATGGTTAACAAGGTTCATTACTGCATAGTAGGCGTTTCTTGTCTTTGGTCTTATGGGGTGGGATGGAGTGGCTGGATGAACGGCTGGACGGTGGGTTGAACCTCTGGTAGGATGATATGGTGCACATATGACACGTCTTAATGTCTACAATGCACGGTCGGTCGGTCGCAGGAGATACGTTCCGTTTTGCCCGCATCAATCATTACGAAGTACATGGCGCATGCAACCATGATTCTAGGAAGAAGAAGCAAATCTCAATGTGCATAACTTGCCCACATGTGTAAATACTTTCTAAGAAGCTCAGGTCTGTTACTTTGACTCTTGTGGAACTACAGCAAAGAGCTCAACTTTGCCTAAGACAGCTTTGATCTCCATAGATCCTTTTCTCACCACTGCTTGTACAGCCTTCACTTGCCTAAGATAGTGTACAGGATATCTTGAAACAAACATGACAAGTTCAAGACACCGAGAGTATTTGTATTTCCTACTCTGCTTTCTCTAGATGTCGCTACATCATCTTCAACAACGCCGCCTAGGGACCAGAAGAACCAGGAGAAAGTTCCCGCCTAAGAGCAGCCAAGCCGCCCACTCAATACCGGTAACGTCAGGACGGTGAAGGATGATGCCGTTGCACCATTTGCAGCTCCGGCAGTTGGCCAGCCCCATGCGAGCAGTTCGGTTATCCAACCTTCTGACCTAGCCGCTTAGAACCGCTGTATAGCCTCGGAAAGCATGAGCGAGGCAAGCAAGAAGGCACAGCTACCGCATCGTCATCATCATCACCACCGCCGCCATCGCCAAACAGCCCGCATCGACAAGATAACGCGATACTGCCAGCAGCCTAAACCAACATGAACACAAAGATAACGACGTTCTACCCAAAAGCCTTTATGGTTCATGTTGGCGACCCCACGACTGGCATCGTCATTCGTGTCTCGCAGCTAGTTCCTACAGATAGGTTGACACTGTACTCGACGTGTACTTGGATTTATTTCTGGACAAAGTGGCCGAGCGAATTGAATTCGATGTCAAGGAGACAATGCTGCGAACATGTCCGGTCACGGCTATGGTGCAACAGTCGTCTCTAAGGTGGCGGAAACTACCCGAGGCAACAGGATGCGTACGACTCCACTTTAAGTAATCCGGTCCAGACATGTCTTGAGTCGTCTGTCCTGCGCATGAAGCGCCACACCAGGATTCACTTCGGCGAATAGGGTGTTTGTGGCGACAGCTTAAGCACCTTCCGTCCTTCTGACACAGGTGATGGCGGCATGAGAAGCGGCCTTTTACATGCTGTGTAGCCTCGCGGTGCAGGATATTTCCGATCCAGCCAGAGATTCCATAGCATGACTGAAGCTGTACTTGATGACCAGTACAGCATCAATGCCGCAGGAAGCTCTTGACACAAAGGGCCGATTAATAGAGAAACAAAAAGTAAAGTCCTCCGAAGCACACCAGGCCACCTCCGAGATCCGTCGCTTTCGACAGTATTTTTCGTAGTATAGATGTTTGCAAACATAATGCCTGATGCGATGAATGGGAGAGCCCCCGTGGGGTCCGGAACAAGTAGATCCTGGAACCAGAGTATGCCTTCCGCTGCCAACGAAGGCTCGAACCATGCAGTAGATGTGACACGTCTAACAATTTCACCGGCTTCGTTCGTCATGGTTGCACCTTGGCCATTAATGGCCGCAACCGCCATACCTATCAGACCATCATGGGCGCCGCATTTCTGCCGTATGACCTCAGCCATAGCGATGAATATGGGAAATTGGAACAATGTCCAACTAATTTGGCCACGTAGACTGACGTTCCACCTCTTGTCCAAAGCCGATATCGTGTCATTTACTTCTTTCTTCACCGTTAATTTGGCCTGCTTGATGGTTCGGAAGTTACCACGCTTTAGTATCTCGTCACGTTTCTGGAAAGCAAGCGCTTGTCGGAGCGGATGGAGACCAATATACCGTGCCATGAGGGCGCGCGAGTAGGTTCCAGCTGTAGTGACAAGAAGACCGCGAACAAGGAAGGCGGTGAGGGGTATGGCAGCATACCATGGCACGGTGGCGTGGACGAGCGACATCAGCTCGTGGGGAAGGTACAAGAGGGCATCGGCGACGGGACCTTGTCGCGGGGTCGAAGCATGGAAGGCGCGTGTTGGCTTGGAGTATATTGGAGGTCGAGAGGGGATAGAGGTGCGCGAGAGCCATTGGCATGCTGGCTGCCGCAAGAGGCGCGACGACAGCATGTTGTGATAAATTTGGGATGCTTCAACTATCTAGTCAAATGTCCGACTCGCGAGAGAAAGAGGCTCCTGCTAGCGCGTCAGGGTTCCATGCTCTCGGGCCGGGGCCAGGAACCGATGTCATCCCACCTGAACAGCTGTCGCTTTGCCTAAACATTTGTCCATGGCCTGAGTCTTACGCTGCCTGTCTCCTCCGCCGTGCCTCCATTCGGTGTCGCTTCGAGATGGGTCTTTTACCCATCCTCCTCTCGCTACTAGTGCCTGCACTCTTGGCTACCGTCTTTCTCCCCAAGACCCTGCGCTTTGCTGCGGAACTAGTGGGACAACACTTGCGTCGATCTTCCCGTACACGACGAGAGCTGTTACTCGCCAGGGTAGCAAGCGAGACCAAGACATTCGAGGCGCAGCAGAAGAACAAAAAGAAAGAGGATGAAGACTGGGAACAAGTTGGAAACACACCTCCTAGTGGTACGGTGAAACATGGCCAGGCTGACAGTGAATGGGATGGTATTGTCGGCTTCTTCCACCCTTTCTGGTACGCGTGGCATATTCTGAAGTGCTGCTGTATGGTCGCTGACATGCTGTTTTTACAGCAACGCAGGAGGCGGTGGTGAGCGAGTCCTATGGGCTGCGATCCGAGCACACCAAAAGCGTTGGCCAAAGGCTACCTGCATAGTCTACACCGGTGACCATGATGTCGACAAAGCTGCCATTCTCAAACGTGTCAAAGATCGTTTCAACATCCAGCTACACCCGCCGACCGTCCACTTTCTCTACCTCACAACCCGCGACTGGGTACTCGCAAGCACATGGCCGCGTTTTACACTACTGGGCCAATCTCTCGGCTCCCTCGTCCTTGCCTACGATGCCTTCAGCCTCCTTGTACCGGATATCTTCATAGATACCATGGGTTACGCCTTCGCTCTTGGCCTGTCGTCCTTCCTCTTCCCAACCGTACCCACCGGTGCATACGTACACTACCCGACCATTTCCACGGATATGCTCGATTCGCTACAAGTTGGAGGTCAAGGTATAAATGCAGGAACAGGCACAGGATATCGGGGTATGGCGAAGAAAAAGTACTGGCAACTCTTTGCAAAGCTATACAGCAAACTCGGTAGCACCATTGATGTGGTAATGACCAACTCCACATGGACGCAAAGCCACATCAAAACTCTCTGGGAGCCATATCGTATCAAAAGGAGCAAGTCAATCGACATCGACGTCGTCTTTCCGCCCGTAGCTGTTGAAGAAGTCATAGAAGCCGTCCCAGTCTCCGAGTCCAGCGAGAAGAATCGTGGCCCTTACCTCCTCTACATCGCGCAGTTCCGACCGGAAAAGAATCACAGACTTATTCTCGAGGCCTTCGCATCATTCCTGCATTCCACACCTGAACTTCCAGCATACCCCAACCATACCCCGAAGCTCGTCCTGATTGGCTCAGTACGAAACTCTCACGACGATGCGAAGCGTGTCTACGAGCTGAGGTTGCTAGCGCATGAGCTACACATCAAGGAGAATGTGGAGTTCATATGCGACGCGCCGTGGCCGCAAATGCTCGAGTGGATGCGCAAAGCTAGTGTGGGAGTGAACGCCATGTGGAACGAACATTTCGGTATTGGTGTGGTGGAGTATCAAGCTGCTGGTATGATCTCTGTGGTCAACAACTCTGGTGGGCCTAAGCTAGACATTGTGATTGAGGTCGATGGAAAACCCACTGGTAAGTCTGATGCACATCACTCTGTCAAATCTATATTATTGCTAACGTACAACCAAGGTTTCCATGCCACCACTGCAGAGCAATACGCCGACGGCTTCCGCAAGGCCCTTACTCTTTCACCCGAAGACACACTCGACATGCGACAACGGGCTCGAAGGTCATCTGAGCGTTTTACTGACCAAGTGTTTGTGGACAAGTGGCTGACTAATGCCGAGAAGCTTGTTGCTCTGCAAATCAAGCGGGCGTCGAGATGAGAGTCAACTAGCCAACTGGGAGCATGGCGTTATACTGAACAGCATGGGATTTCTTGATACCACACATGAGCATTGGGCGGTTGCATCCTAGGAGTCAAGCATACGATATATATTCAATTTCTTGCACCTGCATATCAAGACCATAGTATGATACGTGTGACGACCACAGAGTTGATGAATGAGATTGGGGAGGAACACGTGAGGGTGGTGCAGAATAAGTTGTGTCTTATTCTTGTTCCTCTTTCTAGGAACTCAAGCTACATAACGATATTGAATAAGTCATCCATCGTAAGGAGTACGAAATCCACGATTGATTCTCCCAGAACTTGTTCCAAGCCATCCACAGATGTCTTCACATTGTGGAGCATAACTTTTCGTAACACGAGCATTAAGCGGCCAAATGCCAATCGGTAGATAGTTACCAAGAAAGTGCAACGTAAACAGCATGATTGCAGCAGAAGTGGACAAACATCAAAGTGGCAGGACCAGCCAAGCCAACGGAAGCAGTGGGGATAGCAAGTCAGATCACAACCGCTCAAGCTCCTGAAAGCGCTCAACAGGGTCGGCAAAAGACCGCGTCAAGCCTACCGAAGCCCAAAAGTCGTCACTAACATCTTCTCTGCGCGCAAGACGCTCCAGCAACGACCGCGCGTCACGGAGCTCCTGATCTAGTGGCGGCGGCGGCGGTGAGTCGGCACGGACAAGTGGAGGAATGCTCTCGTTGTCGCTGGCGCTCGCAGCTTCCTCTGAAGGTCCATCAAGCTGTGGTATTTGTGGCCTCTGCGCCACTTCTGTCTCGACATCTCTCCAAATGCCCGAGTTGTAGAAGCTGCGAACGACTTCGCTGGCGTCTCGGGATCGGTCGATTACGCGGAGTGAGTAACGCTCTATATCTCGCGCAGGAGGCTCGTTGGAGAAATACGACGGCCGCATTCTTCGGCGAGGCTCAGCCGAGTGTGAGATACCCAAGCGGTTTCTAAAAGCCTCTGTGCCTGTACGACGACGTATACTGCCACGTATATCCATTTCTTCTTCTTCTTCTTCGGTATCTGATGCTGTGTCATCCTCCGAGGTATCGCATGCCCGCATGAATTGTTCGTTTTGTGGAGGTGAGTGACGTCGGGATGGCACTGTAAGATGAGTTTGCGAGGATGCCGCCGAATTGGCACTTCCCGCTCGCGAACTGGTATGCGAGTTTGTGAATGAGGCTGACGCTGCGGCTGATGCAAAGGATGACCCCGCAGTTGGTGCGACAGGGTCGTCGACGACAGTGGTGAGAAAACTGTCCCATTGCAACTGATCGTCAAAAGGGCTGACACTGCGATTCCGGTCGCCCAGGCCGTCCAGTGTAGCAACAGGGCTCCAAGACTCGCGCAAGGAGCTGGCGGGTAGCGGTCCATCCGCAATAGTACGGCGACCCATCCTGCGTAGTGGAGGGAAAGCTACGGCGTTGTTCTCGCCTGTCTCGTGGCTTTCCTCGGGCACATTCGCAGTGTCGCCTCGCGCCCCAGATGGGTCAGCACGGGGACTCTGGGAACGTGTTCGCGTTGATCGTCCAGTGGCGCGACGGTATGAAGTGTACCCTCGCAGGCGTGAAAAAGGGTCTTGCGCATCGCGTTGTGCTTCTGCTTCTGACGTCCGCGAAGCTGCAGCTGGCGCAAATCCTGGGGTGAAGGCTGCTAAGGGGCGCTCGTGGTCGGGAGTGGCGCGCATCTCGTGGGCGCGCATGTAGCCATCAAGACGACTGCGCGAACGGCGCACGCTGCTCTCGTCGCGCTGTAGAGTAGGTGGGTGCCTCGAAGCCTCGTTGCTGCGGTATTCGGTCCTCGAGACTTCAGGAACAGGTGGCGGCGCCAAACGCGCGCGATGTGACGAGCGAGGTATCCACTCGATATGCGGAGCAGAGATGAGGAAATCGGTATCGAGTGTGCTGCGAGGACGCGGTGATCTGTTGGGTCTTGCGCGGCGCCGGATGGGTGAGCGTGAGCCGGCGATGTCGGCTCGAAGTACATCTTTCTCCTTTGCTTCCTCGCGCTTCACATTCCATCCGATCGGTATACCCATTGCGCAAGATACGTGAAGTTAGGGATTCCAAGAAAGATGGGTGTGGTTGCCGTGTGGATGGTGACGCGCCGGATGATGCTAATGGGGATGGGTCGGAGAAGGAACTAGGGCGGCGCACGTCGCAACCGCCTAGAACAGAACTGTGAGGCTGAAGCGTCTGGGGGAGGCGCAGCCCCTCGACATAAAAAATCTACATCGTCGGGCATTGTCTGACCAATCTCTATATAGCAAACACCTTTGGCTCTAGACACGAAGCTTGTGCACTTTACTACAGTACACAGCCTGGAGTTCCTACACCAAACAAGTCGACGTCTTTAGCAGGCGCGACTGTGACCGCCAAGCCGTGGCTGCCTCTCACGCTAAGGGCGCGCCTGTCTGCAGCTTCTGGCCCACTCGTTCTAGTGAGTCAACACGCATCTGCAGGTACCTCGTTTCAAAGCATCGCGTGTCCGCCTAGACCTCGGGATCCATAGTTGCCTACACTACTATAGACCACCTCTCTTGTGGCCATGATCCAGCCTGGTTTGGAGAGGATCAGTCAGCTCTTGAAGAATGTCAACTTCCCCTGGAAGTCAATACATGTCGCCGGCACCAACGGCAAAGGCTCCGTATGCCACTTCGCATCGACGCTGCTTTCTAAGAGACTCAAATGTGGGAAGTTCACGTCTCCACATCTCATAGACAGGTAGGCACGCTGTCAAGTGAGGTGGTCGCTGTCTAACATTGGCAGATGGGACTGCATATCCATTGGCAACAAGCCCGTAGAAGAGGCCCTCTTTCGCAAAATTGAGAAGCACTACATTGATCTGAACATAAAAAAAGGCATCAAAGCTTCAAATTTCGAGATCTTGACCGCCACTGCCTTCCACATCTTCAATGAAGAGCAAGTACAGGTTGGTGTGGTTGAAGTTGGTATGGGCGGAAAGCTCGATGCTACCAACATACTGAACAACCAAGTGATTTCTGTAATTTCAAAAATAGCGCGAGATCACGAGAGCTTCTTGGGCAGTACTCTGCAAGAGATTGCACACCACAAAGCTGGTATCCTCAGGCCCCATGTACCCTACCTCATCAACCCCAAGAATGAGAAAAACGTTGTATCTGTCATCAACGAGTATGCAGACGAAATTGCTGCAGGACCTCGTCTTGAGTACGATCCTCCAGGCTTTTCCAAGGTACTATTCCAGAACAAGGACTGGCTACCAGCACAACCAGTCCATCAAGAAAATATGGTCATAGCTGCCATGGCTGCAAAGACCGTAATGGAGAGCTTCGGTAGAGAGTATACAACCTGGAACATGGGGCGCATACTGCGGAAGTCTAAAGTCGAAAACCCGGGACGATTGGAATCGGTTCAAGTACCGCCTATCTTTGGTCAACGAGCCACGGTGTCATCGAGGATGTTTAAAGGAGAATCCATCCTGGTAGATGGAGCCCATAATCCTGATGCTGCTAGAGTGTTGAGTCAGCATGTTCAAAAGTTTCAGAGGAGGAAGAAGATCCCTAATGAGGGTCATGTTAATGAGGGTCGTGTCCCACGAAACGGATGGCCTGTTACATGGGTGCTTGCCATGACCGAAGGGAAAGATGCACATAAATATCTAAGCCAGATACTACAACCAGGAGACAATGTCGTGACTACGACTTTTGGTCCGGTGGATGGAATGCCTTGGGTCAAGCCTATGGATCCCAGTCGACTTCTCGACATGGCAAAATCTGTCGAGCCTGGCATCATGGGATTGGTTGCATCAGAGGGCGGCCCACTTCGAGCGTTATGCACAGCTAAATATCTCAGAGATCCTGACCGACCTATCGTTTTGACAGGCAGTTTATACCTTGTGGGTGATCTACACCGCGAGCGGCGGCTGCGACCGAACAAGGTGTATTGGGAGGACCCAAAGTTTGAGGACGATAGAAACAAAATCGCCGCAATGCTTGAAGAGGAGAAGCACAGAGTCAATCGGATACTAAGCGATACTGATACATTCGGTCTCACCACTGATTCCTTCGATGAATTGAATCGGAAGAGTGGTATATGGGGAAAGCAGATGGCAGAGCGGGAGAAGCAGAGAACCATACAAGAAGAGATTGCGGCTCTTGATGAAAAAGTGGAGTCTCTCACAGAAGAAGAAAAGCTTCTTAGGCTGGAAGAACCCTCAGCTATAACAGAAATCACGAGATTGACAGCACTAGAAAATGGTGCGAATTTAAGCTATCATAAAACCTGGTAAGTCGGCTAAGCGGACCATAGCAAGGAGCGTACAAAGGATTAATGGAAATACAGGGCGGACAGGCTTCCCGGAGAAAAATTCATACCTGGACAGCGAACACGAAGATACGAACGAGGACTTCCGCCTCGAAAGAAATAGAGGACGACTCCAAGCTGCATGTAGTAGGTCAAACACGAGTAGCAAAGACAAGTTGTTGTGTTAGTGTTGTGCGCGTGTATCATTATCGCGATGGCGACTGACTGTGGTGCATTTGCAGTCAATTGATTATCCTGTTGTACAGTCTTTGTTTTCATCAGCCTCAGCCTCCTTCTGCAAACGATGGCATAGCACCGGTCTCACTCACCAAGAGCTGCGGAGGTTTGCAGAAGTTGGCTTACTTGCTTCTGATTTTCGCCAACCACACCCTAATATTTCCGGCCTTACTGTCAATCCTGACAGCCTTCCTGCTTCTTCATGTACTTTACAACACCCAGCTTACCCAGCTGAGACATTTTGCAGCCTTCGACTCGATTCTTCTGTACGACAACTCCGCTTTGCGAGGTATGGAGTGTACACCGAAAAGAATTTATTCGTTTATGTAGACTCGATTTTGCGGGCAAGATTCTTGAGTCTATCAGTGAAGTTCAATTATCCAACGGTACGCTTCCTTTGCTACAGAACATCCTAGTCGCTAATCTAGTTAGGGATTGCGCTCCTTGTTGGTGCTATGTTCCCGTGGAATAGCCTTAGTCTCTACCATTTACACGTAGTTTATGACACCATTAACTTTACCGCGTAAGCGATTGTGGTGCCTTCTTCGCCCTTCTAGCTAACTATTGACAGCATATCGTTCACGGCGTCGATGTTCGTAGTTTGGAGCTCTCGAACCCACAAGAAGCAAGATGTTGAAGCCGAAAGCTAAAGTATTGTTCAACAAAAGCCATCATGGATACACGCGATACAGCGAATGAGGAAGTTTCTAGTGTCGACATCTTTCTGGACTTTCGTGTTTTGCATACTCTACCTAGTGTATGCAATTCTCTTCGGCCTAGCCCTCGGCAGGTGAATGTCGACAGGTTTGGATATTGTTATCGCTACAAGGGCATCGCAAGTCCAGCCTCGTCGCATCCTACGGTAGATCAAATTTACCTAGGGATCACCTGCTTGTATATGTTCAGCTTATTGGGTTATAGCTACACAGAGTCGTATGCATACACGACGCTGCTTTACAAACTCCCTGCTCTGGGCCTTGCAGAGTTGACTAAGATGGCTGGTTTAGGAGAGCAGTATGGTGCGCTTCAAGATCGTTTCGAACCACACATTGCTTTCTGTAGAGCACAGTACGGGTTTGTGCGTGAAGTTCTCTCCGGAAGGTACCCACTCTTCCTTCACAACCTGGCAATAATAGACAGACCACCATCTTCTAGAGAAAGACGCCTTTTCTCTTTTCTGAATTCCTTTGACTCTTTGTCGAGTGCCATGAGCCTCCCTCTTGCCCAATACCTGCTACACTTGTACATGGTATGGGCGATTCGGTCTGCAAACCAAGTACATCTCCAGGGCGATTTCGAAGACACGTGGGAATTTGGTCAGGTTGTAGCTTTGGTCCAAATTCTCTCATGTTTGAAGGGATGTGTAAAAAACTGCATTAGTACGGCTCTTCTCAAGAGCTCGATATGTACTAATACGGGCAGGATATCGCAGACTATGATGAAGTAATCGCCAGATGGCTTACTGAAAACCCCAAAGACATACTCGCTTGAGTGACTATATGATGGAGTGATTGCATGTGAGAGAAGCCAGTTCTGAGCGACTAAAACATTATCTCTAGCCGAAGGAGAGGTTGACTGTCTCAAGTCGAATAGGTTATGCCAGAAACCGCTATCGTTTTCTGAACGGAGACAGTGCCGAGGTGGTGCACAAAGCAAATTAAGGGGTGAATAGAAACTTCGATAGCGTATGTCTAGTCTTGATGGCCAACCGTGAAAATGTTGCTACATTCGACACTTTACACTGATTTGCCTTTCCTGGCACATTTGTCAATAGCAATGCGGAAATTTGATGCTCTACAAGAGTCATAGCTGCTGGTACCGGCTCTGGTAGTCATCCAAGAAACCGTGACTGCAATCAACACTCTCCAAAATCTTACCAGACTCGGAAACGTATCCATGGGTAACGGACGGGAACGAAACGTCTCGACACAATCTCACCCCTGGTTCGCGTTCTGACTTCGACAGAAATTGTAAAACTACTTGTTGTGGGTATATCAGGGGCTGGCATGCCGATCCAGGGTATCGTTGCGGGAGCTTGGCTGGTGTGGATGTCTAGCGTCGACAACGAGACATGTCAACATCTCACACCGTCTACTCGTCCACCCATAACATGGCTACTGCATTCGACGGATATCATGGAATCTACTTGATGTAGTAGTATCGTGGGATCGTCCCATGGGAGACAAGTCGGCGACATGGCAGCGATATGCGTCATGCCGCTGTCGTACCGTGGAATTGTTGAAATCGAGGCTGCAATGGCTCGTCTTCATACCGGGGTTTTTCTGCTGGAATCAACATCTTCTCTGAGAACTTACCCTTTGCGGCGTGTTGGCATCCACGCAGTTCAAACCTACTTGTAGTCGAGTCAGTTATACAGTAGACAAGCGATGTTCTTGTATCGTGGTTCCGCGGATTGTAGAGAAGGATGGATCGCATCGGTCCTTTTAGCGACCGCGAAAAGTCCGCCGCAATCCACAGTTTTTCATTCAAACTGCCCTGACAGGAAGTCGCCACGACAAAAGACGTGTAGTACAATGAGGGTATAGGTGTCGGTGGAGCTACCCAAGTGTCGAAGGATGCGGATTGCCACTGTGGCGGTCGCCATCCGTGGCTCAAAAGGCACTGGAACGTCAAAAACCATCGTCTGTAATTTCCATGGAAATCTGCCGTAATCAACAGCTGCGTCCAATACTTTCTCAATCGGGAGACATGTACTCGACTTGATGATACACTGCAACTTTGGTGAGTTGGTGGCCTAAACAGACGCCAACGCTTGCGAAGCCCAAGGTAAGGAAAGCCCGCGGCGTAGAGAACAGAAACACCGGCAGAATGCCGTACCGTTGCGGTTACCTCGCACAAATCAAAACAAAGCAAACATTAAATGGAAATGTGCATGAGGTCAAACCGCTACGGTTTGCGCATGGCGTGACAGCTGTTATGCCTGTATCGAGACAGGTACCGTTGCACAGGTGCTTTCCTGCTCTTCCGGGTGGACTGACGATAGCGTGTAGGTATCGGGCCTAGAGGGGACCAGTACCAGGCATCGGGGACGGCAAAGGCAGACGGCGTGGGTCTGCCGATGAGGTGTTTCCACATTGCGATGCACTGGTTGCGAAAGCGACCAAGCTGGCCGTGTGTCGTGTGCCCGTTCCGGAAATGCTTGCGGGTGCGGGATGGGTCGTGTTGAGGATGGCAAGACAAGACGAAAGAGACAAAGAACGTATTCGGACCGGAGTGAGGGACGCCCGAGGAAAGAAAGGCAGCAGGATTTCCAAGATTCCCTCGTGGCGACTGTGGCGTTTTGGGAGCATGTGAGCAACTGAGCCACAGAAACGTGGTCAAGAAGAGCACAGTGCGAGCAGCGCCGGAGGAGAGGCTCTGGGCGACCTGAAACGAAGCATCCCCCCTCCCACTTGTCCCTAGAGTGTACACGATGACCCAATGAGTCTCTTCTCGTCGTTTATTATTGACCCCGTTGTGCGCCATGCACGGCGGTTCTCAGGTGTTGGCGAAGGGAATCATGACGGAGCCCGGTCTCTAGCATGTGATAATCACGACTCTGCATCTGCACCTGTCCCACGGCCGGCTCACGAAACGGACGCGGACCCGGCGAGCGCACATGATAGAAACATTACCGACGCAACTGGGGCCCGGCCCACCGCCCTGATGGATCGAGTCCGACGTTACTCGTCCTTCTCGCAGCGGCCTCGCAGTGCTGCTGTTGTTGACGAGGAGCAGAGCCATGACGATCTGCCAATAGACACCCCAGTCGAAATGTCCGCGAATCCATCCCGCACCCTCGCAGATCAGTTCCGTCACCTCGATGTAGACTCGTCACGCTCTACTGCGCCGTCGCCCACGTCGCTCCAACACTCGGCCAGCACTCGTAGCCAGAATGTGAGCGCCATGTCAGAGTTGCTCCCCGCAGACGATGGCATGGCCCATCTCCGCATGCGCATCCATGAAATCAGGGCCCTGAGCATATCCGATCAGGAGCGTGCCCGCATGATACACAACCTGATGACGGAGAAGTACAACCACATGCGACCCACGTCGCCAGCGAGCTTCGTATCACACGACCGCCCTTTTACCCCGACCTCCGGACAGTCCCTCTTCTCCGACATCCATGCCTCGTCGCCGTACTCGTCTTCGTCTACAACCGACGTCACTCCCGACATCTCGTACAATCTTCGAGAGGGCGACGCGAACCCGACATATCGACCCCATCACGACCACGCCGGTGCAGAGCACGGCGAAGACGACGATGACGACACTGCCGAAGGAGAACTCGTTCTTGGTTGCCAGCACTACAAGCGCAATGTCAAAGTACAATGCTTTGAATGTCGCCGCTGGTACACGTGTCGGCACTGCCACGATGCCGCTGAAGACCACAACCTGAACAGGAAGATGACACAGAACATGCTGTGCATGGCGTGCGGCACCCCTCAGCCAGCAGCCGGTGTCTGCAAGAACTGTGAGACTGAGGCCGCATGTTACTACTGTGACATTTGCAAGCTCTGGGACAACAATAGCAAGAAGAAGATCTACCACTGCCCAGACTGTGGCATCTGCCGACGAGGAGAAGGCCTGGGTAAGGATTTCTATCACTGCAAGGTATGGACATAGTCTCGCCATGATCTAGCCAGCACTAACCGTGCGCAGAGCTGCAATGTTTGCATATCCATCTCTCATGCAACCTCGCACAAATGCCTCCCGCGGGCTACTGAGGGCGATTGTCCGATTTGCGGCGATCATCTCTTCACGTCGTCCACCGCTGTAGTCTCCATGCCTTGCGGGCATTACTTGCACAAAGGATGCTACAATCTTTACATGCAGACTGCGTACAAGTGCCCAATTTGCAAGAAGAGCGCTGTGTGTATGGATCTGCAGTGGCAGAAGTTGACTCAAGCAATCGAGGGTCAGCCGATGCCAGAACAATTTGCAAATACCCGAGCAGTCGTTCAGTGCAACGATTGCTCAGCCAAGTCTTCCGTCAAATACCACTGGCTCGGAAACCAATGCGGTACATGCGATTCATATAATACGAACGAACTTCGTATTTTGAATGGACCAGAGAGTGAAGAGGCTGCCAACGCGATACTGGATGCCGATCTTGACTCAGGCTCGAGATCACCCGCGAGCGTTAGTTCGCCCTCCTCCCAAGCACCGTTACGTTCACCTCGATACTACTTTCAACCAGATGAGCCAGAAGAAACATGGCTACCAGGTCAGCTGCCCTCTTTCCCTTTCCAGATGCCACAGTTTCCAGGCAGACCACGCATGCCACAGATGCCTCAGATGCCACAGTTCCCATCTTTACCGCAGTTTCCACCGCTGCCGAATTTTCCACAGATACCGCAATTTCCACAAATGCCTCAGATGCCTCAAATGCCTGATGCTGCACAGCAGATGCTTGAACGTGTGCGTCGATCATTCGATGCCTATCTTAATCCAACGGGGGATGTCCGAGCAGAAGACGTACCATTCATCGATCTCGGTAGCGACGACCGTACTGAGCGTCCGGCTACAGATGGCACAACGGTCAAGGAACCATCACTACCGCAATACGTTTTGGAACGCTTCACGCAGTCTCTCGTCCGCTTCAGGAACGACCTGAACCCGGCTTTGTTCGAAGAGATTCCAACATTGGATCTCTCAGAAGATCGTGATCCCGAAGGATTGCAATTTTGGGGCGAAGATGGTGGACGACTGAATCGCTTCGTTGCAGGCGACGAAGACGAAGATGAAGAAGACGATGACGACAGTAGCAGTGATGAAAGCGAACACCACGATGATGAAGACGATGAAGACGAATGTGTCGAAGTCAACGTTAAAAAGCGCGGCAAGGAGTTTGATTTGCCAGGGCATGTGTAAGGCGTTACTGAGGCGTTCTGGGAAGGTTAAGGAGGATGTGTTATGAATACCGCTTGGGCATTGTTTTGAATAGCGACCTAGAAACATACGAAAAGCCTATGTAGAAAATTATGGATACCCAAATACAAACGCATCACGATTCAGCCTAAGCTCATGTTCTTGCTTAACGATGGAACGTTGAAAGCGCTTGGAGCATTCTCACGTGGAGCAGTGGCCCGTGCCCAGCGCTAAGCAAGCGGCCACACGAGGCGCATTGGATTTTCGACCATCGCGATTTTTCGAACTCCAAGCCTCAAACTCGCATCCTCATCTTCGACTAACCCCCGCAGCGAGAACCTCTGTCAGTATGTATTGCGCTCTCTGTCTTGTTTTGAATGTGGTTGCTTTGCGCGACCCTCACAATACCTTCTTCCAGCTGTTTGGTGCTGTAATAGGCATTTGCTAACATATATTCTCTCTTCAGAAATGGCCCCTACCACCAAGTCCGCCGGCAAGAAGTCTGCTGGAAAGACCGGCCGCAGCGCCATCGCCGATGTCGTCGCCCGCGAATACACCATCCACCTCCACAAGCGCGTATGTTGATTCAGTTTTGTGAAGTCCACAGATGGTCTCGCAGAACCTTGGGTGGATGTTCGACCAGGCCGATCACACTGGCTTGAGCATCTATTCTTGGCGATGCAGGCATCGGGCGGAAGACTGAAGAGAACATAAGGCTAATACATCGGGTATAGGTTCACGGTGTCAGCTTCAAGAAGAGGGCCCCCAGGGCTGTCAAGGAGATCCGCGCTTTCGCTAAGCAGGCTATGGTATGTGGCATCCAAGGTTCAATGACCCTTTGGCCAGTGCGCTATATGCGAATGCTGCCACAGCGTCATCGATCGTATGAGCTCAAGGCTAACTCTTTCACTGTAGGGCACCAACGATGTCCGTCTAGACCCCCAGCTTAACAAGAAGGTCTGGGAGTCCGGTATCAAGGGCGTTCCTTTCCGCCTCCGTGTCCGCATCTCCCGTAAGCGTAACGACGAGGAGGGTGCCAAGGAGAAGCTCTACTCCTACGTCCAGGCCGTCAACGTCAAGGACCCCAAGGGTCTTCACACCCAGATCGTTGAGGATGCTTAGAGTACTTGCAAGGATAAGAGGAAAGGGTGATGTGCATATCAAAAGCATGGCGTTCCGGCGGGTTGTGCTGAGTAGCTACTACGGATATCTAGAGCGAAAGGCTGGTGAAATGATACCTCAATGACAGATCATGCCCCGCCACGTTTGATGGACTTGAAAACTTTGAACTGTTCTAGCTTTTTTCGTTGTCAAATTCAGTGATGCACGCAACACGCATTGGTCGTGGTGAACAACAATCCCGAAGTCTCACCGGAACTAACTAAGCCTGATGGGAATTGTCGACTATGTAAAAACATTACAGAACATGTCAATTTAGCTGAATGATTTCACAGCAAACTAGCAGACAATGTTCGGCTCTTCGCGCTCTTCTCAAGAGTACCTTGCATAAGCGGCTCTTCATAGCTCGGCCTTGGGGGGGAGCCGAACGTCGTTGCTTACCCAAGCCTTGGAATCTGTTCGGCACGCCAGTTGCTCCACTACATACATGATACAAGGCAAGAGAGAGTATATAGAGTGATTTCCAGCATTCAGAACACAAACATTGCACCACCATCAAGCCATCCCTTCTCATCAAACAATACTGACATCAGACTGCCATCTTACCCCACGCCTGCAGTACAACAGGCAGCAGCTTCCGCATCTCAGCATCTATCACTCAAACCATCCTACAACACGAACAAACCGCTTCTTGAAGCATACTCGTAAACATGGTGAACATCAACATTGCATACACCTCCCGCATCAACCCCGCCGGTGCGACACCGGTGCTCAACGAAGCACAAATCTGGGCTGGCCTGCAGCGCAAGATACGTTTTGCCCAAGAATTCGTGCCTGTGATTGAGAGCTGCGAGGTACTTGAAGAGAAAGATGGAGTGGTAACTAGGGACGTCAAATTCAAGAAGGGAACGGGCCCCAAGGATCAGGCCAAGGAAGTCGTTAGAAGCTACTGGCCGAGTTGGGTGAGTGGAACTCGTCCCCAAGGTCGATATCTAAAGCACGATGAAACATTTGCAACTCCTCAATTCGATGTAGGAAATATGCTGACTATATGTACACAGGTCGATTTCGAGCAAGAAGACGGAAGTCATGTCCGCAACATCATCTCCGATGGTCCATCTGGTGAGACCGAGGACTTGAACATGACTTATGCTTTCGAGTGGATCATGCCAAATTTGCAAGAGGGGACTCCAGAAGCTGACAAGGAGAGGCAACGACTCAAGGGCGTAAGTACTCCCGCTCACTGTCATTGTCTTACTGGAATGGCGGATGCGAACAACGCTGGTTTTGAGTTGGGTACTAATGAGATGATAGATGGCGAAGAAAGCAGTTGAGAGCAGCATCGACGCGATTCGGGAGATGGTCAAGGATGGCAGGGTCAAGGCATAAGATTTATTGACGGTACGGAAAGAGGTTGCGTGTTCATGGACCATCGTCAGCCAACCTTAGATACCAAACGAAGTCGTTATAGAAAAATAATGTCTCCTACATTGTGTCTTTCCCGCATGATCTACGCAGCGCAGAAGCTTTGAATCCAGATGTTGTGGTGAAACGCACATATCAAGATACGTCTGTTGCTGCTGGTTCTAAACGTGCGCAATACTGGCCGGATACCTAACACCATACAATCCTCTAAGAACGCCTACAACGACGTTTCCTGTCCCGATAGCACCATGAGTAGCAGGTTATAGGTAAGCCAAGAATATAACAGGATGTAGAACGCCTCTGTATCTCTTTTCAAGCCATCACCAGTTATAAATGAGGAAGCCTTAAGCTGCTTTGTTCTTCTGATGACCTCGTCATGGTAGCGCACATGTGTGCAGGGTGAAGCATTCTTGTACACCCGCCAACAGCACATGGGTATGTCACCTATCGGAAACCTAGCAAAGCAGATGCTTGGGCTTCTAAGCGGAGTTGATGATATGAAGGAAGATGCAGGGTAGCAGTCGATCCAAGGTGGAGCAGTTAGCGCTAGTGCTTGTCTCTCGGCACGGGTAGACTGGTTCCAGTTGACAAACGCGACTTCACCGCGAAACCCGTGCCTCTTGAAACATCCACCACTGCGAGCAGCTAGAAAGACAGTCTTGATCACGGCCTAGCGATCCCCAGATACAAACAACCTCCGCAAGAGTTTGACGAGCGTGCCCGCACACACTCTCCGCCGCACAAGTGCCCCACCTTTGTCTGTACACAACTTCTGCAAGGCAACGGACCTTTGCGCGCTCGCCCTCCGCCCACGCCCACGCCCAACGCGCCAACACGCCGACTGCTTAAGAAGCTGAGCCGACGCTTGAGCTTCTTGGGGAAATAGAATATACTTCAAGGCTGATTGGGAGCTTTTCCCGCCGCGCTGCAGCCCGCCATGTCTCTGTCAATCGAAGAGCTCGACGCCACAGTGCGCGCCTTCTACGAGGGTCGCGGCGACACAGTAGGTTTCCATGCGGAGTCTGAATGGGAAATGTGATGAGGACGTGGCTGACACTCCATCTTCTGCAGCAAAAGCAAGCTCAGGCTACGCTGAACCAGGTAGGCATCTTCGCTGACACTGTTTACACACGCATCCCGCTAACATTTGCGTAGTTCAAAGAGAACCCCGACGCATGGCTCCTAGTCGACAAGATCCTATCCGATGCGCAATACCCGCAGACCAAGTGTGAGCTTAGCGACGTGGTATAAGGCTGGTGGTCATCGTGCTAATTATCGGCAGATCTCGGACTACAGGTTCTCGACAATGTTATCATGACGAGGTGGAAGGTACTGCCTCGCGACCAGTGTCAAGGTATGCCACATCGCAATTGTCGTCTGAGTGCTGCTGACCGAGTCAGGTATCCGAAACTTCATCGTGAACTTCATCATCCAGCTATCCAACAACGACGAAAGCCGCCGCACCGAGCGTACCCTTCTAAACAAGCTCAACCTCGTCCTCGTCTCCGTCCTGAAGCAGGAGTGGCCCCACAACTGGCCAACTTTCATCAACGAGATTATATCATCGTGCCATAGCAGTTTAGGGATATGCGAGAACAACATGGTCATCCTGCGACTCCTGTCCGAGGAGGTCTTCGACTACTCAGAGGAGCAGATGACTTCGGCCAAGCGAAAGGAACTCAAGCAAAGCATGTGCGACGAGTTCACAGCCATCTACCAGCTCTGCTCAGAGGTCCTGCGCACAGCCACCGAGGCTGCTCTCATCAAGGCGACTCTCGAAACCTTGCTGCGCTTCCTGAACTGGATCCCTCTGGGGTACATCTTCGAGACACCACCGAGTGGCCAGAGCCTTATTGAAACTTTGCGGAGTCGATTCCTCGAAGTTCCTGACTTCCGCAACATTACCCTCAAATGCTTGACCGAGATCGCTGGCCTGCACACCGAACCCGCATACGACGACAAGCTCGTCCAGATGTTCACCGAGACACTAACTGCCATCTCCAAGATCATCCCCCTCTCACTGGACTTGAAGAGTACATATTCTTCTAGCAATGGCCGGGACCAGGAGTTCGTCCTGAATCTCGCGCTCTTCCTGACAAACTTCTTCACCATGCATCTGAACGTCATCGAGAACCTTATGAACAGGGACTTCCTTACGCATGGCCACTTCTACCTTATTCGCATAAGCCAAATCGACGATCGTGAAGTCTTCAAAATCTGCCTGGAATACTGGACCAAGCTCGTCTCAGAGCTATACGACGAGATGCAGGCGCTCCCAATAACCGACATGAACCCTCTTCTGAACATGGGTATCCCTGGCAACGGAGCTCGCGAGCTGGCCAACTATCCTCTGCGAAAGAACAAGTACACTGAAATTCTTTCAAACCTCCGAACAGTCATGATTGAGAAGATGGTCAGGCCCGAGGAAGTTCTCATCGTCGAGAACGACGAGGGCGAGATCGTCCGTGAATTCGTGAAGGAGAGCGACACAATTCAACTGTACAAGTCTACTCGAGAATGCCTCGTCTTCCTTACTCACTTGGATGTTAACGACACCGAGCAAATCATGTCGGAGAAGCTGGCTCGCCAGGTCGATGGTTCAGAGTGGTCATGGGCCAACTGCAATACCCTCTGTTGGGCTATCGGTTCCATCTCTGGCGCCATGAACGAGGAGACAGAGAAGCGCTTCCTGGTCACTGTAATCAAGGACTTGCTTGGATTGACCGAAATGAAGCGAGGAAAGGACAACAAAGCTGTCGTGGCCAGTAACATTATGTATATTGTCGGTCAATATCCTCGATTCCTTAAGGCACACTGGAAGTTCCTCAAGACTGTTGTCAACAAGCTATTCGAGTTCATGCACGAGACCCACGAGGGTGTGCAGGACATGGCTTGCGATACGTTCATCAAGATTGCAAACAAGTGCCGACGACACTTTGTTGCTCTTCAGCCTGGGGAAACCGAGCCATTCATTGACGAGATCGTTCGTAACCTGAGGAAAATTACTGCTGATCTCTCGCCTCAACAAGTCCACACTTTTTACGAGGCCTGCGGTTACATGATCAGCGCGCAAGGACAGAAGAGCATGCAGGAGCGTTTGATTGCCGACTTGATGGCTTTGCCAAACTCTGCCTGGGACAACATTATCGCTCAAGCTAATCAAAACCCTGCGTGTCTCCAGGATTCAGAAGTCATCAAGATTGTCGGTAATATTATGAAGACGAACGTCGCAGCATGCGGCTCAATTGGATCCTACTTTTACCCACAGATCGGCCGGATATATTTCGACATGTTGACAATGTACCGCGCGAGCTCACAGCTTATCGACGAAGCTGTCCAACGAGAGGGTAATATTGCGACAAAGATGCCCAAGGTCCGCGGACTTCGTACAATCAAGAAGGAGATCCTAAAACTCATCAACACTTACGTTGAGAAGGCCGATGACCTGGAGATGATCCACAACAACATTGTACCGAAGCTGCTCGAAGCTGTTTTGATCGACTACAAGAACAATGTTCCCGATGCTCGTGAGGCAGAAGTGTTGAACGTCATGACGACGATTATCAACAAGCTACATGTACGTTGGAGACCCAATCTGAGCAAGCACATGGTTGGACTCGCTCAGTCACTCTTAGATTATATGCTAACCTTCTTCACAGAGCATGATGGAGGATCAAATCATCAACATCATGGATAGCGTTTTCGAATGCACTCTGGACATGATCAACAAGGACTTCTCGGAATACCCAGAACACCGTGTCGAGTTCTTCAAGCTTTTGCGCACCATCAACCTTCGCTGCTTCCCCGCTCTGCTGCGCCTCGATGCACGATCGTTCAAGTTCGTCATTGACTCATGCATGTGGGCAAGCAAGCACGATAACCGTGAGGTTGAGAGTGCCGGCCTTTCCATGTGCTTCGAGCTGGTTTCCAACATGGCCGAAACAGACCAGCAAACTTGCAACACCTTCTTCCAGACATTCTTCACGACTATCCTCCAGGACGTCTTCTTCGTGGTTACCGACAGCGATCACAAGGCTGGTTTCAAGTCGCAGTCGATGCTGCTGGCCAAGATGTTCTGGCTCGTCGACTCAGACAAGCTGCAAGGTCCCATCTACACGTCACCAGACATGGCGCCAGCAGGCACACCGAACCGAGAGTTCCTGCGAAACTTTGTCGGCAACCTGTTAGCGACTGCCTTCCCCAACCTCCAGACGTAAGCTGTCCCTTCTCGCTTGTATGAACGCCTACTGACTGTTCAAAGTGCTCAAATCGCATCGTTTATTGACGGACTTTTCGCGACCAACTCCGACCTCAACCGCTTCAAGGTCATTCTGCGCGACTTCTTGATTTCCTTGAAGGAGTTCTCTGGGGATAACGCTGAGTTGTTCCTCGAGGAGCGTGAGCAGGCTGCGAAGACGGCGAAGGAACAAGAGCGTGAGCGAGCCATGAAGGTCGGTGGTCTGTTGAAGCCTTCGGAGATGGATGACGATGAGTTGTGACTTGACGTTGAGTTGGATGCAAATGTGGCTACGCGCACGCCGTACGATAGCGAACGCGCTCCCCACGAGTCTGCAGGTAGTAAGCGCTCCGATGAAGGTCTCGATGGATGGGACATGTATGGCTTGTGAGTGCCAAGGGGTGTGGTGACTGAAGAAACGGTCGCGACGCTGCGTTGGATGGGGAGCATAGAGCTAATTGTGTCGGCAAAGTTTGAGGGAAGGAAAATGGTTTCGTTCTGGTCTAATACCCTATAGACCTTTTACTTCTTCATTTGACGCATGGATATATAGCTGGTATGGAGGTAGCCTGGTTTGGCTTGCAGACTAACATTGATAGGAGCGTTTTAGGGGTCGAGGCAACCTCGTGACGAGGGCGGAGAATAAAGCTCATGTACGCGATTACCTTCTACTTGCATTGCCTTGGATGCTACCTTGCGGCTATTGCGCATGTGTGTTTAACCCTCCCTCGCGGGCCGTCCCACTTTGCAACTGGATGTTAGTCGAGTCAGATGAAGTCAGTAGCATCATGCAGCATGACGAGGCCTGCCGGCATGCATGGCTCTGCCTTTGAGAGTCATGCCTTCCCGTATATGAGACCCACATGCCGCTGAGCCTCGATGATGGCTGTAGCAGTGCGCGCGAACATGATGGGCAGCGTGAGCATCGGCTGTCGCGATCAAGCGTCGCGGAGATGCTTTGGATGCGGTTGAGCTACCTGACTGAGCTAGCAGGCGCCCTTACGTAACCCGACGGCCCTGGCACTACAACGTCGAAAGCGTCGATTGGGCGATTTCAGCCTTTCCAACGCCCTAGCACCTCCTACGGAACTAATATTCGGCAGAATAACCGCATGCGACACCTCCCCTGCCCCATGCCAGCGACCTAACGATATCAGTCCGTGAGCAGTTGCTGAACCTCGTGGCGGCTATACGCACGCTGATTCGCCCGCGCCTTACCAGTCGTCTGAACGACATGGGCACTCTGCTCTTCTGCCAGCGTATGCACAATCTCGTGGCCCTCGTACAATGAGTCGTCGGTGGCGCCTTCCAGCCTGGCCCCTCATTCGGCATCTTCCAAATACCTGCTAACACGCTGTCTGACCAGGTCCAAGCGAATCTATGGATTGATCGGTCCAACTGCAGGGTACCACCAGCTGCATCGTGAGTGACTTCACTTCTCGACTTCCCTACCAACTACGCACGGCCATTCTTTGGGCTGTCACCAGCAAGCCTCAGCACATCTTGATCTTTTCTCTCGTCTCCACTGCCGAATAGGCGGCGGCTGACGGCCACACCTCTGTCATCGCGGGTCCTGTATGGTTGGATCTGCACATCAAACCCGGAACAGGATCCATCGCTTGTGCATCGTATGCGCATTGCCGTCAAGGCTTCGAGAAGAACACTCTTGAATTTCTTCTTACTGCTAGCATCATGTACGTCTCCCCCTCATATGGAGACCCTTCAACCCCGCCCCTTGGTGGTTTTGAGAAAGACAGCCTCGTCGACCAGTCTTGCATCCAAAGAAGACACTACTGACTCAGCACGCTTTTCCAGGAAGTTCGGGAAGCACATCCAAAAAAGGCAACTGGAAATTCCAGAATATGCCGCCAGCTTTGTCGACTACAAAGCGCTCAAGAAGGTCCATATGCCTTCCGTATCGTAGGGGCTTCACTAATTGTATAATTTGTAGCTCATCAAGAAACTCGGCGCTACTCCAGTGATACCACCACAGAGTGAGGGCTTTCACCATGAATCCCTGGATCCGCAGTCGTCCCTACAAGCCAACAAGGCCACCTTTTTCTTCCGAGTCGTACGTCTTTGTGCTCGCGACAAGTACATAGATTCTTACTTGATAAACAGGAACGTGAGCTCGAAAAGGTCAACACGTTCTACCTGCAGAAAGAGGCAGAGGTATGTTCTAGCACTCGTGCGTCGGAGGATGAGTGCTCACTATAGTTGCAGTTGCGTCTGCGCTTGACCACGCTACTGGACAAGAAGAGAGTCATGCAACAACACCCGCAATCTGTCTCCAAGACATCTTCGCGATATGTTGCCCTCGAAGAAGGACTAAAGCAGTTTAGCATGGATCTCAACAAGCTTGAGGTGATTGGTCCGTATGCACTTGGGGGCTTCCGATACTAACCCGACTCAGCAATTTGTGGAAGTGAACGAAACAGCCTTCTCAAAAATCCTCAAGAAGGTTTGACGCATCCCTCTTTGCTGCCATCCGCCTGCTAACACCGTCTAGTGGGACAAGACGTCCAAAGTTCGTTGTCATTACCTACGTATCTATCGACACTGGCTGACTTAGTGCCAGTCAAGGGAAAAGCAACTATACCTTTCGCGCGCCGTCGAAGTCCAGCCATGCTTCAACCGAGAAGTCATCAGCACATTGTCCGACCAAGCAACCCAGGCACTCCTTGATTTTTCGGGATGGGCTGAAGGCGAAGGGGTACAGGCACCCCATCCTGCAGCCGAGCCGCGCGTCTCCGAACCTGCATTCGAAGCGAAGCTCGAGCTTGACAACCAATTTGTGCAAGCTATCAACACCGCGAACGAAGGCAAGATCGAGGAGTGTTTAGCCCGCCTTTCGACCCTTCCCGATGCACGCGAGCACATCTCTAGGGCGTTCCTCAGCACCGTTGCAGAAGCGCCAGAATCCGCACTGAGAATACTACTCGATTCGAACCTCGTAAATCTCGAACAAGAAGACGAAATCAACGAGCGAAATTGTCTTCACAAGTCCGCTATCAGTGGGAGAATCGAAGTGCTTAAGCTTGGCCTATCGAGTAACGTGGATGTACATGCAACCGACGTGTACGGCAGGATACCATTGCATTATGCCTGTATGCATGGACATGTCGAGCTAGTACAGGAACTCATCAACGCTGCCCCAGAAACGGTGAACTTCCGTGATCAGGATAGCTTTACACCCTTGATCCATGCGATCGTGCATTCGAAGCTCGCTTGTGTGGAGATACTCCTTTCGAGAGGCGCCGACCTAACGCGTCTAGGGCCTGGAGAGCATGTGCCGCTCAATCTTGCGTGTCAGTATGCATCATTAGAGATCCTTGAGCTTCTTCTACAGAGGTCTGCTGAGATGCTTTCCGACGCGGAAGGACTGTTTCCACAACACCTGGTAGCACGATCGGGAAAGACACCTGAAGCACTGTTGATGTTGCAAAAGTACGGCGCGGACCTCGACCAACCAGACAAGCTTTACCAATGGACGCCGCTGTTCCACGCTGCGAGCGAGGGTCATGTGGAGTGTCTCAAGACGCTGCTCCAATGTCAGGTCGATGTAGACATTGTGGATGAGAAAGGTCTTTCGGCCATGTACTACGCTACATGGGAAGGTCATCTAGAGTGTATGAAACTACTTGCTTCTGTTGGGCGTGGAGTCGGATTGATGTCACAGAAACAGGTCTCGCCTCAAATGACGTCCCAGCTGTCTAGCTCGATGCCTACAGCTATGGACATCGAAGGCGACCCCGATGGCATACCCGAGTTCATTCTGCCGCCGCCAATTATACCATTCCGAAGATATGGACATAACTTCCTCGATACAAAGACATTCGTAGTGATCAGCTTCGAAAAGGTGGGCAAAGAGGCGATTCGCTTCTACGACGAATCGAAATATCCCGCGGCAAGGCTTACAATCTCTTCAAAAAGCTCCGATCTCATACCACGCAACATTCTGCTACCTATACAAGACGAGTTCAAGGTTATCTCTTTCCAGATCGAGAACCTAGATACTTTCTCCATCGACTTTGACGTATACCCCACAATAGGATCCAAGGTCATCGCTCGCAGCGTCGCCTCTTCAAAGGTATTCACAGAGCGCTCGAAGAGCTCTGGCCGATGGCACCTCGAGTTGTTTGACCCAAGACTGCGGGCGATCGGCAGAGTTACTTTCGACTTTCAAGTAGTGAAGCCTTTCCACGGCATTCCGCTCGAGATCACCCACTTTGCCACCTACTGGAAGGCCACTAGTCAGCTCGACTCACAGCCTCATACACTTATTACCGGCTCCAGTCTATCTGGCGAATATGTGCGTCTGTTCGTCCAACTGACTGCCGATGGTATACCAGTGCTGTATCCGAGATGGAAGGTCAACCACCACGGACTGGAAGTGCCAGTCAACATACTTACGTATGCGCAATTCGCAGCGATCGGTGTTCAGGACACGACCGCGGCTGCGAACCAGCTCGCTGCGGAACTTAACAACACTGGCTCGATAAACATACCGAACATTTACCAAATCATGGCTTCGTCGTTCATCACGTTGAAGGATGCCTTATCAGCACTGCCGGCTCACATCCATGTCGAGCTGCATGTTCTCTTCCCGTCCCGACTTGAAGAGGAACGTCTGAAGCTTGGCCCCACACATGACATGAATGCCTTCGCAGATAAGATCCTCTCGGTAGTCTTTGAACATGCACGCAAACTGAGGGAACAAGGTGCTGGTGAGATAGATGGTACTCTGAGGAGTGTGTTATTCAGCTCTTTCAACCAGGACATATGCACGGTCATAAACTGGAAGCAGCCGAATTGTGAGCATGACACTTATGGGAGGATACGCAGAAGATGCTAACTCTGAAACAGACCCAGTTCTGCTCTGCAACGAGCTCGGTGCGGATAGCCCTCAGTCGCCCTCTGGAAATACACACATCATTCAAAGCAGCGGTCGCACAACGACGTCTGTCAAGGAAGCTGTACAGATTGCTAGGGACAACAACTTCATGGGTCTGATATGTAGCTCGCGTCTATTGGTGAGTATCCCGCAAATTACCATACAACTTCTCTCTAACAGATCCTAGTCGCTCGCTCCCGCTCTCATTGAATCGATCAAGACGGCCGGCCTTGTCCTCGTCACAGACATTACCGACTCTCCAGAAGATGAACCCGCCCAGCCTGCAAACCTCCACGTTGCGAATCCCCGCCGACAAAACACACCAGACGGAGTCGATGGATACCTCAAGGGCAATGGTGTACTTTGTTTCAACGAGACTGTCGATATGTAGAATACACGTTATGCATAGGTGCGAGACCAGGCAGTAATGCGGTTATGGCGTTGCGTATTAGACTGAATATCCTGCGGAGGAATGATTATACCACTGGAAGAGAGGCGGACAGGTGCCTTTTGCTGCAGACTGATAGCTGCTAGACGGAGTCTCTTATTGCATGCAGCTTTCTCTGACTTCAGATGATTGATTCGTCTTATACGCGTCTGAAATGTTGGTCAAATTCAATACATGAGTAGGAACGTTTGCACCCGTAAACATGGGATTTGGGTAATGTGCATGGGCATGTGGTGCCAATTCGGCAGTGTCGATGCTCGCCGCAAACCGACAGGGGTGTGGTGTCCGGGATCCGATTCGCGCTGCGCCTTCATCGAAAAATGTCGAACGACGACATTTGTGGCTAGAAGCGGTCTGTTGCCGCTTGTTGCTCGCTTTCGCATCTTCCTCTCTCAGGCCCATAGACTCTGCAGTGATTGGACTCTGCCGGCCATGGTATAAACATAATGTCGACCCTGAGCGCCCTTTCTTCTCCGCTCCTCCGAAGGACGTGGATCTGCCGAGCTTGTATACGATCGCAGCGACAGACGATACCGCAGCCATATGGCTTGTGGCAACAACGAAGCACCTCGGCGGGGCACAATGCCTTCGCAAGCAGAATAGGGTCGTCGAGGACATTTGCAAGCCAAGCAAATGAGGCGGCCAATGCCACACCCAAAGCTGCAGGGAGGAGCTCCAAGAGCAGCAAGAGGAGGACGAGGCTGCTGATAGCTGGAGGTGGAATTGCAATTGGCGCAGCAGTCGTTACAGTCAATGACGACGCGAAGCATGCTTACGTGGCAGCGCAGCGAAGCTACAGAGTGGTTGCAACGCTGGTGCTCAACATCAGAGAGTATGTGCATGCGTGCATAGTCCAGCGCAACCAAACAATCCATGGCTAATATACACCTTTGTGCAGTTACCGCGACGTACTCAAGCGCGACGACGAACCAGACTACAACGAGCAACTCAAAGCCTGCCACCTACGATGCGCCAAGCGTACCCTACACACACTCGAGAAGAACGGCTCCATCTTCATCAAGCTGGGACAACATCTGAGCAGCATGAACTACCTGCTGCCGAACGAATGGTGCGATACCTTCATACCACTGCAAGACAAATGTCCCGTATCCTCCTTCGAATCCATACAAGACATGTGCCGACGAGACACGGGCCTTGAGCTCTCCGACTTCTTCTCGGAATTTGAGGAACAGCCCATAGGCGCAGCCTCGCTCGCCCAGGTACACCGTGCAACGGTTCGTGAGACGGGTCAGAAAGTCGCCGTCAAAGTGCAACATCCGGCCCTGGACGAGTGGGCCAAACTTGATTTGGCTTTGACAAGCTTCTCGTTTACGACGCTCAAGCGCTGGTTCCCCGAATACGATCTGACCTGGTTATCCGACGAAATGCAGCTTTCCTTGCCACAAGAACTCGATTTCGCCCTCGAAGGCAAGAATGCCATGCGTGCGCGAGAATACTTCTCTCACGTCCGCGATGTACCCGTCGTCATACCCAGAGTCCTTTGGGCAAAGCGCCGATTACTCGTCATGGAATACGTATCAGGGTTTCGAACGGACGACCTCAAGAGTTTGGATGAACATGGCATTGACAGAGACGAAGTATCGGCAGCACTGGCTAGGATATTCAACGAGATGATCTTTGGTAGAGATGCGCCACTCCATTGCGATCCGCATGGTGGAAACATTGCTATACGGCACAATCCGACTCGTTCAGGCAAGACCAACTTTGACGTGGTGCTATACGATCACGGCCTCTATCGTGATATCCCTATGCCCTTGCGACGCAACTACGCAAAACTCTGGCTCGCCGTATTGGACGCCGACGAAGCTGGTATGCGCAAATACGCTTATCAGGTGGCAGGGATCAAGGAAGAACACTTCCCTCTCTTTGCTTCGGCCATTACAGGCAGAGATTATACCGTGCTGGCAAAGAAGGAGAGTGGCACTGGTGGTGTAATGACGAGCAGGACGAGTGAAGAGAAGAAAGTTATTGGAGATGCGTTGGGAGAGGGGTTGTTGGAGAGTCTGATCGAGCTGCTTGGACAGGTTCCGAGAGTGATTTTGTTGATTTTGAAAACTAATGATTTGAGTAAGTCTTGGTCCCTCCCATCACCTGAGCATCTATATTGACCTTTCTTGTAGCGCGGTCCTTGGATGAAGGTCTGCATACTCGCCAAGGTCCTATGCGCACTTTTCTTATCCTCGCTCGGTATGCCAGTCGCACGGTGTACGAAGAGAGTTTAGACAACCTCAACGGCAGTATACTTTGGCCCAGTAACTTTCTGAGTTGGCTGGGTGCGTGGACAAGGCACATGAGAGTTGAGATGCAGTTGAGTGGGTATGAGACGTACCTGAAGCTAAGAGCGCTGTTGGGTATGAGGAAGATTGAGATTGGGGATAGCTTTAGGGAGTAGGGTATGACGAGCGTGGAGTTTGGCGACTATCAACATTAGACTTGACATGATTTGCATTAGAAGCTGGTGACATAGCTGGAAAGTCACGGGCGCAGTTAGAGTTATGATATCGAAACCTGATACTCATCTTGAGGTGCACGCGTGTATATGTCGCAGTGAACCCCACTCTGGCTGAAGATGGATACGGCAAGACGGAACGGGCGGAACGTAGTCGGGCCTAGACGTGTTGGTTCCTACAGGATGTACGTGTGGCGGTGCCGTTTACCCAAGAATGTGCGGCCTTGCATGTGGCTCGTGTCCAAGACTGCCATTCGTCTTGGTGTTTGACAGAGGGTTTGCAATGTGTTTGAGGCGTGGTCGTCTGATGGACAGCAGCTTCTGGGCGCCAAAGAGCGCCCAGAAGATGGAAACATGTAGTGAGAGGCACCAAGAAGAGGCAGATGGCATCAGAGACGGTCCAAGCAGCATACGAAGCAGCAGCAGAGATGTGGTCGAGAGATATGTTGTTATTTTGGTTCTTGGACATGCTAGTGGGCGGTGACAGGGAGGTAGAGCGGTTTGACATCATCGATGCCATGCGTCGCGAGAGCAAAGGCAATCTTGACATGCACGGGTACGCCCATCGGAAGCAGACTGTGCACCAGGTGTCTTGTTGCTCCTCTCCAAAGCATTCCAAGGTTACCCTCGACGGCCACATATATCGAGACTCTGGTCAGGCGCCAGTCAGCAGCAGTAGCAGCAGCAGCAGTAGCAGTTCGCATCGCCCCCCGACACAACCTGCGGGGCAAGCGCCAAGGCAGCAGAAGGCATCCTCCCGGAATCGCATCGTTCACGCCGCAGCGCTCAACGCCCTAGCCGCCAGGGCTGGAGTGGAAAGACTTTGTGGGTGACTTGCGGTGTCAGCGATTGCAAAGGATTGTATAAGCGATTACCATCGTAGGCCGGAGACTCGTCGGGCAGCGCCGTGAAGGCCCGCCGCATTTGCCTTTGTAGTAGACTGCGCACGGTCGCCTTTCGCACAGCCTCCTCCAGTACCTGTACTGTACCCTCGTCGCTCCGCCGTAGCCAACCCAGAGACGCCATACATCACCACCCAAACCCAGCACCAGAGAAGAGGCCCCTAACCACCGCGAGCTCTGAGAGCCGCCCCTCTACCTCTGCCGCCCGTCCCCGCTCCATCCCACACCCGCGACCGCTTGTTGCGCTGCATAACCGCGCATCATGGACGGCGCTGGCCAGCCCAACCTGCGCATCACCAGTATGTCTCACCCGCCGCCACCGAGTCCTGCGAGCCCCACGACCAAACTAACACGCCGCAGTCATCGCCGCCGATGGGCTCTACAAGCGCGATGTGTTCCGTACGTATGCCCTGACCCAGCCCGGCGTCGTCATGTCGCTCATGCATGTGCTGCAGGATTTCCGGACCCTTTCGCTGTAGCCACAATCAATGGCGAGCAGACGCGCACCACCAGCGTCATCAAGAAGACGCTGAACCCTTACTGGAACGAGAGCTTCGACATGTACGCTGCCCTGGGCCTTGGCCTCGCATGCCTTCGCATCATGACGCTAACACTCGACACAGGAAAGTGAACGAGGAAAGCGTTCTGGCGGTTCAGATCTTTGACCAGAAGAAGTTCAAGAAGAAGGACCAGGGCTTCCTGGGCGTCATCAATGTCCGCATAGGGTCGGTAATAGACCTCGATGCCGGCGGGGATGGTAGGCCTGATGCATGCCAGTCTACATCATCTGCTAACAGCCCCTCAGAGATGCTCACGCGCGACCTCAAAAAGTCAAACGACAACATGGTCGTCCATGGCAAGCTCATCCTCAACCTCTCCACTAACCTCACCGCGCCCATTACCCAGGGAGCTCAGAACGCCACCCGACCGACCGCATCCCCGCACCCGTCCGTCAACGGTGCTGTCCCTGGTGCTGTTTCAACTCCACAACAGTCGACGACGAACCTTCATCCTCCCGACGTATACCCCGGTCAGCAACGACCCTCAGTCGCCGGCCAACCAGCTGCCCAGCGTCTCAGTCAAGCCCCTCCAGCTGGCCCACCAACTGGCCCGCCCGCTGGTCCAGGCCCCGCGCCAAATGGAGCGACTCCAGCTCGCAACAGCGGCGGTGCATACAGCGCTTTCGAGGATGCTCAAGGAAGACTGCCAAATGGCTGGGAGCGTCGCGAGGATCATCTGGGCCGAACCTACTACGTCGATCACAACACTAGACAAACCACTTGGATCAGGCCGGGCGCAGGATTCAACGAGGCTGATCAGCGCCGAGATGTAGCTGCGCAGACCCAGCAGGAGCGCATGCGACATCAGAACCGCATGCTGCCTGAAGATAGGACCGGAGCCAACTCGCCCACTCTCACCGATCGTCAGCCATCACCGCCTGCTGGTTCGGCCAATGCTGCAAGCATGATGGCAACAGGAGCGACTACTGCTGGAACAGGAGAGCTCCCGTCTGGTTGGGAACAACGGCATACACCCGAAGGTCGACCATACTTTGTTGATCATAACACGCGAACGACAACATGGGTAGACCCTCGCCGACAGCAATACATCCGCATGTATGGTGGTCAGGCCGCCAACGGAAGCACCATTCAGCAGCAGCCCGTCTCCCAACTCGGGCCATTGCCATCAGGGTGGGAAATGCGCCTCACCAACACAGCCAGAGTATACTTTGTGGATCACAATACGAAGACAACTACCTGGGACGACCCGAGATTACCGTCCTCGTTGGATCAGAACGTACCTCAGTACAAGCGCGACTTCCGTCGCAAGCTGATCTACTTCAGATCACAACCTGCACTGCGCATTGTTAGTGGTCAATGCCACGTCAAGGTGCGACGAACGCACATCTTCGAGGATTCATACCACGAGATCATGCGCCAAAGTGCTGCTGATCTCAAGAAGCGACTAATGATCAAATTCGATGGCGAAGACGGTCTGGATTATGGAGGTCTCTCCCGAGAATTCTTCTTCCTGCTATCCCACGAGATGTTCAACCCCTTCTACTGCTTGTTCGAATATTCTGCGCACGATAACTACACTCTTCAGATTAACCCTCATTCCGGCATTAACCCCGAACATTTGAACTACTTCAAGTTCATTGGACGCGTTGTTGGTCTGGCCATTTTCCATCGCCGTTTCTTGGATGCCTTCTTTATCGGAGCGTTTTACAAAATGATCTTGAGGAAGAAGGTTGCTCTTCAAGACATGGAAGGTGTAGATGCTGATTTCCATCGTAACCTGGAATGGATGCTGTAGGTTCAAACTTCATTTTTCGGGCGCATACAAGCTAACAAACGCAGGAACAACGATATCACGGATGCTCTAGAGTTGACCTTTGCTACCGATGACGAGCGCTTCGGTGAAACCGTCAGCATTGAGTTGAAGCCTGGAGGTGACAATATCGAGGTTACCAACGAGAACAAGCACGAATACGTTGAGTATGTGGATCCAGTCTCAGTATGTCCCAATTATGCTAACTGATCAGACTCATTACCGAATGGCGTATTCAGAAACGTGTCGAAGAGCAATTCCAGGCTTTCATCACTGGTTTCCATGAACTAATTCCTGCGGATCTCGTAAACGTTTTTGACGAACGTGAGCTCGAGTTGCTCATCGGTGGTATTGCAGATATCGACGTTGACGACTGGAAGAAGCACACGGATTACCGTGGCTACACCGAGAACGATGAGGTGATTCAGAACTTCTGGAAATGCATTCGCAGCTGGGACGCCGAGCAAAAGTCGCGTCTCCTACAATTCGCTACCGGAACATCACGTATTCCTGTCAACGGATTCAAGGATTTGCAGGGTAGTGATGGACCAAGAAGATTCACAATTGAAAAGGCTGGTGAGCCCAATCAATTGCCGAAATCACACACATGGTATGAGACCCAAACATCCAGCGTATGGGCCAGCTGCTAACAAGATGTGCAGTTTCAATCGTCTCGATTTACCACCTTACAAGACATTCGAAGCACTCAACCAGAAACTTACCATTGCCGTTGAAGAGACAGTTGGTTTCGGACAAGAATAAGCCTCTCGCCATCCGGTAGGAGCCATGCGTGTGGACCACAGCTGTGGCCAAGGAAGTGCGGAAGACTACTACTACTACATGGCGTTGATGTCATTGTACAAAATCTGCGAAGGGAAGGTGGAGCATTAGTATATGGCGAGAACGCGCTCCTTGGGATCGTATATGACACTTGACTTTCTGGACTTGTGTCTAACCTGGCTCATCTTCAGTGTATTGCGTGGGATATATTGCATTGCTTGCACATGTGCACGTACTCAGCGGCGTTTTGGGGGTTGATCGGAATGGAAGTAGTATAGCGCTTTTCTTATATGAGCGCTGTAACAATGAAGGATGATGAGACCTGGACGGAGTCTACGTGACATGGCCAATTGTGTTGCCTCTGAGCATGTCATGGCTGCCGTGTGTACGCCTTTGCAGACGTGGAACTGTTTTGCTTATTAATGTTTAAATTCTTGTTGTAGGAACGGCGGCATTCACAAGTATTCGCAACACACGTAACTAGTTGCAAACGGCAGGCATGTCAGTCAACCCAGGAAAGCCATCGTATCACTGATTAAATATTATCCTATTCATCCAACTACCCGCTCGACCACCAGCAATTGTACTACTCCATCTACAACAGACCAGCAAACATGGCAACAATGGCGGCACCAGCAGGTACACCGAAGCTGCTACCCGCACCAGCGAAGCTGGTGGGAGTGGAGCTAGCCTCAGACTCGGAGCCGGTACCAGTAGCACTGGTCATGGCGCTCGTAGCACTGGCAACGGCACGAGACTGTGTAGCAGCGACGCTGGCAACAGAGGCCATGGACGAGGAAGCAGCGGCGCGGAGGGGCTCGGCGGCACCGCAGTAAGATGTTACGGTGTTCTGGACAGGAGGCTTCTCAAGGGAGTCTATAGATGTTTTGTTAACTTCTACTCATCTTGTTTGTATGCATGGAACACTTACCAGGGCAGTTGTTGTAGCAGACGAGAACATCTCTGTAGACGTCGCAGAGACAGATGAAGTCGTTGGGGTTCTCGTTGCAGGCGTCGATGCGGGATTGGTAACCTTGGACGCAAGTGTCTACAATGTTTTGGGCATCGCACTTGTCCTGGGCAGCGACGAAGCTAGCAGAGGCTGAGATGGCGACGGCGATGGCGGTGATGAAACGCATCTTGATACGAATGTTCGGATGGTAAAGTGGTGTAGTTCTACGACGTTGTATTACAAAGTATTAAGGTATAAAGAAGCTACCCAAAGCGAATGGTGGGTACTGTTGTTCGTATAGCGACCGAGAAAGGTAGGATAGATGACGGGAGATACGAGGAACGCAGAGAAGAGAAGAAGAGGAGACACGAGAGGGAGTCTAGGGTAGATTTAAACTTCGCAGGTGGCTTGGGAAACCCCATCCCTAATCCCATCTTGTCAAACACAAAACTAAAACTAATAACCTTTAAGCCTCCTTTCCCCGGAAGACTGCAGAGTCAAGAAGAAGCAGTGTCAGTGCTTCCCTGCGCCCATCCGTCTCTTGAGTCGAACTAAGCAAGACGGAGCCTAGTGCATGCCAGCCTCGGAAGATAATCGCGGACGAGAGCTGGTCTAGCGTGTCTCCTCCTAAAATTAGTGATTTCGATGCACCAGGAGTCGTATTCCTGCCTCCTCCAATCCACTATAGTTTGTTTGCCACTGGGTAGGTGGGACTCAGCTGAGCTGGTAGTGCTTGCAAGCTGCTGTGGGCAGATGGTTCGGTGGTGCAGGCGTGAGGGGGGGGGGGGGGGGGGGGGGGGGGGGGGGGGGGGGGGGGGGGGGAGGTTGACAATCACGGTTCACACAACGGCAAGGGCTCGCCGAGAAGTCATGGCTTGCAATGCGCATTTCGCTTGTAGAAACAGCCCGAGTCAGGATGCTAATTGGTGGGAGTGCATGATGTACGCCAGGGTGCTGGTCACTTCGCGAAGCACTTGAGGCGCGACGGGACCACGCGCCGTTGCAAAGGGGAAAGACGCCAAGGAAGGCTATAATACGGCGGCACTGCGCCCCTTCCTCTTTCTGCAGCTATGCAACTCTTCGGAACTTTGCGAGATCTTAACAGGGCAACGTATATATCGTATCCCCACATCTCCTGACCCTGCTACATATGTCGTGATATAGCTCGGCTTCTGCCGAGACGTTCGCGGTTGTCGTTGCAACTCGTTTATACCGGGCATCAATGAGCAGATATTCGATAACCAATAGACATTTCTTCGTCACAAGGGTCGATCGACAAGCACGGGCGTTTGCTCCCCAAATCTCATTATCGAAGGGTCTGAGGTCCGTGGTTAGCGCATGTAAATGAGAGTGGAAATTAGGTGAACCCGTGGGCCCGTTGTGATTATGTGTATACCTTTCTGTAACAGCTCCCCAGTCTTCCTACCCTGGAGAAACAACCTCAAATATTGTATTCTTGTGCATCACGTGCTATCAGGATACGAGAGGGAACGACAGCGAACTTATCGTGTGTAACGGATGTATGTATAGTTGCTAACCAAAGCAATCTGTGTGTATGCAGAAACAGCCGACAGCCATGCTCCTCGCTTTTACTCAGTACCAAAACAAAAGGAAAAGATGAACCACCCTGGGAAATCAAACGCCATGTTCATGCACATACGACTCTACCGCCTCTTCTGCAAACACATTTATTCCTCATCGATAACACGACCCCACTCATGTCCCTCCATACCGCCGCTACCCCACATGATGCCCTTGAGAGAGTTCTTGAAAAAGCTCGCGTACGCGCCAGAGTCACCCTTGACCATTGGCACCTCAATGTCCTTGCCACGGAAGTGAATCTGGCTGATAGGAGCGACGAACCACGCAGTACCAGCCGCGAATGCCTCAACAAGGCGTCCTTCCTTGGCCGCTTCTTCAATTTCGAAGACGTTGAACTTGCGCTCAATAACCTCTAGAGTCTCGAGATCGGGTGAAGGAGAAGAAGAAGTGAGCCTTGAACGGGCGAGTTCGAGAATAGACCTCCTGGTTACACCATCAAGGACAATACGTTCGTTGAGATCAGCGGTAACAAGTTGTAGCTTTCCATCCTTGGACTTCCACACAACAAAGAAGTTGCTGGCTCCCGCCTCGGTGATCGTGCAATCTTCACCAAACAGCCAGAGAATCTGGTGGTATCCCCTCTTTCTCGCCTCGCCTTGGGCTACTAGAGAAGGACCATAGTTGGCACCGACTTTAGCGTATCCGAAACCGCCGGGCCACGCGCGGCACATATCGTCTTGAGAAGCGAGCAGCTTAATACCACCGCTCATGTCTCCCATGGGAGCAAAGCAACATAGAATGACGAAGAGAAGGGCCTCTTTCGGCCGCTCGACGCCAAGGGCGGGATCGGAAGCGATCATGGTAGGACGGATGTAAAGGAACTGTCCTGGACGGTCCTTTGGAAGCCACTTGGCACCATCTGTTGCGCAAAGCTTGACAATAAGCTTGAGGAGTTCCTCGGGATCAAACGCGGGCAGGGCGATACGGTTTGTGGACATGAGCATACGGCGACAGTTCAGGTCTGGGCGGAAGAGACGTAGTTTGCCGTCGTATCCACGGTACAACTTCATTCCTTCGAAACATTCAGTCGCGTAGTGCAGGCATGAGGCCGTGGGTGCAAGGGACAACGGGCCGTAGGGCTTCAGCTCTGGTGCTGCCCAGCCGGTCTCAACATTCCATTGAGCTTGCACCATGTGGTCGGTGCAGACCTTCTGGCTAGCCATCTCTGCTGAACCTACAGCTGGGACAGAGCGAGGGGTGCTGGTGTATGTGCAGGTGACTTTGGAAGCATCAAGTTCAGCCAGAGGTGCGTCAACAACATCTTGAGTTTTGCTTGCTGGCTCGTTTGGTGGTGTGGCGGTGATGGAGTTTGTGAGAGATGCAGAGTTGATCTGTTCTGGGGCATTCTTGAGGAGCGCAGATTTGATGCCGGCTTGTGTGAGGTCGGTGACCGTCTCGTTGTGATTCGGGGGTGTGACGGCGCTGGGTGCCATTGTTGCTATATATGAGGACGTGTGGTTGCTAAGCTGTCAATAGAAGTAGCGATAGTCTAGGACAGAAAATATGGTTGCTTCGGTGTGATAAGAGAAGTGAGTAGTCCAATGCGCAATGAGAAGACACGTACCCTGACGCGCTCTTATACCATGGATCTGAAAAAATTCGATCAAGAGTCACACGCCTTCCTATCACACGGGCGGGAGCAAACCCACTTACCCTAACGATCCATCGATGTAATGTTTGCCCAGCCCCCTGCGGACTACGGCGGGAGTCTAGTGTCATTCCTTACAGAACGCAAAGATAAAGGGTTCCACTTGCAGCCGGGTTGGACGCTCGGAGTACCCATCTTGAGCAAAGCTTGCTCACGATTGCCTTCTCTCAATGCCACCAAATTGTTCTCTTCCTCTCTTTCTCTGATATGGCACGAATAAGTCGCCATCGTCAAGACCATGACAAAAGACGCGTCTTCCAGAAGCCGTCGAAGCCGGGGTTGTGTCTACTAGCGTACCTGAGGACCAAGAATGAGCAGGCGGGCGTAGGGCGTGTGTGCCGAGCCTGCGGTATCCTCGTACCTACCGCTAGTATCCGCGACCAGTTCGCGCTTCCGATCCCCGGACATGGAGATGGGGGAGAATGTATGACACGGCAATATATCATCGAATCTGGTACAACCCTGGAGCAACACGAATAATAATACGCAGTCTGCGATGTCGGAGATGTATATGCAGACAGTGAAGTTGTGGTCCTTGTGGGAGATGGCGAAGTATCTCGGTAATCAGCGGTATAAGCAATGGAGAACTTCACCGCAGGGGAAAAAAATGCTCAAGTGACCTGCTCAAAACAGGGTATCATATTCTAAGACGGCCAGACCGGTTGCAGTCTTCTAAGGGGCGCTCTACGCCGAGGCTCCATCGCGATGCATGCCTGTATCTCTATGTAGATTTCCTCCTCTAACCGTCGCAAAGTGAACTCTACGATGCCGGGGATGACGATGTCTCGCTGACATGACTCGCCGCCAGCATTTGACTTGCCCTCAAGCTATCAATACCCTTCATGATTCCATCTGCAACCTCGCCAACACGTCCTTCAAGCGTACTAAAGTCCATTCTGCTAATAGCAGCATTGATTTGTTCCATGACGAGTTCATCCTGCACCACCTCAGCTGTAACCTGGCCCTCGGTCCTCCAGTATTCTTCCCGCACACCTCGCAACGCTGAATCGCGGTTCACAGAGTTTGTGAGCAGAGCTAGCGCACGCATCTTATTGAATGTATCTTCGGCGGTTCGTGTAGTTGTTTCGATGCGCTCGGCGATGGAAACAGGCTTGGCGAGCCAGCGGTTCGTGCTTGTAGCCCAGAGGACGAAGGCAAAGCCCATGTCTACCATGGCGAAGGCGACGTATCGTAGGAATCGGACACGCCAGTGTGCTGAATCGATATCCTGCACATACTTTGCTCGCTTGTTGAGCGTGATGTCGTAGGTGGCCATGTACCACACTTCCACCACCATCAAGAGCAATCCTGCAATGGTGGCATGCGTGCGAAACCGCGAACCCTCGCTTCCTACAAGCGACGACGTCGCGAGACCAAGAACAGCGAGTTGGAAGATATGCGGCGTGACCATGGTTGGAAGCGAATACAAAAAGTAGTTTTGCTGGTCATTTCCATCGGATGTGGTACACCACACGCAGTTCAACAGGGTGTCGGGGCCATATGTCAGGTACAGCAGTTTGTTGCGCACGCTCCAGTTGAACTTTGTCCGTAACGCATCATCCTCATCCGTGAGCGGTCGAAGGTGGCGTAGACGCGCAAACAAGACACTGGTCTCTGTTCGGATGTGACTTTGTGTCTTGAGGAATATGTTCTCAGGTGCAAACCGAGAGAAGGAGAGGACGAGGCATACGACTGCGCTCACGAAGAGCAAGTTTAACGCATATTGAACTCTCGGAGGCGTCGGCCGTACTGGCACGCTTCTTCCGGTTGCGCGCGCGAGGTTGATCCAGTCGAGTACGCGGGGTATGAGGAAGGGTCCGAAGATGATGAGGATCGAGTGGACATTCTGCGGGAGAAACGTCAGGCGCGGGATGACGACGTAGGATATTACAAGTAGGACAATTGAGCGCAGGTTGAACATTGTACAAGTCGGATGATCATGAGGAAGTCGGCGAGGGCTATGGTGTCGCTGAGGACATGTGTCCTCGCATATGGCCAAAGTCGAGGTGACGTGTGAGCGTCGGCGGCACTGAAGCGCGATCACACGTGAGCCCGTGCTAGTACCCCAATTTCCGTCCACTTTCAATACGTCAGCCTCAGCACTCAGCCAAGTTCGACTGCTTTACCTGCACTATATGCGTCTTCGCACGCAACATATTTGCAGCGGAGTATGCCCTTGTCCTGCTTGTACCAAAACCTTGAGGGGAAATCACAAGCTTACAGCATTCGAGGCCACTACCTTGTCATTGTAACCCTTGGGAACCATAAAAGTATGAGTTCTTACGAACACTAAGCATGCTAACGGGATGTTCGGATTAAGACTCCATTCATCTGATCTGGAAGCAAGATACTACAAGCGAATTACAACAACTCCGTTGGAACACCCAAAAGGCACCATATTCATGGACCCAAGTCTGCTGAAATCTACTTCCGCACGCTCCTAGACAGGCGATCGCCAGATCTCACATATGCCCTTCTGTTACAAACCTCTCCTGTATGGATCGCCTGTTATATCTCCCCGAGATTCATGCTGTGGTGCCTGCGCATAAAAACGTGCCGGCGTACTTGTAGTGCTGATGTGGTTGGCACGTCCATCGCTGCTGTATTGCGTCCCTACCGGACTCCCTCTGTTGCCAGAAGGCGAATGTGGTGATTGTCGCGAGCTCTTCGATGGACTATTGGGTCGTGGATAGTAGATTGGAACTTGCTGTTGAATAACATCGTTTGGAGATTGTCGTGGCGAAGTCGGCGTAGGGTACGAATATTGAGTGTCCTGACCTTGCGCAGACTGCGGATAGTTCACTTGAGTACTCCAAGCAGCTGTCGGCGAGTTACGAGCAACATTACCGTCGCTGGAGAGTTGCTCGCCATGTGGCGAGTGATTCGCGTGCCCACCCTCAACAGGAGATATGTATGGGGGATCGTGACCGTACGAAGGAGGACCTTGAGCCGAATACGGTGAGTTGTAGTCGTGGCTAACGGAGTATGATTGTTGTTGGACATGTCCGGGATAACCAAGGGCGATAGAATCTGCCTGGTCATGTATGGAAACGTACTTGCTAGCAGCTGTGTCGGCCATCTCTTGAGGCACGGTAGTCGCAAGCTCAGCAGGTGGAAGATCGAGTGGAACCTCACCCTCCTTCGTCTTCAATGCCTTCTTCCGCCGATGCAGGCAGAATAGTATAAGGCATAGGATGCCTACGAGTACCAAAAGCCCTCCGACTGTACCACCAGCAATAGCTCCCACCTTCGTCTTCTTTGAGCTTCTGGGGGATGGGGATTCTGTTGCCGAAAGTAGAGCACGAGTAGCTGATCTTGCAGTAAAAGTAGGTTTAAGTGTATAGTAGGTAGCAAGATCAGGGTGGCCCCACGTTGCTGGGGAAGTCTTCGTGGCACCTCCGGTAGGTCTATTCTTGTTAGTCGTGTTAACCTCTGTTTGCAGACGAAAAATACCTACCCTCCCCCAATCACGGAGATAATAGGCGAAGGAACAACGTAGTCGTCTAGCTGAGGGCTGAACTTGTCCCAAAGTTTTGAGTCCCCACCGTTGTACCCAAGAACCATGTTGTGTTGTCCTTGACCTTCTGGTACATCGCATTTGTCGTATATAGGGAACCAGCCACCTATGACCAACATCTGCGCGCGATTGACTTAAAGATTGGTTTACGAAGTTAGTATGTATTTCATATACAGTTCGTACATCGATATCACCTACCCACATTCGCACTACAACCGCCATGACCAATTTTAGATGGATTCTCACTACTGAAGACCTTAATCCAGGTAAAGGACGGAAGAGAAAGGATGTAGACGTCGTCGAAAGCCGGTGCTTCACCGAACCCGTACCCGCCGTAAAGATAGCTACTCCAAATAAGCATATTTACTCCAAGGCGACACAATGTGTATACGAAGCTTGTATATGGCACTGAGATCTTAGCGACAAACTGCAATTTCTCACAGTCTTTTCGAGACCCTAGATAGCACAGGCAAAAAACTTGGGACTCCGTTGATCCTCTTTCGTATCAACGACCTCTAGCCCCTGTGGACGTTTCCAGCTTACCGATGGCGTCGACCAAAGCAACAGCAGGAATATGACTTTTACAAGACAAGAATCAAGTAACTTACACATTGAAAGATGACTCGTCATCCGGCCAAGTGACATCAGCACAGAACTGTCTGCGGGTGTCAGGTATATCGCCAGATGCGGTCTGTGTATACCATTTCGACGAAGCCATATCGTAGACGTGAATAGTCTATAACGTCAGCTATGTAGAAGCTGGATATCTCTTCGATAGCTTACACTCATGTTTGCCTGATACACTACGTTAGTATGTTCAGTCATGTATGGCTTGGTCTGAACCTACTGCATCAAAGCTGCCGTTATGATACGAGTCTTCGATACCACCGAAATAGATAAGCACACCGCTGTCTGAAACGGGTAGGAACAAAAGTTGTCCTTCGGCTCTCCCAATATCATCTGGTCCGGTTATATTCTGTAGGTCACCTGTAGACATGTCGAATTGAATCAGCCCGTTGGTGGCCATGGGAGGCCCATTCCAACCGGGCGCTGTTCTGTTGCTTAGCCATCCGCCGAAATAGAATCCTAATCCACGGCTTTCGACTTGCGTCCCGGCTCCAAACGATACTCGTTGTAGCTCCTTGTGGCCAGTCGTCTCGGTAGTGTTCCATTGATTGAGCAGGACATCGTAGGTCCAAATACCGAAGTCCATAGGACTAGCACCGGCGGCGTATTCTCCGCCAAACTGATAGAAGCATTTGTTCGTATTGTCCGCCCATGTATAACCGCCGGAGAGGCTGGGAATATGTCCAGGCTTCGAGTACGCCTTCTGTTCCGGCATCCCGGCATCGACCGTCGATGAGTTCAAGTTACTAGACAAAAGCCATGTATCTAGATAGCAGTCGTTAGATTATATGAAGAGAGGTAAATGATGTTTTGTCAAGCTCTACATACTGGAATGGTTCGACGTGAAAGGGACTTCTCCTACCATGCCACCATCAATGTACAGCATCGAGTCAACCCGTGCCGTTGCATGACCCCATCTTCGGCAGAATCCTTTCACAGGATCGTCCTGCTGTGCTAAAGACTGAGTAGCAAGACTAAGCAGAACAAGGGCATCTCGTAGAATGTAGGCCATGATATGCATGCATGACGCTCCTGAACAAGCACACGTGAGATATGGGAAAGGCGCGAAAGCTGTTCAAGGCAAGGACAACTGTAGGATGCAGCAGGAAGGAGGGGCGGGCCGCAGACGTTGGAGTGGATATGTACAGGGCTGAGGATGACCTCGACAGAAGGACCGGATTGTAGGCGGAAGGTCTGAGGTTGTCGTTTGTGGCGCACCTCGTTGAGTTGATGCACTCCGGTTCACCGATCTGACTGCGTCGTAATATTGCTAGGCGACCGTCTTCTCAGCCATGTCGTGAGTTGTGGGACGCCTATCTCCAATGAGATCACAGCACACGAAATACGAGTGATCTACAGGCCCGACAGAGGCGTTTGACCAAGCAGGATATAGGCCTAGTCTGAAGTCTGCGAGAACACGGCGCCGACCTGCCAAGGGTGGCCTGCTGCGACGAACATTGTACGTGGCTTGAGACAGATCGAATGAGACGACCAGGTGAAGAAAATACTATCGCTGCGACCAGTAGTAGCGAGGTGGTCAGACTGAATCGGAAGCTGCTGCTCAGCCGCTCTCGAGTGCTTCGATCCAGAGCTACGTTTCTTGCTTCGTGTGGAGTGACACACGGCGGAAGATGCGGGGAGGTCTTTCAGCTGGGCGCTCAACGTTATTTGTGGCCATTGACCTTAACAGTCTAGATCCGCACAACGACAGGCCTCAATAGCATGCCAATCACGATAAACCCTGTGTTTCTTTTCTCGCTCTACGCAGTACTATGCATGATGCGGGTGTCGGGATTTGGGGGCCGATTTGGATGCCGGTGACGGCTCAACGCATGTAGCAACCAACGCCACGCGTAACAGCTGTCAGGGCATCATATTCGTCCCAAGATACACGTCTCTTCTTCACGGTGATATTGAAATCAAGGTCACGAGGCCCCTTTGTTCAGATAGGCACCGAAGTATGTTGGCCTAAAGCGAACCCGCAGCTCCAATACCGACCGAAGTCGACGTGGACGAGCTGCAGGATTAGAATGGCAATTCTGTTTCTCTGGGTCTGCTCTGGAAAAGGCGAATCCACTTCGTAAAGGAAGGACCTTAGGGTTATTGGAGACCGTTGACAATATGTGAAGAAAAGAAGAGCAGAAGCTTCGCGGAGAAAATTGAGTGACACGGATGGCTTTCTTGGCGCGCTAGCGGTTAGCTCATCCCTCTTAATGGCCCCTGCCCACACGTCATGAGCCATGTGCAACATCACGACATTTGTACAATACGTATTGAAAACATGTCTCATGCTACATCCGGAATTATATTACCGCTTAAAATGTGGCATTCCCCTGATACGGCATTCCATGTCCTGGCTATGCTAACTAAGCTTCATCCCCTTTCAGCGAAGCCGACTTGTCAACCACAGGATGAGCCATGCAACCCCACAGATAGTTTTGGTGGTATCCGTTAAGCACATTACGACACCCTACACTTACGAGGTCCTTTGGTATCAAAATGACTCAAGATACCTGTTTCCATTAGTTTCCAGCTTATCTTGAACGCAACCAACCAACAACGATATAGATCTCGCACCCAGTCGAACCAGAGAGGAGCTAGAAACAACCCGATGGAATTTGAGTTTCTCGACTGAAAGTCGTAGGAATATCTGAGGAATAATACCTAGGTATAATGAAGCAGCGTCTAATTGACACTATGATTCGCGCTTCGCCAGCATCCTCGATTCTTGTCCCGGACCCTGCCTTACGCAACAGTCTTTATCTGCATGAAATCTACGGTTCATCAGTTAGATTGCTCACAACGCATTCAATCCCTCTAGTACAGCTCCCATGGCTTTTATAGTAGACTACGCAACGAAGGCATACATCATCGTCAGCATCAACTTACACTGTGTGGAACTCACGGATGATTTGAGAATTGTACAAATCGTCATCTGGGCAGTGTCTAAAATGATATCCGATGATTCAGGACGCCTCGAAGCATGGTGCTATCGAAGTCTTTGTTTTAGGAAATGCTCTCCATTTGCAGCGACAGAATTCGAGAAGTTTTGCGAAACGCTGCGATAACACCTCTCGACAGCATGCTCAAAATTCAGCGACCAATACCACTTTCGCAATCAATATTCGCCTATGCAGAATTTCAATAGTTTCAGTCTCGGAACGATCGAACAGGCTCGAGTTCACGCCGAATGGAAGACTGGGTTGGTGATACGGTGGGGAGAAGGAAGAATCATACCACAAGTAAAACAACAAAGGAGCGTGGACTTTAGAGATGGTATGAGCATAAGGTGGGATCCTAGATCAAACTCTTCCAATGTAATTTGATAATTATGAAGAAGCTAGTAAACCATTGTCTTAGCTTGAAACAACTATCTGGACTCGATGCAAACGCCTTTCTAATATGCTCGTTGTTGGTGCAGACCTATATCTGGTGACCCGGTAAGCCACGAGAGCGGCTCTGACCTTGATAACTCATTGTGATATTATCGTCCCGTCATCTGCAATGTAAGAATCTCCAGGTACCACTGCAGCATTCTGACTTTCCCAATGTTGACTGCTATCTTGTCTACCCTGAATGCATAGCTTTTGTCAAGGCCAAGCGCTTGCTGTACGGACTCAAGCTACGCTCTCTCTGAACGGGTGGGGGTGCTTGCGCTGGCGGCGGCGTATCTCTGCCATTTGACACAGGTGGTCGATTGTCGAAGCGGTTTCTTGCCGGTCGGTGCGGACTGTCACGAAGTCGTCCTCCGTTTCTCGCTTCTTGTGGACTGCGCGACCGGCGTGCGGCTTTGCGCTTGGAGTACGGACTGGGGCTGCGATCGCGACCGCTGTGGTACGGTGAGAGTGACCTCGAGGGTTCACGGTTCCTTGAATGTGAGACTCCTGTTTTACCCTTTGATAGTCGGTTAGATGGGTGGTGCTCATCAGACGTATCCATGGGATCCGCGCTTCTCGATCGTGATCTCGAGATGGAGTACCGACGAACTGGCCGCCTCCTATCTCTTCTTGCGCTTCTGCTTCGTGACCTGATACTGCCACTCATGCTTCGTGGTGCTCTTCCTCTAGCATTCTCGTGTGATGTCTGCATGCGCGCCGACCTTGACCTCGACTTTGACCTGGTTCTTCGGCGGCCTCGCTCGCCAGGGCTGAAGGAGCTCATGCGCCGCCTTGTGTTTCTGTCTGCTGTGTCCGATACGCAGGATGAGCGCGATTCCATGGACACTGATCGCCTGCTGCGCTTTCGCAGCCCCTTGTCGTCGTCGTCGTCTCCTCGATGTCTTGGTGCATCGCGCTTCCGTCGTGGTGGAGATCGTGAGCGGGAGCGGGAGCGGTTTGTTGAGATGGTGGAGACAGAGTCGGCAGATGACGCAGAGAGTGACCGCGCGCGCTTGCGATCCTCTTCTTTCTTCTTCAGGATCTCATCTGCGACGCCCTTCTTGCGCAGCAGATCTTGGGGTACTTCGGTGGTAAGCTTGGGCTTCAGCTTGGGGTTGAGTAGTTGTTGTGTCCTGGAAGGTCGAGATTTGTATGGGCGTTCTTGGGCAGATGCCTTGCACTCGTAACTGTAATGTCCTCTCTTGAGGCACTTCTGACAGAGGGTATCTGCTGAAGCCTTGGAGCGCCCAGCACCCGGACGACGGAACATGGCGGACTGTAGTTGCAGTAGAGGTCGAGTGCAACAGGGTCCTGTTGGGCCAAAATCCTATCGTCGACGCTGGCAGGGATATTCGACGCGACTCTTGCGTCAGCGGTGCAGCAGGCAGAGGTGTGATCAAGGCCTCGCCAAGTTCAGTCTTGTTCTGTCACTTTCGGCGAGGAAACGCGACCAGCCTTGTTCGCATGCAGTAAAGCGCAGATGCAGCTTGGCCGGAGAATTGGGCGGAGCGGCATGACTAAGCCCGCCCACTGGCCGCTTCCATCATCGCTTCTCTATCCTTCACACGCCTTGCGCTGCACCCCGCATAACAGCCTGGTCCCCGCCCTATACCCAAGTCGACGAGCCAATTCACCGGTCGTCCTTTGTCGTGCGCCCTGTCTCCGGGTGCTTGGCAGCTTCTTGCACACTCGACGCCCACGTCTCTGTACCGCACGCCTGTCGTCAAGGCTACTTCACCTTGGGCTCGATCCAACAAACCCACTGCCCTACCCTTTTCCCACGAATGTCGGCATACCAACATGTCCAGCTTTCTGGCTCCGGTTATCGCGACTTTCCTTGAGCACCCTATTTCCTGAAAAAAAAATTACGTCCATCACTTCGGTTAACACACCACCTTCGTTTCCGTCTACGACGACCCACGTACGGCGTTGAGCTTGGTGATTCTTTCGGCTTCAGAAACACGCGTCCGTCACTTCATTCCACGGCTCTGCTGCTCCAAAACTGCCCGGATATCCATTTCGCCCTCCCCCGCGTTTGAACACCGTCTGCGCACTGCGCATAGGCCATCTGAATCGCATCCTACCGCCCAAATAGTCTTCAGTACCAACCACCGCCTCATAACCATGGCATCCGCGACACCGGCTCCAGCAGAACAGGCGCCCCCGCGGCCTCTGTCATTCGCCAAGGTACGGTTTTAAGAAGCAATTTCCATGGGCGGTGTGCTAACAGCGCTAGGTCGCGGCTTCCGCCATAAAACCCCAGACGTCGAAAGATTCTGCTCCAAAAGCGAGGCCGCCTGTTGCGACACCTAGAATACCTGCCATCGCCCACAAGGCGCGCTCTATCCCCATGAACGGCGAGGTACCGCCCAGAATTCTCGCGGAAAAGCGAGAAGATAACGATGCGAGCAAAAGCGCTGAAAATGCCATCTCGCCGCCGGCGCAGCAGACAAGCACCGCCGAGCTATCGGACACACCGTCCACAGACCCCAAAGGGGAAGCTGTCGATAGGCCCCAGTCTGCTGCTGTAGTCAAGGTGTCTGTTACCGAGGACAGCAGCACTCAGCTCTCCTCGTCAGATGGATCCGGGAAACCTCCCAGTGTTGATGGAAAGAGTGTTGCTTCTGCAACCACCTTTGCGCTCGACGAGAAGGAGTCTTTGCGCCCAGACGACAGTGCCAGCCTCAGGGCAGTCGAGGAAGAGGATGTCACATCCCCACCCGACTCAGTCGTTGCAGACTCCCGGCAGGGATCTGATCACGGCGCTGCGCGTGCCTTCCGGGACCAGCTACATGAAATAGCGGTGATGAATCCTCAACCTAAGCGAGAAGGTCCTCCAGGTCGATTTCCAACACTAACCAATGGTCCGCAAACTTTGTACGACCCTAACCAGTCGCTGAACAGCGCAGGGCTCATGTCGCAGCCTATGGTCAATGGTATGCCCTCACTCAACGGTGTTCCCAACATGCCCGCCATTCCAGACGAGAAGCTGCTTGAAGCACTGCGGTCTCCACGCGATCGTTTGTTTGTAGTCAAGATTGAACAAGACTTTATTGATTTCATCAAAGATTCTCGGTACGTTACTGGTGACTACTTTTCTTCTCATCGTTACTAACGGGAGGCAGAGAAAACGAATTGTGTCTGCCGAACTGTAATACTTTCTATAGGATGCTTGCCCACCGTCTTGCGGACTACTATTTGCTCGGCCACGTGGTCGACACTACTATGACTGGTGTGAAGATTACACGAACACCTTACTGTAGGATGTAAGTATCTAGCGAGGTTTGTTGTGTTTTGTTGCTGACTGTTTCACAGCCCACCTCCCGTGTCACAGATGGTTGATCCTGCCAAGGGTACCAATACACCTCCTGTAGAGCTTCCTGCTCGTAAGATAATGCGTCGCGACGATGGAAAATCAGGTACAAACACTGGAGCTAATTCGCAAAATGCCTCAAAGACGACTTCTGAGATGGGTGGTAGTGAGGGCAGCAATGACGGCGAAGGCAGCAAAGATAAAGCCGCTCTATCCAGAGAAGAGCGTGAGGCACGTTATCGTGAGGCCCGTCAGCGCATCTTCGGAAGTGCAGAGAGCGAAGAGCCCGAGGTGGCAGAAAGCAATGGACCTGGAGAAGACAAAAACAAAGGGAAGGACATCTCACGATCAAGTTCCGCTGCTGGAAAGAAGAAGCCCAAGAAGCAGCGTAACTACGACGATGATGACTTTCAGGCTCGTTCCCGCTTTAATGTGTACTACCCGCAACAGTATCCTGTGGCTACATACACTGGAGATAACGCGGTCTACTACAACGGTTACCCAGGTCCTGCACAGAATGCGCCATATGCAACCATGAATCCTGGTGCTTCTCCTCCGGCTGCTTTCAGCAACCCGTATCCGGGCATGATGGCCCCAGAGGCGCAGTCGCAGTATGGTTGGGCTGGTCAACAGTACCAGGCCTCTAACGGGTCAATGATGGCGTACCCCGGTTATGGACAAGCATCGAATGGTTACGACATATCGGCAGACTTCCAAAGGGGTATGTCGTCCTTCCAGAGCGCTGGCATGCCTTCTCAAGTCACTCCGAAGATGGCCAATCCGCAAATGGCATCTTATCAAGATACCTACCAGCAACCACAACACATGCCTGTGAATTCTGGTTGGTCACACGCAAATCAACAGCCCTCATTCCACATAGCTCAGGGTGCATACAATGCTCAGAATGGTCCTGGCAACCGCCCCATGTCCGCACCCCACCAAGCACCAATGCCTGGGTATTCCTACGGGCAGTTCGCCTCAAATGCTTACAATGGAAAGTCAAATCGCAACCAGCATCCTCTTCCAGGAAGCTATAACCGTGGACAGTTCAACCCACAAACTCAAGCTTTTGTTCCCGGTGGACGTAACATACCCTTCGGAATGCAGCAAAATATGATGCAGGGACAGCCTCAGTTAAATGGGTACGGCGGATACCAAATGTCGGCTCAGACTTCCATGCCTGCTCAAATGCCTAGACCCAACCCTTCTTCTAATTCCACGCCGTCGTTTGGGTCACCTCAAAGTATACAGGGCAACAACTCAGCCACTTCCATGAACCGAATCGCCTCCCAGACTGGCGAGCCGGGGTCATCTCAAAGCAGCATCGCAAAATATGGTACACCTTCACACCTGCCTCCAAAGCCTCCAGCTCCAGCTCCAGCTCCACCGTTTGCTTTGCCCTCTATGACGCGAGTACCATCATCCGGGCTTGCTAACAATGCTCCTACAATGTCCACTCGAGGCGGGTCGGGCAACTTCAATAACAACACGAACCCCAACTAACGCTTTACGACATGATCTTTAGCATTGCGACGGTGCCTCCATTGGACTTATTTGCATCTTTATCTGGCTGGGCACGGGACAGGTTCGAAGGGAGAATGAGGCGTTTATCTAATGCGTGCTTTCTATGCTTCCCGCTTGCATGCTGAGGATCGTCCGCATCCTGATCGTGATCTCTCCCACCTCTCAACTTTCTGTTAGGTCACTAGGTAAAAGCACTTTTCTTCTCGGTTAGTAGACGGAATGGGCGGTATTCATGTAGCTATAATAAAATTGTAACCTTGCTTCTATTACGATGGGGGGTTCACCCACGAACGTGAGCATCAACAGAATTGTAGAATAGAATCCATCGTCCTATCAACCGTCCCTATCACCCACACTATTTTGATGAAGCTATCTCCACCTAAGTAACGCCGATGGGGTTGTTGGGACACTTTACGAAGCGTATGTCGCCGGCAAAAGTAGCCGTGAGACACCTAGTTTCTACGCTTTGCACCCAAAACAACAAGATTGCCTATCACGGTACACACTCAAGACTTGTACAGCAAAAGCTAAGTCGTGCCAATACAGATGGGCAGGCGGACATCATGCATAGCTATGATCGGTATGGGTAATAGGGAAGCGCGGATGACATACCTCGGTCTTGCGTCCGCGAGGGCAAGTTTTCGTTCTTGTTTGGAGACAATGAGGGATGAAATAAGAGCCATCTGTGATTGAATCCTTTCGCTACCTACACCTGTGGTGGTTGGAGCGCGCTGTCATACGGCACGGTGACCTGACAACTGAAGAAGCAACCACGTCCCGGGTACAATACCCAGTCGAATTGTCTTTTTTCTCATTATGGTAGAAATTTGATTGGTCGGTAACTGTACCCGTGTTTCTCATCTGTAATCTACACTCATTGAATGCAATTACCTTGTTGGGACGGCTTTTGTGAATTGTGTGGGTAGGTTCGAGGTGATGGATGGCATGTGGACGGCTTAAGCCACGTCAGACATTGAAATGGCTCGGATGGCACACCCGCCACAAACGGTCCATTGGTTAGATCAAATTTCCGTTTGGGTTAGAAAGTACTTAGAGTTTCAAAGGGATATGTGCACGAGACGACAAGTTGCTACGAAACTATACAGTTTTACCCCCAATTCAATCACATACCTCGACAGTGGGCTAGAAATCGCGCGCACAGCCGACGCTGCATAATAAAAGGATTTGTGTTTGTCGATCCGAGATGTATGGACGATTTCGCTATCAGCTTACTTGGATAATAGAAGATATGATGATACAAGAACGAAATATACACTTATGCTGTTGGTGGAAATATTACCCTTCGAGGCACTGTTATGTTGTACAATTCCAATTTTGCCGTGCAACACACCATTCGGAAGCACGAGTTCTCCTATAGCTTTCAGCAGTATAAGATCATTTCAAGGCGGGAATTGCATTATCGGCAGATCGTACAATCAGCAGTGATTGGTAATAGATTTCCGCCCTGAAATCAAAACGCTGATACAATAGAGCCGCGCTTTCGTATAAAATTCTAGAATCAGTAATTCTCGAGATAGCGACACCTTCCGTACACCGTAGTTCTCGGATCTGACTCGCAAACATCCACATTCGGTAGCTGAGCCGCACAAGAACTGTATTTCCAGACTCATGACTGACGCGTGATAAAGCGAGATGACGTTACCGGTACTTGGGTACCATCGAAATTTTTGAATCCGGAGACACCTAACGGCAGTGGGAGCCCCATGGTGTGGCGATCGTGACCCACAATGTCCATGCATCGAAGACCCGTAGAAGAAAGAAAACTGGGACCAACACCGAGAAGCTCCGCTCCGCAATCGTTCGTCCGGTATGAAATATTATGTGAGTCTTGTGTATTGCGATAGTCGAAATATGTTGGAGTGAGAGGATGATATGATGACATCATCTTCAAAGGATCAACGTGATGGACGCCAAGCCAGATCTCGTGATACACTTGCATCACATTCACCTTCGATCATTGCTGCGACACGCCAACGTCCTGACATGTCGGGACGCCTCGGCAGTCTGTCGCGACGATAACCAACGACAACTCAACTGACATACAACGGCTCTTGCACTACCCCACATGTCGAAGTGAAGATGACGTGCGCAGCTTTGACGTCGGTAGAAATTCCCTGGGCCAAGCTTTGGAGGCTCAAAGATTGGCTCCGGAGTGATCCCGTAACCAATGGGAACGCGACGCTTGTTGATAGCTTAACTTTATCAAGCATTCGATTGACCGGGCTTGTCGATGGCGATGTGGCTAGCGGCCGTATGCTGGGGTCCTGGACCATGCAAAACATGACGTCGGTCATTGCAGCTCGCACGCTCACGAGATGGCTTCGGACTTACCAAACTGCGCGGTAAGCATGGGGAATGCGGTGACGACCCACGGTTGAGCGTGCCGTTATGACGGCATTGGGGTCTCCAAGAGCCAAGAAGCGGAGCAAATATGGGTGGTTTATAGGACTCGGAGACCCCACGACCCCAAAATCTGTTGTTACTTTCTCTTACCTTTGATCGGCACAAAACTTTCGCCTTTCACCAGCCATGGCGATACTCGACCGATTCCGTGGGCATTCACACGCCTCGCCTGCTTCCTCCACGATGATAGATCAGGATCCTGAGAAGAAACCGCAGATGTTGAAAGGTGGTGTGAAGGAGATTTTCCGCATGCGTATCATTGCCATGGCGATCATTGTGTCAATGGGTGGTGTATGTATTATACGAAACAATATGGGTACGTTGGTTAACGACATGTAGTTCATCTTTGGTTACGACACCGGTCAAATCTCTGGATTCCTGGAAATGCCAGACTTTCTGAACAAATTTGCGGATCAGACGGACCCTGAAACAGGCGGACCTGCTTTCAGCAATTGGAAGTCTGGGTTGATCGTCGCCCTACTCTCAATCGGTACCTTGATGGGTGCTTTAATCGCCGCTCCTATCGCCGACAAATTCGGCCGCAAATACTCTATCGTCTTCTGGAATATCATCTTCTGCATCGGAGTCATTGTTCAGATTACTACAACGAAAACATGGTATCAAATCTCCCTAGGTCGTTGGGTCGCTGGTCTTGGTGTAGGAGGACTGTCGGTCCTTACGCCAATGTACCAGTCCGAGACTGCACCACGCTACGTAAGAGGTGCGCTCGTATCGTGTTACCAGCTCTTTATCACCCTCGGAATCTTTACCGCTTACTGTGAGCAATTCTATCTACGAACCATCTCTGGAACCTATACTGACTTTGCACTCTAGGCATCAATTTCGGTACCGAAGATGATGGCAGTTCAGCTTCATGGAAGATTCCAATGGGTGTTGGCTTTATCTGGTCAGCACTCATGATGGTCGGGATTCTCTTTATGCAGGAATCTCCACGATGGGAATACCGCAAGGGCAAAGTTGACGAAGCGATACACACTATCGCCCTTACGTACGGTGTTTCTCAGGACCACCCAGAGGTTCAGCGCGAAGTCCAGGAAATCCAGAAGAAATTAGAGGCGGAGCAAGCGGGAGGCGGCCACCACCCCTGGTACGAGATCTTTACAGGACCGCGCATGTTGTATCGTGTATTACTTGGTATCAGTCTGCAAGCCCTCCAGCAGCTCACAGGTGCCAATTAGTAAGTCGATTTCAAGTACTTCTAACGTATCCCATACTAACCTTGTTGTAGTTATTTCTACTATGGAACCACGATCTTCCGGTCTGTTGGTATTTCAAATTCGTTCGTCACCTCCATGATCCTAGGAGGTGTCAACTTTGGCATGACTTTCCCCGGTCTGTATATTGTTGAGAAGTTTGGACGGAGGCCTGCACTAATCACTGGTGCCTTGTGGATGTTCATGTGTTTCCTGGTCTTTGCTTCACTGGGCCACTTCGCTCTGGAAAATGACGACGGCACTTCGAACCAGGGTGTTGGGTATGCTATGATCACCTTTGCGTGTCTCTTCATCGCAGGCTATGCCATGACATGGGGACCAATTGTCTGGGCTGTCGTTGGAGAAATCTACCCCAGCCGATACCGTGCGAAGGCCATGGCTCTAGCCACAGCCAGCAACTGGACCTGGAACTTCCTCATCTCCTTCTGTAAGTTCTTAACACTTCACATTGCCGGGATGAACCCCACTAATGCACATTCTTAGTCACACCCTATATCACGGCTGCCATCGATTATCAATATGGATACGTCTTCGCGGCCTGCTGTTTCCTCGGCGCTATAGTAGTCTACTTCTTCGTCTGCGAATCTCATGGCCGCACCCTCGAAGAAATTGACACTATGTACATCCTCCACGTTACACCATGGAAGAGCAAGCACTGGACTCCCACTCCTGGCGAGGAGTTGCCCAATCTAGACAACACATTTTTGACGCCTGGAGGAAGAGGCATTAAGAAGGGCAACGAAGCGAGAGCGCCCGAACAGCTGCGAAGGGAGAGTGTGCCTGTCACTGATGCCGATATGCAGGCAAGTGGTGCGAGGCAAGACGAGTAGGCGCCAGGCAGAATTCTGATATTCGGGCCACGGACCATTGTTTTTTTGTTTTATCAGCAAGCATCATAGCGTAGCATAAGTTTACAGCATTGTGTTCTCTTCATTGAAATTGTTGACGCTTTTGTGCATACACAACGTGAAATGACTTGGACACGTTACTTGGTCGTGCCCATGCCCTGGCATACGTACTAGTGGACATTCTCAGCAGACTCGATTGGTGGCAAGACCAGAATTCGCCATAGCTTGCAAGACAGGCATACTCGCAAAAAGAAGTAGCCACCAAACCACAGGCAGAAAAGAAACCGAACACGCTGCATGTCCTAGCTCAGCAGTACGGACAAACAAATGCAAAAAAGAAGTTCGAAGAATCCTGGGCGAACCCAGGCACGTTGTCCCCTTCGTGGATCGAACACGATACCTCCAGATTTAGTGACTGAGACTTCAGTCTGGCGCTCTCCCAATTGAGCTAAGGAGACGGTTTTTTGATGGAATGAAATAGCATCGTAGAAAATATATCGTTATTGAACATCCATGCCGAGCAGAATCCAGGGGTAGTGTAAGAACTCCTGGACTGTGCAGATCTTTGACTGGCGGCGCGAAGAGAAAAACACATGCGAGTGGGTCAGCTCATCCGGACTGAAGCGTGATGAAAAGCTGTCGAGGCGGAGGACACGACGATACGCTTCGGCTTGGCGCGGATGCGATACTGTTATGGTGACATCATTGTTTGCGATTCAACTTGCTTCAAAGTCCCAAGCTCCTCACCAGCAACACCCTTTACGCGTTCCCACGATCTCGTTTCGCGCAGGATCACCTTTCATATACAACTATGGCTATTGTGGAGAACTGGCTTCCACCGTCGCGTGAGAATTGGGAGCTGGTTTGCTACATCTGGCAGTTCTTCCCTATTGTAAGCATAGGCGCTGCGCCGCAGCCCCGCATTTTTTGTTTCAGCCGTTACTAACATTCACAAAGATCACTGCAGCTCAATGGGTTCTGGACTGGTACCCACAGGGCAAGACGTCGATTGAATCGCGTTTCAACATTGACGGCAAGATAGGGTGGGCAACGATGGAATCGGCGGGATTTATAACCCTGCTGTACATCATGTACTCGCTCCCGAAAGAATTGGGTCTTGGAGAGCTACCCTGGGGTAATTGGACTATGGCTGGCTGCTTTGTGAGTAGAGGTGAAAGATGGGCGAGAAATGTGCTAATCATACTCAAGGTGTTCCACTATCTCTACCGCGCCGTTGTGTCTCCCCTCTTGCTCAATCCTAGCATGTCGCCAATACATCCTTTTGTTTGGATCATGGCATTTGGGTTCCAGATGTTCAACGCAATCTCCATTGGCGGGTACCTCGCAGGCTACGGCCCGACATCACAATACGAATGGGCAGCACGATCAGAGTACATGTTTCTAGGGCTCGTAATCTGGTGCTGGGGACTTCTAGCGAACATGTTCCACGACGACGACCTGCGCGAGATCAGGAGAGCGGCAGATCGCAAACAGCGCAAGGCAGCCGCCGAACAGGGCAAGCCAGTGGAGAGAGTGGACAAGATCTACATGATACCGAAGAATGGTCTGTTCAAGTACTCGCTGCACGCGCACTACCTCTGCGAATGGATCGAGTGGGCGGGCTGGTGGATGATTGGGGGTTGGAAGTGTGTGCCTGCACGCACGTTTCTCCTCAATGAAGTGACTACCATGCTTCCGCGTGCGTTGCAGGGCAAGAGGTGGTACGAGAAGAAGTTTGGGAAGGATAAGCTGCAAGGGCGCAAGGCCATAATTCCGGGCGTGCTTTAGGGAGTATATTGCTTATTGGTACGCTAGTAATCAAGCTTCTGGCGGTGCGGTGTTGAACAGTGGACAAGCGATACGTGTGGCTTTTGCAATCTAGCGAACAATGAAGTTGTGCAGTACTAGCGGTAAGGGGCAGTGCGTGGTGGTGGTACACTAAGCGTGACATTGTGGAGTGGTGAAGATGGTGGGGGCAACTATGCAGCAGCGCGTGCCGAACAAGACGATGAACTGCGACAGGGTACTGATGTCTAATCAGTTCAGGGTTGATTTGTTTTGGACGAGACAGTTCGGTGAGTATTTGTTGGTCACTAGCGAGTGCGCGGGTGGAGCGACGAAGTCTGCACGTGGCAGGGACAAAAGCATATGACGAAGAGACAAAAGCATATGACGAAGAGATACGAAGAAAGCTGATGGAAAGCGCGCATCTAGTTGTGTCTTTTACGACGTTTTGCCTCGTAACATGGCGGTAGCTGCAGCAGTTGCGAAGCCACGGTGCGCTGTTCACACAGTAGAGCAGACGGGAGGTAACGTGCCGAGGATACTCTGACCATCTATATTAAGAGTGGCACGCCACGGAGCCAATCACGGGCGCACGGGCTGAAAAGAACAGGCAGCTCGCCAGTCAACACGAGCGGATGATGTTATTGGGACTGGGATGTGGGAAATTTCGCACACAAGGCCCGTTTGGATGACGGCATGCGACGGCCATGGCAGCGAGGGCGACGCTGCATCATGGCCGGACTGGTGTGCGACGTAGAAGATGAAAGCTGCCGTGACGGCGTCTTGTCCATGGCTCATGGACGTGGACAGATTTCAGACGCACACAGCCACGGACATGCCGCATTGGTCGCTAGCCAGGCGCGCCTTTTGTACTTGCATCTCACAACCTCCCCCTTTGGGGCTAATGCTAGTCAGCTTGGGTGCATTAGACACCCGCTTTTCCGTCTGAAGCTCCAAGCCAGTCGCTGCTGGGTGCAACACCAGAGGCTGCAGCAGGCCTTGGCACGGCACTGCTGGAGAGTCGCGAGGCCCATGGGCTTCGCATTCCAGCGCGCGCTGCGACGGCATGGTTTCAGAAACGCGTGAGGGTGATCGCAATTCGCCGTAAACCTTTGACCGCCATCGACTGCCCCCAATTGGCACCGGCGGCAGGGCACAAGAGCGCGCTTGTTGTTGTTGGGCGTCTTCGGTTCGGCAGCTTAATCAACAGGTGCTTGCTGGGATCGCCCGTCCTTTGGCGTGCGTCTCCACTAACACTCCTGCACAACCTCGCCCGTCGCCCACTCGCAACAAAGAGCCTCTGTCGATACATCATCACTGCGGACCCACGGGCGGAGCACTCGAGCGATCGCCGCCCACTCCTACGAGCCCGCCAGCGGTACCACGGAACTCTAACTACTTCATCTTGAGAATCTTGTCCCCTTGCTGCTACCTGACCCTCTCCCGGCGGCACCTGCTATCCGTCGTCGCGTCGTCGTTATCGTTGCTGAAGCCGCTCCTTTCCCTGGCACCATAGCTTCTGGCTGCCATTGTCGTCAACATGTCTAGCAACAATGTGACTGCGAGTACGTTGTCTCCTTCTATTCTTTCTCAGACTGCCGAAGCCGCTCCTTCCTCTGCCTCTGCTCCTGCTCCTGCAGCCTCTGCCCCATCTTCAGATCCGCCCTCGTCAGATCTTCCTTCGCCGTCTGTAACACCCTCCGCAGCACCTGCGCCTACTGAGGCTTCTTCTGCTCCCGCGCCGTCTTCCAATCCGCCAGAAAACACTCCTTCAAGTCCCGCACCGGCTTCTAACTCGCCTTCAGCGGCCGCGCCCTCGTCAGAGGCTCCTCCACCCTCGAGCGCCGCCCCGTCCAGTGCAGCACCTCCTCCTTCGAGCGAGGCCGCCGCTCCCTCCAGCCAGGCGCCACCGCCTGCCTCTTCAGCGCCCGCTCCTGCCCCGTCAACCTCACAAGCGCCTCCACCAGCCCAGTCGAGCGCACCACCGCAATCGTCAGCAGCGCCTCCTCCCGCAGCTACCACCAGCAATGCCGCACCCATCGCGACAAGCGTCGTCACTGCTTCGTCGGCACCTCCGTCTACCCAAGTCTTTACCTCGGTCACTGTTGTAACCTCGACCCCGACGGGCCAAGGCGAAACACCCCAGGTCGTCACCGTTACTGCAACTTTCTCACGCACCGACGTTGCCGCTGCGCCAACCAACGGTGCATCTTCCACTGGTACCGGTGCTGCTGACCCTTCCAACACCGACTCCACTCAGTTGCAGAACGCGCAAAAAGAGAACTCTGGCGGCATCAGCACTGGCGGCAAGACAGCCATTGCTGTCGTCATTCCTGTCGTTGTCGTTGCTCTACTAGTATTGGGCGGCATCTTCTTTTGGCGGAAACGCAAACAGCGCAAGAGCGCCGAGGACGAACGTCGCAAAGAGGTTGAGGAGTATGGCTTCAACCCCAACCACGACCCTACGCTGCCTGCTGTTGGTGGGTTGCAAATGGCCGAGGATGACAGCGGCTACCGAGGCTGGGGCAACACCACTACCAGCTCTAACCGCAAGATGTCAACCACTCTCACCTCTGGCATGACCTACTCAGACAGCAACAGCAATCCCGGCGGCTACACCAGCCCACACTCTCCCACCCACGGCGCCTACTCTGACGCTCACTCCAACGATCCGCTTGTAGACGGCCGTCGCCAGACCATGGACTCGGACGGTATCGGTGCTCTCGGTGTTGTCAATGGCGCTGCAGCGACCAACTCCGCCAACAACCAGGCTGGGGTACACCGTGGACCATCCAACGCCTCGTCATCATACTCGGCAGCCAATCACTCTGACAACTCTGGCGACTACCCTGGCATGGCCAATGGTCACCCGCAAGAGTACTACCAGCATCAAGAGTACTACCAAAACGGGCCATATGCAGGAAATGACCCATATGCCGGCAACCAACAGCCAATCATACGAGACGTGTCAGCCCGACGCAACACAAGGATAGAAAATCCAAGTGTTTTCCCTCAGCAAGGGAACTCTGGCATCGCGCAAAACTTCTAGTCTCGCCCTGACCGCTGCTTTATCTATTCACTCATCGCTACCTGTATATTGCGACCCTATCTTTGATTCATCTCCTTCAGCTTTTTAGTCGACATATATCCAAACGGAGGCGTTCATTGGGCGGTTATCAATTCATTTTTTTGCGTCGAATCTTGATAATGGTCTTTGCCAGCTGTACTGGTGCGGTGCGCACTTGTATGGATGTCGGCATGCACTTCCGCATGCCCCCTCCACGCGAGGGGTTTCTATCCGGAGGATACGGAAGCAGGCTCGCCGACGCAAGCAGGTGGTACGACATCGGAAGATCCTGCACATTGAGGTTGCAGGGTTGCAGTCCGGCAAGCTACATGTTGTGTAATGAGCACAACAATCAAAAGCACGAGCGACTTTGAGTTTGGACCAGCGCAGCATGCCTATCTTACTGTAGTCGAATTTTCGACAAAGATTCAAAGAGACGACAATTATGTTCGTCTGGATCTTATTGAGATGATGCATGCTGGCAGCTTTTTTTCTTCACCATCTTCTATCATTTTGATGCTGGAATCTCGGAGGATTTGACGCTTTCTTATGCGAACAATACATCACTCTTGTAATTATCCAACGCCTTCTCTACATCACTATCTTTTGTAACTATCCTACAACCTGCACGCCAATTTCTTCGGCAATCCCTTTTCCTTTACTTGTTTGAGCCTACAAATGATGACAGGAGTTGTAGGCAGAGAGAGAAATAGACTGAAAGCAAGCATTACGCAATATTCCGTGCTCCAGCTCTTCTAATGGTGTTCTCTGTAACATGATCTGATTTGTACAAAGACGGGTCCAAACGTTCATCAGTTTCCAGCATGTTACTATGACAGTGATCGATCCGATTGCATTACATTACGATCACCCTACTCTGCGCCAACATTCGACCCACTCGTATGCCTCAGGTCTACGCGTTCATAAGGCGGTCTGTTTTGATCTAGATCTCTTCGCGGCGAGCGGGACGGCAATAATGTTGAGAAAGCCTGGTTTGCTCCAACGGGTCGTTAGTATACAGTAGTAGGTAGTTAGCTCGCATGCGAATGCAATGTAGATCCTCCCGACCCCGCGGTGAACATTCTTCCGACCCGGACCAGGAAACAGAGATGGATGTTAGTCGTTCTTCGGTTGCTGGGCGAGCAGAGACGCACCTTCTTCTTATGAACGATCGTACTCGGCTACTCCTTGCTTCTCTTTCGGCCTGGACAAAGCACGAGAATGTCAGCTGTGGCGAACATGGAGCTTGGAATTTACGACTTGTCGATGAGCGAGTTTCCAGTTCTCTGGTGTCATTGTGGGGTTCGACAGTGGAGTTTGGTTGACCAGCGGCTTCATTATCCAGCTACCCGTCTGGTCTAGACTTCTTACTGGTTCCCCGTCATGTTTCGTGGTAGTAAATTATAGCTAGGTTACTTGGCGTGTGTAATAATAACAGAATGACGGTGGGCTACTCGTTATTTGGTAGGGATATGGAAATGTGCATGAGCTAGTCCTCGAGACCGTTATAGATGGAATACAATGAGTCTGGGTGCGACAGGGAAGATTAAGTCGATACTATGAAGCTATGGGCTTTAGTGCAGCTACTTCAATGTCATAGTGCATTGGGAGTAGGAGTCAGCGTTCAATCGCGTGGACGATAGTGTAGAGGCAAGTAGAGGTGATTAGAGGTTCGAGGGTAAGGAGCTGGTAGGTAAAAGATCTCTACCCTCGTCACATGCACTTATCTAATGTTGAAAGTGAAGTTACACACTGTACGCATTCAATTAATATCATATACACTATAGACCCTCTAGAGTCCCATCACTTCAGGTCATCCCCGCCGCCCGGGTTTTACGAGATTGAACCTAACCCTCTTTGGCGTAGTAGCGGGCTTGCCAGAATTTATAGCTCTTACACTGTTCTTGCTGATTATGCTCTTGAAAGCTAGGCCTGCGCTAGACGGCTCGACTGATTCCGGTTCGACACGATCATTGACTGCGGATTCGGTAGATTCGACGAGACCTAGCTGCTCTTGAAGCTTTCTGTATTGAACTTCAGGGTCCCGCAAATTGGCGCGCGGTAATCTCGACGGGCGTCTGTGCATTGAAGGCGATTCTGTTGGTTGCTCAGGTACTGAAGTAAGCTTTGGAGGAACAACCGATGAGCCAGGTTGAGTGGCAGGCAACTCTTTGGTTTGCGCCGCCGCAATCATGTCGAGTTGAACTGGAGACAGACCGCTTGTTATTGTTGCTGCCTCGCCATCTGTGAGCTCATCCCGCCACCTGGATCGCTCATCCTCTGCCTCTTGAGCTGCTTTCTCTAGCGCGATCGTCTCTTTGTGGGACCTGTTCTCCTCCAATACGTCCATCAGCTTCCTCCGGTCAACTACTTTCGCAAGATGTCTCAGCAGATCATCGTCTAATTCCTCTTCTGGCTTTAAATGCGGAATGATATCGCCGATTCGATCAACAAGTTGTGCTCTTGCATATCCCCGCAGCAAAACTCCCCATGTGTAGCGGTCAGGTTCAACACCGCTATTTCGCATGAGCTGGGAGACGCGTTCTGCCGCTTGCACTTGTCGTGTTTTGAAGAAAGCTTGCATAAAGATATTCCAGCTGTAAACGTTGGGCTTCGCTGGACCGTCTGTCATGTCTTGAATGAGCTGGGATGCGTTTGCAAATTGCTGTTTCTCACAAAAAGCGAGGAGGAAAGCGTTCCAGATTATTGGGTTTTGAGCCAACGCATCAAATTCTGGATTTCCTTCCTCTACAACCGACTTGAACTTGATGTATAGGTTATAGACTCGCGTGTTGCTGATTGCCAACGCTGATCGGATCTCTGTCCGCAGCATAATGTACAACGCCACCGGTGGAGGAGCAAGATACAGGGATCCAAGCGCAGAAGTCTTTTGTGAGATGCTGACGTTCCTTAGGTCTGGAGTTCCGTAGCCGACAAACGACTGCAGCAGCGCTACTGAGAAGTATCTGGCGTAGGACTGCCATAGTATGGCTGAGGTACGTTCGACGTTCTCGTCACCGTGGTGGCGTACATAAAGATAGTAGATATAGTCTGTTGCTAACCAAGGGTCCCGGGTGTCTCCTGCTATGTCAGCACAGTGTTGTGCGAAAGCTTGGAAGAGAGCTGGATCGTTCTGCATGGTACATCCGTGAAGCATTATCGAGAGGGTGTGGTTGTCTTCCCGTAGTCCGTTTTCTTCCAAAGAGTTGTATACTTTGAAGGCTGTAGCATAATCTCCAGCTTCCATAGCGTTATGCATGACGATATTGTAAAGAAGTATGTCCATCTTGATGCCCAGGCGTACAATAGCAGCGACGACAAGCGGGGTCTGATGGAAGTCTTTACTTTCACTCATACTCCTTCGCAATATGCCAGCGCATGTCCACCGAAGTCTTTTGCGGTCCACCATAACCTCCAAGGGTGTAGCCGTACTTCTAGCTGTGAGCAAGTCAAGACATTTCAACGCATACTGCACTTCGCCAGCCTTGCCAAACGCGGTTGCATAATGCAGCACAGTGTCAAACTCTAGGCCCACCCGATGTTGCACAAGGCAATCAAATACCTTCTTCAAGTCTTTCGTTGTGGCTAGCTCTACCAAGTTGTACAACAAATTCTGAGAACAAACACCGATCTGACCAGCTAACGACTTTTCGAAGAGGTGCACGAATGCACTGACAAACCGGCGCTTGTGTGCCTCTGGGTCGGCACCCCAACTCTTGTTATCGTGCAATCCTTGAGTATGGAGCTGAGCGAGATGGTCGAGAGCATCGGCGATTACTCCAGTCTTTCGACCCCGCTGGAGTGGATCGTTGGCCAGAACTTTTACGAAATGCAAAGCACGGCAAGGCTTACGATCGAGGAGATAGATGAGCACCCGATGGGCGTAAGCTTTCCGTATCGAGATATCAAGTGCTAGCCATTTCAGCCATACTTGGTGTGTACTCGGAGAAACCCCGTGAGTCCCGGCTGTAAAGAGTGTCCAACTCAACCGCGCACATCGAGGATCATGTTTGATAGTAACTCTGCGCGTGAACTTTCGTAAGGAGGGATAGAGCGGTCGATCCAGTGCTGCAAATGCGTAATGAAGCCCGACTTCTTTAGCTGACCCTTCAGCTGCCCTCGTCAGGTCTAGATGTGTCAATCCCCAGCGCTTGAGATTCGTTATGCGGCGCGTTAGGGATCTGTATTGGCCTTGGGTCTTGCGGTCAAAGGAGGACCCCTCGATCTGGGAAGGCAACGTGGACATGTAGTAATCGAGACGCGCGTATTCTACAGAGAGGGCCTTCTCCCGTTCTTGGCGTCGCGAGGACTTGGCTTTTTCTGGTATGGCCTTCGTTCGTTCTAGGCGCCGCGAGGACTTGACTTTTTTTGGTATGCTTTGATTGTTGGATGCGATGGTTGCGTATGATCGGGCATGTTGGCGAGTAAAGGTCGATATTTCAGCATAGAGCCGGTTGACAGAAGCGGAGTGGCCTGTTCCTCTCATCCAATAACCAGACGTTTGTAGAAAGCCCGTTGCAGATGCGTCGTGCATCGGTTGCTTGCGACATGTTGTCCCAGTCGCCTTTCTGGTTTCTGGTTTGCCATCTCTAGGTTGCACTCTGGTGCCTCCCTCTACATGTTTTGCTGTTCCCTTCTCTTTCTCCGGTGTTGCATCGCTTCGCCGGCGGTGCTGCCTGCTCCTTCTCGGTATAGCTGACTCTGCAAAGACTCTCGGCGCGAGGAACGGAAGGATGGAAAGGTCCGCGCTGGCGATGAGGCTAGCATTGGGGACGCGGAAGCGGGGCATGAGAAGGTGAAGGCTGTGTGGACCTCATCGAGACATGACTTGTTGTCTTGAATGGGAGCTGGTGGCGGTAACACGAAAACCTGAGAAAGTGCGTACTTGGTCAGGAACGCCAACCGGGGAAGATCTTGGACTCCCGAGCTGTTCTCCGCAACGCTCGTGAACACGACCACAACTTCAGCCATCCCCCATCCCCCATCGCAGCCTTGATCCCCTGCGCATCATCACACAAGGCTTCTTGCGAAAGAAGACCACGCCACAGCCAAGCTTTCGGCAGCCCCCGGCTCTACATACAGCCATATTTGGACCCGGCGCAAGCGCAAAGCTCTCACCATGTCTTCACACGAAAAGCTATCGGCAGCCGCCAACGACCGGAAGTCACGCCTCGCACAGCTCAAGTCGCTCAAGCGGAAACAAGAGCAAATCTCAGACGCGCCAGAAGCTGCCGACTCGCCATCCATCCAGCTCCAGACCGAGACATCGCAGGCTCTTACACGCACAGACGAGGAGGAACCTTCAGTAGCAGCGACCTACCTCTCGGGCCGAAACTACGATGCGACGACGCGGAACGTCAAGCTGGGCTTCGACAACCTTCCCATCGCTGACCCCACGAATACCTTGGAATACAAGGCAGAGCAATTAGCGCTGGAAACAAAGGCACAACAGGACGCAGAGAAGGCAGAAGACAAGGGACTAGATCTCTTCAAGTTACAGCCCAAGAAGCCAAACTGGGACCTGAAGAGGGACCTGGAGCACAAGATGAAGGGACTGAATGTACAAACAGACAACGCCATCGCAAAGCTGGTCCGAGAAAGAGTGGAAGCGCAGAAGGCTATAAAAGAGAAGCAACCGACAGACGGAAGCAATGGAGAAGAGGTGGGCATGGACGGCAGTGAGTTGGTCGAGGCCATGCACCTGAAGGAGCAAGAAGACGAGCGAGAAAGGAAAAGGGACGAGGAGGACGAGGACGTGAGCTGAGAGGGCATGGCTAACATTGGATGGATTTTGAAATAAGAGGCAAAAACCTTCATCTCAGCTTATGCACTCCTGAGCCTTGTATCTGCTTCAGGGACGTAGACATGGAAGCACCAACATGTACGCCAACCAAAGAAGACAGGAGCATGACATAACACGCAAATCGAACCACGGGAGAGCAGAACCGGATCTTCGGAGAGTATCTAGGACCTAAGGTCACGATGAAACCACAATTATTGCCTACTCTTTACTACCTATCTCGACGTCAAAGAAGTTCGACCATGCGAAACAGCATCTGCGGGAAGACAAAAAAATAACAAGTACGCCTATTTTCGGCCTAATGATCTTCTTTCGAAAGAAACAAAAAAACATACAACAGCGGGGATTCGCCAGTGGTCACCCACCTGACTACTAATCCGCCGGTATCTTGCTTAACTAGGGCTGAGCGAACGGGAAGCCGTGGTCTCAAGATCCTGTGGTCGTATGTGCTTGTGCAAGAGAAATATAATAATCATATTGACTAGAAAAATTCCGAACTTCTCTCCAGTAAGACCACATCGGCCGGTAAAGATGACCTCGGGAGTTTCCGACTGCGGGTACGGATCTTTGAGAAATGTAATTCAATCTAGAAGGCTCCCGAGGTTACTCACCTCGTATTGAATTGACTCCTGCCTTTTGATGAGAGCAATATCAAAGGACATGGTAGGGCACTATACATACTCCAAGCACTAGTTCTGCGTGAAGACGTGATTGATTCCACCAAGATCGCTGTGAAGCCAAGTTATTGTACTTTGCGTGTATCTGACATATATGCCTGTATTCATGTGCTAAGATGATCAGGGTGAGTGAAGTGCTACGTAGATAGCGTATTGGAAGGCCAAACGTGTCGAGACATTTCTCTGATTTTAAGGCGTACTGCCGACTACCGTCGTGCAAGTTTAGTCCAAGTTGTTGTTTGTGTTGTTCTACATCTATCGCATAGAGGTCTAGCCATCGGTCTGTCCAGCAAGTGCCTAACTAGATTATGGAGTGTCAGTGTCGCATGTACTACACAACTCTGCTTTCTGCGCCATACTCAGCGTAAGCCGAACCACAGTGGCTCGTTACTTACACAACAGGCCATCTCTTCTAGCTTACATACCGAGGAGTTTGCTGAGACTGCATGATGGTTGTCTGGTGTCAGATGCGTCGTGTTGCAGGCTTCCCCACGCGGAGGATCCGGCTATTCTGACCCGCCTTGCCGTTCACGAATCGCACCTCGGCATCTCCACACGCCAAAGGTGCTGCAGGTGCGGGGACAACCGTCGCGCTACATACATTATCATGGAGCGCGTCTCTCGGTTGTCCAGCATACTCATCGACCAAGAGCCAACATAGCTGCAACGTGCTGCTCTTTCCTTTCAATCCTACTTGCGCTCCTTCACTGCTAGAGCTTCTACACGCCTTGCCCTTCCTACCTCACAACCGCCATCATGGTCGGCAAGAAGCAGCCCGTCTACGTCCTCGGCGTGGGCATGACCAAGTTCATCAAACCTCGTGGCAAGGTGGACTATCCCGAACTCGGGTTTGAAGCAGGTGTCAAAGCCATGCTCGACGCGCACATCAACTACGACGACGTCGACCAAGGTGTCGCATGCTACTGCTATGGCGACTCAACTTGCGGTCAGCGCGTCTTCTACCAGTTTGGCATGACTGGCATTCCAGTATACAATGTCAACAACAACTGCTCGACTGGCTCAACAGGCCTGTACATGGGACGAAACATGATTGCGCATGGAGCGGCCGACTGCGTCTTGGTCGGTAAGTGTCCCTGTACAAACTGTATGTGAGGCATGCACTGACTGCGCACACCCATATCTAGTGGGCTTTGAGAAGATGTTCCCAGGGTCGCTGCAGACCTTCTTCCAAGATCGCGCAAACCCGACAGGCACGTCAAGTTTAATGATGAAAGAGACGAGAGGCATTACCAAGGCCCCTGGTGCCGCCCAGATGTTCGGAAACGCTGGACGGGAGCACATGGAGAAGTGAGTTCAGACATGCGCCACACGTACAAGTCACATCCAAACCATTCTGACCGCTTCCATAGATACGGCTCTGAACTCAAAGACTTTGCAGAAATCGGTCGCATCAACCACGCGCACTCCAAGAACAACCCCTACTCGCAATTCCAAGACGAATACACCCTCGAACAAGTCATGAATGCACCCATGATTCACGAACCCCTCACAAAGCTTCAATGCTGCCCGACCTCGGATGGAGCTGCTGCCACAGTCCTTGTCTCGCAGGAGTTTCTCGACAAGCGTCCCGAGCTCAAGGACCAGGCTATCCTAATTGCTGGACAAAGACTCGCAACCGACACACCGTCACTGTTCAACCGAAGCGCAATTGAACTAGTAGGATACAGCATGAGTGAATTGGCTGCCCGTGAAGCACTCGAGGAGGCCAGCGTATCGCCAGACGATGTCAAGGTGTGCGAACTCCACGACTGCTTCTCTGCCAACGAGATGGTTACCATCGAAGCCCTCGGCTTGGCTCCCAAAGGAAAAGCCCATGAGCTGATCCGCAAGGGCGGCATAACCTATGGTGGAAAGGTTGTCATTAACCCCTCTGGCGGTCTGATCTCCAAGGGCCATCCTCTAGGTGCCACGGGTCTCGCCCAATGCGCAGAATTGGTTTGGCACATGCGCGGCTGGGCTAACAATCGCTCAGTCAAGGACACCAAGGTGGCTTTACAACACAACCTGGGTCTCGGGGGCGCGGTAGTCTGCACAGTCTACAAGAGGCACGATGGAAGCGCTGCGACGGATAAGTCAGATGAGCAGATTGGCAAGATTACAGGACTAGGATACAACCCAGCGACTGTCGCGAAGGGCTTCACAAAGGAGCAGGTTGAAGCTGTCAGGAGCAAGAAGGCGAGGAGTCAATGGGCATTACAAGATACAGAACAAAAGGTTGAGGCTAGGTTTTAGGTGTGCATGTGGTTGTAACAGCGACGACCGTTGTGTGTACAATTCTTGATCATTTCCATTGCACTCAATATGGATTGCGCTCCAGCTTCTCTTTCCAATCCGTTTCTAATGAATCGTGCGAGTCTTGGCAGCCTTTTTGTAGCTCCGTGCTAGACTGGTATTGAGTATCTTTACATCGCTTGTCTGAGAAGTCATAGAAACATCACTCACCCACAAGTCACGAAGCGGAAGGAATGGCAAAATATGTCTAGAATGATTATCATGGACTGGTATCTCGATTAAGCTTTGAACCTTCAGCTTGCCATAAGCAAAAGAGGCTTGCAGTTTTGGTGACGCTTTTGAGTGGATGCCACTCCGCTGTAGGATGCAAGACAAGGTAAGAAAATTGTACAGTAGAGTAGAGTAGTAAGCAACTTCATTCAGGCCCGCTTGATTAGCCACCCGTGGGCTGCCATGTTAATTATGTCCAATCTCTGCTCAAAACTCGGGATCCTCCATGATGATTCCAAAGCTGCGACGGCGACAAATCAGAATAGTATCTAAATTTCTGCCAGTTTGGGGAGACGAATGATTTCTCATTGTTCCGCGTCCATCTCTCTCAGTAGCGGAAGCATTCTAGGCACCGCTTGCCACACCACGTATATTGATACCGCCTCCTCCGCTTCGCTCAGCGGAGCCGCGGATGTTAATGCCTTCTTGGCTCCGGTTTCGTCCTTGACCGCGAATGTTGATGTCGCCGTCGCGCGTGATACGATCTGCCAGACCGCGACGAGACCGTGATGGCTCCGAGAAGTCGGTAACATGAGGATCACGGTCGTCACCTTTTAGGCGGCCAAACAACTCTTCGGGCTCATCATCATCGCGTGTAATCCTGTCAGCTAGCGATCGCTTCGGCTGCGGTAGCACGGGCTGTCCGTTCTTGGTCATGCGCGAAAGTAGCGATTCCCCGCCTCCTCGTGTCTTGGATACGTCTATAGCGTTTGACCGATGGTGGTTGCCCATTGGTGAAGTGTCAACAAAGAAAGCGTCCTTCTGCCAACGTCCGCCAGCTGTAGGGCCATTCTGACGATCGTAGTTGGCACGGTCGTGCGTCCAACGATCCAGGCTGGGTTCGCGACGACGGCGGTTGTTACGGCTACGACTTCGGCTGCGGTACCGCCGACGGCCTGCATGCGTTTCGTGCTCGGCAAACCCGAATCGGCCGTCGCCTTCTTCGTCAGAGGCCGGGGAGGCACTGCGTCCTCGCAGGCGACCAAAGCGTGGCTCTGCCGGACTGGGACTATTAGCCTGCTGGTCAGCCATGGAAGGAAATGTGCTGACGTACCTTCTTGAGCCTGGTCGGTACGAGTCGACGTCTTGGCCCTGGGCATCGTTCCTGAGCCTGCCTGAAGCTGGTTGACGGCCCCCCCTGCCGCGACCCCGGTTGTCTCGCCCGTCGCGGTCGTCGCGAAAGTCTCGTCCGTTCCGGCGCGGGCCCCTCTGGTCAAGGCCCGAATCGCCCATGGACTCATCTCCACTATTTCTCCGCCTTGGTCGCTCACCAGATGCCATTTCCTCATCGCCGTAATCCAGATAGTCTTTCTTCGGAGGCGGCTTTCGCCGTGGCTCCCTCTGGCGGTTGCCAGCGACATCGGGGTTGCGCTGGTAGTAGTTGCTCCTAGTGGCCGCGCCCCTCGGCTTCTGATCCCCGGCGTTGGACTGCCTGACCATGAGCACGCTGTCCGGCTTCTTCGAGTACGGTTTCGCCTTCCGGGGCTCTTGCATGGAGACGTTGCTGAAGTCACCGTTGTCGGGGTGTGTGAGGATGGTCAGGGCAAGCGTCGCGTCTTCTTTGTTGTAGAACTCGAGGTTGACCGAGTTGTCGTTGACCCAGCGCAGCTGCTTGACGCGCGGGTCTGACTGACAATGCTCCATAGCCCAGTAGAGCGGATCGTTGGGGTCGAAGTCGCTCACGCCCTGGAGGTTGAGGGATTCCGGCCATGGCTCGTGTACAATAATGTCCTCGGTGTAGGCCGCGGGCACGCTTCGCTCTGCTTCGGCCGCGTTGTTCTGCCGTGCGCATGTCAGTCAACTGCGCTCTTTGTTGTGCAGCCTTGCGCATTGCTCACTTGGACAACCTGCTGTGGTTGCGACGCTTGTGCTGCCGGTGCTATGTCTTCGCCTACATCAATGTCAATATCGTAGGCGACATCGGTCATGTCAGTGTCATCCATGGCGGCGAAGTTTAACAAAGAGGTTTTGGCAATTGGGCGACGTTGTTGGTGCAACTTCGAGAGCAGCGCGCGCCGCTGGTAAGCTCCAAAGCGCGGGCACTAACGTGATCACGTGCAGGACTGGAGTGCCCGACAACACGACTGTGCGCCATTGTCCTTCGTCACTAACAATCGTTTATACATCAAAATCACGCCCAATGGTCACGGCATACGTGGAAGCCAGTGCATGCGTCCGAGACAGACATCATCCTTCAAAACCAGCTACTAACTCACAACTACTGCTCCTCTAGCGTAAAAGTGCCAGTCTTCGTAATCAGATACTCGTTCACAGCGACATCCTTCCCAGACTCCTTGCCATAGCCAGATTGCTTGATGCCCCCAAATGGCGACTCTGCAGCGGAAGAGTTGCCCTAGAATGCATTAGTACATTAACGCAATGCCTTCGCGCCTGACTTACTGTATTCAGGCCAATCATGCCAGCCTCCAGATTCTCGAATAGTCTCCACGTACGATCAACGTTCTTTGTGAAGCAGTAGGAAGCAAGACCCATGCTGGTATCATTGGCCTCCCTTACCGCTTCGTCTTCAGTATCAAACCTGATGAATGTGCTAATCGGGGCAAAAGCCTCTTCATTGGCAATATCCATGTCTGAGGTAACGCCGGTAATGACAGTAGGCTCGAAGAAGTAGCCGCCATCTTTCTTGATCTTGTTTCCACCCGTGTGGATTTTCGCGCCTTTTTTCTTCGCATCTTCAACAAGCGCGAGCGCTTTTTCGACGCCTCTTGGGGTCGTCACTGGTCCCATCGTGGTCTTCTCATCTGAACCGTGGCCGACAACGATCTTTTGCGTCTCTTCATTCCAGCGTTCGAGGAACTTGTCGAAAATACCAGATTGAACGTATATTCGGTTCGCAGTGATACAAGCTTGACCCGCGTGTCGATATTTCAGTGCGAAGATCTGGGTCATAGCCTGTTCAATGTTTGCATCGTCAAAGATCAGAACAGGACAGTTGCCTCCCAGCTCCAGTGTAACTTTCTTCAGATTATCAGCACACATCTTAGCAACTAGCTTGCCAACGCGTGTAGAGCCTGTAAAGGTGACTTTACTGACAAGTGGATGCCGACAGAGTGCTTCACTGAGTTCTGGTGTCTTATCAAGATCAGTAGTCAGGACATTCAAAGCTCCCTTGGGGAATCCAGCTTCTTGCGCGAGATACGCAAGCGTGAGTATAGTGATTGGTGTCTCTGGGCTGGGCTTTACGATCATTGTACAGCCCGCAGCCAATGCGGCACCAGCTTTGCGAAGAACCATCGCGATGGGAAAGTTCCATGGTACCAACGCAGCAGCAACGCCGAGTGGCTGCTTGATTGTGAAGATGCGTCTGTTTGGTAGTGCAGGAGTGAAAACACTGCCCTGTATACGTTCTGCTTCTCCAGCAAACCACCATGTGAAGCCCGTCGAATAGTCAATCTCTCCATACGCCTCAGATATGGGTTTACCGGTTTCGTACACAAGGATAGTCGCTATATCATCCCTGTTCTCTTTGATGAGAGCGTCCCATCGGTAGAGCATCTGCGCCCGTTGTCGAGGGCTGATCTTCTTGTAATTCTTGAAACACTCGTGTGAGCTTTTGACAGCATTGTCTACATCTGATGCATCGTTTGTAGGACACTCGATCCACGGCTTCCCAGTTCCAGGGTCTATCGGCTTGTTAGATCGGAGTCTTCAAATGCGCTCCAGTGACAGACCAACTACTTCAAATGTCTTTCCTGATTTCGCTCGTACCCAGCTACCATCCACAAAGGATAGGTTGTGTATCAAATTCGGATTTTTGAGCTTGAACGTATCAGTACAATATGAGAAACCATTGAGTAGTCTGTACACACCTTAAACGGGAGCTGATGTTTGCTGTCCACAGCCATGTTCCTATTGGTCAGAGTCTTGTCTGCGTATTCTATAGGCCTAGAAACTGGTCGTATCGAGAGATACGTATCGGCAGCCGAAGATAATCAGCGCAAAGCAGTGTGCTCTAGTAACGAGGAGTCGTGATGTTCGAGCGGAGGGCGCGCCGATTCCGCGATCATCAACAAAGGCATCTGCAGACACCAAAAGCTTCCCCACCTTTCATCATATAGCCTACATGACCGATTTGTTGATTAGCTGTTACACTCGGCTATTCCAATAAAGGTGATCCGGAGGGACGCCAGAGACGCTGGACACAGAGGAGCTATCGGGGTAGATGACTTCCAATTGGTTCAAATCTCGGTGGTCCTCCAAAACGATGTCAACATCATGCGGGGCATCACGCTTACCCCTCACTGTTGTGCTGTGCTGGAACCTTGGAAACGACTAGTCGGCAGACTGTGATTGGAGATGCGATACCGGTGGCAGACAGCAGGGTGCATGAAATGGTGGGCAAGACCGTACTGTCCTTCTCGCAGTCACAACATCAACACCGTTGCTGCCTATCCGACAATCGACATTGGCGCTGGTAGTTCGAAATCGTGGTCGATTAAACATAACTCATTGTGAATCGCAGGCGCCAGAGCTCTCGTCATGGGTAGACTAGACGGCAAAGTCGCCATCGTAACTGGTACATCGCATCCTCTGTCTCGTCTCTCATAACTCACTAACAACCTCAACAGGTGGCGGCTCAGGCTTCGGCGCTGGTATTTCAAAAGGAATGGCCTCCGAAGGAGCCAAAGTCCTTGTCTGCGACATCAATAAATCTGGTGGGGAAGCAACTGCAGCAACAAATCCCTCCTCCCTTGCTTTTCACCAAATGGATGTTACCAAAACCTCAGACTGGAAAGCCACCATCTCAGCCTGTATCGAGAGATTTGGCCGCTGTGATATTCTCGTGAATAACGCAGGTTGGAGTTATACTAACAAACCTACCACGACTGTCACCGAAGATGAATTCGAAAAGGTCTTTGACGTCAACGTTAAAGGTGTATATCTGGGCTGCAATGCTTGGGTAGATCAAGCTATTGAGCGTAAAGAAGGAGGTGTGATCATCAATATTGCCAGTGTTGGGGCTACGCGGCCAAGACCAGGATTGGTGTGGTACAATGCGAGTAAAGGCGCGATATGGAACGTGAGTCATGTCTTCTTATAGTGGCTCCAATCTGCATGAGTGTTCTATTTACTCACATTCCATTCAGGCGACAAAAGGACTTGCAGCAGAATACGGTCCACATCAGATCCGCGTCGTATCCATTTGCCCCCTCGTTACAGGGACAGGTCTCTTCTCTGCTTTTACCGGAATGGAAGATACGCCGGAAAACAGGACGAAGTTTACGTCTAATGTACCTATGGGCAGGATTGGGGAAGTAGACGATGTGGTGAATGCGTGTATATTCATGGCAAGTAAGGAGGCAGGGTTCATCACTGGGGTCAATCTCGAAGTGGATGGTGGGCGGTGTATCTAATCTACCCTTGCTACAAAAGTTAGTTCAGGAAAATCATTATGACAGACTTCCGCCCTGAATGAAGCTTTTGAATGCCGTCACACCCCATCTACTCGATCCTAGCCGTGCATATGCACATCCTCATCCTCTCCATAATCCCATGCTTCGTCTGTCTCAAGCAATTCGTCAATCTCCTTCCTCCTTCTGACTTCCTCGCTATCTTCATCAATTCCATCGATCAACGCATCTTGCACAAACGCACCCGTCCTATCCTCCTTACTCATCGCAATCTCCCTATCAACATCCACAGCCCAACCTTCCCAGACCGCACCTCTCTGGGTCTCCTTCATCCTCCCCCTACTAGCCCTCCACCTCTTCGTCAATTCCCACTCTCTCGCTGCCGGCGATCCCGTCTTCATAAGATCATAAGCCTGTCTCACCCTCTCGTAAACAGCACGATGTGAGACTGAAGTATCTCTCTTCGGTGCTATGTAGCTCTCCAATACTTTGTACTTGCCTTTTCGCACCCTATCCTGCGCATTGATCCACACACCCAAAGGTAAGAAGACGGCGCGACTAAGAGTGATTTTCCCGCTTATAGGGTGCGTATATCCGAGAAGAAAAGCATCTGTTTCGGCACAGCCACTGTTGCCTAGTTTCATTCCGCCTGGACCAATGGTGTTAGAGGGGATGAGGATTCTGGGCAAAAAGATCTGAACTGGAATGCCATTATGAGAGGTGGTAAAAGGCGAGGTGGCTAGCAAGCTTGGTGCTAGGGACGAAAGTGGAGAGGGCGGTGGTCGAAGTGTGAGTGGGGATGGAGTGATACGCTGCATACTGGCGTGGGGAGGGAGCGAGCAGGGAAAATCAAGTAAAGAGAGCGTACGAGAGCACTGTTGACGCTCTTGGGCTGATCTGTACTGACTACCTGGGCTGTTAGGAGCTGACATGTCTGGTTCTCGTAGTAATGTCGGCCCAGTATTACGAAGTCCCTGATGAAGGCTAGTAGCATGACCCAGGGCTAGAAGGCGCTGCGCGAAATTTGGTGGTGGCGCAGGAGTAGAGAATTCAGATCCAACCGGATAAGACGGTGATGTCTGAATTCGTTGAGGCAGATTTGAGCTGTAAGTATCAGATTGAGGTTTAGTAGAGGGGTAGGCCGCCGGCGGCGGCGGTGGAGGTCCGAGCGGAGGGGGCATGTTTCCAGAGATAAAAGGACCATCGTGTTCAAATCCGGGTGGTGGTGGCACAGTTATGTTTGAAGATCGAGATGCTATCAGAACAGATGGTCGAGGATAAGAAGCTTGCCCGGTCTCCGTGGGTGGATCGGATGCTCTTTGGATCATGTTCGAAGCATCGCATCTAGTGTTGCTGGTAGATTGAGGACCTTGCACACTTACCTGTCCACCCAGGACATTTTGTTGGATTCTAGCACTGTTCGCAGCCATAATTTCCTGGTACGACACTCTTGGGGGAGCAGGACCAGAGGTAGACGGACCACTGTGCCCGGATGGATATTGTTGCTGCAAGAAAAACGAAGGATTGAAGTCAAAAGAGCTTCGAGGTTGACTGGACATCATTACTGGAGGTGGACGCGATGGCGGTGGTAGATTTGGAAGAGGGAGCGTTGAGACCGGCGGTAGTACTGGTCTAGGTAGTGTACACAATCCGTCCCCAGAGGCACTGATGTCATCATTTGAGTCTCCATCGGTGCTCCCATTGCCTTCATCTTCGTTCTTCGACCCATGGCCATCAGTATCGACAGAAGAAGGTGGGCTTGCTAACCGCCCATCAGGCCCGCATATCTCTAGTAAGGCTGCTCTGTCCATTGCGCCTTTGAAAAGCAGGCTTTTCATCTTAGCCACAAGTGGTACAGGAACGATGTTGATCTTCTGATTTCTCTCATCCTTAGTCTGCTGAATCTCACGTGATATTTGGCCAGCTATATCCAGACTGTGAATGGTTGGGGGCATGATAGGGATGAGAGGCACACCAGACGAACCTGCGGAAATAGTGCTGTGACCAGCAAGCTGAGCCTCGTGTGCCAACTTGTTGCTGATGGCAATTTCCATCTGCTTTACTCTCTGTTTCTCTTTGGCTGAATGAATCATCTGCGCAAGGTTCGCATCTTTCTCGTAGTTTTCGAGGCCATGTGCTCCCTCGCGCGATGGCGTGTCTTTCAGACTCATTGTCTGACACCTCTTGTAATCTTTCAACTGTTGCGGAGTAACCCCAGCTTCCATGAGCAGGTAAAGGGCGCGTTGGCGTGATTTGAAGCAAGCAGCGTGGTACTTCGCTCGTTTGACCCGGTCCCGAGGAATATTGATAAGAGGCGGCAGAGGCTCGTTGAGCTTCGGAGGCTGTATGCCGAAATGTACTTCGTGATACTGTAGACGCTCACTTTCTTCCAACTTACGCTCAAATGTCGCCAAATCGGGCTTTTGACGCATCTTCTTGGTGGGCGAATTTTGAGCGAGCTCTTCTGCGTTGGCGTGTTTTGGTGTCTTGATTCCTGTTCCATATTCCTTCCCGTCTCTTGTGATACTGTTTGCCTCGTCTAATTTCTTTTTAACGTCCTCAGGAACAAGAATCGGATGATATTCAAAGTCCCATAAGCTTGGAATTTCTCCATACAGAGCCGCGTTCAAGGCCTTTCCATCTCCCTCGTAGAAGTCGATCCATCGGTATAGAAACTCGATAAAATTTGGCACCACAGTGCTGTTGACCTGGACGATGTCGACCAATATACGCAGCATATCCTCCTGATGCATCAGCTCGGGATCGATTCTGCGAACTTGGGCGGTTATTGGGGGCGCGCCACGACCTAAAGATGGCTGCATAGTAGGACTGTTCGGCTGTCTCGGATCGATACGAGGCTTCTTGGGTGAGTGTGGTGCTACGGCTGGCTGGCGAGTAGCGGTTTCATCAACCTGCCATTGCACGCACCACGTCCACAGCTCTTTGCCCGTCTCCAGTGACTTGCGCTCTGTGAATTCCTGCAGAAGCGCCATGAAGATGTCATGGTTCGTGTCCATGCGGTAGACGATGGCGTGTTGCTTGTACTGCTCATAAGGCACGAGTGTGGGCAGCGGCTCAACGTTGCCAATGACGTCCTGCAATTCCAGGTAGCGGTCGTCGAACAGATCGAGGACCTTGCCATGAGATGCCATGTTTGCGCAGGCATGTGCGGTGTTGTTGGAGACGAAATTATGACTGACTTGATGTTGTTAGGTGGGAGGAGGGCTAGGCAGACGCGTAGTGTGGCCATGCAAACGCAAACGAACAATAGGAACAGATAGTGCGGAGACGTGAACCTTTGCGGATCCAATTGCAAGCCCCAGATATTTGTACAGTCGCAGGAAGGGTATCGTCGCAGCCGTGCTATCGCGCCACCTTCACATGCTTCTAATCTACACGCGCGCGGGCAAACGCTTACTTGCTGCCCTCCCTGATCTTCTGCAGTATGGCGCTTGCCCTGTCCTCGGCCTCTTCGCGTACTCTCCTCCAATCTGTCGTGTACACCTTCTTCACGCCCTCCTCGAGGCTCCTGTTCCACCTGTCCTTGGCCATTTCAGCTAGACCAACCGGCACTTCCCGACTTGTGGGCTCTGGCTCCGGCTTCTTGGGCTCGTAGAACTCGGTAAGGACTTGGCGTTGCTGTCTTAGGAGCGCGGCCTGTGTTATGCGGTTTTGTGTGTGCAGCGAGATGGTGAGGTAGAGAACGCCCGTGGTGAGGGTGACGCCCCCGAGCTGTCTTGGGTTAGCTGGCATCACTGCAAGGGGCCGGTAGCACCTACGAAGCCGGTGATGAAGCCCATGGCTGCGCTGGACCAAGGTTGACGTGTGCGCGAGGTTACGATGCTCTCTTGCTAGATGCGTCGAGGGCCAATGGCTTCGCAGGTGGATGCACTGCCCTGTCTCACTATCTCTCTATGGATGCGAGGGGCCGTCTTGGGCGTGGATGCGAGGATGTCTAGATGGTGGAAAGTTGACTCGGGTGTGAGGTCAGCGCTGAAATCGCGCCATGCCCTCCCTCCACCGCTGCCAGGGATTCTCTTGTCCCAAAGCGGTAACATCCCAGCAGCCGTCGAACGCAGCTAGCGCCGGCGCGCCCGACTCCACCACACACCTGCACGGAGTAAACACATGTTGTGGGCAATCACGGTGTGCTGTGGGGACATTGTAGAGAGTTGAGTCAGATTGTAATTTTGCCTGTCTTTTCCTCCCTTGTCTGCATCATCCGCTCCTTCTCGTCCAACATGATGCTCTACGACCCGCCAATGATATCCGCTGTCCTGGTCGGTTTTCCGTCACCTCCACTCCCATCCGAGCCTGCACCACCATCTCGGTACTGCTCAAGTGACGGCGTATCGGCATAGCACGACTTCATGAAGCTCTCAGGGTAGCGTCCACCACTAACCTCCACCTCTAAACGGGGGCGCACAAAGTCAGCCTATGTCTCACATGCAGTCCGCACAGGCACACTTACCTTCACATGACTTGCGAATCTTTTGTTCCTCCTCTTTACTCACTTCAACCTTCAAACTTCCCACATTCTCTTCCAGGCGCGCAGCCTTAGTCGTGCCTGGGATAGGGAAAATGTCCTCACCCTGCGCCATCAACCACGCCAAAGTCAATTGGCTGGGAGTGACGCCTTTGGCCTTTGCAACCTCGGTGATCTGCTCCACAAGCTTGAGGTTCTTGGGAAAGTTCTCAGCACTGAAACGAGGCGCGAATCGACGGAAATCGCTTTCTTCAAAGTCCTCTGGGCCCTTGAGGGCACCACTCAGCATACCGCGGTTTAGAGGCGAGTAGGCAACCACGGCCACACCTAGCTCACGGCATGTCTTCAGTAGGTCGATTTGCTTGCTCTCAATTTCCAGGGCAAAAGGAGAGTATTCAACCTGTACAGCAGAGATAGGATGAACTTTGTGCGCTCTTCGCAACGTCTCGGCGCTGACTTCTGAAAGACCAAGGTACTTTACTTTCTTGAGATTGACAAGGTCAGCCATGGCTTGCACAGTGAGTTCGATGGGCGTCTTCTGGTCAACACGGTGGCAGTAGTAAAGATCGATCTGTTCAATCCCGAGCCGTTGCAGAGACTTCTCGACGGCCTCCTTGACGTATTCTGGAGAAGAGTCGATCTCGGCGCCCATGTTCTTGACCGCGAATTTGGTTGCTAGGAAGATATCATTGCGCTTGTCGGGGTTGGCCTTGAACCACTTCCCAATCAAGTCTTCGTTGTCGCCGTACCTAAAGCACTTGTAAGCTGTTGCTGGGCCTGCAATTGCGACCATCGTACATGTCTGAAGAGTCCCAGAAACGTTCGCCTAGCTCATGAGCTCTGTCAAGCAGCGCTAGACGCTCAGAGTCGGGTTTGGGCTGACCATAGAAGGCGGACAGGCCCATGAGGCCGAAACCCAGGCGGGTGACTTGGGGGCCATCGCGACCGAGAGGTGCAGTGAGCAGAGACATTATAGAAATCGTGAAGCTTGTATTCTCGTTGGTACTGAGTAGTGTTGGTGATTGTGATAGTTGGTTTTTGCAAGTGAAGTTGTCGTTATTTATGTTATTGTGGTTCGATCTGCTGAGTATCGACGGGGGTAGTGTCTTCCGGCGGATATAAGACAAGCTGCTGCAGAACTTCGACCGAGAGAGATTGTTAGTTGTTGGAGATGTAGGTTCTGGACGGACCAAGTCGGATGAGCTTGATCTTTGAGCACCTGGCGCGTACCCATCATCGCAATGACGCTGGCACTCCACACATAATGACGGACGACCCCGCCGTTAACTCCTTAACCCCGCTATTGATGAAATCATACCTATTCGTTGACACAGATACTGCCCAGCACTGCACATGCAGCTCGAATGTGAAGTTTGAGCCTCTATGAAGATTTCTACGAACAGATCACGCCGACGATTGGGCTGACTGCACGACATGGTGAAGATTATCTGGTGTACCAAAGTGGGACGGAGTGATACGGAGATAAGGCGCCGGTACTCCGTTCGAGTGGTGATCTACTGTGGCTGGATGAGGACAGAGTCAGAATGAGAAGCCCAAGGCTTTCGGAATGTGTTACACGCTATGTCTTGTGTGGCTCGACGTTGAAATTCGAGAAGGGTCGACTGAAGTGTCGCTGACTGCGCAGCTGCCGGGCACTTCCCGCGAACCATCCGACAAGCGGATTAGCGTCCGTCAAACTTCACGACACCACATCTCCCTCCCCCACTATGGCGAACCGCGTTCGTAACGCCGCCGCCACACTCAACAGTGGGACAATGTCTAGATCTCAGACATCTCGCTCAGATTTCTTAGTTAGACACTGACACTTAGTGACGACCTGTTAAAGGTAACACAACATGACCGCTCAAGTACACGACCTCAAGCCGCTCAACATTAGACCTGTCCAACATCAGGTCCACGACCCTCCCAAGACAGACCCTTTCGACTTCCATCACCACGATGACAAGATCCACATCCTTCTCTGCGCGTCAGGGTCGGTTGCGACCATCAAGATACCAAACATGATCAACGCGTTAGCGAAACATGCGAATGTACGGATTCGACTCATATTCACGGCTGCGGCGACCAGCTTCCTGCAGGGACAGAGCGGCGAACAGCCTTCCATGGAAGATATAGAAGCCCTGCCGAATGTAGACGGAATATACTTTGACGAAGACGAGTGGAGGGCACCATGGGTACGAGGCAACAAGATCCTTCATATTGAGCTACGGCGATGGGCAGACATTATGGTCATTGCACCATTGAGCGCCAACGAGCTCGCTAAGATAACACAAGGCTTATCGGAAAACCTTCTGCTATCTGTTGTACGCGCGTGGGATACCACTGGTCTGATCGATCCGGTAAGGAGCATACCTGGCGTGCAATGGCCGCAAGATGAAGGTGGCATACAGAGAAAGAGGATATTAGTCGCACCAAGCATGAATACTGCCATGTGGTTTCAGCCTATCACGAAGAAGCAGGTGCTGGTACTGGAGGAAGAGTGGGGTGTGAAGAACGGGGGCTGGTTCGAGGTGCTGCAGCCCATGGAGAAAGAGTTGGCGTGCGGAGATATCGGAGGCGGCGCAATGAAAGACTGGAGGGAGATTGTGGAAGTGGTTGAGCAGCGCCTGGGCCTGACACCTTGATGACGCCCGAAATTTGCTCTACTAAGAGACAGTCCTCTACGGTTCTGTGAACGCCGATATGTATGCTTTATATCCTACGTTATTCGAGCTACACTGCTGTTTCTAGCATGTACAAGCGAGAAAAAGGAACGAAGTAGCAGAGGGCCGCACTCTACGCAAGCTTGGCGCTATATTTGTATACACAAGCGAGCGCCTTACAAAGAAGCTACAGAAGGAGAGTGGTTAACAAAAAAACTTACCAAGACAGAACTCTGATGGGCGCCCCTCACACGCGACCCATGGTGACGGACTCCTTATTCTCTTTCGCCAGACGTTCGTTGTGCGACCCGGCGAATCTGGGCGTCTGCTCAGTCTCCCTTCTGTCTTCAGGAATCGAATCGGCGACCTTGATCTAGCAGAGCTGAGTGGGCTAATGCCCAAGAATGCCAAATCGGGTTCGATTCTTGATGAACAACTTAAGAGAGCTCACGTATTTAAATCTAAACTTAGCAAGATGAAGATACAAAAGGTAGTGACAGTTGTGTGGCAGCGTTGATACTGGTATCAATATGTGTTGGGCGTTTGTTGTGACGGTCGGTGTTGTGAATACTGAGACCCGCGTTCACATTGGTGACGAGGAACAAACGGGACTGAGACCAGATCGATGAGAGTGATAGAGCGTAGCATTATATGTGACTTTTTCATGCACACACTCTGACTTTGAAATTTGCTACAGCCACGTCTTCAAAACAACACCATTCGGCCGCACGCAGCCCAAACATACATCGCTAATGAACAAAGTGGCGCCTATACAGCACGTCGTAGACGCAAACGTCTCAATCACTAAGGGAGCCCATTCTGCTCTTGCAGACTTGAAGTAATCGATAGATAGTCGCTTCTCTTACCTACTTCTCGTTTTTCACTGATAAGGGAATAGATGTAAAGGACGAAAGCAAGGTTCAGTACCCTCCAATCAAACAGCTAATCGAACGTCACAAAGCGAGAAACGAGGAGTAAGATGGCGGATGGACGAGAACGCCTCGGAAACAGTACAGCGGCTTTCCTAGCCTATACTCGAACATTAAGAAACAAACAAAAGGCCGATTCACTGAACAGCATACCTCCGTATAAATCACTCAATTCACCTCCGCACACCACTAACCGCATGGTCAGAACATTACGCACCGTGATGTCAAGCCCGAAAACGTACTCCTTGGCTTTCACAGCGAGGTTAAGCTTATCGATCTCGAATACTCTGTACACACAGAGTCGAGATCCTAATCTACCGTTTGCAGCACACTGGGTCATCTAAGCCCCAAGGTCGCGGCCACGGTCCTGAAGCCCGGTACGATCGGAGGAAGGCATATCAAGGCAATCGATCAGTGGAATTGAGGGGCGTTGATGTACAAGCTGCTCGTGGGAAGATCGCTATTCGGAATGAAAGATATCAAGAAGTACGTGGACAAAGACTGTGATCTTCAAAGGCAAAGGAACCGGATTCTCGAAGTATATCAGTAAGCGGGCAGAAGAGTCGGTTCGTCGAAGTAAGTGCTACACACCCAGCATGACAGATGCGCCGATTAAGGGTATGCTCTGACTTGGCTGCGTTTGCTGAACCCCGATGCGGCGAAGCGTCTTAGTCTTGATGACGTTCTAGCACACCCTTGGATTATGGCTATATCACAAGGTCTGTCCAGTCTGGTATATGATTATTAGGTCAGCTGTTCCAGCAAGCTACTCAATTTCCTAGAGCCCATGAAATGGCGTTGTAGTTGGGGGCCAAAGCCCATGTTGATGTCTACTTGGTCCGTCACACATTTATCTAGGACAGACGGGCTGAGTCTAGGGCTGATCTCTGGTGGCCTAATCCTAGGATCACCTGCCAAGGCAACGTATGGAGCCTGTAGCCTGAGATCTATTTTGCACAGCTTGAAATAGCCTCAGTCATCAAGCCATATGGATTGCCTGTTCCATAGCTTGCGCTGACCGGCGGAAGATCGATATTAGCGTCAGATGGTTTGATTAGTATAGAATGACTTTCGGGCTACCTACATAGGCTCTCAAGGTGTTATTGTACCTGAATGTAGAGCACTCACGCCCTTACTTCGCAAGGGCGCCTCTTGTCACAAGGCGCAGTGTATCGTTATGTTCTCGAATCAGGGTATGTCAAAATGTAGTCTGACGTGCGTGCGAGACGTAAGATACACTTCTCACACGCGAAAGGCTTGGCATGACCTCAGGGGGGATCCTCTGTTACAGGACAGCAACCTTCATCCATCACTCGCAATACCGGAACGCAGCACATTTGCACAAATCCCAACTACTCTTATTGCTCGCCATAACTTTTATAGAAACAGTAATCAGTCATAGTCCATACCGGTGAACAAAATAACCCCTCGTCGCTCGTCTAACCATGCAGACGCGATTCTCCATTGGGCATTCGTCCGCGCCTCACTCTGAATCCTGCATATCACTGTGCCACACTTGGCACGCTACTGCTGTACAGCAGCAAAAAGACACCTGGTATGGAGAAAAAGCTCATGCATGTAATGCTTGGTGGTCTGATTGGCGGTCAATCGTGCCTCAGTTTTTACGCAACACCAGTCCACCTTCCTCAGGAAACGCCTTGATGCAAATGCGCGTTTGAGCCAAGACCTAAATGGCGCGCCAATATGCGTGTTGCGGTAGCTTGTGCTGTATAGTACAGCAGATGGGCTTTGAACTTCGAATGGGCGGTGCGTGGAAGCGAGGTCTGGTAGGCTGTGGATTTTCAGCCCTAACAGCAGACTAGCCAACTCAAAGGCGGATGTCATCTGCGGAGATCCTGGCGCCAATCCCAATCGTCTCATTGCGGCTCAGGCCTCCCGAAAGCCTAGACTGAGGAAGGTAAAGCAACTTAGAGCGCGCCTTTTCTTGGTCCTATATGAGGCAGGCGACATCCTGCTGCCTTCCGATGAGACACCCAAGCTCTTGGGTTCTTAAGACCTCTACCGTCACTGCGTCACCTACCGCCTCAGTCTTCAGCTGCTTTGTTGAATTCCGTGTTTTGTTTTGCTTATTGCTCGAGTGGTGTCCAATAACCCTATTCCATTATTTTTCGGACAAGATCGCCCTCGGGGGCCCACGCATGTCATTATGCTGAAGAGTGCCCTGCTCTTGGCTTCAACGGCCCTCGTCGCAGCACAATCTTCATCCTCCGAGCCCTGCGCAGCTGCTGCCGCGGATCTAAGGCAATCCAGTTCCATCGAAGCACAGGTAGCCTTCGACTGTCTTGATTCCGTCCCGGTCGACGTCCAAGGAAACGCACAGCTTATTGATGAGTTGAAGCAGATATGGCAGTTCCAATCCGAGCTTGTGTGGTTGAAGAAACCAGGCGATGATTGGGAATTTGGACCCCTGGATATCGAAGCAGAACTGGATAGCGTGAAGGACAACCTCAACTCCTTCTCCAGTGAATATGCGGTTCAACTAGCTATTCAGAACATTACTATCCGTACTGGAAATTTCCACTTCAACTACAGGCCCGATATACTCACAGTGTTCGACTTCTTCAGACAGATCAATGTGGCTTCCATCTCGGAGGACGGCAAGGCACTTCCAAAGCTCTATGTGGCTGATGATGTTGCGAGTGTAGCCGAGGGCAGTTCAGACGTTTCCGAGATTACCGAGATCAATGGTCAGAACCCATACGATTTCCTCAAGTCCACTTCCTGGTCACAATACATCGATTCCGACGGTCTCATCAACGACATGCTGTCCAAAGGAGATACCGACAACCTTGGGAGTTTTATGAATCAAAGGAGATATGACGGGCCCAGCACTGATATCACATGGGCGAATGGCTCAACAGTTTCCATACCTAACGGCGCATCCTCAGACTATGCATCTATGTTCGCAGGTGTTACTGATGGACAGTCATTTTTCGACAGATTCTGCACCGGCAGCTCCTCGCCCCTCTCTGCCAATACAAAGGCTGATTCGGGCTCATTTGACATCGCTCTGCCAAAACCAAAGATGCCTGCTGGTATCAGTCATATTATAGCGCCTAGCGCTCCTGGCCCAGTTCCCCGTATTCCCACCGGCGTCTACCACCGTCGCAACAAGCGTCAGACAATGACACCTACTTCTGGATCTTATGCAGAAAATGTTGTTGAGCAAGACTCAAGTGGAACAGTGGCTGGGTACTTTCTCAATGGTGATGGTTACGACGATGTTGCAGTTCTCAAGATTATCTCTTTCAGTAACCCTAGCGAGGACTTGAGTGAATCTGAGTTCTGCAACGAGTTTCAGGTAAGTTATTAGTGCATTCAATATGTGCGAGACATACACTGACCTTGCATTCTCCACACTGCAGGTCACGATTGCTTCATTTCTCAGCAAGTGCATGAGTGAGAACAAGCAGAAACTCATCATCGATTTACGCGAGAACGGTGGCGGTAGCACTAATCTGCTTCTTGATGCCTTTATGCAGCTTTTTCCGGAGATGGAGCCCTTCTCCGGGCAGCGTTACAGAGCCACTGATGCCTTTGTGAAGATTGGCGACGCTATCAACGAGATCAGAAGTGACCAGGTCAAAGCTAGAAGGTTTGCCCAGTATACTGAAGAAAGTATTGAGGAAAGCTATACATTCAGGTACTGGTCCTGGTGGCACTTCCGCAATGCGGATGGTGCGGACTTCGATGGATGGGATGACTTTAATGGCCCAGTTGAGTTGAATGACGACTCGTACACAAAGACGATGCGTTACAATGTGAGTACAGAAACCATTCTAGCTTAAATATACTCGATGCTAACACCAACACAGTACACTGATGAAGTGTCTATCCTCCCTGAAGGTTGGCGTTTCGTGAATGGTACCCGCCCAACTCCATTCAATGCATCCAACATCGTCATGTATACCGACGCTCTTTGCGGCTCATCCTGCGCCTCCTTCCATGAAGAGCTCAAGAACATCGCCGGCATCAAAGCTGTCACAGTTGGTGGCCGACCAGAGACTAAGCCTATTCAAACCGTGACCGGGTCCAAAGGTGGCGAAGTAACACCACTAATCTACTGGCAAAGTTTTGCCCAGATCGCGTTGAACATGAGTTCTGCACTCTCCCTATCATCTTACTCCGCCAACGACGATGCTCTATCAGCAGTTGCGAATGTTCCGCAAATAATCACACGCGCCGGAGATGGAGCTTCACGCCTTCAATCCCAGGATCAAGTGCGAAAAGGCGATGCTTCCGGTACGCCTCTACAGTACATATACGAAGCCAGTGACTGTAAGATTTTCTACACTGCGACAACCTATGCTGATCCCGATGCTGCTTGGAAGCAAGCTTGGGATGCTTTTCAGGACGATAGCAAGTGTGTAGAGGGATCTACTGGACATGCAAGCTCTATCTCAGGAGGCTTCAAGGCGTATGGCGCGGGTGAGCTGAAGGCAGAGGATCAGCCGAATGGGAGTGGGGCTGGTAACGGAAGCGGAAATGGCGATGATACAAGTGCTGCGAGCACTGTACGAATGAGTAGCTTGGTCGTTGCCATTGCTGCCGCTGTCTTCGGTGCCATGACGATATAGTTACATTGAGCTGGCATGCTATTTGTAAACAGCCAAAGAAAATCCCTTTAGCTGTTATCATCGCTGACTACATACCGACTGCGCATGGTGAAATTTGCGGATATCTGCCATGAATCACATTTCGAGCTTTTCCAAGGAAGGCTTCTTGTCTCTTGGAAAGCGAGAACTAGATTTTGCGAAACTTGGGGGGCTTTCTGCAAACAACGCCATGTGGGATCATTTATTCATCTGACATAGGCATGAAGTGATACCTTGTTATTACCTAATGGTACAATTTGGGATACTGTTGTTCTCTGAGATGATTGACTTGTTACACGACCACCAGCAGTGAACTGTTTCACGTATTCATGATGCTGTTGTCATATCGTCTTCCGTAGAATACAGCGTCAATTGCCAACAGCCCCATAGATATATCCACGCCAGCCTAGCCCAGTTCTCAGTCCATCTGCCTATATCGTTAAATGCTTAGCCAACGCCTATGATCCCATCCCATCATTATACAACCCAGGGTATATCAACATATTACCTCCGTAATGTGTCTTTGTTCTTATCTAATTGGGCCGCAATACCACATCGCCCACGCAAAGCACCATGTTCTTGAAAAACCTCCTCCACTCCAACGGATCTCCACTCGCTTTAACGAACCTCACCTCCCAATACGCACTCCCTTCATATATTGCTTGCTCGATGACAATATGGCCATTCAAGCCTTGTCTCCGCCCATCTGCCATCTTCACGCGTATACTAGCTGTCCCTGCTGTCTCTGCTTCCTCGATCTGCGCTTCACTAAAGGATGGTGCAGGGACACCTAGCCGATGCAAAGCGGTAAGGAGAAGTGGCATAAGAAGGCCGAGAGTATGGGGAGAGATGAAACGTGCCAGAGAGTAGGAAGGAAGGATGTCGGCGAACTTCCTGGCTGCTTGAGTAAAAGTCAGAGGGACGCCAGGGGTGGAGCTGAATTGTGTCATAGAGGGGTCTTGAGAGAGCATATCTTGTGTTGAAGAAGGAAGTTGGGATAGATAAGGCGTCGAGCTCGTATTGATAGGACGGTTATCGGGTATCGAGACAGGTTGCGATGCGGAAATTCCGTCGTAAGAGGCGATACGTGGAGGTCGCTCCCAGTCGAAAGGTGTTTCCGCAGATGGAGTCTCGGGTTGCGTTGAAGAAAGGAAATGTACAGCGCTTGAGCGACGAGGATCTGAATCAGTGTCGATGTCCATGGCATCCCCATCTTCATTTACATCTTGCGAACATCCACGTTGGGATTGCGTCGGCGGTCTTGAGAAATCGATGCGTAATTGGGATAACATCTGTGTCGCCAGTCCCACTGGATTCGCATTGCGTCCACTCGCTGTCAAGTATGGGTTCTTGCGTGTACACCAGGGGTGTGTGCGTATTTCATCGAGGGTAAAGCGTTCTTTAGGGTCGACTTTCAGCATACCACGTAACAGACTGGTGAGTTCAGGAGGGATTTTGCTCCAGAGCTCATCGGTAGTGTGCCCTCCGGTTTCGACGTATTCCTTAAATTCGGCCGAACGCTTGGTCGGCTCGTCCCAAGGTGTATTGCCGACAAGGAGAACGAAGAGAACAATACCACAACTCCAGATGTCGCAAATATTCGCTGCATAGCCACTGTCTAGCATATCAGCTCTCTTGCTTCGCCTTCCTGATACAATCTCCGGAGCAATGTAAGGCGGCGAGCCACAGACGGTATTGCATAGTCGTAGTTGCCCGTCCTTCTTGAAGAGTGCTGCCAATCCAAAGTCAGAGAGTTTGAGGTCTCCCTCGGCGCTCAATAGCACGTTCTCAGGTTTGATGTCGCGATGCGCGACGCCCTTACTGTGCATGTATGTCACAGCATTCACCAATTGGGTGAAGTAGAAGTGCGCAATATCCTCGCCCACGCCCTCGTCTGCCTCGATCTTATCGAACAAGTCCCCGCCCTCAGCCAACTCCATGGCAATCCATGTCCACAGCGCATCCTCTCCAGAGCCCAGGCAGTGTATGATGTTATGGTGCTTCCCGAGATGCGAGTGCAATACAATCTCCATCTTTATTTGTTTCGGCGTGAGGCGGCCGGTTCGCAGGGCATGTTCTTTGTTGATGAACTTGATGGCGATGACGGGCTTGGGCGAGTTGTGTGGGACGGCTTTGCGGATGCTACAGTCTCTACCATTAGCGAGTTCCTCTCATCTTGTATAGAGTTGTATGGCTACGTACGAAGCGTATGCGCCTTGTCCAATCGTCTTACTGACGAGCCGGAAGGGGAGGTCCGTAGGCAGAGGAGCCATCTGGCTGTTGGGCGGCGCGGGGCCCATGATGTCGAGTGTTCAAGGTAGGCCGGGAAGATGAGAGCAGGCACCGCTAGTGAGCTCCTGTAATGCGAAAGTAGACTCTGGCGCGAATTTTGTGATGCTGACTCTTTGCTGTTGCCTGATCACTGTTATCGCGACCGTCTCCATGGTCGCGTCAGACCCGAAAACACAACGCACGGACTGGCTCATACGCGCAACGCGCGCACGCCAGCTCACGTGGTCGAGCCGTCTTGTCTCGTGTCAAACAGATCTGCCTCGGCTCGACATGCCCCGTTCCGAAGCCTTCTTTCGCACGCACATGAACCCTTCGCACTACCACTTAGCCTCCCAGACGTCATCGTCTCTCAACCCAAATGTAGCATCAAATCCCGCAAGCCACAAGCATTCTACGCTGCAAGCCACAAGTACCTCGGTTCGCTTGGGCTTGCTCCAAGAAGAATGAGTACCTGTCGATCACGCCCACATACATCGTCTCATAATATCCTGAGTAGATTCGGAGCATGTGGACTCGAGCATTTAGTCCTACAAGCGGCGGAGGGCTATCCATGGCGTCTATGACGGAGCGCGCGAAGATCTGATCCTTGAAATTTGCTGGCATGTCGTTCGGTGCATGATACGTCTTCGCGTATAACGGACGTGAAGATCTCGTGCTCCTACTGCACATCCTCTACCTGGACCCCTACACCATCTTCGCATCCTCTAGTACACCGGAGAAACTTCCCGTCCACGCTCTCTCACTTAACATCCCACCAGTAATCCACAGTGCAAGGCTAGCGCTGCTGGCCAATCGTGTTCAATCTTGCACCCGGCGCAGCAACGCTTGCAAAACTTACCACCGTCTCGGAAATGGATGCACGTTTTCTGCCACCAAGCTCCTCCATGTGGCATCACAAACTCTAAACTACACGACCCAGGGTCACCCCTTTCTACGCCCGACAAAACAGGATGCTCGTTGACCGATCATGTAATCATACGAACGGGACACTGACGCACCTGCCATAAACACATACATGCGAGACGCATCCACGGCCGTTGGTTGCGGGCTCTTCCCTACGCGATCAAGGAGATCCCCTCAACTCAAATTAATACCACCGAAGAAGCCACGCGAGCGCAATGCACCAAACTACATGAGAACTGCGCCGTTTGGCCCAAGAAAACCCTATCTGGAAAACCTAATCTTCACGCCGCTGACAAGCCACCACGCGGCTATATACGGTCGGAGATGCACGACGGACGACGGTCACCGGCCCGAGAGGGTTGTTCCGAAGATGAGTAGTCAATGCTGACTACGCAATGGAAACTGCGAGTGGCTGATCTGCCAATCGAGTGCCAGCTGGATATGGTGGTGATCGCGAGGAACTCACATGGCATGGCGATCAGAGCTCGGCATCGTAGTGTCAACATCTGAAATCCATATTGCCGGAAAAAAAGAGAAGATGAGGTAAGGCTTAATGTCGTACCACTACGCTTACATTACCTTTGCAACCCGAGAACTCCCTCGTTGGTATGACAGTTCTCATCCTTGAAACTCTATCGATGCATGAACACCCCGTCGCTCCGTATATTCCTCGACCCTTCAAGCGCTCCCCGGGGCTTTACCGAGATTGAATCCTGACAACGACTGTCGGCAGCCCATCTCCGATCCGCAGCCTCGCCCTCCACCAAACAGCTCTCCCCGGTCCTCCTCCGCACCAACCACAACCCGCGGAGGGCGACGCCTGCACCAACGACCCATCACGTCTCCGACTATCCCCACCGATGCGACCAACCTACGACTTAAAACATGCAAAAGTAGCTTTCGGAGTTGACTGCATGGACCCGCAGCTCCCTTAAAAAAATACGATTCGCGCGATGTGGTGGAAGGTCGTGTTCTGACTTCTGACAGATAAAATCAGGGTACGCTCGGTCGTGCGTCCGCGGACGTAGCATGCGCACGTAGCAGATAAGTTGAACTAGAAGGGGCCAGGGCTAGAGATACCAAGTGGCCCGGGGCCCAGACTCGTAAAAGGGTCGTGGAGGTTTTCAGGAGTGAAGTGAGTGTGCTTATGTAACGCGGATGGTTGGGGCTAGGCAGATGTGCGGTTGTGTCCCTCGGAGAATTCGCCGTGCTGTGGTCGGCCGCTGTCAAATTAGTTAACAGAGTTCAAGTCATTGCCAGCAAGAAGCAAGGATATGTAGTATCGTTATGAATTCTTCTATAGTATGAGGGTATCATCGGAAACCTCCTATTAGGGTACAGTAGTGCTCTATTTGCATTCCGTCATCCGTCCAATGCTTATCGAGTGCCTTCGTCGGGTCGTGTCGACTGCTCTCCCATATCCAGCATGTTGATCAACTCTCCTCAACCTAAACTTACAGAAGTCTCGGTGAGGAGACTGTCGCGGTGCCCATCTATACCGCCCCGATCGTCCTCATTTCGACGCTCGCTCGTCGGAAAGTACGATGAAGAGGGCAGAATAGCTGGGGTGCAGCCGTGAACAGGTGCCCAAAAATAGTACTCTGGGCAACGTCCGATAGTCTTCGGTCCCAGCTTTTAGTCTCCGTCAAGGAAAAGGAAAAGGAAAAGAAAAAGAACACCTGCGAACTTCGGTTGTTTGCAAGCGTTCAGTGACGTACGCCTGCAGATTGGATCCCGCTATGACCACCAGATGAAGAAAAAGAAAAGACAAGAAAGGTAAACAAAATGTGACATAGGTCAAAGAAGAAAAGGGGTAATTCCACGAACGACCACCTGATGCTAATGTTTTTGGCCGGGAACCCATAAAACGCCGCAGTCTATGACTGGATGCAATGGAGTAGGAGAACAGGTTGAGAACCCGAGAGAAAGAGGTATCAGGAGAATGATGCTAGCTATCCAAGAGAGGCGCACGAGCCTGAGATGGTTCGGCACTCGCATATCGTCGTTGTGTCGTCATGTGAAAGGTATCAGAATCAGTCGTAAGAGTGGCCAGATATTCATTCTATGATCGGGTGGCAGTTGGTGAGGCGACGTAGGCGGATGCAGCAGCGGCATCGAGCCCGCGGAGTTGGGGTCCGTATTTGGGGTGCTTTACGAATTTGGGTACAGAGTCCTAATGTGAGATTAGCAGGATGTTCGGGTAACGGGTATACAAGAGAGAACATACACTTGACATGAGCTTGAAGATGGATTGCTGTGCCTTCTCAAAAAGCGAAGCAACTTCGTTGAGGCTTTGCAACATTGCTGCGTCGTCCCCAACGGCACGTGTCATACGAGTGGCGAGTTGTGTACGAAGACCATGGTCGATGTTGAGTTCGTTGGGTGAACCAGGAGCCAGGAAAGCGTTGTACAAACCTAAACCAGTTAAAAAATGTTTGCAGCTTGAGTGTGTGAAGATTTACCATAAGCTGCGGCAAGAGTCTCTCTGATGGTCTCGACCTTGTTATCCCCCTTGTCATTGATAGCGTCTCGATACTGCTTGTTGAACTGCTGGACCTCGAGGTAGAAGGAGAGGTTCTCCTCACACATGGTTTCCTTGAGGAACTCGCGGTACAGAAGGCGCCATGAAGGGTTACGGATGATGACATTGGTGCGGTTGCTGTTGGAATCGCGGGCAACCCCATCCCTTGACTTCACTGCAATGTCTCCACCTGAGGGGACTTCGTCCAGAAGCCAGCCAGCAACGCGCTCACCGTGATTGGTGATGTAATAGTGTACCTGCTTGGAGGGCTGAAACTGGTGTTCTGAATTACGAGGATCAACTGGAGCGATAAGCTTTAGTTGCAAGAACAATGAGCCGACCTCGACAGATTCGCGGGGGTCAACCATAGTTGTGCAGTCCATGAGCCACTGTGCGGCGTTGCGTCCATTGAAGGTGTACTCAAACTGGCGTTGCGAAGTAGGCCGATGCTTGACAAGCTTAACCCCAACATCACACTTTGAGAACTCGTGTATTGAGTCGGAATCTGACTGGGTTTCATTTGCGGTGGTACCAATGAAGCGGCGGAAGAGGATCTCAACAGTCTGTTCGTCATGATGGAGCTTGTCAGTTTCGGTGTTACGCTCGAGAACAACCAGTTGTCGGGGATTCCTGTTGGACTCGATGACTGCCTTGACGTGAGCTGAAGCGATACCGTTGCGTGTGCAAAACCGCTCCAGGATGTGAATGCCCTTGGGCGTAAGTTGCCAGACCGAGCTCTTGTTCATGAAATCTGTCTTGCCCTCTACCGACTCGACAAACTTGGCCTCGAGGAACTTCTGGCAGACGGAGCGGGCCATTTCCTTGGCCATTGAGAAAGTGGTTGTGGTGGTAGTGGTGACGACACGTGATGAGTCCTTGGGATCTGGCATGCGGTTTGACTGGGAAAATTTGAGGGATCCAAGGTTGGTGATTGCTTCGTCTGATGTGAAGGTGAAGTCAATCATCCTGAAGCGAACGCGATGTGCTGTAAGGGGAAGTGAGACCATGAGGGTTGAGAAGAGATCCTTGAAATCCTGATTCGAGTGTTAGCCGACGTCTTCGCATAGTCGAAGTTGGACGGGCTCGGCGTTTTTGACGTGGATATGTCGGGAAGTGAGGAATAGTTGTACTCACCCTGGTATAGGGCCGCTCATCGTCGGTCATGCGGAGTAACCGCGAACTTGTTTGATGCATCTTGTCGGGCTTGCCTGCTCTCGGTCTCTCTGATAGATGTCGTGTGGCTTCCTCCTCTTCAGCTATGACGTCGCCGTCTTCGTGGGGGCTGGCAGCGGATTCGCGTGCGGGCGAAAGATCTGGGCCACGCGCAAGCGACTGTGAGGAGCGCGGTGCACCGGTAGCGTAGAAGGGCGATTCGGCGGGGCTCTTTGTGGTCGAGGGCGTCCTGGTCAATTCGCGGCTTCCTTTGCGGAGCAGAGGGAAGCGGGAAAGCGTGTAGCGTCTCGCGTGGTTGATGGGACCACGGGAGGAAGGCGGCGGGGGCGGATTGCTCTTGCTCGCTGGCGATGTCGAGGCAGGTGCGTCTGAGCCGGCGGAGGCAGGTGCACTGGGTAGGCGGTCGCTGTCGTCTTTGTGCTGGTGGTCGGGTCGGGGGAGGAGGGGCTCGCTGGGGGGAGGAGGGCTCAGGCTGTTAGGCACAGAGGAGACAGACACAGTCAAGGGGAGAAGAGATGTCGTCTGGAAGGGCATGCCGAGCAGAAGATGGTCGCGGAGAATCAAATCGCGGACCTCACTGAAGGGCAATGTGTGGGTACCCTAGCTGGGATTGGCCTTCACAGTCTGGGGGTCCGTGACCACTGAGTCTTCTGCCGCTTGAACAGTCCTCACACCGCCCTCCTAAGACAGCTAAGATGGCCTAGTATGGCGCCGAATTAGCCCTGAAGCTGGGCCATGACAAAGGCACTAACCGCAGCGGCCTCCTAGTCGCATACGAGACACATGGCGGCATGCACGTCCACCAACGCATGGGAATAAAGCACTTGGCTATGGGCTTCCACGAGGTATCCCTGCTCTCTGCCGCCCCCTGTCCACGGTGAGACGCTGCCGATGACTACGCCGCACGCCGACAAAGGGGACCGGCCGCTACAATGGGCCCGCCGGACGAGGCTCGCTGCGACAGCTTGTTGTGTTGGACCTGTTCAGCACACGGCGAGCGGCTGCGACGCACACCATGGCAGCACCGCCAGCCATCTATGTCTCCATCAGCCACCACGCGAGACGAGGCAGCCATCTGCGTCTGCACCCAAGAACGGTGCAGCCAGTGATACGCGCATGTCGTGCTGCCTCTGTGCTCTGTTGAGGCGGGCTTCTGCCACAGTATGGCCTGACGCAGACAGCTGTCTATTCCGCAAACACGTCCCTGCCGCTGAAGGCAGCAAAGCGTCGTTGCGCAAACACCGCAGCTTCTTACACACCACAAACTCCCGCGTTTCGCATCTGCACCGCCGTTTGTCCAACTTCTGGCAAGACCCGTTTTCGCGTAACCTTTTGGTGGCGACCGATACCACTCTCGGCCCACGAACTGGTCGTACTGTGCCATGGTAAGCTGCCGCCTACCAATCGCAACACTACCGGCCTACTTTTGTGTGGAACACGTCGCCATAATCGAGAGGCCCGGAACTTTGCTGCTGAGGCCGCCAAAACGTGGAATGCACGTTGCACCCTGGCCTTGGGCCATGTCCGCCATGGTCACCATGGCTGCGTTCCTCGACATGCACGACGTGCAGCAAGTGTCGCACCCACTCAAATCGCTGACAGCATCATTGCCAAATCTCACGACTCTGCATTGCATCAATCATGTCCACGCGTCATCATGTCTAGACAAACTCGGCAGATCTACATCTCGTCTACAGTCGATCGATGCCTGACTGTTACCTCTGATCATACCTGTGGAGATTGTCGTGTTTCTCAGCCTGGAGAATGGTACATGTGCCGCACTTTCCACGTGTGCAACCCCACAACGACGACGAATCGTTGGTCTCCCATGCGAGACATCGCTCTCCTTGGCTGTGGCCCGCATTGCTGCCAGTTCCGCCATGCTGGACCCTTCAAGCCTTAAGCCTCCTGTGTGCCCAATCCGCCCATCGTTATCACCTTCGGCTTCGTTCGGACTTAACTCCTACGATTCGTGGCGTCTTTACGGGTGAGCAGCTGCAGATCTCTCTACGTTGATTGCATGGTGAGCAGAGTATAGCCGATATCTCAAGCCCAAGCAGCAATACGCTCAGCATACGGTCCGCCACAGTCTCCTCTCCGGAATAGTCCCGCCCTTCGACGTGCCCAGCTGCTGGGCTTGATGCAGCACGTGCAACAGGTGAAGAGAAAAAAAAAAAGCATCCACCCGTGCGTTTCAGAGTGGCGGTGGACTCGGAACTAATTTGGAGCCACGCGATGATGACACAGGGACGAGAATGCATCCATCGCGCCCTCGCATCATTGCGTCCTCCCGAGGCTCTTGGGTGCCCGGCGGGTTCTTCCCGCTCAACCACACTTTGTGGCGAGAGCAGACGCGGCTAGTGAACGAGCATATACTTGTTCTCGCCAAGCTCAGCGAAAACGATGATGATGATGCAAGTGGTATGGAGCAGCTCCCGGAGGCTTCGGATGGTCATGTTCGCCCATCGTCCTTTCAGCCTCCCGGAAACTGTATGATTCTGAAGCGATGCCGGTGCAGCATACTCCGCCGCCAGAGATCCCTAGCTGCCGCATGCAAATGCCGTCATCCTTGCAAACATCAGCCCATATTGCTGATCTGGGGTCAAGTTTTTTTCGAAAGGTTTTCGAATTTTCGAAGCTTGCCCGCCCTAGCCGCGAGAGAAATATCTTTAGTTTATCTTCGCAAGAATCCCATGGCTACCCTACAAGGCTAAGATCATCGGCGCTTACGGCAGCCTCAGAGCACGACGACTCATGCAGGTTTTCGTCAAGATAATGCCGTGCTGCCAGGGGTATCAACACGTGGCAACCGATTCCTTTTGCCTAGCGGCCGCTGGCGTGAACGATGCAGCATTGTGTAACACCGAGGCATTTTGCCCATCCATTAACCGCTTGGAGAAGTGTGGACAATAACAATGCGACGGTCCTCTGAACGTAGCCTCTCAGCGCTACTGCAGTCACGCGAGGATCGCATTGCAGCAGTCAAACATTACCCGAGCATTAATGAGATTTGATAGAGGACCGTCAGCGTGGCTTTCGAAACGCTCTCTCTGACACGCATCTCATTTGCAGCCCGTTTCAACAGGGGCTGCACACTGCCATGTGCCACGCCGATATTGAGCGCATCCCCTCACTCTCTGATCTCTCAATACCTTATCTCCACACATATTGCCTCTGGTTATTGGACTTGATATTTTCTTCGACGCCTATGGTTTCTGAGGTGGGGCGCTGGCAGCACGTTCTGCCCGGTGTAGAAATGTCGGTGAGACGGCGAGCGTCGGTGGACGATAAGATACAAGGCGGTCGCGGATGGCATCTTCGATCGTGACAGGTCACGAGCTGCTCTGGATCTTCAGTAGTTTGTGGAGACGGAACCAGACCTTGGGTCCATGGACGAGGCGGGAACCGGACGCTTGATAGCGCCAGCTAGTGTGTTTGTGAGAGAAGGTTATCATCAATTGCAGTAGGATGAGGCTCCGTGGCGCGAGGTGGGAGAGGATCTCGACCCTGGTGGCTTCTCGAAGAACATCGGAAAATTCCACCCGAGGTTTTGCAGTCATTCAGAGGGTGGCGTTCCTCAATGACAGAGACTGTTAAGCATAAACTGCAAAAAGCGAGATTGTTTGCTCCCTCTGACTCGAGTCGGCCACTTTGCGTAAAAAGGTCGGACGTCTGTCGCCGAAGGACCCACGACGCCCTTGGCCTTGAATCTCCACGATGTTGTCCATGGTGGCCTTCGTCTCGAGGAAGGTAGTGCGTAATAAGAGATGGGTTCTGGGAATTAATGTTCAATGCTGTTTCTGAATCTCGGGTGATGCGCGCGACGATCCAGGTCCAATTCCAGGTTCCAGGTCGAGCTCCAAGGGTTTGGGTCGCAATACGCCTGCTATTGCGAAATGAGTAAAGGGGTTAGTGGGTTCTCACTTTCTGCTCGGCTTTCCTCTCCTAGTGTATAGGTAGTAGGTGATGCGCCAAAGGGAGCTTCTAGGGCGGCTGCCCTTGCCCAACGTCAAACCGGTACTATACGGCCTTTGCAATCATCGAGGCAGCAACAGTCGTGATGAAGCAGAGGAAGAAAACGCTCAAACAGTACATGTTGTGGTTCCGCGAGAGGATGGTAAAGTGCGTTGAATGGTGTTGGCGGTTAGCAACGAAGGAGCTAGAAGATTGCATTGAGCCCGTGACAATAGTACTGCTAGCGACACAAAAGCATTTGCGAGTGACGCGGTATTGTCAGTAGGACGTACCGCCTTCTCAAGGTGTTCTCAAGGTGAGTGAATTGTTAGTCGAATACAATGAGTCCTCTCCTCGGTCTCCGCATGGCCCTATAGTTTCTGCCATCAAGCCCAGGCTGTGGACACAGAGCTCCACTATTCTCCATTTCGTTCCTGCAGTTTAAACAGACAAGACTCGTCCGTCGCAACCGCCTCATGTCTTAACAGCTGCTCATAATGTTAACCTCATTCTTATATATCATCCATGCCCCGCACAGCAGTCTGCACGGGCTATACGCAGAGCACTAATATACTTCCCAAATTCACGAACCAAAGACTCTGAGATCTGTACAGGAGATTGGTGCTCATACGTCGCCACCTTCGCATCGTCTTGGTCCTCGTCCGAGATCCAGGGTAGCCTGACAGCACAGCGCAGACCTGAGATTGGATACCCTACCGAATCGTCGGCAAGCGAAGGGAGCCGGGCAGTAAAGTAAACAAATTGTTCTGACAACATCGTTGAGGGATCAACTGGTTCAGTACGGGCGTGATGACACTAAGCAGATGCGGACTTTCATGAGCAACGTGAAAGAGAAGCTCGGGAAGCTAATGGTACTCAGCGTGTTACGATGACACAATTGAGCCAACGATTTGCATGCGGTTTTGGACACAAGAGGCATTTTGGAGATCGGCCTCAGGCAACTCGTGGGCAACTGACGAGGCATTCCAGTTCCGCGCCTCACTGCTGGGTTGAGATGAGAATTCTTGCGAAGGGGCATAATGCGCAAGAGTCGGAAGCATGGATACTGGTTCTCCGTGACAAGGATGGGTACACCTCGAATGGACGATGGCGGGTCGTCTAACAGCATGACTACCACCTAGTCTTGAAGTTCATATGCTCGATACAGAAACGCTCTGTAACATATGTATTCATGTCCCGTTCTACACAAGGAGTCGGTAAGTCTTCAGTCTCAACATATCGTGGCATTTGTCTACAGAAGTCAATATCCTCGTACACGAGACTTTCGGCTAAGTTCTGTATCACGTCGAAAGGTTTCTCGATCGAGCTTCTAATCATACTATGGATTAGTTCACTTTCAACTCGTTCCGAATCTCTTATTCCTGACATTCGATCGTAGTTTGTACTCCTGCGCAAGGACCAATACTGTTGGCTGCGTAGAGCGCGTAGAAGTACACATGATTCAGGTATCAGGGGCTCGAGGATGTTCAGGACTCGATTGAAAACCGGACGGTTCGTATCCTTTCTCTTTTGTTTGGTTAATTGGATACGTAAGTCGAGCGTCTATAAGTATCGGGTCGATATGATAAGCTACGCATCAAGTTTTCAAACCACGACTCCGCAGCCAGTGGCATGGCCGGCGATATGCTTTTGACATGATGACATCAAATGAGATGAACCTGAGCGTGTATAGAATCTCTGTCATTGATTGCGTCGAACCCACATACGATCGTAGTGGGCCGGCTCGGCGTTCGATGTGGTTGGGACTCTCCGCTTCTGGAAACTATGTCGGGGCAAGAATGCGAAAGCTATGCTACTGGTTCTTACAAATACAGACCACAAGCACCCAAAATCTTCATGCAAATTCGGAACATGTGTTATGGATACGTTGAGAGCCACCCCTCTTGTATTGCTCATAAACCCCATATACGAGCCCATAGTATATAGCTCAGTCTGTGACCAAAAAGTTTATATGCAAGCTTTCTGTTAGCCCAATATGAATAGAATGAAAGAGGCACTGGTGCGCTGTCTACTAGGAGCTCAAGTCGGTGTCGATGTACGTGCAAACGGTTGCGAACTAAGCAACCGTGGTTTGTGCGACATGACGTAATTATGGCCACTTTAATTATCTTGAGTTTCTTCATTACGCCAATGTAGTATCTGTTCTTTTACATCCACATCTACGAAAGGACTGTACATAGAAGCTATAACTTTTCATTCCTAACACACCACAGAAAAACACACGCGGATATCGTAAGCATCAACAACCCAACAGCTTGGACGCCATCACAAACATTCGATACGTCGAACCTATTCGACATTTGCATTCTTAAACTGCGACAAAAGCGCCTCCCCAACTCAGACACCAGCTTATGTCATGTTACTATTCTGGCCAATATATCGGTTTAATACAAGAGCTGGATATCCTTGGAGCTTACTCCAGCTATGTGCAATTTTTGAGAGCGCATCGTGAAGACGACAACGCCTCTGTATTCTAAGAGCCATCCTCGAGGTAGTGCGTGTAACCCTGCGTTCAATGAGACCCCACACTCTACCCTTCCAAGATTCTGACCTAGACCGGCTAGGTTGGGTAGCGTGGGCTTATCCTATCCAAGGAAATTTTATTCGATACTATAATACATTGCCAACCCAATTGTCAGGCTCATCTTCAGATCACTCCTGCTGCGACATGTGTTAGGAAGTTGTAATCCGTGTAATCGATATGTACAAACGCACGATTAACGTACGGTACACTCTCTTTATCGTTATTAGCTCATATATCTTTGGAAGGGAAGAGAGGGACGAGAACTTACCAAGCACATACTGCATCACTATTGTTGGTGTTGGCACACTGGCCAACACTAGCAGGCGTTCTGACCGCTGCATTTTGGTGGGCTTTTCTTATCCTTCCCTCGAATGTTTTCCTGCTCGGCGACTTGTTTTGGTCGTTGCTCCTCTGCCGCCTCACCCAGTCTCTTCATGATATCTTCGAAGGTTGGCGGGTTGCCATTCATTCTAGATATGAATTCCAATGACGGGTAGTCGGACTTTCAGGCGCAAACTATATATGGCGATCAACGTTTTCGAGAAGTGAAGGAGCCGGGGACCTTCAGGCATGAGCCAAGGGTGGCGTTCGGCATGGTCGAGAGGAGTTCAGATGGATCACCGTGCTCTCTTGATGAATGCGACTGATTCAGCATTGGGTCTCCGCAGTGTGTTGTGAAAAGAGTCAAGGTATTCGTACTCTATTTCGAACAGAGAGTTGGGCGAAAGATTGATATAGCTCCGCTTCTTTAGCGGCAGACCCAAGGCCATCCTGGCTATTGGGTTGGTCGATTCTGTTGTCATACTTTCGTCGTTATCGCACAGCATGAAGAAACCCCGCTGGCGCTCAGGTTTCTTTTCCTCGACTGATATGCCATGGAAGGTGGTGAATTGCCGGAAAGAGACGATGTATTTGCCATGATATCTTCTCTTCCCAAGAACAACGACAAGGTGGTTTTCAACCTCGCTCTGGTTCGGATGCTTCCTGATGATGGAGGATGATGGGATTGGTGTGGCTGGTAGGTAGAGGATGTCTCCATCCTCCAACCTTTCGAATGATGGTAGTCCTGCCTTGCGCCGAGGTGGCGGTGATTCGCTATGCCAGTCTGACGAAGAGGAAGAGAAAGAGGAACAGGAAGAACGAGAAGAGTCATCTGATGAAGAGGAGGATCGTCTTCGCTTGATCAGTGGTGGTAACGTCGGCGTCGTAGGTTGGGTAGTGTGAGGAGAAGGAGAGGTGTCTAGCGAGACCTTGGGCGGCTGCCTCCAGGCTGCCATCACTCTTGAAGAGTATACCATGATGGCGGTGATATGGATGGTGTTGATGAGTTTTGTTGACAGGCACCAAACTTATAAAGCGATAGTAGAATTATGGGTACTTGACGGCACACATTAGAAGACGTTCGATCTGGTGATGGGATGATAGAGGAAGAGAAAGATGAGAGGACGACTTCTTAAGGAGAAATCTCTGTCGATCAAAATCCAAAGAGTTTTGTTGCGATGAACGGCATGCGTTTCCATTGGATATGAAGATGTGGTACTTACTACCAACATCACGACTCCTTCAAAGCACTTCCTTGGGCTGGAATGCTCTATCAGGTCGCAGTGACGTTGGATGTATCGCGACATCGCAGAGGAAGGTACTGTTGAACGTGTCAGAAAGCCTTGCTTATCTTGAAACAACCCTGTTAGTGAAAAAGGTACCGGTGTACCGTCGTCAGTTGGCGTGGAGTTTGGTCACAAGCCGCATGAAGCCCCACTGCGACAACTGCGGTTAGCGGCAAGATACCAGACTTTTGCTCCGATAGCTGAGCATAGAAAACGAGAGAAGCATGATGCTGGAACAGGATTCTGAACAGTGCAGCCAGTATTGAAGCAATCAAACTGGTATTTGCGTTGCTGAAAACTGGCAACGGCTTGGAGAGATTAGGACTTGACCAACTTCATCCATCAGTTCCTGCCACGAGTAATGAACCGTCACTTCTCGGAGAACGGTAGAGGAGCCGCAGACATGGAAGTATATGATGAGAGATCATGGCTGACGGAAACTGCGACCATTAGGTGAAGAGAACCCGCAGGACCCAGTATCGATGGCAGTAAGCATAAGATGCTAGAAGACATGGTTGAGAAATGTAAACCCACCGGTTTAGCTAGGATTACTTTGTGTGGCTGTTAAGTCCAAAGTATCTTCCCCATATGACTGCCACATAATAGGGACTCGGAGCCAAGCTCCGAGACGCGCACCCATAGTACTACCACGACTAGTCCGAGAAACATCTGGGTGGTGATCTCTCTTATAACTCTTACGTACTACCAGTGTGCTTGAGGCGAGGCAGACACGGAAACACGGTAACCTATTTTCACATCCGTTCACGGTTGCAACTAGTGAGCAAGAGCTAGCGATATGATGTTTGTTTACGCAAATGAACAATACTTCCACTTTGAGATGTCTACTACGACGACTACGCATAGCACCTAGCTAGAGTTTTTTCGAAGAAGGCCAAAGCCGATGTTTATTCTGAACGACCAAGCGTTAGGTGAGAAGTATATGTTTCGCTCTCTTACTTTGTATCTCTACTCTCTTCTCTCTAGCCTCGGATGCTAGACAACCAAGAATCACTTTGATAGGAGGCGCGACTACATGCGTCATGTATCTGTATCAAGTCGAAAGAAATTTTGGTATTCCAATCTAGGCAACTATTCTTCGATGCTAAGGTCGAGGTCCCCAAACACGGCAATGCTAGAATCCACAGCTACGTAGTTACCTCTAAAAGGATCAGGACACAATTGTTTATAAGTATTATAGCGACGCGAAGGATGTTAGCTACTAAAACAAAGTATCAAAGCGCAAAAAAAGAAGGTATAGTGACAAGAGTGGGATCTACTATATGTTAGCAGCTGTCACAACCCAGTACTGTGTGGTAGAACGTACTCGAACCCACGCAGATTTCTCTACTAGCACCTGAAGCTAGCGCCTTAGACCGCTCGGCCATCTTGAATTCAGTTAGTACATATGTTGCAAACCAGTTGGAATGACTGGGAGTACGAACCTTGCCTGGATGTGTTGTATGACTAAGCCGCAAAACTTTAACATTATATAGATTGCACAAATGACAGCGTACGAGTTTGGGGTGGATTGAGCCCGCAAACCATCTTTCTTAGTGATGCAGGCACTGTGGTGCACGATATGACTGTATGAAGGTGGGGGTGGTGGGGTACGCGGCACGATAGAGCGAATTTATTTGCGGTATGTGAACATCCACTTCAACCACGGATTATTGCATAATGCGCTTGCCTCTTTAGGCTGGTTCTAAAATTCGATACAACTGCGTTCTTGATGCTATACTATTGTCTGCGATCCAACGCATGTAGCGAGGGTACGTAACGTGTACCGCAAGAAAAAGCTGTCGAAGGTATCTTATGGCTGAATTGCCTAAGTACTTAAGTACCGACTTCTTTACGTGGATGACGTCCAAAGGCACATATCGCTTCGTCGTTCACTGTGGTCTAGAATCCTCATTAAATTCGGCGCTTTCGGGGTAAATTGTAAGGGGATCTGCCCATGTAGTGCTTCAATGTTGACTTTGCCGCTAGGTTCGCAGAACCGCGAACATGAGCTGGCCCCTTCTTGTTGAAATACTCATAGTAACGGTGACTGAATAGTTTGCTGATATATCTGGCGTTGAGGGCAAGCTCTACAGTAGGAGCAGAGCATCGCAGATCGACTGAGGACGGAATGGAAGGTAGTAGTGTTCTTGAAGTCTATGCAATTACGCCTACAAACACCCAAATGCAATCTACAGCCACATGTATCTCATCTATGCAACATCTCACCACCATTGCCCAACTATCTTTTGGTGTATTTGGCTATCCCTATCCGATTTACAAAGCAGCGACCATCAGTCCGGCAACAACAGCGGCAAGGCCGAACTCGACCTTGCCAGCGGCACCAGTGGCCTCTGGTAGACCAGAAGAGCCAGTCGCAGTGCCAGCCGTGGGCTTAGGTCCGCCAGAGGCAACAGGAACAGTGCCGTTTCCGTTTCCGTGTCCGCTCGAGCCGGTAGGGTAGAGAGAGACGAGGGTAGAGCCCGAGGTGCCGGTGGGCTTGTGAGAGGAACCAGTAGCAGTCTTTGAGCCAGAAGCAGAGATAGCAGTTGCTGTTACACATTCTGTCAGCCTACATTCATCCAGCAAGCCCTATTCCTCGGTCCGAATCGTTGCAACTGGTGTTCACTGCAAAAGGGAACACTTACAAACGTCGACGTCCGCGTCGTTGCAAATTTCCGCGATCGCAGCCATAGCGTCCTTAGCATCGTCACCGCAGATTTCCGCTACCTTCTCGCTCAGGTCCTTGGCCTTGCAGACGGCCTTGATGTCAGATGGGTCTTCATATTGGTTGACAGCGCCGAGGAGGCAGCCAGGGGGGCTGGCCATGGCGAATTGAGCGAGCGCAAAGAAAGTCGCGGCGAAAACGGTACGTCCGAGCATATTAGCGGTTGAAGTAGGAGTGTTGGTGGGTATGAAAGGTTGGTTCGATTCGATTCGAGTCGTGGTAGAGACGGTGGATTTTATTAACGATAGTGTAGTCTAAAGAGTGACTGTAGGAGATCGATTCTGAAAGAATGAATGGACAACGAGGACGGTTGATGAGAAGAGAGGGAAGAGTAGAAGAGATGCCTGAGTCTCGACCTGATCCTCAAGGGGCTCGGCTCACACGGACGCTTGCCAAGCCAGTGTGCCGCTTACTTGGTGGGGTCGCCCTAAACATGCTAGTCAGGAACAACAAGTTTAGAAACACGTGCATGATTGGACGGGTTCCTGCAGTTTGTGTCAGTGCTACAAACGTGGTGCGCGTTGCTTGAAGTCGTGTGGGTGGGAGGTGACTTTTCAAACGGGTGGCTTGAAATCAACATTTGCACAAGGCTATTGAAGCGGATAGTCGAGGTCTGTTCCATACATCACTTGGCTCATCTGATGCTTAACACAATAATATACAAGAGAAGCTCGCCACTGCCTAGCCTTTGCTACAAGTATATGCCAATCTGGGGCGAGTGAGTGCAGAAAACGCATTACAAAGGTATACTCGCATAATAACCAAATGCTTCTTTTGCACCGCCCAGCATGCAGCCGAGAAACAATTTGCACTGGAGTCGAATTCTGAGTCGATCCGAGCAAAAGCACTTCCAAAACACCCCATGTGATGCAAGATGGTTTTGGAGATGACGTTTTATCCTTCCGTCAGATATCCAATCTGAGAAACAAGCACCGGCCAGCGGACTATCAAGGTCCACTCGCAATGCCATGATGCGCCGAGAACTCCGTCGCTAGGTATGATAAATGCGGTACAGTAATGAGACAGAAAGATGAGAGTCTGTGACGAGAGAGGGAGAGGCATGGAGGTCGGGTTCGTCGTTATAGAGAGCGTAAGGTTGTGGTGTCGAGATCATGAGGTATGGATTTGTGGTGGGCTATTGCCGTTTGGTCCAAGCATGGACGGAATGGGCTTACGGCGGGCCTTCCCTTGAGGGACGCGTGGCACACCTTGAATGACACGAGGCTCTTTCATGAGCGTGGGGTCGAGTTTTGCGGGGACTATCATCTTTGTTAGCATCATCGAGTGAAGGGATGCGTGTAACGTACTTCGGCTGATCACAGAACGATAATCGCCTGGAAAACGCGAATTTGGCGGAGTTGCGGACGCAGTGCGCCAAAGATGATCCGTTGTGTCGGACAGGAAGTCCACCTTCGATTTGTAGAAGAATGATGACTTTCCGCGGTTCCGCTTCGCCAAGATGACTTCATCAAACAGTTTGATGGTGGGATCGTCTGCAGACTTGCTCTCGCGTTCATGTATGAACTCATTGAAAGCTATTGCATGTTAGCATACGCCTAAGAAAGAGTAGGATGGCAACACGTACCTTGCGTCTGCTGTAGCGTTGTGATATACTGTACGTTCTCCGCTGGCAGACTCTTCACGAATTCGTCCATCTTGAATTGATATGTCATACCAGACTTTTTGCGTTCGCCAGTAGCCGGTATCAGATAACGCCGGTAGGTGTAGAATAGACTAGCAAAGCACCGCACGAAAGATGCACGCACTTGGTCGGGTCGGAAAGCCGTCGGGCAGACGATGCAGATCATATCCACGCATCTACCATGGGCGTATGTGCTACAACCTTCACGACATTAGAAAAGCAAATCACACTAAGCGAATCCGAAACTCACCGGTACAGCGATAGAGACCATCATCGGATTTTTCTTCGCATATCGAGCAAAGAGCTTTATCCTCGTGCGGTCTCCATTGCAGGCAATGACCCTCTTGCCATTGCATTGTTGCAGTGTTCCGTACTTGTTGCATAGCCATACCAGGCATAATCGTCGAAGCAGCCAGTGTTGACTGAGCATACACGGATGGGGCATACGAAGACCCCGCCTTGTACTCATGACTCAAAGACGATGTTGATGCGCTCGGCGCGTGGCCAAGGAACGGCTGAGAGGGGCGCCGAATTTGGGGTACACGTTCGAAACCAAACTAGTCACGTTAGTCAATGGACTACCACAATGAAGGGTGTGAAGCCAAACTTACCGATGAACTTCGCCGACTTGAAGTCTCGAAGTGGGCGGATCGCTTCTCGCGAAGATTGGCTTGGAGAGCATAACCAGAATCGCTTCGCGATATAGGGGTACTAGGCATGGGTGGAAAGACCGTCGAGACTGGGGAAACCTTGGGCGAAGGCGGCGATTGGTACGTCTTTATGGTGGTGGCTGTGGATGGTCGGTCGTTGCCACGGCTCGAAGCACTTGACTGCAGGAATGCGTTGTAAATCAAAGGCCTGGAACTAGGCGGTCCGACCACAGTTCCAAAAGACGTAGAATTTAGGCCGACATAGTTCTGGACGGTCGAAGGGTGTGCTCTGTATGAGAAGACACCGGGGTTCTCAGAGGCGAACGTATCGTACGGGAAAGCTTCTACAGCATAAGCTGGCGGTCCAGTAGGCACGCCGTATCGTATATGATGCGGCGCAGATTGTTGAAGTAGAGACATGAGCTTTCGTCGCTGTTGGCGTGGCAGCGATGGTGGTGGTGGACCGTTGGAGACTATTGAATCAGCATCCAGGTCGACGAGAACATAGTCGTCGTCAGGGTAATCAGCGGGCTCATAACGACGCTCGATACCCACGATATATGGGCATGGCGCCTCTATCGTCTGTACCAGACGGGCAGGCAAAATAGGAATGAAGACACCAGCCCATTGGAAGGGATACAGTAGGTTGGTTATCGCCATACTAGCCAAATGTAGCATAGCCGTGTGAGAGGAAAGGAGAATGATTCTGGCTTCCGAGAGCACATACTCAAACAAGGTGATGATGTTGGGTATGGACATGCATCGGAAGAGAGCATAGATATCGATGTTTCGGGAGCCGGGGAGCTCGTTGACTGCCTCCTTTCGAGCGTACATGCGAAGCTCGCGAACTGCTAGTTCAACTTGCGTAATGGAGGTGATCGGACTAAGAGCCTCTGCACACAGATTGACGACGTATCGCTCAAGCGGCTGCCACATACCTACTCGCGGTGAGCTGGCGGGGACTCGGAGGATGGCACCCGTGGTCATTGGGACAACGACGGCCTTTAGCCACTCCTTCCAGAAGGGCGTTAGACTCGCATCTCGACCCATGACACCATAAGCACGGGGTATCCAGAGTCCAGTGTCTCCGTCAGTAAGACCCTCGATCTTGGATGCTGCACCATGCCTCACTGGGCGAAGCAGATCGGTCATCAACTGGATTTTTTCCTCTACAGCGCCAATCTGGTCGTCCAGATCTTCGCGCTCCTCGGAGTCAGGAGCCACGGATGGAAGCTTAGTTAGGAGTTGGGATAGTTTCGCGCGTTCCAATGCTAGACGTTCACCCAGGCTGCTCGCCAATTCTCGCTCTTCTGGGTTCATGTGCAAGTTTCTCCATTCTTCACATTGGCGCTCAAGACCCTCTGCAGCTGTGGCGTTCAGTGGCAGCCAAACGATGATGCAGATGCCATAAAGTTTGGAGCCGTCTCCGTTGGTCATGGCAAATCCATGCCATTGGCTCTTTGGTCGCTCGTCAGATGAGACGACACTAACATCGTTGGGAAATGCAAACATGGGCACGTAGTCAGGAAATGGGTTCCGCCTCTTAAGTTCCTCGACCATGTTCCGGGGTGGATAACGGTCCAGCAGCACAGGCTCGTAGCGACGGAGAAGAGGATGCATGTCTGGATCAGGCTGAAAGGGCTGTGGTGCTGGTATGACAGAGTTGTACCCGGACATGCGCTTCGACGTTCGAATTGAGGCTGTATGCACGTCAGTCAAGATCGAGGAAAAAGCAAACGACCCATGTCAGGTCCAAGGCCCAGCCCTGCAAAGATCCTGGTCGGGCGTGAATGTGGAAGGTGACTTACATTGTCTCGCTGTCGACGACTGGCGCTTCAGGCTGCTCTGCATGGTGGAGATACGGCGACGGATGCTTCCAACACCGGACCTGAGATTTCCAACGCCGTCGTCATTGTTGGCTTGTGACACGCGCTGTGGTCTGGGACGCGGCCTTGTGGGGGTGGAGCGGGCCTGTTGCGCAACACCAGCAGTAAACTGTATTTCCTCGAGAAAGGTATCCCGCTCGGAAGCGAACTTGCGCAGTGCAATGTCGAATTCCTGGTCGCTGAGGCCAGAGCCGCCAAGCTGCAGGCCCTTGATGGTGGCGCTGCTACGATTGCTTGCAGTCTGCTTGGAATCGGAGCCAATGCCGACGATTGTACCATTGGACTGGCGGTTTTCGCTGAATCGGTTCGCAGACCTCCGTCGAGTGGTGTCAGCATTGGACAGGCCGTCCTGGGAGGTTGGGCGGATTGAGTCTGTCTCGAGGGCGCGGTCCTCCTCGATGGTCTCGTCGACCGGGGGTTGTGCAAGCGGCGAGGTTACTATGCCATTGTTCTGGGTGCGCTCGTCGTAGACCTGCGAGGACTCGATGCCAGATATGAAGAAATAGTCGGCCAGCGGGGTGGACGACTGGTCGGCCGTGGACGAGGGAGCGGGCGCCATGTTAGGTCGTGGGCATAGGATATCCAAAAAAGATGGGCAATCAAAGAGCGTCGTGGGGTGCGCGGGCGCGGCGTGTAGGACGTCGAGTCGGCGTGTGTCTCTAGGTCATTGGAGATTGGACGCCAGCTCCAACGGTGGTTTGTGATGGGGCAGCGTACGGCTTATGCACGGCAGAGGCAGAGCGTGTGCGACGGGGACAGAGAAAGCGGTTGCACGGGCGGCGGCCTGGCAGCGAAACGAGCGGGGGAGCTTAGCCGGAAGCTGCGACTGGGCAGAGTGGTCGCGAACTGGTGTCGCAGAGCGTCTTGTATAGCCAACTGTTGCTTGTTTGCGGGCGAAAAGAGTGAATGGGGAGAGGGTTGGCGGAGAAGGGTTCAGTGCACACTGCGCTCGGTCACAGGCGATTCAAATGGACAGGCTCCGGCCTGTTCGAGCAACTAACCCACATGCACCCTCGTCGCAGGGCTCACACCCGCTTGCGCTCTTATCGCTCGCAGAAGACAGTCTAGCGCTTAACAGCTCCCGCGTCGACTGCCCCTCGGCCTGGACCGGACTGCTGCACCTCGCAACAAGCTCGACCTGTCAGCGTTGCCGGCGGAGAGGCGAGGCTGACGATGCAAGGCACCCGCGCACTCCAAAGTGTATTTGCGCCCAGCGTTTGGATCCAATGTCGCCATCCGTGGTACTCTCGCCGTCGCGCCCCATGGACATGCTGCATCCAGCACAGGCATATCCGTCGCTGTGCCGTCGTCCCATGTCGCCCTGTTAGACCCTGTCCTCGGAAAGCACGACCAGGGGGCTGCGCATGGATTGGGAAGGCACGGCCTGGGGCCTATCCGCTTTGGGACGGCGCGCGATTGGCAGAGGGCTGAAGTGGGATTGGCTGCGGGCCAAGCACTGGCTGTCGGCATGGCAGCATTGCGCGTTCAGGGGTCGTCAAATGGCTGCTGGCGACCAACACGACTGTTATTAGGCCACAAACACTGGTGGTGTGCGTCCAATTTGCATGTGTTTCACCTTCGGCGTACAGCACGCATACACGGCATCGCACTCTGCCCAGGAATAGGGGCACACATGCTGTGTACCCTATACGATCCCATACTACGGTTCACTGCCTGCACTGCACATCTTCAACCTCCGAAACAAAGAAATTCAAATGCCCCACAACCACCTGCAAACGGCCGAACATTTCTCTAAACGCCCATGGCATCATCTACTGTACCTGTCAACAGCATGCTGCACTCCTCACTGCCAACAAACACTCTTACAATCGCCGCCATGCCTTGTCTTGTCTTGCCTTGCCTCGTCTCGCCATGCATGTGCATAGATAGCTGCCGTACGCCAGCCCGGCATCGTATGCTCTGACCACCATCTAAACCGTTGCCGTTTCAACTCTGCTTGCCGGACTGTACAAAACGGTGCATGTCTTCCTACGGGACATGGTGCCGCATATGTCTTGACTACCGTGCTCGAGCTGCGCATCCGTCCAGCCAGAGACATATGTAGGATATGCACATGTCGATCCCGCTGTGGATAGCCGATTCCGACACAAAGTCCTCAACCGTCACTGCTTGTGCGAGCGCGTTTAATCTGACAGCTGCAGCCACCTCGAACAAGTCAGTCAGTGCTCTCCCAACTTTCGTATCTCACAATTGAATGCATACTTGGTGGCGTGATGATCAAACATATCAAAAGCCCACATTTGACCGAGATAAGATGACACCTCTGCGATCGCCCGACCCTCGAGCAGTTCGTGAGATTGTCATGTCCAGTTCCCGTGTCTGTCGACTCGTCGTACCAGGATTAGTGACAGCGTCTGGGGTACCCTGCTCTCTCTGCCGTGCTTCACCAAATTCTCATGTTGATTCCCCATCGGCCTTGTCGGACTTCATCAGAGATGATCGCTTTATCGCTCCACCTGCTTGTTGCATTGGAGGTCAATGCTGCAAGTCTATAATTGCTTTCTTAGGAGAATTGTTTCCGTGGTTCTGACGAAATCGATGGCTTGATCATCGACGCTGCCCTTGCTTTTCCGTACGCTTCGCCTGGCGATCGTCCAAGAGATCCTCCTCCGCATTCCGGCTGTCTAATTCGAAATACCCATGTACTGTGTAACATCACTCTGGAGGTGGATCGTTATTACAAATTACCAACAGATTCTTCGCAAATCCCCACACCTCTGTTACGGACATGTATATAGCCGGTGGCAGACAAACATGCTGTGGTACGCATATAAATATAGTCCAAAGTTTACTTTTCACTGTTCGGCGATGTTGTTTGGACCACTCGACTCATGTTGACATCACGCACGGAGCAGGTTCCGAATGTCCAGGTGGCTTCAGCAAGTGCAAGGCTAGTTCGATACTGCCAGACCAAGCGCTTGGAACTGCAGGTACCGGCGCCAGAACCTTCGGTCGGAGATATACAATCCCTAGCGACGTTAGACAGGGCCATGCAAACTTTATTGTAGACTCCCTCAGCGTCGAGCCGTAAGCCATCCAGTACTGAGAGAGCCTCTGTCGCCCAATGCACTTCGCCATTGGATAGCAAGCTGGCCTAACACTCTCTTGTTGTCTTCCGTAATGGAGTCTGTCATGTCTTCGTCGTTATCGCTAGGCTGGTGATCAAGAAGAAAAGCTACCTGCACCACGTCCCGTGGGCTCAGTATCGGCGCACTGGGACCTGAAGGTTGCATATCCCAATTAAGTGGTGTCGATCTGAGAGGTGGTTTCGGGTTTACACTGACTGCCTATTGGGAGTCAGTGGTGGTTTGATGCCTACTAGGGCTATGGTTGTTGTGGTAGGCTATCTGAAGCAGCGAAATAGCGCCGGATCTACACCACTGCCGGATCGGACTCTGCGATCGAGCTAGTGATGGAGCCGAAATCCTCAAGTCAAAGCCACACGGCCTGACTCGTTGTTTGGAATAAATGAATAGTACCGGAACATGAATCGTGATATGTTGAAATCGCTGACGTACCTCTAGACACACAGCAGCTTCTCCCATGTTCTCCAATTGTGCTTCTAGGAGGTATCGTGAACATCCGTTCTTTGGGCCCATCTCTCCGGCTTTTGTGCGAACGCTCAGTAACTGTTGGGCCACGAACTGATACAGTTTGCGGAACGTCCGAACTCTTCCTGACGCTGCCCTCCCTTCTCCTAGGGCCGTCTCCGTATATGTGACAGTGACTGCCAGGACATGATTGCCCTCTTCCTTAAGTTCAAATCTTAGGATACGTTGTAGTGATTCGGCTGGTCCTGGAGAAGCGTTTTCCACCTCTCCTTGCAAGCCAGACAGGTCCAATGGTGAGCCTGTAGGGTTCGAGGGCGTCTGCATATCACCCTGTATCCGCACACCACTAATCGCTTTTGTGTTGTCGGCTGGATCGAGCTCGTTGTTCGCGCATAGTGTACAGGAGAAGGTCTCGCCAACATAGGCGCTCCCGAATGCTTCAGGGAGATTTAGCACAGGACTCAAGACAAATTGATCGTTTGCGTCATCCGGCGTGGGATAGGCGAGTGAGGCTTTGGGAGATATGCCTAGATCTCTAGAGTTCGGGAGAGGGTGCTGCACCGCAAGGGATGGACGAGACAATCTATTAACATCGTTAGTTTGCCAGCTGTGTATTTGACCGGCAGTCGTAGTATACGATGAGGTAGACGAGCCGCTATCAACCTCCATGTAAGATGATGCAAGCATCGGTTTCGTCATGGGCCGGTGTGCCCAGGCTGTGCTGGAAAATCGACAACATACCGCAGAACCTTCAGACTGACAGAATGCGCAGTCTTGAGAGTGTCTCCCATCGCCTGCCCTCGTTGCTGAGCCATATCGACAACCGTCGTGTCGCAAGGACTTGTGACGAAAGCGGCCAGCGTGAGCGGAAGCTTGAGTGGGGCGTAAACCGCACCTGGGTCCAAGCCTTCGGACCGCGGAATTAGCGCGTTGACAAAATTTTGTGATTCGATTACCAAAAGTGATGTAGGAATCGAACTGTGTTGAGATGTTTACTTGTTTGTACACTTGAATCCAATTCCATCACTTTGCAACGTACCAGGATTTTTCTAATTATTATGGGTGTCAAGGCATCATCAGACGATATCCCGCTCCAACGATGTCCAGACATCGCTATCAAGGTTGATACACCAAAAGGTCCGTTCTCTCAGACATCGCGTTCGTTGTAAACAACTGACGTTGTATACAGGGCGTGGTGTGTTCGCTACCAGAGACATACCAGCGCGGACGATCCTAGACATATGCCCAGTATTGATTTTAGGAATAGAAGAAAACAAAAAGCACATAGAAAACACCTCGCTTTATCATTATACCTAGTATGTAATCTCCCACAGCAGGCAGTGTCTTTTCTCACAGACATACATACACTCAGTTTCCCCCAGCCTTTCTACTCATTACTACAGACAGTTGCACTAGTCGCGTCTTAACAGCATCGACATGACTAATCGATGCATCTATTGGAAATGGGATTAGAGATGTTGCAAGTATGAGAAACCTAACTCATCCCAGCAATTGGCCAATTGTAGACAACAATGGCAATAGCAAAGTCGCCCAGGCCGTCATATTCGGATTGGGAAGCATGTTCAACCACTCTACCCAAGAACAAAACGTGGGATGGATGCGTGATACTCAACGCCAAATTATTACGTACCGAGCACTGAGAGATATTCCCGCAGGAGAAGAGCTTTGTAAGTGAAAGAGCTGAAATTGATAGACGGTTGCGCTAACAAATGCAGGCATATCATACGGAAGTCATCTGACCTTCAAAGACGCAGATGCTACACCTCCAACGCCACCGGAAGACGAAATTGAACAGCTTCGAATGATTGAGCCTTATTAAGTAATCTTTGGAAGTACAGAAAGTACAGAGGTCGCAGAATCGTTTACTGCAATACAAGACGCCTACCGGAATGAGACAGAAATTTGGGGGAGATGCGGGTACTGAGTGCGGGGTTAATCATCTACGCCAACATGTACAGTGCCGATGGAAGGATGAGGACATATCATGTGCTGAGAGGCTCAGGCTTTTCTGTCGACGGTGTAACCTCAGCAGAGCTGTTGTTGTCTTCGGCGTCGTTCCTCAGGTCGTATGCGAGCTCGAAGCATTCCTCCAGAAGTTGCGTCACTCGACCTTGGCCATCAGGTATCTCGTCGCCCACCATGAACTTGCCGTCTACTCGCATGTTGTCAATGGAATTTAACTATATTTGAGTTAGCAGGCGTGACAGTGTTTCGATGACGTGGTGCACGAACCTTCATACTGTAGGGGTACAGCTCCCTTGGTGAAGATACACCTCCCAACTTCTTGACTTCAAGCAGGCATTTTCGGAGTGTAGTTAGTTGGTTGTAAATCGGCAGTAGAGCCTCAGATACAGGCTCGGATGTCAAGAGCAGTTGGTAAATGAGAGCGTAGCTCTTCCGGAGAAGGTACAACAATGTCTGTAACTTGTTAGTGGGTCCTCACATTTGGATCTACAGAAGCATACTCTCTGCTCGTAAATCTCCGATGGCCGTCCAAGCGCATCGACAAAGTTACCGTCAACTCGGGCTTCGTCTATACGATCAAGCTGTCGCTGAAAGTCCCAAAGATCCGTCTCACGAAGAGACCATGCCTGAGTTAGGGTAAGCTTTTCGAGCTTGTTTCGTATTGAAAGAAGTTTGTCATAGGTATCCTTGAAAGCGGGCGCAATACGTCCTTGCCTGTCCGTACGTTAGCTGATTCGTGGGGATCATGAATGGTACCAACTTTTGCTTGATCAACGTAACCCATAGCAGATTGCGTCGTAGCAGGGTGCCAATGAGTGTCTTGGCGTCTGGCGCCGGCTCAGGGTGTTCGGTGGCGAGTTGCATTTTGTCGACCATTTCGGCCAGCTTCTCTTCAGTAGTTCCTTCTGTCTCATATGCACGAATGCCGTACTCTTTTAATTCCTCGTCAAGTTTGTTAAGCTCCTCTGAGTACTCCTCAACTTCATCATGTGGGAACTAGATTCCTAGTTAGCATGGGTTATGGAATCGCCATGAATTCACTGACTTTGGACCTTGCATTGCAGCCGCAAAGTGATCTTAGTATTGAGACCAGCTTCTCCCATTTCGGTGTCAGCTCGGGTGTGAGCTCAGACAAGTTGAGCTTCAGTTCTGCTAGCGTCTCCTCGCAAACCTTGATGCGGGCGTCAAGGAGGGTAAGTAAATGAGGGCTGTACTCTTCTCGACCTCTCTCAACATATCGTCGGCAATCTTGTAGGTTCTTGTCGAGTGCTTCCAGGTCCTTTTGTGAATAGAAGGTTGCTTCTTTGAGGTGATCTAGTAAGCGCTGTTTGATGTCAGGAACGTACATAATAAGCTCCGACATACATAAATACCTTGATCGTTGAGATGTAGGAGTATCTTAACAACAGTGTCAGCTGGATCGTAGTAATACATGACATGATTGAAAACTAACACTGCTGGTGGCTCGTGGTTCTTTCCGACGGTCAAATAGGCAAGTGAAATGAGCTGAAAGCAGTCGTCAAGCATGTAATCAACTATGTGACCATATCAGTAACAGCAACCTCCATCGGGCAAGTGGCAACGTGACATACCTTTGTTCTGCTCCAGACGTTTGGTTTCGCGTATCTCGTTGAGGATCATAACCTGCTCGATGACTTGGTCGTACAATTTCAAGACATCTTGGCTCTTGACATAAGTTGACCGATCACGCTTCAATAGTTCAAGCTCCGTCCGTATAGACTGCAGCTTGTCGAGGATGGGCTGCTCTTTCGGATCCAGCGGGATCCGCGGGAGTGGGGAGTCGGTCATCGTGTGCTGCAGACGCGGATCGGCAACAGATGGGGAGATCTTTTGGTGGGGTTGAGGCTAATCCGAACGGTGGTGAAAGCTGCAACTCTGCGATATGCGAAACTTGGAAGTGGCCGGTCGGGAAGCCAAGACGCAGCTTGATAGCGGGGAAAGTGCTCGGACGTCACCGAGGGGCAACCGCGAGAATGCGCTAGCTCCCAAACCAGCTAGACATCGCTAAGCGAAAGCCACGGTTAGCGCCTTCCACACCATCAATTCAATTCACCAGCGCCGAAACTCTCAACATCTCGACTCCCGACAGTATCACGATCACAACCGTCGCAATGTCTACCTCCGAGCTCGCCACCTCTTACGCCGCTCTCATCCTCGCTGATGACGGTGTCGACATCACTGTACGACTCCCGAGGTGCCATTCGCAATCGCGGACACATTGGCTAATTTGAACAGGCCGACAAGCTTCAATCCCTCATCAAGGCCGCAAAGATCGAGGAGGTCGAGCCCATCTGGACGACCCTGTTCGCCAAGGTGCGCATACACGAACACGCTAGAATTCCGAACACGAAATTGATATGTGAATAGGCTCTTGAGGGCAAGGATGTCAAGGACCTGCTACTGAACGTCGGCTCAGGCGGCGGTGCTGCCCCCGCTGCCGGAGGCGCTGCTCCTGCCGCTGGCGGTGCTGCTGATGCCGCACCAGCTGCTGAGGAGAAGAAGGAGGAGGGTATGTTTACCACACGCTTTTTGTGCAACAAGGAACAGAGACTAACACACAACAGAGAAGGAGGAGTCGGACGAGGACATGGGCTTCGGTCTCTTCGACTAAGCGTCTCGTTTCCCTTCCTTTCTTCGACATTTGCCTTTCTCGGGGTTGCAAAACGGATTCATCAGCGGGCATATTCCCATTGCTGGGGTGGGACAGTCACGACTATTCGGTGACACGACTTGCATACGGGCCCTCCCGGAAGAACAAAGACGGCGTCATGAGATATGTTAGGTCGGCAGGTCAATGAATACTTCGAAAAGTGCAAAGAACGGACACATGATGTGATGTCGCAGAACAGAATTACTTCGGCTGCGACAACATTTCAAGAACGGTGATCCATTGGTGCATGGCCTTGGACCAGAAATATGGTGCATGTGATACGTCGACACGATTCTGTCGTCCAGATCACCCACTAACGTTTTACGACTCCGAGATGTAAGCCTAGGGTTACCCTAAACAACTTTGCTTACTGTCCTCAATGTCCTATGGTGCAAGACCCAGCACCGCACTAGCGTGTACACATCGCCGTCCTTCTAGTTCTTTATGTCCGCTAGCCTTTACCATGACTCACCTTTTCAATTGTTTGTAACCGTCGCTATCTGCCTCAGAAACTCGAGTGATGCAACCTTGTTCCTCATGCCCATCCCAGACTTCGATGTTGCCGTACCCATCACCACCCTGCGTTTCATGCTGGATCTAAGCACCCACCAGAAAGACTTGAAGATAGTACATTCAGTAGCGTTCGATCCTGCGCCTTATGTATGTCTTCGAACTTGCACCACCTATCGAGGAGTACTTTTCGCGGCATATTGCTTTCTCTAGTGTGCTTGTACGCTCTTCTAACGCTAGACATGGACGAAAAAGGTGTCAGTGCACATGTCTTTGCACTATCTATTGTGGCACGAGAGCACCCGATGAGTGGCGTCTTAACGAAGACGAGGAATGTTGAAGTTTTCACTCCTTTAGCGCACAGGCTCGTCTCTTCTCGGTCGACAAACTGGGGATCATTGGAAGATTCGGACCAATGATGGACGCTAGTGTCCGGGTGCTAGGAGTACTTCATCTGAAGCCAACTCGTGAAGACTTGCATATTAACAATGGATATGTCGCCTAGTTGAACAGCACGAACACTCTTGTTCCGAGAAATATGAGCGAAATCGAGGGCATGCATGGTGAGCAAGAGACAGAGGGCAGTGAAAGCCCTAGTTCCCTTAGTGTTTGAGACTGATATCAAAAGTCTCCTGCGTAGGGTATGGCTTAGCTGATCAGCAATAGCACAGCAGCTTAGTATAGAGACCTATAGCTCTGCTCCAGTGCACGTCTCGGAGTATACTTGGCTGGTCATATTGATTCCACTGGCAGTAGGGCGAGATAGTGATCGTTGAAGGTACGGGAATGAGAGACCTAGTTAAAGTCGGAGGCTAGTGGTTATTCGTTCTCGAGCTAGATGTGAGAGAAGAGGCGAGGCTGGATAGATAGTGGCATGAATGTTCTGCTAACTCTTGCTTCCTGTGTTGAGCAGAGAAGATAGTGTATTGTCGTGGTACATGGCACGATAAAGATATCTAAAGACAAAGATAGAAGCTGCGATACTTGTATCTGCAACAAATCAACCGAACAGCTTTCGTGTCTTATGGCGAAACCAAAAGAAGCTATTTACAAGTAGGGTCGCTGTGTTTGTCTTTCTGCTTGCTCACCCATCTACACTCTGAGCCCTGGGCTTGCCCAGGTGTTTTAGAAGCTATGTACTTCAAGTCTTTCCATCATCGCCCGCTCTCTTCCTCTTATTGGAGCCCGCACCATTGTCAATTTGTCACCTCTATTGCGCCTACAAAGACCCAAGGTGCACATTTGGATTCACTTGCTTCGGTAATGTTGATTTCGGAGACACTAGCAAGAATATTGCTATGATGTCAATCGGCGATGGGATCTAAGGTGTTCAGTAATAAAAAAGGGCAAGCTTTTTCGGAGCACCCTAAACACTATTCGGGGCAAGAGACAGGGGAAGGCATCTCCACTTTAGAGAGCATTGGATGTCACGCCTATACGGTAAGTCGGCGATGAAGATAGAGACTGATATCAAGACCGGATGCTGCACGTGCGTGCCATGATGATTGCTGTGCTCATTGTGACATACTCGGATCCAGGATAGTTTACATATCCGCTCCGATATAAGCAAAATATGCGCCTACTCCATGCCCCTATGCAGATACAGAGATACAAAGTACGTGAATGTCGACTCGGTCACAAGTCATTCGCGCGAAGAAGCTCCTCGTCGTAAGACATGCCGTTGATGCGCTTCTTGGTGAACTCGAATGCAGTAAAGAAAATCGCGTTGACTATGCAGGAGCGAGACATGGAAACACCAAGGCCTGAGTCAAGTTAGTATTGAATCCCAGAGAGTGTGGAAAGGTATGCTCACCTCGATACATCCGACGACTAAAGAAATGGATCTTCGGGCGCGTTGCCTTGTCCTTTCCTCCCACGAGACAGTTTCGCTGGTAGATACTCTTCGCTGTATCTATTGGAAAAATCTACCAAGGTTGTCAGTACGTCGAGAATGACCGGTGGGATTCAAAATCATACGCATGCCCAGCTGACGAGTCCACAGAGTCCGCCAGCTACAACTACAGCCAGTGGATGTGTTGGTGAGGTGCCGCGCGCATTCGCCAAGACCTGTTTCACACTTTCGTATGTTACAAAGTAGATGCCGGTGCCGATGGAATCTCGAACTATATTTCATCAGCACTTGCATGGCTTCTGTATGGTTGCGGCTCACTTACGTAGATGCAAGTGGAATCCAGAGTATAGCCCTGTCCAACCCCGATGTTTAACCAGATTTTGCGCCGTCTTCCAGGTTCCCAAATTCTGGTAGCTCTTGCGTACCGCTTCGTTCTTGCCGCCGCCGTCGTTGCGCTCAGCCATTAGTACGGAGATTTGAGCGCTCAGTTTCGTCAGTTCGAAAGGACCTGGACGAGATTAGCCAGGTACCCATGTGAAAAGCAACAGCCATCTCGTACATGCGATGACTGTGATAGCAGCGCCGGCATTGACGCCTGCCAGGCCAAAGCATGCAATGGTCGAAAACGTGGGCCATGCATCTCGGGTGTTCGCAACAACGAGCGGTGAAGTTCCGGTGGTCTGGTAAATCCAATTATCGAGCGCGTACTTGGATCGTTGGTAGATGGAGAATGACACGGTACGGACGAGGGTTATGCTTGCGAGAGGAGACCAGACACCTATGACGCGTACATTAGCATGTGATGGATGCGCAGCTGTGAAGGGCGAAGCTTACCACGGTAGAAGCCGTGGAAGCCCTCAGTCTTGTAGGTGTGGCGAACGCAGTCGGCAAAGGAGTTGAACTTGTAGCTATGCGATGTTAGCCGTGGTGTAGGCGATGTTGGGTGTCTGGCGTACGCTTGTAGTCGGGTCTTGACTGAGTCCAGAGGATACTGGAAGCTATCAGCAATCACGAGGTCGGTAATCTTGGACTGTATACAGGCCCACGTACTGCGGCAAATGTAGATAGCAGACTGCTGGAGCTTGCAGCGACCTCGGTGCGGTACTTCTTGGTCCATCGCTTTGCCTGCTCACTACGCAGGACGGCTCTTGAAACCTCGGTCAGATTTCTGGGTCTATTTGGAATGTCCTGTTGTACATTTGGCCTCCCCTCCTCCTGCTTAGGCATACTGGCTATCGCTAGCTGTGGAAGACGCTGCAGTCTTCCTACGGCAATCGCGATCGGGCCAGCAGCCGGGCAAGCTCCATGAAGGCCGCGGCGATGTCCGGCTCGACGGATGCAACGGGTGTGCGCGATTGGCGTCAAGCGTCGAGGTTTGTGGTCGAGAGCAGCTCGGGCGACAATGGCTGATGTTGGCGAATGTGTATGGATGCGGAGCGTCGTGGTGGAATGGTGGGGTTAAGCTCACGCTTTGTGCAACTCGCATCCCCGAAACAGTCTAACGGCCACGGAAGGATGAAGCCATTGGCTGCAGGGGGGCGATCGACGCAACGAGCTGCACTTGAATCTGGCTCAACGTGCCTCAATATCCCTCATCCAACACATGCGAATCGATCAGCGTCTTCACATACCAACACATGACTTTGCTCTCGAATCGTGCTTCCCGCTACTCGCCCACAGCTCGTGGTATGGCGCACCCTGGGAAGCTACCACAGCTGGATGCGGGGTTTGCTCACATGTGAAGCTTAACACCATCCATGTCTATTGCTCCGGCAAATCACAGAGCATCTATATGGCAGCTACGGCACTTGACCAGACCTGTTCCGTCATGCATCATGTATACGACGACATGCTGTGTTACCATGGCCTTCTCTGTCGCTACAGCTCCGCCTTCACTGTCCGAGGTCGAACAAACTACAGTCGAGTTCAAGCTGGCACAGAGTGCGTGTGACACGAGGCTACCGGCCGCGGACCATGGTACATGCTTTTCCAGCTTCACAACCATAGTAGATCCAAACAAGCATCGTCTTTGTGTTAACAATCTTCCGATCCAGTCCACATACTAGGCACGGCTCCGAGGAAGCGGCCTTGTTCATAGATTTGTGAATTTCGCATGATAAAATTATCTCTTGCTGAGTAACTTTTGTACCTTCCTTCAATCATACAGCGAACTGCTTTGGCATTGCCGTCACCTACAGCCTTGCCACACTTTCAGATCTCAGTCTTTCTTTCCCATAATCTTCCTCAGTTCGGCATCGTTGTCGGACCTTTCAACTGGCACCTTTTGGTTCTCGTCGACCTTTCGCTGTTTCTTCTTGCGAATGTCTCCCATGAGGGCTTCGCTGAAGGTTCCTTTATCATCGTCTAGCCTCTCTATCTGACCGTGACGCCTCATACTCTCCTTGTGCCAGCTAATCTGCCCGCCATCTGCTTCTCGGTGTCTTTTGGCGTTCAATTTCGCTGCTCGTATCGAGGTTCGGGCGTATACGAAGAGAAGACCAGCCATAGTGAGGGCTGCAAGGGGTGCCATTATGGTCTGGGAATCATTAGCTGATGTCAACACTGACAAGCTCGGAAACACATTTCGTACCCGGCCATTGATAATACCACGACCCCTCGTAAGGCGCGCTGCTGCATTTGCCGAAGTTGGCTTGGACGTCTCGCTCATGCCATCGGCAGCCTTGGGCATAGAAAGTCTGCCGCCCATGATGAAAGTAGCTAAAGTTAGGAGTGTCAATGTCGGTGGTGGGGATGGTGTGATATCTTCGGTGATTGCCGTGTTTGCTTCAGGATTCAGGATCCGGGAAAGTTTGAACTGCTATCATGTGCTGGCATGTTTCCCAACCAGCTTTTGTCAAGGCAGGCTCAATTCACTTGACTGACATACAGTTGCTTGCCTAGTCGAGTCGTGTGTCGCAGGTGGGCGCCCGGGGGGAGGTCTAGAAGCCATGAGGTAATCGACCAAGTAGCTATCACAAGCGGTTAGCGCGAAAGCACCTCCGACATGTCCGCAAACCGAGGTCGCGTCATCGCCGGCTGCTTCCCTAATCGCAAAATCTTATTTCCCATATTACCAAGCGGCATACATCGGCCATCTAGAAGGCATTGCGTGACAATTGCAGGCCCCTGTTTGACCTTCCATCGCTTCTATTCTGGAACATCTGGCTTGTACAGCAAGCAGCCTTACTGCATACTGCACCTGCACCATTGGATTACCAAATCGTCCAATCCAGTCTCTGACTGCAGTAGTAGATTTGGAAGCTAGGTGCTCTGACGTATTCTATAAGTATCTGCCGTTGTCCCGCTGCATCTTTAATGCAAAGAACAGCGACCTTTAGACTGCGAGCTCTATCGACGAGTCTTCGTACCATTACCCCTCCATCTCCAGGACAAACCTCCCTGCTCCGACCGCACTTCCGCCTTTCACAAACCGCAGTGGCATCCGCACGTTTGTCAAACCTCGCATCTCATTTCTCTACATCAGGCATCAGGATGTCGTCGCAGACCAAGGAATGCGATTACTTAGTAATCGGAATTGGTAGTGGAGGTATTGCCTCCGGCCGACGAGCTGCCAAACACGGTGCAAAAGTCATCGCGATCGAATCGTCAAGATACGGCGGTACTTGTGTGAACGTCGGCTGCGTGCCGAAGAAAGTCACCTGGAACGCGGCTGCGATTGCCGAGACCTTCAAAGACGCAAAGGCATACGGCTTCAAGGTTGGTGGGGTCCCCGACTTTGACTGGCCCTACTTCAAGAAGAAGCGCGACGACTACGTCAAGCGACTGAATGGCATCTACGAGAACAACTTGAACAAGGATGAGATTGAGCATTTGAGAGGTCGGGCCAAGTTCGTCGCTAAGGACGAGGTTGAGGTTGCGCTCCATGACGGAGGCTCGCAGCGCATCAAAGCAAAGCACATACTCATCGCAACCGGTGGAAGACCGAAGCTACCCGACATTCCTGGAAAGGAACTCTGCATTAGTAGCGATGGATTCTTCGACCTCGAGAAGCAACCCAAGAGCATCGCAACTAGCGGCGCAGGATACATTGGTGTCGAGATGACCGGCATGCTTCACGCACTCGGCTCGAAAACACACTTCTTCATCCGCGGCGACAAGCTCCTCCGAACGTTTGATCCCATGATTCAAGACACTGTAACCCAGGAGTACGAACGTCAAGGCATCAACCTATACAAGGGTACCCAGATTACCAAGGTAGAGGATATCGGCAACGGCATGAAGCGTGTGACCTACCAGAACAACGAGACAAAGAATGAATCAACCGTCGAGGTCGAAGAGGTGCTGTTCGCGACTGGCCGCGACCCCGAAATCGAGGATCTCAAGATCAAGGACTTTGGCATCAAGCTCAACGATAAAAACCATATCGTGACCGATGAGTACCAAAACACTTCCATCCCCAACATCTACGCTATCGGTGACGTCTGTGACCGTGGCTTCGAACTTACCCCAGTTGCCATCGCTGCTGGCCGACGCCTCTCAGATCGTCTATTCAACAACCAACCCAAAGCTCACCTCGAATATGAGAACATCCCCTCCGTTGTTTTCGCCCACCCAGAGATCGGATCTATCGGTCTGACTGAGCCTGAGGCCCGCGAAAAATACGGCGACAAGATCAAGATCTATAAGACTGAGTTCAAGGCCATGTACTTCGCTATGATGGACCCTGAAGAGAAGCAGCCGACAGCATACAAGATCATCTGCGCAGGTGAGAATGAAAAGGTCGTCGGTCTGCACATCCTAGGCCAAGGAAGCAGCGAGATTCTGCAAGGATTCGGTGTGGCAATCAAGATGGGTGCCACCAAGAAGGACTTCGACAGCTGTGTGGTAAGTACTCCCCCAATCTTCCTATCCCGTTTTGTCGTGCGTCCGTGGATGCATATGCGGCAGTGCTTCGGTTATCGACTGCAGCAGCTGCCACGTTTGCGGGGGAAAGGAACGGCATTCTGCGTTAGGCGTTTGATGACACGGATGCTAACATGTGCTTCCTTTCACAGGCTATCCACCCCGTGTCGGCCGAGGAACTCGTCACCATGACTTAGACCAATTGGCATCTCGTGCACTTGTCCCACTTGTGACAGTGTATAGATTAGGAGAGATAGACTATATTGGCAAAGATCAGAGAAATGGTAGTAATCGTTGTTCATGGCTGTGCATACCCATACTGATACGTATGCTTCCAAACATCTTCTTCATGTGCAAAGCTTATGCTCAACCACTTTGCCACACAATTGCAGCGCAACATGTTCTCTCAAACATTGCGATACATCCAGTCGATTTCACTCCCATCCCTCGGGGCTCAATGACCCTTCCGACAGTAACCCTGCAGCTCCAAGGTCTTGGAGTAGAGCTTATTCCCTCACCATTCCGAACAATACCCATACTCAAGGCACAAGATATCGGTACGTACCTGCACTACTAGCATGGGAAGGGTCTAACCGTCATTATCAAACTAATGCATATGTGATACGACATCTGTTAGTTTTGGGGTTTTAGCTAGAAAAACAGAGCAAAAGGGCTCTATTGCGCGTCTTCTTGGTTGCTGTAGCCGGTGGCTTTGCGACGGCTTATTTGACCGATGCCTGTTGCAATGTACATGCAGGGCATTGCAGGGTATGATTGAGTTTGGTTTAGGGTCTCGTCTCTCCCGAGGTCGCTCTTGGTATTGCGTGTACGTGGTACATGTGAGATTCCGATTCATATACCTTCGATGCTTTTTACGTGTACCTGTGTGTCTACATGTGCATGTACCCCGGACTTTGAGTATGTGTGGGTGTGTCAGAATAAGTTAAAACGAGTAAAAAGCAATGGACTGACTGTGACTACGTGTTGTCGTATCGCTTACCGAGAAATGGGAAGAAGGGATGATCATAGTCGATCATCATATCGTTTGCGTTATCCCTCGTGGTGAGGGATGAGCATGATAACAAGGTGTGATATAGGTCAGGTTCTCGCGCTCTAGTATGCGCCGTTCCTGGGAACTGGGTGTTGAATATGCTGCGTGTATTTCAACATCATTACTTCATGACCGTGATCTGCTTTGTGGAAATGGCGATAGAATGGACAAAGTAAAGGAGCATGCCACTGGCCACCTTATTGCTTGATTGGCTGCCTTTCATCATGCAAGTCTGCCAATTCTCATCACACGCTCATTTCCCATCATATTTACCGCCCACGCCGCCCTGCCTGCCCTGCCTGCCCTGCATTGACAGGAAAGAACCAACGGGTCCTCCCCGCGTTCGCTTGGGGTATTTCGCGGGGTGGCTGCCAGTCTATCGTCTAATATGCTATGCAGTCTTCAACGTGCATTACCACCGGCACCAGCTGGACCCACATATGTAACCTATCGCAACCTGAGCTACTAACATGCCCTGCACACCCTTCTAAGCACAAAATGAATTTCGTCTTGTGATCGAGAACGAGTTTTGCTGATGTTACAACATAATCATTATTGTTGTTCGTTAATGGACCCTGCAGTAGATGTCGATATGCTGTGAAACGGAGAATCTCCATCCCACCACTTAGAGTTCAGCCGAAAACCTGGTCCCTGGCTGCTCCCTTGTGTGGCGTGAACGCCCTTCTTCATACCCATGCCGACTGGCGTTTATGGCTTCCAGAAGATCGCTGTTGGTGACGACGATGAACCACACCTAAACGTTATTTCTTTTTTAGCACGCGATTTAGGGCAACGGAGGCGCGTTCTCCGCGTTAACGTCAAGGAAAATTGAATGCTCCCCGGATTCGCTCACTGTGTCTCTCCACACTTGCGCACACACCGTTGCAAGCCACGGTGTGGAGACTCTATCGTTGCTGTGCTGTAGTGCGGCGGAGGGGGCGCCAATACAGTGATGACCTGCATCGCACTGACACCTCGTGCCTGCGCCGAGTGTCCAGAATCATGCTACGGACTGACCGCTCCGTGTTGATCAATGTTCTAGACAATTAGAAAGGAGGTGTGTTTGAATCTCATACTATTCATGTCCATCTCACCCAAGCAAGGCAGGTCCCTGATGTACCAGCGTCTGGAGTTCCCGGGGTCTCCCCCATGATACCGCCGAACCCCGGGTTATTCGTATGCGAGATATGCCGCTAATGCGCATCGAACCGGGGTCTATTTAGCGTCAACGCGAACATCAAGCCGTCGCTATGCACATTGACTCGAAGTGGTGTGCTTCCGCACCCTAGCGGCTGAGCTTCTGATAAAGGCACCGAGGCCGCTCCCCGCCATGACACAAAGCGCATTCGATACGGGCCTCCACATCGGAGCCGACCCTAGAGCTTTGGTGTGGGCGTCTAAGCAGAGCAGCGGTACCTTGTCTGTAGAGCGGTGGAACTTGTTTGACGATTGTCTGAATAGTGTGGAGCTGACGGCAATTGCTACTGCCGGCTGGTGTCTTGAGAGCGCTGGCTCATTTGCGGTCAATAATATTATACAAGTTTACATATAGCGGCCGTGACATTCGTTCACCGTAGACACGAGGCTGTGAAGCAAGCCTCTTTGTGCTCCAAGTCCTCCTGTTTTACGCCGCACTGGTTTTGGTTGAGAAACCCCTGGACCGGACCAAGCCGGTCAATGATGGGCCCTAAATGATAGCTCTCAAAGCTATTACAAAATGTACTGTGAAATGAAGACAAGTCCAAATTTAAATCCATGTGATGATCGTGGCACGTTCGTTCCGGTGCTCCGTTATGATATTGCGGGAGTGCATACTGCTGCGTCTCGAACTCGGCGAGAAAGATGAGCAATTTCAGGTACTCTGTCCACTCAAGAAGAAGTCTAGCTCGCTCGGACCGCCCCTGCTGACTTCGTTTTCGGCAAGTTGCTCGAGCAAGCTGAGGAAAGGATCCTTGCTGTCAGGATCTGTATGCACTGACGCGCCTGATGTGCTTCCAGCACCGGGGGTCGGCTGCTGGTCGTATGGCGTCGGCATACTCAGCATAGGGTCGAAATGGATCGGATGGCTGTTATCCTGGTTTTGGTTGAGATTCGCTGTCCGCGGAACTGGTGATGGCGCCAGACTCGCAAACTGCGGCAGTGGTGAAAACGAAAAGTTTGGCGAAAAAGGAAGAGCAAGTCCACCACCGTTAGCACTCGGTGGATTCAAAGAATTGCTCGGTAACGGTGGAGTATAGGGTGGCACACTGGATTCATTAGGATGCGCTCTAGTATCTCCCGGGCTTGGGTTTGATTCCGAAGTACCGGCATCGGAAGGTCTGTGAGTATGTACAGTAGGCGGATGAGTGGCTGATGTAGGTGTTGGGGGAATGGCCTGAGAATGGGCTGCAGGTTTGGAAGATGAAGTTGTGGCTCTTCGTCTCTTGTTTGGGTGACCGTTAGAGTATTGTGGTTGTTGTGAGGGCGCGGAATGCTTTTGGTAGCCTTGAGCGTTCCCAATGACGCCGCTAGTCATGTACATGTTATTGCGTTGTTCGATGTTGAAGGTTGCAAGGCTATCGAATTGTTAGCACAGTATGTGGACGCTGAGACCCGTCCGCTTACCCTTCGTGAATGGATTCGACCGCTATATCCAAAAACGTAACATGCGCTCCATCGAAGATCTGGCCAGGGTACCTGTCGAAGAAGTCTTCGAGTTGAAAAACCGGCGCATAGCGCATAGGATTGCTTGCCAATGATTGGACAAGCTCTGTGTGACATCCGTAAATAGTTTGCAGTGTGTCTCGCTGATGCTGAGCTCCAGCCCAGATGAAGCGAAGCTCGGACAGTTGCTGCATCTCACGAGACAGAAATTCTGCACTGACTGAGAAAACCTCTCCTTCTCTTCCTGGGTAGTGTGCTCCATGCACATGTATCGTGCCCGCTGTGCATATACAATAACCAACGAAGGCCGGCCAATCTATGATAGAAGAAGCCCTGCCTATTTCAACCAGTTCGGCAATGGCATTTGCATGAAGGAAGCATAGGTTGGTCGCTTCGATCTGCCAGGGTTGGTGTTGCGACGTCCCAGAAAGCTCGGCCAAGTCTACAGGGAGAAAAGGCCGATAGATGAGGCAATGTATGAGGTGGTAAATCAACTTGCTGAGAACAAGTATGGTACTGTCGGGTTGACCAAAGAGAGCCTCGATGGAGGTAAAGGTATCTTGTGTCTCCGATGCCCATATGTCGAGTTCTTGGCGGATTTTGGATAGGTTGGATAATGAGTGCCAGGGAAAGTGTGAATCACCCTTGACACCACCGGCTGCAAGGTAGCGATTTGTTATACCCAGGATGCGTGCTATGCCAATCAGCATACCCATACTTCCTTGTCCGCCTTTTCCAGTGCCGCCCATGAACTGCAAATTGCATCCGTTTGGAAAGTAGTCACCGTCTATCAGCATCGCGCCGGGGTGCAGCTGCCAGCTCGGCAATCGTAGCACAATTGATTCATCCGCAATTAACGAAGGTCGCTTGGAGCCGGTTGCAGCGAAACGGTCCATGAGGTAACACGACCAGAATAGTCGGCGTCGCCCTTCACGTTCGGCAGGTGTGACTTTCATGCCGGTTGGTAGTTCGCGATGTAGGTCGAGCGCAAACGCCATGCTGATAGCGGAATCTTGAGAACGAAGTCAGTCCTGTACTAGCTTGCGATAGCGACGAGTTCGTACTCAGCAACATAAACGTCTTCTTGCCCTTGCCTAACTGAAAGCTTGCTTGCGAAAGCAGCATCAGTGTCTGCAAGGTTTCGATAGAGGGCTCATCTATCTCAAGTTCCAGCCGAGCACGACGGGCATACTCTTGTCCGATGCGCACTGCAGAGCTGTATCCTCCGAAGTGGGGTGCATATCTGGGGTACATATATTAATTGTGTTCAGGAATACTCAGGGGTGGGCGAATCGTACCTAGCACTCACGGCGTAAATAGCATAGGCTAAGTGACCGGGAAGCTGATTGGCCTGTAGTCGCTGTCTCGTGGTCGACTCGTCCAGGATATAGTAGGGCTTTCCATGAATTCTGGCGAAATAGGTGTCTAGAAGCAGGTCGGGAGCTAGGGTAGGCGATTGTATACTAGACACTATTAGCAATGCGCCGGGCCAAGATGGTATGCTGTGAGTAAGTACCTTGGCTCAATGGGCGACATCAACTGATTCGCATGGTTGGTGGCACTCGAGCGGCGGGGCGATGGTTCGTGTGGGGATTGCGACGATGCGAGATCTTTTGGTTTGGTGTCGACGGCGGTGTTGTTGTCCTGGGAGGCGGGGTCGGTTTCGGTTGGGTCATCGCTCTTTCCTTCGGAAACCAGGCGCTTTTCCAGGCCGTCAACACGCTTCAGAAGGGCCTCGAGGACGTCTGTCTTTGGTCCTCGTTTTTTGGGAACAGCGTCTGTAGCGGGCCGTCAGCTCATGTTTGGATGCGTCTAGGGGCGTTTGAGAGTGGAGCGTACCATATATACACGGACAGTTGAACACCTGACAGGCTTCACAAGTCGGCCTTGTGCGATTGCACTTGATCTTGAAGCTTGGGTTAGTACACCAAGTGGGAGATGAGTGTAGAAACGCTACCTTTCGCTTTCGACAACTCTTGCAGTTCATGGCCTCTCGGGGCTCGTTCGAAACGCGGCGGGCGGGAAGTCGGTCGATACCGATCTGAGGTCTAGCCATTGCGGCGGCCAGTGACTGCGACACTTCGGTGGACATAGCGACGCTATAGGACGATGGACCAGAAGCATTCTCTGGCTCAAAATGTACAAGTTGATCGCGAACAGGACGTTAGGAAGAAGAAAGCACGCCCACGGTACAGCGTAAGATGTAAGTTCAAATTAAGGCCTATGGCAGTGGAGACAAGCAGGGGGTGCGCGGACGGCGAGGCTTGATGAAGCGGGAGTGCGCGCCCACTCGGATGCGACTCAGTGGATGCTGTCGACTAGGAATTTGCAGCTATGGAACCGCTGGGGTGAAGGGGACGCGTGACGACGATCTCGGGGTATCTAGCCTTGCGTGGTAGAACAGCCCACGAGCGAACCTTGGAACCGTTGGGCCGAGTCGAGTAGACGGTATGGAATACGCAGCTTTCGGGGCCCTTGCTAGGACAAAAACACGACAATCATGAGGCCACTGGGGTAAGAGGCTAGCCGCACGTCAAGGAATCGTCCATCTCATGCCGTCTCAGCCAGCGCACCGTGCCTCGGTTCTCTGCCATGCAGCTACTAGCAATTTGGCACTTAAATTGCGCCCGTCTCACGCAGCTATCTCGTCTCGGTGTAGCTGCGCCTGTAGCGCCGGACTGCATCGAATATGTTCTAGAAAATCCGGGGTATCGCTCGCAAGCCAATCAGTCCAGACTGCCGTACCATTAGCTGCAGCCCCCGTCCCCGGTAACAGCTCCCACGAGGGCCCCCGTCATCAAGAGTCACCCGTCATCCCTGGTACTCGCTCCTGTCACGCTGCATGTGCTCTACATATCAAGAACAGGGTTGTCGTGTGTGACTGTGTGGACATGAATGTGGTCATCAAATGTGTACATTGCTAATTGCTGAATTTAAAAATGTCCCCTTCCGGATGCCAAACGCACAAAATCATAACACACGTTTTGGCCGACGAGCTTCCGTATTGTTTCAACTGTCGTCCATGCTGAGACGTCAGCAATACCATATGCTGTCCATCCGGCCGATGTAGCAATTGCCAATGGGTCGGCCTTACGGGGCCCACTGGCCAAGTCAACGAACACCTTGCCTGCAGCCTTCGTTCCTGTCGCCCCATGTCCGTTGGTGCTTCCATTCCTTCCGGCAACCCTGTAGTGCTTCAGCAGGGGCACCACCAAGAGCGATTTCTCAGCAGGCAGAGCCGAGATGATAACAAACGGCTGCTGCAGCCGCTTCACGTCGTCTACCGATCGTACCGGTGACACGTCAGTGGATAGTGGCCCGTGAGATCTGAACCCTATCGTATATATGGGCCCAATACCCAGGTTCTTCAGTGCAAAAATCGAGGCTGATGCATCGGCCTCGTTGCTTGCAAGCAGCAAGGCTGCCTGTCCACTGTATGCTGAGGGCACAAAGTCGCGAGTCAGTGTTGCTCGGATACCCTTCCATCTCGTGTTGTCCCCTATGAAGGAGGCGTTGCTTGTCCCTGAGCGCACCAACACGGTATCAACTTGCCCAATGGCCCGCGCAGCATTCGACAAGGAAGGTAGATAAGGCGCCGAAGCCGCTAAGGGTGGGTTGATGTATGCACCACCAAAGTTGTTGCGTCGAAGAATGTGCTCAATCGAAGCCTTGGGCGCTCTCTCTGCAAACCCAAACGAATGCGGCAGGCTAAGCTCGTTGAAACACTTCTCGAAAAACATGGCTTGCGACGTCGATCGAAAGCTTCCGATACCGTAGATGTCTTGCTTCGGCATCTGGCCCATAGTGTGGAGCGCTGCATTAATCTCGGCTGCGCTAAGCTGGCCAGGCGCCGCAATCATCGGTAGCAATGGATGTGTAATTGGAGTGAATATCTTGTTCAGCGTCCTTGATAGCTGGCCCATAGGGCCCATGTTGAGTCCTGAAAAGGGCGGGTGAGGATATTTGGCCTGTATAGTAGACCGGAAGTACTCCAGCTCGTAGTTCTCCTGCATCGAGTTGACCAGTGCGTACATCTTGACAATATCCCCATAAACGGCGCCCAATTCGAACAGGCGCTGTGTTTCAGGTGAGGTCCACTTGAAGTTACCCGAGAAGTCGTGGAACGCCGAGATTATCTTGGTGCACGCCTTGTTCTCGGCCAGCTTCCTCCTAATCTCCTCTGGCAGCCACAGTTCCACATCGATATATTCGCAACCCCATTGTATCGCGCGCGCGAGGTACCGGTAGAAGAGTGAGGGATCGTCCATGGGAAAGCGGCCATTTTCTTTTGTGCACCTCGTGGTGAAGATGATTGGCAATTCTGTGCGTTGGCGCAGTACCATGACCTGCTCGCCGACATACTTCAAACTGGGTATCTTGCTGACTGACCCATCTGGCAGAGGCTCCTCCAGCAAGTCGACTCGTATTTCGATTGCATCTGCGCCGACGGATAGGATATCCAGGTTAGGAAGCGCAGCGTGTACATCAGGAAAAGTAGTCGATATCAGTGTCGTGCGCGCTTTCTTGGTGAGATCGCGATGGGGCCCGATCTGGCCCAGAATGAAGCCGAGGTATCGCGACACGTCTCGACGGAAAAATGGCGATCGGGTATAGAGGTATTCATAGTCGCATCGGTCGGTGATGCTCTCGTCCAGTTCGTAACCGCCGTCTACGCGATGGGTGTTGATCAACAGCCTGGAGCGGTCCCAGGCGTCCAATTGTGGTTTGGCCAGCCTATTGCTTAGACCGTAGACCGTCTCTCGCGGCCCTGCCAGTGCGTCGTCAACCGATGTCGCCGACTCCCATTTTTGGCCCAGGACATCCGCGAAGATGCCTACAATGTCCTCCTCGCCCTCGTTGTGCAGAATTAACAGCGCCGGCCGGGCGCCACTCGGAATCTCCTGCACATCTATGACGGCGCCTTCCTTGAGGTGGGAGGTGGTCGTCGTCGTCGTCACGCTCCCGGTTTGCACCATGGTAGCCATGGGTGGGTAGAGTTGTGCGCTGTGCTGCTTGTTACTGTTAACCGTAGGTGTTGAAACCGTTGATGCGATGCTGGATCTCGGCGAGAATGCGACGGGCGGTATACAACTGGCGAACTCCAACAACCGTCGCTACCATCTCTCAAACGTCGACGGGTGTGAGGCGGTGGGGCTGTGTCTGGAGAAATACAGGCGTCTCAGAGTGAGCGCCGTATATTCATCCGTGGGGTGGTGGGATGCAGGACCAGGTCTTGATTTAATCGCGGTGCGTGTGAAGTTTGGAGATAGTGAGATAGAACCATGTCCAGAGCAGATGGAAGCACCAAGCTTCCGTAAAACCCGCGCGTCTGTTGGCTCTAAAGCCGTCCTATGGCTGGACGGTGAATATGCCGTTAGAAAGGGCACTAGGCGTTGCTTGCTCGGGGCAGTAGGATAGTGAACGGACCAGTGCGGGCACCGTGGTACGCTCGCCGATAGCTGGAGCTCGAATTTATCCGTAGGCTTGCCATACCGTCGCTAAACCCGCCAATTTCGCACCAATCATTGTGTTTGCCATCAGTCAAGGTATTCGTGTGCCAAGTATATCACCTCCATTGCCTTCGTTTATTGCTGACGCGAATGTGTGGGGATTGGTGGAGAATGGGGGGTAGCGTGCGTCGCAGAGACATCCTTGGCCTGAGGCGATTGCCAAATGCCATATGTATGCCTCGAGGCTTGAAGTGCCCAGCAACAACACCACAGATACGAGCTTGGTATTCGGATAGGCGTATATCGATACTCCCCATAGGCGCACCGCTTGCGCGAGGCTGGCTCTAGAACTCCGCGAAACTGCATCCGCAATGTTCAAGAGGCGTCGCATCGCTTTCTTCAGCCCTATCGGCTTTTCCATGAGCGGCATGCCGCCCTGGGAGTAGTCGAGTAATGGGCCACCGGCGTATCTCGCTTTACGTACGGCTCCCACCCTCGAAAGAGCTGGAACAATTGTGCAAACAGTATTGTCACTTTGAGTCCTTGCGAGAGACTTGAGTACTTGCTACAGCCATCGATAACGTCCATGGACACCGCCGACCCCATCACTCCTACATGCAGCTCAACATCTCGCCAGAGGGAGGCAACGCAATATCTCCTGATTGACCAACATTAGGCTCGGCAGCAGTTGAGGCTCCGTTTCATCGTTAGTACTTTAGCCGGCAACCTTGGAGGAGGCGTCGGTGCAGCAGGTCTGACGAGACCTCGATCGCCTCATCAACGTCGGTTTTAGATTTTCCGAGACCAACTGCAGTGTAACGTAGGTCCACTCGCGGAAGCGTAATCATCGTCGATATCTGAAGGCTAGCTTATCAGACTACTAGTTTCCCGCGATCGAGACGTCACTACGAGCGGGAATATGACTAGGCCAGCGTGACAGCAACGAGAGGGGTCGATGCTTATCAAATCTTCGCGTGTCTTCGGCAAGATGCTTCGCAGCCGCTGTAGCGAGGCGAAGGAGACTGATTGACTGATTGAATGATTTACCTACCTTGTTCACCTTGAGCCGTCGGGCTTAGGCCAAGTATCACAACGGATAAATTGGCCAAGTCCAAAACACAATCGGGAGGCCTGAGGTCGTCCAGCCGTGCTGCAAATTTCCGGCCAAGCGAAAGGACCTACTCGTAGCCGTCAAGTGCCCTAGACTTTCTTCTACCCTTTCACACAACCTACACCAGCTCCATAGCTTTAGCATCCTCTCCAGCAACCAGCTACCCACTACAGACAACCTATATCGATCTCTCGACCGCATCTCAAACACTCCGCGCCGCAAACAGTCTCGACTTACGACCTCATGGCCAAGTCATTGCCGTACAAACAGCCACTGCATCCACGAGTTCAACGAACCCCATTCAAAACAACGCGTCCAAGATATTACGTCCCTTTGCTGCCTGATGAGCATTTTTACCAAGAAAAAAGACGCGAATCATAAACCAGATATCTTGAAGTTGAGGAGTAAATCCTATCTCGTTCTCTAGGGTACATGTACTGCGTTGCCCATCTCGCACTGCGTAGACAGGTTGGATTGATCTGACTCTAGCATCACCTCGATCTAGGAGAGGAGACCTAGTATCGCACCTATGGATTATTAGTCGCTCAATACTCTACAGGTAAGCTATCCTAAGTCTAGGGCTGATCTTATAGATTTGACCAAATGTGTCCTATCAACACATCGAAACCTGTGAACATTCTCAGGGGTTGGGCACTGGCCTCCTGTTCGGAAGCATTACACCTCTTGCGTCATGTTTGTGTTGTCACAGAGCTACTTTGGCAACTGTCGAGGAAGCTCAATTCGGCGCTGATTGTCATGACTCCAAGGGTATTGTCCCTATAATTGGTGGTAGCGCTTCAATAGCGTCACTGCAACTATGAGAAACGTGGCATATCGATTCTTGATCAGAAACAATCGTCTAGTCAGCTTGTTAGAATCGACGTGTTACGAGGTATAGCGACTATGTTCAATGCGTCTGTTTGAGCAGGCAAGATAAAACTATTTAAGTAGCGGTATTGAGCCATGTTCTTCAGTGAACGTTGGGTCGCCAAGCTTCGCGCAGATCCTGGGGAGTGCACATTAGGTTCGGAATAATCTGCCCGACCCGTTGCTGGGTATCTAGGTACTAAGGTTGCTTGAGTGGTGCACAACAGCCCTTGCGTATCAGAAGGAAGCAGCCGCGGAATTTGATCTGCAAATATGAGTCATGCAACTTACGACTCGATCATTCTCTCGTCTTTCTGCTTCTACTTAAGTAGATTCTATCCTGAGTCTCTCTTCTGGATCACTTCTGTACTTGCAGCTTGCAATCGTTCGCCTGTCGGCTAGACCTTAGAACTGATTATACCTAGGTAGGAATATCTTACGTCGCACTCGTATTGCAACACCTGACAACGGAAGAAGACGGCAAACGCCTAGGTACGCCCAAGAACTATGACCAAAGAATCGAGATGACACCCCGAGGTGAAGGGAATGCAATCTTCTCCGCCGCCGACCTCAACTCACGATGCAGTATAGCGGATTCAGGCCAAGGAGATCAGAACGATATGAGACGTAGCCATGATCGCATCTCAAACGGATACCTAATTCCTAAAAAAAAAAACTAGCCATATGTGCAATGGCATGTTCGAGGAAGGTTTGGAAACCACGACTCCTAATCTATTAGGGAGTGACTATGGCAGTGAAAAATGAGTGTATTAGCGGGCTCGAGTTATAGTCAGCCTTATGTGGTATGATCCTACGTCTTCGTTACCGTTCTATCAAATTTAAGCATTACAGCTAGGTAAGTACGGATGACTTACATGGGCCTTGATCGTATCGATCAAGTCATACTAGAAATGCCACTAACAGCCACTTCCTTAATCCCACCCTCCACGCTATACCATACATGACAAGGGGCTTTCACAGACTGTAAAAATACGTATTATTGGGAATAGCGAGATGCTAGGATACTAACATAGAAGTTGAACCTTGTCCTTAGGTAAAGATATAAAGTGAATGTATGTAGTATCAGATGGTATAGAAGTGCCTTACGTGCTCTAAGGTAATCACCTTATACCTCACTACAGCACTACAGAAGCTCATATAGCATTAAAACTACACTTACTTTAGCGCAAAGCACATATTCTTCACCTCTATCTTTATCTTCGAACTAATATCTTTGCGGTGTGCTGTCTCAACCTCGTCTACGTCCCCTGTTCTTCATCGTACTGTTACTGGAACAGGGGTTTTATGACTAGAGAAGGGGGTGTTGACTGTTGTTACAAGGATAGTGCCTCTACATAAATGGTCTTGTAAGTCACAGGCACGGCGTTCCGCCTTGGGTGCTATATTTATTCTCCCCGCGACTTTAGGACTGACTATGTTAGTAGTTTGCAAAGGCATAGTGTTTGGAATTCAGTGGTTATGACTGACTTTAAGAATATTGAAAGCTACTCACGAGACGAATTCTGCTAGACAGGCATGGCTATCGGACCGCTTATTGATGGCGTCTTGACGCAACACGTGAGCGGGTAATGATGTAAGTACCTGCTTCCGTAGCATGTGTCCATCCTTTCACTTTTCAGCTCCCAAGTTTAGGCTTCTTCATCAATATCCTTATCGGCGCGATATCTGTGACTTTTCCGTTCTTCGCAAACATCTCGAACGACACAGCGAAGCCACCTTCACTACTCCTTACGTCGTTCCATGTCGCCATCTCACAGACTTTGCACTATTCGTCCCAACCACCGTCATGTTCCTCGTCGCGCGGTAGTAGGGATTGGAAGAGTATGGGTGAGCCCCATAAATCGGCATCGATCTTCTTCTGTTTGTTGGGATGTCACATAGGCGAGAGATCTCTTGTTCTCTCCCATCTGATGAAGAGGCGGATCATCTGGGCGACCACCATCCAAGTACAGACTTGTTTGTCAATAGCTTTGTTAGTGTCAACTAGATACAAAACCGTCTGTTCCAAAGCTGTTAAAGGCGTCGGCGCATTTCTGAGCGATGTTTAGACGCAGTTGCTATCTTTAGTCATCTCTGGGGCTTGTATTGGACCGCTTGAGTATATCTCCTATATGACGTGACTGCAGAAGCGGCGACTGCTGTTGCTTGTGACTTGATATCGACTTGGTGTTCGAGTACTTCCACAGATAACTGTATCGGACATCAAATACTATATAGGTATTCGGTTTGCGTGAAATCAGGCTACGAGTGGTAAGTCTTTATCATATCTTGCTAGCCATCCCTTTACCTGTGCGCGTTGCATCAAGCATTATTAGTGATAACTACTTCACGCTGCTATAGGCTGTGAGCTTGGTCCAGGGCGCTGTCAAGTCGGACTCAAAGCCTGACTTTGATGGTCTTCCTGGTATTTGTGGAGAGCCTGGTAGCAGCCGTCTTCATGGTTGTAGGTGAAGTCGTCTTTACGCGACTCTTACCTCAGTACGTAACGAACTGCGGTTCTGGCCCCTCCGATGAGTACTGAGTTGGATCCTTTGCTTTGGTTGTCCACATGTCGATTAATAATGGTTCGATTTGCGCAAGGAAGGAAAAAGAACGAATGGGAGGTTGGTGAATCAGCGGCCTTGGCGTTCTGACCTCATCCAAAACTTCGGGTGCGGCGAACAGCGGAGGTGGTGGCATCACCAGACTTTCTTGTCAACACCACTTCAATCACCCACGATGTTCACAAGACGCGCAATCCCTTCAGTCAGTCCCTGAAACCCACGTGTAGTTATCATCTCCCACCTAACAATTACTAGGCTTTCCGAGCGGCAACCCGCGCAAGCACAGCTCGCCCCATCCCCTCGGCACGATTCCTCACACCATTCCAAGCACGATTACTTTCTGATGAAGTCCGTTCCGCGATTGACAGGGCTGTCGCATCATCGCCCGTTGTTTTGTTCATGAAGGGTACACCAGAGACACCACAATGCGGCTTCTCGAGAGCTAGCATACAGATCTTGGGTATGCAGGGGGTTGATCCAGAGAAGTTTACTGCCTTCAACGTGTTAGAGGATCAGGATCTTAGGCAAGGTGCGTCGCTCCGATTATACACCTTAGTCTGGCATTGAGACTATTGGACTCGAGTCGATGCACGTCTCGGGTCACCGCAGGACAATATATGCAACCATGCAGGCTGACAGGTGTAAAACAGGTATCAAAGAATACTCTGAATGGCCGACTATACCACAACTATACGTTGACAAGGAGTTTGTCGGTGGCTGCGACATCCTCATGTCTATGCACCAAGACGGATCGCTTGCGAAGATGCTGGAGGAGAAAGGTGTAGTCGTTCCCGCGGACGGACAGGCACCATAAGCAATACATGACGCAACAACGAAGCATGAAAAGTGTGTAAAGACTGTGTCATGCAATATCGCATTTACTGTAAACGCTTGGCAACTGCCTCTGTAACAACAAGAATGTATATGTTTGCGACGAATAAGGTATGCGGCGACCCGCATTGCTGGATTTTCCAAGACAACCTGATAACGTGAATGCCACTATTTTGAAAACACTTCCTTTCTGCAATTTGTCATGTTCTACATAACTGGATGCTCTTTCCCTTCAACGCGGGCGCGACTTCCTCCAGATAACCGGAGCACACCACGAACCTTGGCCAGTCTTGGATTCATTTCCACGCTCGGCTTCGTACCTCTCGACACATATAATACGTCATCCGCACCTGATCGATGCCACTTAGGATGGGAGTTGAGCGTACTGAACCCGCTCTAAGAATGCGCGGTAACGTGGACCTACCAGCGAAGAAGATATCGCTCGCAAGAGTGAAAAAGACAATTTCAGCTGCCACCTTCTTCAAGAGGCAAAACAATAAGATTTACAAAAGAAACAGTACACTCCAGGCAACTCTCAGAAACTCAAAGTTTACCGGCGAAGACGCTAATGCTACGACATTGCTGAGCGCCAAGTCACGCTCTTCCCCACGAAGCATAAAGAAAAGTGGAGGAAAAAAGAGATCCTCGGGGAGGCACCCTCTGAATGTGTTCTTCAAAGGTGCTGCACAACTATTCTTTTATCGGCGTACAGGGAACTAATACCATTCCACACAGATGCTAGCGACGAGTACCGCCGCCATCTTTACAACACTACCTCACTCAACATCACCAAAACTCTCAATTCACTTCTCCATAACCTCTACGATAGTACTCTACGAACGATCACCCCGGACAGTAGTCAGCAAAATTCCAACGCCTCGCCCCTAAGGCTTTCCGGCCCAGCAAAGTACGAACGTCTAGCCACCCAACTGTATCAGCCCATCTCTCAGTTCAAGCTATCACTGCGGCGTATCGACAGTAGAGGAAAGAGTGTACGGTTTGTGCAGACACTGGAAACTCGTATGCTACACTATGACGAGTTGATTGCCAAAGAGACGAAGAAGCTAGGAACGCTGCAGAAAGAGTGGGAATCTGTCGTGAGTGAGATCTGGAAGCTGGGAGCTAAATGTCTGGGCGACGAAGCGATGGCAGAGATGCTATTCACTGAACAAGGATTGTATGAGAAGACCTTGCCACTTTCCTCATCTCCATTTAAAGCCACCGACGCTGAAGACACTCTGTTCATTCCTGAGAACGACAGCTTTTCTCCACGCTACAAACCTCTTGTCGGCAAAAGGCGTGTTACTTTTCTCGAAGAAGAAGAAGAAGCACCAGGCGTTTGTGGCAAGTACGACGCCACGCCAACAGATCAGTTCCCAGATTTTATCCATCAACCTTCAAGTGATCGCAACGGCACGTTGCCTCTCATACCAGATTTATCTGAGGGCGAGACTAAGGAGCTGGAGAAAATGGTGACGGAGCTAGGCAAACAGGAGATGGGTGATTTCTGCAAGATTGAAGAGGATCATGAGGCGTACTGGAAAAAGAAGACGGCACAGCTTGCGAATGCGCTGAAGAGTGACTGAGGGGGCGGCGAGTTGAAGCGCCATCGAATGAGAACATATCATTTCTAAGACCAAAACAGACGTGATTACAGAACTCTAGAAGATGCAGACCATCTGCTTTAGCAAAAAGACAGTATGTATAGATGTCGGTAAGATAGCGAGGCATAAAACACTATGCATACTGTCACATACACGGTTATAGTCGCCGTTACCTCACTTCCCGATCGAGAACTCAGTACATGTGTATAACGTTTCAAAAATCTTGTTCTTGTGCTGTATGCTCAAAAGTCTACAATGCGGACTATTAAACAAGTAATCTCCGAAAGTGATCTAGCACATGCTGCCTAAGAAAAGCAACGGTCTAATAATCTAGATGGATATCTCTGGCTCAAAGTTAAACCCCAATCTTCCCTCGCACTCTCTTGTACAAACTTAGTCGAAAGAGCTCTTGAAGACGTATCGCTGATCCTCAGGTTGTTGGAATGGTACACCAAGCTCGAACAGCGTCATTACGCTTTCAGAGAAGTCCTTGAAGAAAGCGTCGTTGTCCTTTGCGTACAAATCAGTGTACTTCCTGAAGCTTTTGTCCTTGACAAGCTCCATGTCAGTCGGCAACATCATCAAGCTCTTAGTCTTGACGTCTTCAAACTGCTTGGGACCGTTCCACTTCTTCCATGACCACTTCTCCTCAACCAGGAGCTTGTAGTAGTCGTTGGTCAGGGTAGTAGGGGAGAAGGTCCAGGGGCCGTCAAAGCCAGAGCGGTCGGTGTGGCAACGGCCTAGGGCGTGTGCACCAGAGAGGGCGACCATGGCGCGGTCATCGAAGCCCATGCGGCCGAAGATGGCGCGAATGTGGCTAGCGTCCTTGCTTGCGTCGGGCAGACGACCGTCGGGCGTGCAGTAGGAGACGTCGCGGTCGGAGCGTCCAGCTCGGTATGGAATCTTGGGACCCTGCATCTCCTGGATGGCGCAGACACCAGCAAGAATCCACAGGTCGGAGTATGTGATCCACGGGAAAGCCTCCTTGACGGGCTCAAGGAAGTCGCGGGCAGCCTTGAGACCAGCATTGGCGCCGTGGTCGCCTTCGGGAGCGAAGCGCATAGTAGCACCGTTGGAGCCACCAGTTCCGGTCAACTTGTCGAAGCTGTTGCTCATTAGCACCCCTGTTTGATGGAAGAGAAATCATGGTACTCACGTTCCCGAAGCGTGCCATGCCAGACGCAGCAGTACAGGTCCGTAGCTGCCATCGTCGTAGTCGTCGTGCTCCTCGAGCCTCTTTGCGATATGATCGTAGACCTTCTGGTAGTCCTCGAACCTAGGTGTGAAGATCTTCCTGCTGCTGGTCTGACCAAACAATTCGGGTTTGTATGTGTACAGGCTGTATACACCAGCACCAACGAGGAGGGCACCAGCACCCCAGGCTAGGCCAGTTGGGTTGCCTTCGTGCTTGTCTGGTCCTTCCTGCTGAGAAGCGTATCCGCGTTGCTGGCTGCGGAAGGCGTTCTGTGTGGGTGCGACGAAGCGGGCAGAGGAGCGGGTTGAGGTGGTACGGAACGAGGGAGCGGCGGTGCGCAGGGCGCGGGAGAAGCTTCGTGAGGCAGATGCCATTGTGCTACAAGTCGAGAGGTGTGTGTTGATAAGCTCAATTTGCCTCTGAGGTCAATTGGCGTTTGCACAAAGGCAGTAAGATCGAAGGGAGTAACAACGAAGAAGCAACCAGGTCGTAGGCGCGGGAAAGCTTTTAAAGATAATGTTCTCAATGCCTCGGACACCCGATGGCGACAATCTTTCTTTCTGGAAACAACGGCAAAGACCCACTCTGATAGCCTCTGCACCAATCAGATGCATTACGGGGCATAACCGTCTGGACCCTTGGGATTACGATATCTGATGCCGCCGCGACACACGTCCGATCGCGAAGCCATGTTTCGCCGATTGGGAAATTTTGTCCAAATTATCTGGCAGATGACAGAGTTGGAGTTATTAGGCAGGGGAAACCGTGGTTTTGTAGCCTCAAAGGGCTGGGCGTTGCCCTCGTGCATAATCCGACTTCCACACGCTGTGATTCGCCGTGGCCGCGTCGATCGACGCAGGCCAGCCAGCCAAATGAGGGGTAACAGATGAGGCTCTGCGGCATCTTCATTCCATCTCTTGGGCGGCGCATGTCGTCACCTTCTACTCGTCGTGTAGCAAACTTCACTCTCTTCACCCCCCCCCTCGTTCTTACCACGGTGGTACTTACCATGCTGGGTAGACACGGTGGCCAACCAGAGCTTTCGCGTACTAAGCCGCCGAGACTGACTCATGCCATGCCCACATGCCGTTCCTCTCCGATGAGCGGCGTGCACGGCAAAAGTGGGCGCATCGCTCAAAGAGGTAGTTTTCTCGATCTAATAGTGGTACCTCACTGTTTCTCCATGCACGGGATTTGTCAAGTAAAACATGAGTTCAATTACTGCGAATATCCAAGGCGTTCGTACCGGTAATGAAAAAGAAGCCAACACAGTCAACGCCTCCCATCCGCTGTCCTTCAATGCAATCCCAAGTCTTGATTAACGCCTTGCAAGGAAATGCTCACTCAGTTTGTGTGCGTGAAGAAACCAGAATGAATAACAACTCCAATGCCATGACATGAATGCGATCATTACCCGAAACATTACCTCTCTCGTGTATTACTCATCCAAACGTGAAATGCACAAACGAAAATGATCAATACAGATGGCCGTTGTGCGGAGGCATACCCATGATCATACCGAGATAGGGATGCGGGTGTGGGTAACCGTCTAGGCTGCTGGTAGGTGTGGAAATGCCAGAGTTGGATGCTGTTGGTGGTCGCGACTCTTCCATATTCCTCTTGGCTGCGTTCTCGGCTGCTTCCTTGACGATTTTGGGCTTGAGGAGATCCCAGGACGTGTTATTGGGATCTTTAGGAATGGTGATGGCACGCTTGTAGGCCGGGCAGGCTTCTAGCTCTTTGACGCTGATGGGCGGAGTCAGTTGCAACGCCTTTTCTTTGAAAAAGTTCTTGCGCCGTGACTTCTTTGCGTTATAGTCGGAGGTCCTAGCTGTTCGCTGCATCTCTTCCCATTGCTCCATTTTCTTTGCAAACATCTGGCGCTCTTCTACCTGCTTGGCCTTTGCAGCCAGCCATTCAGTCCACCATGCGGCAGTCTCTTCTGTGTTGGGAGTCTTCTCTCTTGACTCCCTGTGGAACTCGGCAACGAGCTTCTGTACATCTGACCGCAGGTAGATGGTCTTCAACGCATGCGTACTCGCGGGCCCCACGCCGACAAAGTTGCCCCAAGAATCGAAGATGCCACTGGGCAGAGCAGCACGGATGTAAGAAACGTCTTCGCCGTTTAGGCCCCGCAGCTGGGCAATTGCATCGTATTCCTTGACAACCTGGTTGTTGAGACAGTCTTTGCACATGCGACGCAGAAAGGCCCAGAACGTCTTGCGAGTGTTTGGCGCACCGCAGTCCATACAGCCATGCCCATGACGCAGATGGGCGAACTGGAACTCGGTGAGACCTGGAGGTGGGTCCGGCATGTCGTTTCCGTAGTAGTAATCCCTGCTATGCTTCCAGAGCATGGGGTTATCCCGCAAAAACCGATAGCATGAGGCAATCTTGCTACGCATCTCCAGCAGCTGCGCAGGGTCCGAATACGAAAGTATGATGAACCAACAGTCCAAGTCGACGCCTTTGGACAAGATCTTGCCCCTCCGTAATCTCGTCGGCTTGCGCTGCTGCCACTGTTGATTTAGCAGCTGGCGGGCCGGTGCCGCAACGAGTGGAGTCGTCGCATCGTTTCCCGAGTAGACAGCAGGGTTTGCCGCCTGCTCAGAGTCCTTTCTGCCCTCGTCGCCCCGCTTGCGCTTCAAACTGCCTTCGACCATTGCCAAGGGCACATTGTGAGACCGTACCTCTTGCGCCAGCCCCGCACGCTTCCCGCCGGGGCGCCGACAGTTGATCACGGTTGCGTAGGCTTGATCCGGTGTCTGCAGGAATGGAGTCTGCTTGTTGACTGTAAAGGCGACATATTTGGCATTCACCATCTCGGGTCAGCAGGCCAGCCGCTCTGGGTATCGTAACGGGTCGCTCGCAGTCACACTTCCACGTATAGGCTCGGGCCTTGCATAAGGTGCTGGCAAGATGGCGGAATTGGAGTGTGGACGGTCGAGAGGCTGAAGGAAAGAAAGGAAAGGAGTGTGGACGACGCTGAGACTTTCGCGCGCCCAGGCTTGAGTTGAGGTCGGCTGCCGAACCAAACTTGCCCGACTACAAGGTTGGCCCTTCGGATATAAAACCTGGCCCCTACTCAGCGCGACCACCCGTAGCCATCACATCTACAGTGTCCAGTTGACATCAGCCTAGAAGTGTACCTGGTAAAAAAATACGTCTGCCAGTGGAGATATGGATCCAGGAACTCTTCACGACACTGACATGCGGAATGATGCGCGCTCGCTATGCCGCATCAATCTGCTCCGATGCATCTTTTTCCCATTAGGCCCGACGCCACACCGCTGATCACATGGTTACATCACACGCGAGGCGCACGCTTACGGGCCTTTTTTACAGGTTTGAGCCGGCCAAAGTCGCCTGTCCAGTTTGCTTGTTGCCAGAGCCGAGTGCTGGATGATTAGCAGCATGCTGTCTGCGCCATCTCCTTGTGTACCCGTGACTTGGCGCTGGGAACGGCAGAGCAGCTTCCTAATGAGGAATTGCATCGCTTACGCATGGGAAAAAGGGCAAAGTCAAAGATGCGGGGTTAGCGAGCGTGGAGGATGCGAGAGTGGTCAGATCTAGTGCTAGGGTCACCAGCGACCTCGGCCTTCGCAATGACTCTATCTCGTTATCCGCTTTCCACGTTATATTCTCTTCACTCCCGCCTGTTTCAAGTGCAGTGCAAGCGCGAACCTGGCGTCGGATCTACCCCGGTGCACTAGTTGACCAACCAGGTGGATTGAACAAGTCAGCTTCCATCATGTTTGGAAAGAAAGAGAGTAAGTTGCATCTCGTCATTACACTGCCAAGTTGTCTCGGATCACTCCCCCGGAATGCTTGACGAATCTTGTCAGCTTGCAAGCTTATCGTCAGATTCACGTCTCTTGCTTCTTCAAGGCGTCCCTCCATGCAACACGACGTATCCCTAGATTCGCTGGATCACGCTGATCATCTGCAAAAGATGCACCGTCTTCGGACTTTGAGAAGACGGACCCTGTCCCTCGTTACGACAACACCTACGATGACGACCCAGCGCTCGTTCAGTGTCCACCAAACACTACAGAATCCAAACTCGTGGCCAAAATCGACCTCCATGTTATTCCTTTTCTCTGCATCATGTATCTTCTGGCCTTCCTGGATCGTGTCAATATCGCAAACGCAAACGTCTTTGGACTCAGCGTCGAACTCGACTTACTACGGGACAACCGCTACAATACTGCCCTGGTCATCTTCTTCATTCCGTACATCCTGTTCGAAATCCCTTCCAATGTGCTCCTCAAGAAGATGAAGCCTCGAGTCTGGCTCAGTATCTGTATGTTTGGCTTCGGACTTGTAACTATGCTACAAGGCTTCGTGCAGAACTACGCTGGTTTACTTGCGACTCGATTTTTTCTCGGTCTATTTGAAACCGGCATGTTCCCCGGTGCGTTCTACTTAATCGGCATGTGGTACCGGAGACACGAGGCGCAGAAGCGATACTCGTTCTTCTTCAGCTCAACAACTCTGGCCGGAGCTTTTGGCGGGTTGTTAGCCTCTGCAATTGGCAAGATGGAAGGTATTTCGGGATACCGTGGGTGGAGGTAAGTTTTAGATGTGCAAGTGCACACCCAACATACACTGACTCCGACAGATGGATCTTTATTCTCGAAGGACTCTTGACCGTTCTAGTTTCCTTCGCATTCTTCTTCTTGCTTCCAAACTTTCCAGAGGAAGTTAAGTGGCTTTCGGAGCCCGAACGCGCCTTCGTCAAAGCCAGGCTCCAGATCGATCAAGGGCGCTCCGCGCGCGAACGACCCATAAAAGCCAAGGATGTGGCGAACATCTTCAAAGATCCCAAAATCCTGCTCGGCGGACTCATGTACTTTGGCTTGATCGTTCCCGCCTATGGATATGCCTACTTCTCCCCGACTATTATCCAGGATTTCGGCTACTCTCCTATCCAAACACAACTTCACAGTGTTCCCCCATGGGCTGCCGCGTTTGGCTTCTCGATGCTTGTTGCGTGGTTCTCAGACAGGCTCAAGCACCGCTTCATGTTCGCCATTTTCCCTATTGCTGTCTGTATCGCCGGTTTCGCTATTCTCATCTCTGTGCACGACAATCGCAACCTACAGTACGCGGCGCTCTTCCTAGTAGCGATGGGGGCCTACACCGCTATGCCAGTCATCGTATGTTGGTTCAACATGAACTTGGGTGGCCACCACCGTCGAGCTGTGGGAAGTGCATGGCAGGTTGGTTTTGGTGAGTAATTCCTGATATACACCATATGAGATGTTGAGAACTGATTAAACACCCTAGGTAACATTGGTGGTATTATTGCAGTCTATTCATTCTTGAAGAAAGATGCGCCGAAGTATACAAGAGGATACTCAATCGCTATCGGTTTTGTATGCCTCAGTGGATTGAGTTGCTGCGCGTACTTTGTCATGTGCAGCTGGGCAAATCGGAAGAGGAACAAGAGCGTCAGGGATGTTGGGTTGACGGAGTACGAAAAGACCGAGATGGGCGACCTGAACCCGGAATACCGCTACCTCTTGTAGACGGTAAAACAAAGACTAGACAAGGAGGAGAACAAGAGCAGATACTGCAGAATCTAACCTTGATCAGGTTAATAGAGAAAATTACAGAGATGTGGTTTTCTCACTATTGAGCTCCTGACTTTATACAACGCTATATGAATTCTTATGACGCTGCCTTTACACGATACGGTGTAGCAGCCCCAGTGTGTCATACTCACCGCGTGTGTAACATCTTTTGCTACGCGTCTCAGGTCTTATTGGTCGTCTTGCACGCGACCTTTCTAACATTTTGCTACTAACCCTAGAATGTTTCAGTGAAAGCTTATCTGACTTCAATCAGAGCTCCTTTTGAAATATGTGTGGCGTCTTGGTATGAAGGCGTGTGGATCCTTCTGGGTCTGGAGAATACAATCTCAATAGGTATCTCGGTCTACACTGACCCGTGCATAAATAGGTGGTTTTGCGCAATTGTTGTGTGTAGTTGCTTGCCATCTCAGGTAACGCTCGGTGCCGTCGTGACGCTTGCAGTGTCCACGCTTTCTTCGCTGCCATGCCCCCAGATCTCTTTACTCTCGCTCTCAACTCCCCTCATAGCCTTTGCAACTTCTTCCAACCTTACAACGACCTCTTGCACACCCTTGTTTACCTTCTCAAAGTACCTGTCATTCTCCTCTCTCCTCTTCCGGCTCAACTCGATATCTTTTTCTGTCTCCTCCTCAAGCTTGATGCGATCAAACAACTTCTCACCCTTTCCGGATCCTGCCCCGTCATGAGGGTGTGCAAGGCTCTGTGGTTGCAGATCGTTCGCTTTGCTATCCTGTGACTTCTTCTGTTGTTCGGGTGTCTGTTCATCCTCTTCTGAGCGTGCCCATGCTTTCGCGAGTTCTATCTGCGCTTTTCGCAGCTCATCAAGGGCTCGGGAATGTTCAGAACCGAAGACGGTCATACCTGGTCCCTTGATGGCGCTCAGCTCCACCTCCTCCAATGTGTTCTGCATCTCGGCCCATATTGCTTCGGCGCGTGACGATGCTTCGGCATCTGCTGCTTGGCTATGCTGTCTTTGTCGCCGTTGGAAGGGCGCAGAAGGATTTGTGGAAGTAAGACTGAGGTGGTCGCCATCGTTGGTTGTCGTAGGTGGAAGAGGTCGCTGCGAATCTGGGGAGAGCAGTGAACGTTGGCGGACTAAGGGCGTCTTTGTAGGGGATCGAATCTCGTGTAACGAAGTGTTGGAAGCATTGTGCGATGGTGGCCCAACGAAGAGGGCAGGAGCAGGTAGGCGATTAGTTTGCGTCTTGGTGACTTTCTTGACGTTTTGGGAGGCCATAGTGACGCGCGAGTTAGGCGCGTAACGTAAAATACTAGTTGTAGTATCGTGGACCCTGTATGAGTCTTACGAAGGGCACTTGATTGAACCTCTGCAGCTTCTAAAACTGCCAACAAGCTGAACCTGTGACTTGTTCGGTATTGACAATTGATGTTCCTGTCTCCCCCAGATGGGATGACGATGGCCCGATAAGATAAGATGGCGTGGTGGCGCTAGGCCGTTTGCAGGCCAGCGCCGCTAAGCTGTGGGGCTTGGCTCTGGCGCACACTGATTCCAGCCGCTCTCGAAAATACTTCGACGTCTGCGATACTAACCACACTCTCCCCAGCACACCCGTCGTCAATACCGCAACCATGGGTAAAGGTACGCAACTACTCTCTCCAGCAGCCCCCGATCGACGACAAATGCACGATCCCGCGCCTTCGCCGTCTTGGATACCGTCGTATATTGTGTAGTTGCTCACAATACCATCAGGAAAGCCAAGAGGTCTCAACGCCGCCCGCAAGCTCCGCAACCATCGCCGCGAGGGACGATGGGCGGACCTCCACTACAAGAAGCGTCTTCTCGGAACCGCCTTCAAGTCCTCCCCCTTCGGTGGATCTTCCCACGCCAAGGGCATAGTCCTCGAGAAGGTCGGTGTTGAGGCCAAGCAGCCCAACTCCGCTATCCGAAAGTGTGTCCGTGTGCAATTGATCAAGAACGGAAAGAAGGTCACCGCTTTCGGTATGTCACTATCTGGAGATTGAGGAGAGCTCCGAGATGAGCCTGTGGCGAGCATGAGAGCACGGGCTAATAATTTGGCAGTTCCCAACGACGGTTGCTTGAACTTTGTCGATGAGAACGACGAGGTCCTCCTTGCTGGTTTCGGTCGTAAGGGCAAGGCCAAGGGTGATATTCCCGGTGTGCGTTTCAAGGTCGTCAAGGTTTCCGGTGTCGGTCTGTCCGCACTGTGGAAGGAGAAGAAGGAGAAGCCCAGGTCATAGAGGACTCGTCTGCAAGGAGTCAAGGAAGGAAACGAACGTGGACCACAAGCCCGCCATGAACGAATGATGGAATCCGCGGATCACTATGGGAGGTTACCGGAGTCTTTACATTGGGATATCTGTGCTTCTACTCGGCATATGAAAAGTCATGATATGCTGGAGAGTTAGATAGAGAATCTGACTCGTTCAAGCGCCCACTCCGTTTGCATATGTCTATGGAGTGAAGTTTGGTGCGTCGCCACATCGTCCATGAAGTTGAGCAACCGTGTTTTATGGAAGCTGCACATGCTACAAAGTATCGTTTATTGAAAAGGACATTGTATTCTACACTAAGCATTCCGTTCAACGTCAACCGACTTGGACTGATGCAACATAGGAAAGAGGCGCCGCCGGGTATCTTAAACAAAACGCCAACCACACATGCAATCTCAACAACTCTAGGATAAAGTTTACCCTATTTCGTAAACATAGCATTAAACGTATCCTCCAATCCTGTATCCTTGGGAGTCCCATAATAATCATACTTCAGCTTCGGGCTAGCGAAGAGCTCCGCGTCCCTCTTAACATTCTTTGGTACACCCAGGCCATCTAGGCCTGATACTTCTCCCACGCCTCCTTGTGTCTTCTGTTCCTTCTTAAAGAAACTGGGTGCGTTTTCTTTGAGAGGAGGAGTCCAGACACTGGGTTTCCAAGGGTTGGGTTTCTGGCTCGCAGAGAGGGAGGTTGGTGGCGGGGCTGGGACCCGGTGACGGAAGGGGTTTGGGTCTGGCTTTGAGAAGATGGAATGGGGTTCGTTGAAGCGAGGAGGTGCTGCGGGTGGTGGGGTTGTAGTCTTGGAAAACTGATTGGATATGATCTCTGGAGCTTGGGAAGAGAAACGGCCTCTGGGCTTAGTTGGTGTCCAGTCCATGTCGTCAGCACCCAGGAACGCGGATCGCTGAGCGAAGGGGGTGGTGACATCGGTAGCGTGTGTAGTGTAGGAGGCTTCTGAGATGGTTGGTGACGGAGGGAGAGGAGAGGATTCTTTACCCTGTTCAAATCCAGTCGTGAAAGCTTGCGCCATACTATCGAAGAGGTCTGCCTGGGGATGAGCCGGATGGTAAGAGCCTTTCCTGACCTTCTTCGCGCTACCAGGCACCTCGGGAACAGGTTCTCGAGTCGCTTTTGGGAAGGAGGGTGCAGCGCCGTATACGATGCGCACAGCCTTCCATGCCATGAGGGACGAGAAAGCTAGTATGCCGAGCATGCCCATGTGAGTGTGCCGGAAGTGGTCGAGCGTCTCGTTATTGATTTCGGTGCCTTGCCAGTAATAGAGGCTTACGAAGCGGAGGACAACCGCACTTACGCGGATCACCCACAAGGACATGAGCCCACGCATTCGTCCTGTAAGACTGTTCATCTTGACTTTCAACTTGGGATTCCACCAGACTGTAAGAGCGTCGGCAATGATTGCGAACTTCAACCACTTGAGTACTACGGGTGACAGTACACAGACTTCATCGATCCAGCCATTTGACTTGGCCTGGGTCCAACAAGTATCCCAGCTGAACACTTGATACGCCCGTATATCTTGGTCCGGACCCATAATCAACCCAGCACTATGCCAAACCACGCCTATTACCGTGCTCAAGATGTAAGTCCACTTGGCCAGCGAAATGAGCCTCAGTGTCCACGCTTGCCGGTGGGTGTGTACGGTCGTGCGCTTCTGCTTGGCCGCTTCCATTATGCGCGCCAGATTGTCTGCTCTAGCGACGTGATTCGCATTCCTGATCTGATGTTGGACTCGAGGCAGACATTCGCTGCAGACTTGTGGGTATCGGGTCTCGAGCTCGTCCTTGTAGTCGTCATACGCGGCTAGATATTGGTCGTATGCCGGGTCGTCTTCTTCAGGGAGGTATTCACCGAGGAGTTTGGCGTAGAGGGTCTGGTTGCGCTGACATGTGTCGCAGAAGATGTCATCCCCCACTGTGGACATGGCAGGTGTTGGTGAGCGCGACCGCAGGTGTTGAAAGGAGGCTTGAGGTGCGGATGCGATTTCTTCCAGGGGCGGATCTGTGATGTTTCCACGCTAGAAACAAGTCAGCTGGGAAGAGTTGAGGGGACACGCAGCGAGTATGTACCTCATCGAAGTGATTCACTGCGTCGCATTGCGGACAGTGAAATGTCTTGGGTATGTGTAAGAAGGTGTCGCGTGACTGGTTGTTGCAGTAGTGACAGCGCAGCCTGCGCCGTAACAGCGCCATGGTGAAGGAGACACCTGGAGTATGTGGTGATGGCAATGGTCAGTGTTGATGCACCATGTCATGGGCAACGACGTGTTTCGGCAGAATGTCGAGGCTGCCACACCGCCCGAGCGCCGGCGCGGAAATTTGGTTCACCATGTCGAATGCACTGTTCACCACTTTGGGAGCGACGACTGCCGACAACGCATCACGGCGGACAGAACAGTGGCCCAGGAACTTGCGGCACCATCGCCCGAATCGAACGTCCCGGCTATATCCATCACTCCACCCCTCGTCGCCCGCCATTCGATGGCTCGGTAGTCCGCAAACCCTCGCACATCCATCTCAATCGCCGCCGTCCCGCCCACCATGAGCCAGTTGGTCGTCAGGCCAGGACGCAATGCCGCCCGACAGGCCAAAAAGCTCAAGGAGATTCGGAAAGTCAAGAACGCAATTACCTGGCACGAGCGGGAACGCAAGAAGCGACAGGAACTCAAACAGGAACGATGGGATTCCAAGCAAGCCGTTATCCAACGTATAATGTGGGAGCATGAGCACGTCAAGGGTGTTAGGAAACAGGCCTTGGCCAATGCAAAGGAAGACTGGAAGCTTGGTCCCTTGAGGCCAAATCGCGCCATTGGCCCCGACGCTGAGAAATATGGTGCCCTCAAGGCTGCCCAGATCCAGAAGCCCGAGATACCTGTCAAGACCCAGAAAAACCGAAATGCTGTCAGGGAGAAGAAGGGCCTGGAATTGGAGTATCCGCTAGTCGTCGACGATAAGAAATACTTCCCGATTGTAAAGGATGATCGTGTCGTGATATTGAAGGGGAAGGACGCGGGTAAAATTGGTACTGTGCAAGAGCTCGTTCCGAGAACACACGAGGTTGTCGTTAAAGACATGAACATGGTAATTTCTACCTTGCCTTACTGCAGCTGTGTATCATTAACACTTCACAGCAATATTTTGACACCGCCGTGTTCAACGCCGCTGCCGAAGGCATGGGGCCTAAGATAGAGAATGCTTTGCCTATGCCTCTTGATAACGTACGCCTGGTGGTACCTGCCGAGATACAGAAAGGAGGCAAAAAGTGCTTCGAGGATGTTGTGGTCGAGAAGATCTTCATGGAGCGACATACAACCGGCATTGACCCCTACACTGGCACCGATTACGGCGACAGCGAGATCCCGGAAGCACATCAATATGATCCTCGAACTGGTCTCCCCATATTCCACCGATACATTGCAGGCACACGGCAACGACTTGAATGGCCATGGGAACGTGAAGAAGAGATCAAAGATATCGATATCACGAAAGAGTCAGAGACGGACAAGCAAACATGGCTCAGAAAAACCATAGCCAGCATAAGCCAGCCGCTCACCAGTTTGAGTCGCTGGCGAAGCAAGAACAACGAGGACCGAGCTCAACAGGACGCATCGAAGGACCTGGCAACTGGTAGCATTGAAGAGAAGTTTTCTGAGATTCAGAGGATGGAGCAAGATAGATTCAAGGCTGCGACCCCAAGAAGCATGGATCCCAACTATCCCGGAGCCTATGACGTTGATACAACGCGCAATATCGTTGAGGGATCAGAGTCCATGGCTTATACGCTCGTTGCACCACCTTTCCCCGACACACTTGGTGAAGAACTCCGCGGCGATATTCACGAATTCTCCATCAAATCAAAGAAGGAAAAGGGCCCTGATGCACCGCGCCCTATCAAGATTGCAAGACACTCTGAGCAGGGTGTGCTTGCACGGGAGATTGCAAAGCAACAGCAGAGAGCTGCGGACGCAATGAAGACACCCATGCAACTGAGGTGGGAGCTCGAACATCAGAAGAAGGTGCAGAGCCAGAAGGAGAAGCCACTCGTGGACCAAGAAAGCTTGCTGGCGGCGTTGGGTCAGCACATGCAGAAGAGTGCTACAAAGCCGTATCTGGGAAAGAAGCAGATTTCCAGTCAAACAGCCGATCTCGATTAGAGCCATCAAAGCACGACATGACACCACATGACGCATTGTGGAATGAAATTTGTAGCATGTATTCTGTATATATAGCAAGCATTGCAGTGGGAAACTCAGTCAGGCCCTCGGCAGCATGTGGGGTATCTTCGCTGTAAATGTACACCAAACGCCTAAATCATGCATATCACGACTCCCATCACCTTGCCATGTATATGAGCTCGTACTCAAACTAGAATGCCCCAGTACTCCGCTCGTCCCCCAGCGCCTTCTAGCTCCTCCCACTGTACCAGGAATCGATCCACAACCCTCAGCAATAGCTTCCCACTCAGACTCAATGTCTTGACGCGTGCGAAGCTCTCTACGTACACGGTCTTGCACTTGTCCCTGCTGTTCGCACCCTTGATGTTGAAGTAACGAAGTATAAGACTCGCGAGGATCAAGATTACAGCCGTAGCTGGGCCGTTTGTGATGATGAGATCTGGGAGGTCGGCGGCTGTGGTTTCGTAAGGTGTCGTGGGAGCCTGGCCAGCTAGTAGCGGTGGTACGTGAAGGAGAGGCGCGAACGATGCTAGGAGAGTATAGAGTGATGTTAGAGGTGTTGTGAGGAGTGGCTGGTGTATCTTGCGCGCACGAGGCACGTTGGCGATATTATAGTGGTCTGGTCCAGTGCATGCTGGTTTATCGCCCTTCTTCTCTCCCGCCACATATATCATGCTGTCTGCACCTGTCATCACCGTCACCGGTGTTCTTCCTGCGCTGTTCTCGTAGACTGCATTTTTCTCCATGTCTTGCTTGCGTAATCGTCCCTTTTCCTTATCTTCAAGTCCTCGCTCAAACTCCGCGGCGCGTTGTGCTGAGAATGCATCTCCGCTGCTGACTACATATGTTCTGTGCGTGTACTTGCGTGTATCCAGATCTCGAAGTAGGTAGAACATCTCGTGTGTATGCCCTCCCGATCCTAGCACGATAAGAACGCGTGTTGCGAGCGGGCGCTGGCGTAGCGGTGTTGATTTCGAGCGCGCATTTGGAAGGATAGCGAGCAGACGTAGTGTTGCAGCGACAAGCAGAGTAACTAAAGTCGCGATCGCGAAGGAGAGCGTATAGAGGGAAGCTGGCGGGGGTGCCATGGCGGGGTTCTTGCAATGGAACGCGAATGAGGCCAAGCCGCGGTGGGCTTTCTATCCTTACGATTCCTGTTTAGAGATTCCGAATGCTGTGACTCAGACTGAGCGCGAAAACATCGCTGTTGTGGTCGTAAACTTCACCGGGTGAAGGTACGTGTCATAGTAGTCGGCCAACCATACGGATCTCGGAGAGCACACGAAATCACATGCTTTAGACTTGGCGCGAGGGCAAGTCTACCAGCACCATCCACGTCTTCTCTCTCACATTTTCATCACGCACGTGGGAAACACAGGTCCAATTAGACTCCGTGCCTGAGAGATACATAATTCTACGGCCATACTCACGATCATATTTGAGGAGATCACGCCTCAGCTACTCCGTCATGTACCTACATTACCTTTTCAAGTATTCTTTCAAAGCTTACTGAGGAAGACCATTGTCGAATTGCAAGTGTGTTTTGCTACGAGAGCAACTCGGATCGATGGATGAAGCGAGTGCTTACGCCAGAGAGGAGAGCATATGTACACGAATAATGGTCACAGATCAGTCGGGGTGACGCAATACATGTGTCGAGAGCTCAGCCTTACGTGTGTGTATGTGTGGTGTCCTCGGCGAGGCACAACAAGAGCATCTTCTAGGAAGAAAGCACAGGTATACACATCAATCCTTACAGAGATCATTCCGGAAAAGCAGACTCTTTCAGTACTCGTCATCACCGCCCATTTTCGCCCACAACAATTTCCTCCCAAACTGGCCAATACACAGCCCTCTCTGGTCCATCCATTTGCCAAATCAAACTGGGATTCTGCCTCATAACACCTTCATATTCCCTCTTCAAGCCCAACAATTCCTCACTCAAATCCCTTATCGCATTGATTACTAGCCTCAATTCCTTGCCCTCCATAGTTGCTGGCGATATTTCGCTCTTCAAATCTGACAACGGGCCGACAAGACGCGCGAGTGTCGGAGGCAGGTTGTAGCGGAAAGAAGCTTCTACCCATACAGTGACCGCAAGACGAGAAGCTAAGAAGACGCTAAGCGCGGGTAGATAGGCTAGTATGTCCGCTGAAGAGTTTGTGGTGTGGTGAGACGATGGAGCCAGAGCCCGACTGAGGTGAATGGGCCAGCAGAGAGCCGCGTAGCGTAGGAATGGAAGGTGGGTGTCGAAGGGTATGGTGCGGATGCTATTTGCTCGAGAGCTGTTGTGTTGGGTCGGTGTGGCATGCACATTGTGAATATTAGTATCTCCGTCTGATGAAGACAGAGACTTGTATCCGCTATCACACGATGCACTTGTTCTTTGGCTCGCGCCACTGCTAGTAGGTATGGTGAGTGGCATGACGGGGCCACGAGGCTGCAAGGCACCAAGAGGGCGTTTTGGTACATCGTGAGTGAGGTAAGCTAGACACCGTGCTGCTAGGTGGGCATGTACGCTGCTGTCATCGTAAAGACTAAATTCCGAGCTTTGAGACCCTGGACTATGGAGGTAGTCTCGTATGGATCCGTGGGAAAAAGCGATGTCGTCGTTGACAACGCGAACGAAGCCAAATGTAAGTTCCGGTAAGGCTTCTAAAATATCTTTCGTATGCGAACTCTCGGACACGTTGGGGTTGCGTAGAATGAGAGCGGTATGCAATGCCTCTGGACACATGCGGTTGATTGGGCAAGAGAGCCACCGGAACGTGTCAGTGATGACATGTTTTTCAGTCAGTGGATGGCGTGCTAATGCATCAAACATGATACGAAAGAGTGATTCCAGACTCTGCAGCGAACGCATGTCTTGTAAGATAGCAAATCGCTCCTCCGATGACAGCAGCGGCGATTGAAGGAACTTCAATACCATGCCGGCCCATAGAAAGTCACCATCCGCTGTCTTCGCGACTTCCGAGATGAGCGATCGGTCCATGCAAATCCCAAAGAAACCTTGGTCTGCTAGGCGGTTCAGTTTTGGTGCCACGAAACGATCGATAGCAACTGCGTTGTACTTGCTAGTAAGTGGGAGAATGTGGGGAGCATCTGAAGCCCATTTCTGGTACTCGAGAGGTATCTTCAAGTTCGGCCTGCTGAATATAATAACTCTTGTGTCGGAACCACGACAAAGTCTTGCTAGAGAAGCGAGGAGCATTTCAGTGTCGCTACACTCATCAATGCCATCAACCACAATGAAAGTGGGATGTTGTCGAAGTAGAAGCAATAAAATGTCCGTGACCTCATCAGTAGTAGCGTGTTCTCGAAACGAAGTTTTGCGCAATAAAAGGCTGACAGCATCCAGGGTGGAACGATCGTGTCGATGTGTATGGAGCAACTGACATGAGAAGGCCCGAAATGCGTCTTCAGGTTTGTTGTTCTTGTAAAGGAGGTTACTAAAATGATAGTGTGCGGTCGCTGGAGGCTCATCGCATAGGTCAGGATCTTCTGCTTCACCAGCCAGATTGCTTACAACCGAGTGTGATATGACAGTCTTGCCAAAACCTGCTTTCGCTAATCACTTGTCAGCTTTCCAAATATTTGACATAGATGCAGGTTTACCTACCCTGTACGAACAGCACTCGATGCTGCCAGTTACTAGCTATAGCATTCTGATCGTTTGCCATGCTTTGATCAAAGCGCTGATCTCGCCATTTGGTGTATGCTGGAGCATGCAAGAACCACGCACAGAAGTCCTGGTAAGGTTGACGAAAATCGTGAGCCGTTGTGTTAATCGAGGCTGAAGTTGACAGCCAGCTTTGCACTTTTTCAACTCTCCTTAACCGCTTTGCAAGTCGTTGTCCATCTTGTTCTACCTGACTATTGCAGTCTGCACTACTCTGTCGATGTAGGAAGCTAAGATAACTTCTACGTTGCTGTGAGACTTCCGCGTAGTATTGAAATTCGTTGTCGGTCTCTCTCTCTAGCCAGCTCCTATGCTGTCTTATCCGGGTTTCAACGTGGGCAAAGCGCGAGTCGAGTGGCCGCCATAGCGATGAATGTGCCACTCCGAACGTAAGAGATTGCACTTCTGTGCCTGTGTATAGTCAGTCAAACCCGGTTCTGAATCTGTACGATATGGAAACATCTACGACTGTATGTCATAGAACTCGGAGCATAGTAAAAAGTTCTAGCGCGTGGAAAATCTCATAATTCAACGATGTACGGATCTCTGGAGCTTCCGTGGCAGAACACTATGACGGTCCGAACCACATATGCGACTTCAAGTCAACGAGAAGACGTACCTTGTGATCCTCGGCAAAAGATTCGATACAGCTCTAGGAAAAGCTGCACAAGGTCCGCATACACGAAAGAAAAAAGTGTTGCCAGATGATAATCTTCAGCTTGGCCATGAGCCTCGGAACCGTTACGTTTGCAGATTTCGTAGATCTGTTGGTAAGGAGGTATGATCTGCGCAATAGCCTCAAGCATGTCGGCAATCTTCTCAAGGAAAAGCACGCAATCAGTGCTCATCTGCCTCCAGTGTGAGTTCAAGAGATGCATTCAGAGTGGCTTTGATCCATACCTCGAATACCAAACGAACAATTCCCCACAAATGACCCGCCCATGCTGGCTTTAGTTCGATACATGTGCTAAGAACATCGAAGTAAGGTGCAAAAGTTCGAATGAACAATGTGAACTTTCGGGTAGAAACCAGTCTTCTTAGGTCTGTGGACCCGTTGCCGGTGGACATACGATGCAAGTCGTTCAGCAAGAGCGAGGCACTAACATCGTGATGGAAATTTTGACAATGTTCTGGCAGTATAGTGTTGTGTGTTGCCTGTATTGCTTCATCAAAGAGTGAATGGTCTAAGCTAAATCATAGTCAGCTTTGCTCGGGCTGCCAGTGACAGACTAACCTTGAATCCACCATGGCTATGTCCGTGTCTTGAGTCTGTGTCGACATTTTTTAGACGCGATCGAACTCGAGCGTAGACTTCTTCTCTGTAGCGAATTCATTGGCACAAGACGTTAAGCATCCACTTGGAACGATTCAGAGCGACAGTGACATTGTAAAGGTATGGATCCGGCAAGGACAGCGGGTGTGCCTGAGTAATAAACATTCAACGCGCTCATTTTGATGGGACCTAACACGAGAACAATTACTGTCCCGCATGGAGCCACGGGAGAAGAAACGGGCGTCGTGGGGCTGAAAAGATGCGGCAGATAAGCGGGATGTGTAAGAGCATGTTGAGTAAGGACCTATAGCCACGAATGTCATGCCCCGGACACAAAGACGTGGGGGAGCAAGCTAGGAACGTGGGCGAGACGACAGGCCCATGCGACAGCTCGAATGTGGCAGATCGGAGGTGCAGGCCGGCGGGCGGGTAATTCCTTGTTCGTAATGAGTAAAAGAAACCCAAAAGGAACATTACTCAAGCGAGCCGTGGAACATGAACGAATAATATCTTGGGTATCTCCTCCTACGAGCTACATAGCCAACTGCTCGGCGCAACGGGTCTATAGTACAAAAGGTATTAGAATGCGAGGTACTAAATCGAATGCCACTAAAATTGTGGCTACCTGATTACGCGGATGCGGGCATGCCGAGCCGAAGCGCAAGCAGCGCACGCACGTCGGTGACATACTGCAAGCCCTCAAGCAGTGGGATAAGGTGCAGCAGATCGTGGTCTGTTGGGTCGCTGATCCAGCCTTCGATGGGAATGGCATTGTCTGGGATCACTATCAGTACAGGCTGCCTTGGGTCGCACTGGGCCGGAGCTGATCTTACCTGGATGGAAAACGTAGCTCAAGGGGCTGTTGTCAAGAATCATGACCTTGCTGAGATCGGGCTCAACCTGAGCAAGGTCCTTGATGTAAGCCCCGTTACGAACAGTGCAGTGCTGTCGATAGTATCTGCCTGCAAAGTACTTGCGCTCCACCTCGAGCCAGTCAATGACGGGATCTGCGTACTCCTGAACCGACGCGGTGAATATGATCAGATTGTACCATTTACTGACCTGTCGCGCCGTTAGTGTGACATGAGGCGCTCCTGGCCGAGGCGCATACCTTTTTCAAGAAATCGTCGCAATACGGCCGTTTGTGAACATAGTACAGGAGCGGCACTTGTGGGCCAACAACCTGTCCATCCGCGCCAACCGAAGCCTGAAGCTTCACTTCTACCATGTGGCCGGTCTGGAAGCGGCCGCCGTTGACTATGCTGTGAATCAGCGTCTCATCGAGATCTATGATCAGCGTCTTCTGGTGTGGTCCAACGGCGGATACGCCTTTTGCAGAGTACGACGGCTGGCGGCGTGGCACCAAGGGACGCGGGGGTTGGGGCGCCCGTGGGAACTTGGTCAGTTGTTTCGACGACGCAGATGCCGGGCCAGTGGGGGACTTTAGGGAAGCGGCCGCCTCGGAGGAGATGGAGTCGGCCCTTGACGATTGGGCCTTTTTCGCCGCCTTGCGTTGCCTCAGAGCATCCTCGTTGTGGTGCAGGGTGATGCGTATCGACCTTTTGGCTGGGGCGATTTCGTCTGCTCGTGCAGTTGCGCTCGATTTGGAGCGAGTGTGGCGGGAGGGGCTGTCCAGGTCGTCGTCGCGTGTGGGAGATCGCTCGCTTTCGGAATCGGACGTCATGGCGGTCGAGGTTGATGCTATTGACAGTGAACGTCTCGTGGGTTGCTTCATAACTGGTTGCGCGACACTCGAACTGCGACTCTTGCGCACTCCCTTCTCGCTACGGTCTGGGGCAGCCGAGGCTCGCGATGATGCATGCGCCGCCACTTTTTTCCGGCGTGCACGCGTAAAAGTGCGCGAGATGTTGTAGACAGGTGCTAGAAAGGAGAAGTGGCCGTCTTCCTCGTAGTAGAAGGCGGCGACCAGACACTGCCCCGTATACACAAAGGGGGTCACCAGCACGCCGACCACAGCGGCAATGCCGTCGGATATGCGCGCGGGATACAGCCATATCCTGCGCCGCTTGGTGTCTTCGTAGGGGCCCTTCTGGGCCTGCTGGAGTAGTGGTGTCTTCTCGTCGTATCCGGATGCGACCGCCTCCGTATTCGAGGAGCCGGAGCCGTGGCTCCTGTCGGCGCCCATCTTGCGCGTCTCACTCTGTGCAGCTATTGCACTCGCATCGTCAGCTGGGGGTGATCTGGAGGGCCGAGGCTCGAGAATGGCGAAGGACTGTGGGGTAGCGTGATTGCTGGGGGGAGCGCAGATGCTTATGTGTTGTTGGCTGACGGTAATACCTCCGTGATGGCGGGGCCGTTGCGAAGCGTGTACAGAGTTGCGGCTCAGTGAATGTGCTCTTCAAGCACTGACGGAACTAGCAACAAGCCGAGGCGTGCAATTCGAGGGAGAGGATGGCTATGCAGCTAAGCAGAGGTTGGGGACGAGGGCAATGACGAACCGCTCGAGCGACCGTGCCCAATCGGAACGCCGAAAGCTCAATTTAGTTACGACTCATACTTTGCCATGACCACCGCTTCGACATGCAATTCCACTCCCACGCTGCCCCAACATCGCCATAGCCGCGTCGCCAGTGCTTTGGCCCAGCAGCGCATCCACCGACTGGCCAGAATACACCCCCTCGGACCTGCCCAGCGACCACGAGAGTCATCAAACCACGACAACCCCACCACCCCACATACCCTCGATATCCCGTTTGAAATCTTGCGACTTTGGCCTGCGCCTTCGCTTTCGCACAGATTCCCACCATGCAGGGCGCAACAATACAGGCGCCGGGACTGTCGACGTACCTCAAGTCGCTGAAGAGCACGCCTGTCGATGCTTCGGTTGAGCATTTCATCTCGTGAGACGCGACTCTGCATCCACGTGCCCCAGCACCAACTAATCTCTCCGCTCCAGACTCCTCAAGCGACGCCAAATACGAAACTCGAGACCATGCGCTATAGCGACGACGGCTCTACTCTTGCGCGTCGTCGGCGAGTTCAAGGGAAGGGATGCCGCAAAGCTCATTGAGCGCATAAAGCAGGTCGGCAGGCGGTTGACGTCGGCGCAACCACGAGAGGTAGTCGTAGGCAACATCGTACGACGCGTACTGGGGCTCGTACGCGAGGTCGTCGACGAACATGCCGAAGGGCAGACGCCAACGGGAAGCGAACCAGGCCACTCGACTCCACAGGCGCCCGCGCAGCACGACTCCCTTCACAGGCCAGCCTTGAACTCGAGCATATCCACCTTCAGCCCTCTCAGACATGCCGTCGCCGAACCCATGCACACAAGTGTCTTCACCGACAACGCATCCGACGTTAGCGAACCCTCGAGACGGCCCCCGTTACTCACCTCACACACTTCGTATGCGCCCACCTCGTCCGCTCCTCTAGTCCACTCGCTATTCGGCCTCTTCTCCCAGCCCGCAGACACACCCTCGACCACAAGTACACCCACAGGCCAGGCTTCGCCAAACGGCAAGAGCACTCTCACAGCACTCAACCTGGAGCGCCTCGAGGGTATCAACAGGAGCCAGAATCTCGACCTCAAGGGCGAGGTCATGGAGGGCATAAGAGAACTCCAGGACGAGCTCGAAACATCAGACAAGCAGATTGCCGAAGTTGCCCTCGAGCACATTCACGCCAACGAGATTATCCTCACCCACACTGCGTCGACAACAGTCCAGAAGTTCCTCCTGTTCGCCGCACGAAAGCGCAAGTTTACCGTCGTACACGCCGAGACATATCCCCACGATCACACTGCCACCCATGGCATCCTCCTTACCGGTAAAAAGCGAGAGGCGAACCCAGATGACGACGCCGACGACGACAAGTGGAAGCCGCTCACCGACGCCGGCATCCAAGTCTACGTTATCCCAGACTCACATGTCTTCGCCATAATGTCTCGCGTCAACAAGGTCATTCTAGCGACACACACCGTGCTGGCCAACGGCGGCCTGGTTGCTGCAGCCGGAGCACACATGATTGCAAAGGCTGCCAAGGAGCACCAGACGCCTGTTGTGGTGCTCAGTGGAGTATACAAGCTCAGTCCAGTCTATCCGTTCGACATCGACGAGCTGATCGAGCACGGTGATGCAGGAAGTGTAGTGCCCTACGACGACGGCGAGTTTGTCGACAAGGTCGATGTTGAGAACCCTCTGTATGACTACGTTCCTGCAGACCTTGTGGATCTCTACATTACCAATCTGTAAGTCATGTCTCCAACTTCTCAGAGCACCGAGCAAAACTGACCCTTACAGTGGTGGACATGCACCTTCATACCTCTACCGCATTGTAGCGGACCACTACCGCTCCGAGGATATCACTTTGTAATTTAGCCACGAGCCACGGCGTTATGATACCAACCAAGCCTAGAAGGGACAGGAAAAAGTGTCGGCAGCAAACAATGTTACCCCACCTAGAGTAGCATTACTCTTCTCTACAGTCATGCATTGCCTGAAAGCAATAAATACAGCACAAATTCCTCATCCATTCAACCCGAGGCACGTATGCCGCCATCTTCACCATCACCGACTCGTGCCCTCGCCCTCCACCCGCCCAACTAGCACACTTCCTACATACCCTTGACCCCCATTGGCCGCCCTTTCGTGCCCCTTCTGCACATACCCGTAACCCATAGGTTACCACCCCCATCATTGGTCGCACGAACTTTAGCAGTGTGCCCTTCGGCCATGGGAAATCAACGGTTTCTGTCAGAATTACCGCGTTGGGTAGTTTGACGATGCGTGAGGGTGGGCCGGCGGGGCGGCAAGGGGCACTGTGGCGCTTTTGGGTAAATAGTTGTGCCAAAGTGTGTAGTGCCCTTCAATGCACCTACTGCGCGCGGGGCGTTTTGCTTCTCTGGAAATTTGGCCGTAGGCGCATTCAAACATGACGCATGTGCATTACAGAACAAGGCTAGTTTGTAGAAGGCCGGTAGTTGTTCTTCGCGTTCTAGCTCTGTTTCTGAGAGCTGGGATACACTGAGGGGTCACTATCACCGCCCCTCCATGTTCGATAGTGCATGCTTCGCCGTCCTACCTCGCACCGAAGCATTACGTGTATACTCTCATACCGATTGCGCGCGGAGAAATGATGATATGCAACAAGTGCTAGCCGTCGGCCATTTTTGGAAGCTACTCAGTGTGATAATGTACGGCTTATCATGGTCTCGGGTCGGCTGTTGTGACATTACGTATGCGGAGAACGCGGGCGCGCATCTTGTGGAGCTGAGTTAATCGAGTGTCAACCTGAGGTCCTTCTTCCCTGACTGGAGAAATTGCAAAGACGCGGGTAAGGCCCACAATGTCATTTCTTGAGCTTGAAGGGTTGCATGTGTTTGTTACGGGGGCGGCTGGAGGTATAGGAGGTGCGATCGTAGAGGAGTTTCTAGGTACGTATTGAATTCTGCACATTTGTATGCATTCTTGGATGCTGGAAGAGAATGCTATGCCAACGAACGTCCCGATGGTCTGCTTGGGTATGGTGAAAGGTATTCTCCAACTTGCTAGCACCATCGAACACCGCGATCAAACCAACAACACCATCACCCCAACAGAGTGTCTCTATGCATCTTGATTGCTGACACTCACGCAGCACAAGGCTGTAAAGTCACTGCACACGACCTCCGCCCAAACCCTCTCGCCTCAACAAAACCTAATCTTCACTGCTTACAGGGTGATATCAGCTCTGAAGCTTCCATCCAAGAATCCATCTCCCAAGCCATTAGCCACTTCTCACAACCCATAAATATCCTTTGTGCCAATGCTGGTATCACAGATGAATCCTCTAGCTACCCTATATGGGGCATGCCTAGCGATCTCTGGGATCGTACTTACGCTGTCAACGTTCGCGGTACTTTCCTAACAATCAAACACTTTCTCAGATCTGTCGAAGAATCACAACTGGAAACCGGCAAGGACGTCAACAACGTTAGTGTTGTCGTGACGGGGTCCGAATGTGGAGTTTTTGGTCAGGCAGGACATGTGGAGTATGCGAGTGGGAAGGCGGCACTGCAGTACGGACTTGTAAAGACGGTAAAGAACGAGATAGTCAGGTTGAACAAGAGCGCGAGGATCAATGCTGTTGCCCCTGGGTGGGTGGATACAAAATTGATTGAGGGTAGATTGGATGACCCGAAGGAGATGTGGAGGGAGGCTGAGGCTACGTGAGTCTGATGCTTGTATCCACTCTTGGGAATATTTCGCTGACTATCATAGTGTTCCCCTTAGGAAGATTGCTCAACCGACTGACGTAGCGCGAGCAGCTGCTTTCCTAGCCAGCCATCGTGCTGCGGGGCATATCTCTGGACAATGTATATCTGTCGACGGTGGTATGGAAGGTCGTATCGTGTGGTCGGAGGACGAAGTTCGCAAATCACAAGCAACTGCTGTGGAACCCGAGATGCCCTCTGTCAATACTACTGGTGAAGCCGAGGTATTTGGTACCACTACCGAAGGCGTATCTCTAGCTAGTAGAAACACCTCAGCAACGGCCATCCCAACAACGTCATCTCTCACCGCCCCTCGAATCAACCATGAACCGAAGATCAAGATACTGCTCTCGGTAGACTTTGACGCGGTATCAGGTTGGTTAGGCACTGGAGCTCACCCCAACAATAACCTCGCAGACTATAGTACGGGGTTCTTCAGTGGGCATGTCGGCGTTCCTAGGCTACTCAAACTCTTTGCAAAATACGACATCGCCAACAAAGTGACCTGGTTTGTGCCAATGCACAGCGCAGAGTCCTTCCCCAAAGAATTTGCCGCAATCAAGAACAGTGGGGCAGAGATAGGATTACACGGCTACTGCCACGAAGGCGCTCCGCAGCTCACTCCAACCCAAGAACGCGAAGTCCTCGAACATTGCATAAGCCTCTACCAAGAGTTGTTAGGGAAACGCCCACTGGGCTACCGCGCGCCACTCTACCAGCTTCGAGAGAGTACCGTAGAGTTACTAGAAGAATACTCCTTCCTGTACGACTCTTCACTATCGCACCACGATAGCAAACCATACTACCTCCCCAATCTACCACCTATAAAGCCGCCAAAGTATACCGAGGAGGCTTCCGCAAAGGACTGGATGAAGCCTCTCCCCAGACCTAGTGCCCCTACGGCCAAGACACTGGTTGAAATTCCAGCAAACTGGTACACCGAAGACATGACGCCCCTTCAATACCTCCCTAATGTACCCAACTCGCACGGCTATGTTGACGTGCGTGTGATGGAGAATATGTGGAAGGATAAATTCGATTGGATTAGGAGCGAGATGCGCGATGGTATTGGAGAAAAAGACGTAGTAGTGTTTCCATTGGTCTTGCACCCAGATACTAGTGGTATGGCGCATGTCATTGGAATGATCGAGAGAGTGATCAAGTGGCTGAAGACGTGGGAAGGGGACATAGAGTTTTGTACATATGAAGAGGCGGCTGGGGAGTGGAAGGAGAAGAACACGGTAGAGTGATGTCGGACACATGACCGTAAGTAGACTTCGGAGGAACGAGAGTGACTGTCGATCGTCGGCATTACCATGACCATTGCATGCCGGAATTATAAGCTTCGTGTGAACTCCAAAATGTCACAATGCAGCCATATGCGAGACAAAACCAACAACTGCTTTGTCCATGTCAGTTGAGGATGACATGGCGCATATGAAGTGTCTAGCGCTGGCGCGCTGATCCCAGGGTCCAGGTCCCGAATTCCCCACAAACGTCATCCGTTCCTCCGACCCAAACAATTAAACAAGTGGCTGCCTTGCCGCACGCATGCAAGAAGCAACGGACAGCCAGCTTTCTACAAACCCCAGGCTCGAACAGTAGACATTGCCATTTCCTTTTCCTGTGCAACTTCAAGTTTTTTACCCAAAGCTCGTGGCCCATTGGGACAACTTTACGCAACAGACGGAAGAAGGCATGGAGAAGCTCAAGGAAGCAGAAACAGCAGCGGCGCAGCGCTTGCGCAAAACGTTCAAATACCCCTCAGAATCCGACGACGAAGACACGATAGAAGCAGGCATGGATGAGCAAGGTAGCACTCTTCCTCCACCTGCTACTCAGCCGGTACCCAGCTAACACGACCAAACAGATCGCGCAGCCCTCGTCCAAACCCTCAGCACACACGACACATCCACAACACACACGTACACGCTCTTTCTCCTCGCGCTTCCTCTGCTTCCCACACTACTCTACATACCCCGCTTGCTCGCCCTATCCACCCTTCCAACAAGTTTAGTCGCTGTCGCGAGTCTACTAGCCACGGCGTATACCTTGTACTTCCTACCCTTACCACCTACACAAATGGAGCCCATAGATGGCGTCGATGTGACACCTTCCACTTTCCAACAGCCATCGAGAGGGAAAGGGAAGGGCAAGAAACCCATGGGCGGATACGGAATCTACAACAAGACACCATCTTGGGAGCAACCGACTGAGAAGAGTGTGAGGCGGCCTGTACCGTATCTCTCAGAAGACATGGCAGACAGGATAGGTGATTATATTGTGCCTATCAACAGAGCTGTGTGTGGGCTTTTGGCACTGTATGAGGTGTGGTTGGCACGTGAGTGGAGTGAAGGCTTCATGATAGGAGGTGGCTTCTTGCCCGGGGTGATTTGTCTGATAATTCTGTGGGCGAGAACCGAGTTGCGGATTATTGACATGGATGCGTTGGAGAGGATTAACGCGGGTGCTGCGCAGGGAAAGGTAAAGTGAAGCCCAGGCGAACTGCTGACTCTGGAGCTCAACTATGAGATAGCCACGACAGAGATACCCATTGCAGAAGGACAATGCACAATGACTTATGACTATGACGAAATAGCGGTATCATTAGGTTCTATGTATAGGTGGAGGGTACTTATCCGTGATCAATATCATGTCGCGTCGATTGCACATGTCCAATGCTTCGCTGTACTATGCTGTACCGTGAAATGCCAAAGATGCCAGACCAACGCCGCGCTCGCTCGAAAAACAGGATCCAAATTTCTCTTTTTATGCGCTAATCATCAGATGGCACGTGAGCTACGCTCCTGGGACTTCCATGTCCAAGTCGATATTCATATGTGTGACATGGTCGAAGAGGTTGAATGCCGAAGGGAGAGGTTCCTAGCCTGATCGCTTCCAAAACTGGTAACCCTTCTTCTCGCGTTTCTCGTTTGTCTCGCCGGCGACCATGTTCGTATCCCTGATGCCACCAGCTTCTGTGCCAGCAGGATCCATATGGTACGCCTTCTCGTTGCCTCTCTTCTTTCCTTTCTTGACATCCCTCCTGGATGCACAGCAACAGCAGAGTCCCATCTGTACGAGCCAAGCGAATATGGCAAAAGCACTTGCTACCCACATGAAGGCGAACAAGGTGACTCCAATTTCCGCCGAGATGTTTAGCTCAGCCACACCACCGATAGTGTTGCGGAAGATAATGAACATGACGGTCGCAATGACGGAGGCGACTGTTACGAATAGCGCGTTGAGGAAGGCAAGGATAGCAACGGCGAGGGTGAGCCAACGCGTGTAGATGGAAATAGGCATGACGAAGATGAGGACGAAGGACAAGACGGTTGCGGTAAGGAAGAGACCGAACATCCAGTTTGAGACGAGGTGAATGAGGTCGAGAATATCGTTGATGTCAGCGGGAAGGTTAACTATAGGTGTTGTTAGTTGCTTGATTTGCAAAATGCGTCATGCGCAAGAATGGGATAGGATAGTGGGAAGCAACATACTCGACGCTCCAGCAAGAAGCTCGTTACGCAGGATCTCTACAGGGTTGAACCAATACAGCGTTTCTGGCTTACTGCAGTAAGTCACGCCTTGGCCCGCATATCCCTCGCAGAATCCCCATAGCCCGACTTGGTAGAAATCGTGCAGACCCAGTGTTTGCGCGATGGTGTTGATGAGTGCAAAGTTCGGAACGCTTGCAGGCACGATATGGCTCAAGTCGAGCCGGATGAAGTACCAGTTTTTGATAACGGCTTTATTGCGTACGCCCGCAATGTTCACGAGGATAAGGAATATGAGTGTGATGAAGAGAAAGAAGGAGGTTGTGAGCGCCCATATCTTGCGTGTGCGGGTTGCGCGCTTGATCTGCTCTTTGCTGAGCTCAGGCACCACTGTTGGCGACGTTGTCTGTGAGACGGCGGTATCATCCGACTTGCGTCGGCGCGAGAAGATGCCCATTGTAGGCGATTCGGAGGTTTTCCAGGCGTTCAAGGAGAAGCAAGCGCTGCAGCGGAGAATAGTAAGAGAAGCAAGTGGACAGCCAACGACGGAAAACTTGAGACAAACGATGAGCGAAGAATATCCGAAACACTTCGTCGATGAATGTTCAGGCCTTGGATCCGGGGCAACGCAACCTCATACGCGCGTGCTGCAGCAGCGGTCGTGTATTTTTATGGAGCCTTGTTGAAGATCTCGAGCTATGACGTACAGGACCCCTAACAGCAAAACTAGACACCGCAAGAAGGCGCTGGCGACGCGGCGCATTATTGCCTACGACACACATCGGCACTAAGCCACGCGACTAAGACGTCCAATAGCAAATCACCGGTCTAGATATTGGGCGCGACTGAAGCACCGGCGTCGGCGCACGTTTGGTACTCGCATGGTCTGGCCGGTACGCGTGTTCAAGAGGCTGGTTATGACGTCGCCCTAGCTACCGTTCACCATGAAGACTTTGGGGGTGGAGTTAATTGCTTGTGGCTGTGCTGGGGTACTTTGGTGTGGACAAACACGAGCAGAATGCATGTGTAAGATTTTCGCGGGTACGACGGGGGGAGCGGAGTTCGTGATCTGCGTGGATAATTTTGTCCATGACCGGTGCATGGCGGATGATGACGCTAGGCTTCGGCAGCAGAGGTGCATGATTTACGTCGAGGCTCCCTGCTAGGCACACGCTCTTTTAGAGAGCGAACATTACCCTGTGCAACGAGTACAAACAGGTATAGTCAAATGTGCTTGTAATAATGTTTCTTCTTTCCATTCCTCTATGTGCTCGGCTTACATGTTTCACAATCGCTCCAACGAGTCCCACCAACATCTACTCCCCGACACCAAACCGCCATGGTCTCCAAACCTTCAAGCTGCCCTCTACTTCAAGTTCTCCATCTCGCAGCAACGCAGAAGAATAAAAATTAGACATTGGAAAACGCCAGTCCATCGCTAAACCGCCCTAGAAAACGAGTAATCTGCCGGTCGATAGAGTCGCAACCGCGATGGAGAAAAATAGGAAAAAGTACATGACAAGCTGCCTGTACAGGTTGTTGCAGTGATGTGAAGATGGAGAGTAGCCAACGCGCGCGCTATGTCTATGCCACGATACCAAGGAAATCGTCAGAGCCGCTAAACAGCAGTGTATATAGAATTTGACATGATGTGAGCTTTTGATGTTCGGTCGAGTAGGAGAGTAGAGCTCTGCCAGCGAGCCGATGTGTCTATCGTCAAAGATAGGTGCTGAGCAGATTGCGACAGGTTTAGGCGCCCTCTACCATGTTCATCCTGGGCCTTAATTGTACCATGAAATCATCCCTGGTACCCATGACATCTCTTGGTATCCTGCTGACACGGTTGGCACCGCTGCGAACAGCGAACCTGCCGACCGCTGAGATACCAGAATGGTTTGATCGGATAGATCCAGCATCTGAGGCACCTGAGCCAGCAGGGTCGCGAATGCGGCCAGGTGGTGCAAAGTCAAGCGCAGTGAAGGTGCCGGACTTGCGCATCAGGTAGGGACTGGGTAGCGCGGGAAGCTCGTCATAAGAACCAACGAGCGGTGTGTGTGGTCGCACGGCGGGACTGTAGGGTCTGGGAGCACCCAGTGGGCTGTCTGGTCGTATACCGTTTTGTCTCTCACGGAACGAGACTGGCGGCGCAAAGTCAGCAGCATCGAAAACCATCGAGTTCTCGGTTAGCTTTCCGGGTGTGGGAAGAGAAGACAAAGCGGACGGTGGAGGCAGTGGCTTCTTCATTGGCGCAGGTAGACGTCCGCTCATTGAAGACATGCCGCGTGGCGGTGGGTATTGCGAGGAAGCCATGGAGCTGTTAGACATGTGCGGGCCACGAGGACCAGTGGCAGTGTTGCTTCGGAAACGAGGAGGAGCACGTGGTGGGGGTGTCATGGCACGACGAGTAATAGGCTCGGCAAAAGGAGCGTTTGGCTGTGCGACGACAAAGGCACCGGTGCGCGGGTCGAATACAGTGCCGTCTTGGTACTCTGAGCCATAGTCTTCGACGTAGTCGGTGTACTGGTGACCACCAGCGGGTTCAGGCTTAGAGTCGTCAAAGTACTCCTTGTAGAAAGATCGGATACGGTTGGCACGCTCTTCGGGGTTCTCCTGAGGGTCATCGGAAGGCATAGGACGTAGGCTCATTGACAGACGGTTGGTGCTGTGACCAAAGTCGTCTACGGCAAGACCAACGTTCTGAGGACCAGTTGAGTAGCGAGGCTTGGGTGCAACGATCTTGGGCTGCTCGCTTTCTTTGGGTGACGGTGGTGTGATCTGGAAACCATCGCCATAGCTCGAGGTACTGATGATGCTATGCGTGTTTGTGTTCTCCAGTACAACAGCCTGGGACTGAACGCGTGGCAATGAGGGAATATCGTTGGTAGTTTGGACGGGTGACTTGTTGACTTGCTTTTCTGTAACACCAGGCTCGGGAATTGAGATGGTGGGAACATTGGTGGGCTTGAAGGCAGCATACTGGGTCTTGGGTTCAGCGGAAGGCGATTCAACTGGAGGTGAAACAGGAGACGACTCCTTGTCGAATCGTGGGTTCAATGGGCTGAGAGGAATACCCGGTTCAGGGAACTTGCTGTCTGGAGACCGCGAGCCGTCAGGGGATAGAGATTCGCCGCGAATGGGGTGCGAAGTCGACATCCTCTGTGCGTTTTGAAGCAGACCGGCTTGAAGGCCTTCCTTCTTTGTTCCAGCGCTCGAAGTTGTGTACATGGATCCGGCGTCGTTTCGGTAGGGACCACGGGTTGCGCTACGGATGCTCTGGTCATCCTTTAGATAAGCTACAGGGCCGTACGGGTCATGAGGATCATGCTGCGAGCGCGATAACGAATGGAATGACTCTCGAGAGCCGTGCAGGCCAACAGGCAGTATGTATGGGCTTCCGGTCTCGATTGATAGACCTCGGTCGTGGCCTCCAGGGATTTCCTTCTCGGAAACGCTCATCTCGGGACCTCCTTTCTTGCCAGCTCTAGTCACACCCTCCATGCCCCAATCGTGCGACTTGTATTTGTCTTTTGAATCTTCCTCAGCAAGCTTCCTCTTGTTCCTGCGATGTAAGAAGAAGAGGACAATCGTGATACCGACGACAGGCACACTAAGAACAATCAGCGCATTCACTATTAAAGACCTGAGCTACGTACATGACGGCAAGTGCAATGGCGATTGTGGGTACTTGAGTCGGCTTTGTGCAACCGGGATCACTGTCGTTGGTACATGTTGCGCTGGCGCGAGCTACAAGAACGCGGCTGGCCCTTTCGACCATGTGAATTGTTTGACTTGCGCTGCTAGGGGAGCCAACGTGGTTTTCATTACGCACATGGTGGTGCATATGTTGGTGGTGTGAATGTGCCATGGCTCTAGGACCGCTTTCGCATGCGAAGTCGTGATCGATAGAGCTAGTAATGGATACGGGGGAAGCTCGTCTTTTGAATTGTCGACGTGACGCTATACAGTGTACGGTGGCGGGCGAGGCTCCGAGATGTAAGTATTAACAACGTAAGGTCGTAACTCAGTCGTAACTGCTTGTCGACAGAATAGTATATGCGAAACTCGTTCCGAGGTAGTCGAAGAGTGAATGGACGGCGATAGCCTAGGGTGATAGCAACACAACAAAACAATCTTCGGCCCAAAAAAAGAATGACTGGGGTAAGATACGATCGAGCTGCGAAGGTTGCTGGTTATGGATGCTAAAAGAGCGACAGGCCCACGAAGAGGTGAGTTGAAGGAAAGAAGACGGACGGGCGCGAAAGGTAGATGAGGCGCCGCACAGGAGCCTGATCTCCGGTTCTGACTGACAGGCCTTTTGATTGGGCAGCTGTCTCAAGCCTTGCACGGGTCAAGTGTGTTACGCCGAGCAGATGGTGAAGGGCCCCCGTTTGTCGTTAGCCGCAGCCACATGTTTGACCTTGATCCGGGCCGTTAATTGCACTCCACGCAGACTTCATCAACCAGCTCCGCCTAGACGTCTTCACTGCTATCGCGAGTCTCTTCACGCAATCGATAGAGCTATCGTCGTATTTACCCAGCTGCACATCCACCCGTCGCGCTGCATCCGAAGCCCCTACTGGCCTGCAGGTTCAGGAGGCAGCTAGGCCGCACCGTTTATTTTGGACTGCGCCCCATGCGGAGCCGCTAGCCTCGATATGTGGTCGCTACTGCAGGAACCCTTTCGCGAACTTCCGTTATTCGTCAATTCATCTCTAACAGCAGATTATCGACCAGGGCTCCTGCCGCGAGCTCCAGACCACACAGCACCGTCAGAAGCGCCCTGGCGCCCCTGAACCATAAACCGTGAACGCCCATCTCTCCATGTTCACTCGTCGTGCTCTATTCCCGGATGTACAACAGATCAGCTTCCAGCAATCTTTTTTCCTTGCATAGCCACTCTCGTCCTCTGGTCGCCCAAGACCCGCAGAAAACTAATCCTCCCCCTTTCCCACGCAGTGGAGCTCAAACCGGTCCAGAACAAACCCGCTCCACGCTCTCTTCATTTCCCGATCCCGCTGCGGCCGAGCGCTGGTCGTGCACGACCTTCACCGGCCTTGTGTTCTGCATGTGGCCTATCCCCGAGCCCGCTTCCGCTTAACAGCCGTCATTTATCGACATTGTGCTCTCCATCCGTCAGATTTGTTCTGCTCTCCTTTTAGCATGTGAAACTCTTCGGAGCCTTATGAAACTCATAAGCATCGACTGCGCAGAGTTCAATCACACTCATGCATCGCTTTTTCCACGTCACTCGGTTGCGTACACGATACGATGACTATTGAGGTTGGTGCGAACACGTGAAGGAACTGTCAAATGTCGCTCACCGCCACTGGGGTTGCCCTGCAATATCCCTTCATCACTAAGGAAATTACCTGTCTCCCGCCACTGCAATCGGCTTCTGGTGTTTGATAAGCGCATGGTTGCCGGCATAATGGCCAGGCCTTCACTATAGAAAGATGCCTCCGACCTTGCTATAGGGAAATGGCCGAAAGTGATGTCACTCTCAGTGTGAGCGTACATGAGCTGGTCATAGTTGCATCTCGTCATCTAGGGTGCCGTTGTGGCTTGTTGACATCAGAGACTCTTATCACGCACAAATGTGTGAAGTATGTCTTCTTGGAAACATTCTCGGTTCGTGTTCGTCTAGACTAGGGCATAGAATGTGCGCTCTATCCTGGTTGTGGCAGACTCAGGCCCTATGAGTCTCCTTGCGCATTCTTCTGCACATATATGCAACTCTTCCTTAATACTCCAAGAGTCGCGGCTGCTAGGAACCCTGATACTCACCTCAATTGTGACGATGGAAAAGCAGCCCTTCAAGTCAAGCAATGCCTGGCAGTCTGGGACGCCAGTGTCCCATATCTGGATGGTCGATGGCTATGTTTGTACACGCTCCATATCCATGCCAGTTCGAGGCGTAACGGAGGTTTGTTATTGTACCCGTTACGCGATTACTGCTGATAGTCTACTTTCCAGATGTCCTAAAAGCACTATCGTATTCAGTTCTTCATCGTCTTGGCTAGACGTCGGCGCGATATGCACAGAATGAATGAGTCCGGCAAGAACGAGGTTGATATGATGCTCAACATGTATGAGTAGTTGCTTCGAACAACACACCAGATGTGAATGATATCACAATATGGAAAGCATGACCGCACGCGTTTGCTTGTGAACATTCAAGCATGCAAACAAAAATATCTGCTGGGCCGTGGATTGCGAGTGGGAAATCAGCCTGCAGCAGAATTGGAATGCCGGGAGGTGCTTTTGACACGTTTCCCGAATATGCTGTCCTGGAAACAAAGTGAGCTGGCATCCTCTTCTATGGGGGTGTAAGTTTGTGTCTTGTCACGGAGCTCTCGAGACACAGAGAGGCAGGGTATCGATGGTGTCGATTCCCGGCACTGCCGATAGGGTATGTCTGTTTTCCATGGTCTCAGATGCTCCCTTGCGTGCCGGATACCAGACGGACTAATGTCGCTATCATATAGCACTGGCTGGACGCAAATGAGAATCGAAGTATAGCAAGCAGCGTTGGTCATTTAAATGTCAAAGGGAACCTTGGAATGAAGCGGTGGTAGATGGTGCTGGTCATTTTGAACGAAGAACATAATAAAAAAATCGTATTTTTTGATTTTCCAGTGCTTCGACTGTATTATGTCAGTGTTCGGCTTGAAGCGGGTGAGAGAGTTTCGGCGTGATGCAATAATCTGGTTGTTATTGCTTACACACAACGAACACTCTTTGAAAAGTGCCATCCAATTGCTTACTCGTGTATGGAAAAGCTCGATTTCGACAGCCTTTCGACACCACCAGAGAAACATTTTCCTGTCATACTATACTGACCAAAAGCTGTTGGCTTTGATCCATACGGTGCGCATGATTGTCTGGAAGGTTTTCCGACAACAACAACAACAACAACAACAACAACAGGGCTTCGTTATGTGTTAGACCTCATCCTGTTGTCTGCCCATATGGTCTCGTCCGCGGAAGGGTAGTGAGGGACTGTCGCAACGGAAAAGCAAATCGTGCACAGCCAGCCGTGCAGCCGTGAATATGCAGCGTGACCTAGGAAACGACGCACGGCATCTGCTGGCAAGTGTGCTGCAATATAGCAAATAGGCGATGGAGGCCGACAGAAGCGATCGTGGGGTCGGCGTGGCTGCCAGGTGCGGGTTAGGCCGAGAAAGTACCGATTTAACTATGACGCATTGGCCATTCTGCTCTCACAAGACAAATCATCGTCGAACAACAAAGACATACATGCACAGAACAATCACCTGCTAACAACTCGCTGCTTATCCCTCACACCCTCTTGCTACCTCCTTTGATACAACTATTAACCAACCGCCCAAAACCAGGCGTCGGACCACGATAAAGACCCATCTCCAGCCATCGAATTCGCGATTCCTTTTGGTCCCTGCGCTGCGTAGCCACGCCCCACTGCCGTCCCAACTTCTTAAGGGTCCGGTCTCCCGAGCAATCCTTATCAAACAACATGTCGCACTTCAGCAACATGGCCGCCCCTCACCCAGTATCCCCCAGGACTACTACACCAAACTCTGGGAGTAGGACCATGGAGGTCCGCCCTCAGCCTGTCCTGCGTCTGTCAGCACCTTCGGGCGTGCTCCGTCTGCGAGCAGAGCCCTCGCAACGTCGACACATTCAATGGGCGGAAGACGTGGTTGACAATGAAGGCATGGGGAAGAAATCATCCAAAGGTACAACCCTCCAATGACACCCTTGTGCCATCAGAGGAACTAACAGAATCAAAGTCTGCTGCATTTATCACAAGCCCCGCGCTGCCGACGAGTCTTCCGACGATGACTCTTCAGATTCATCATCAGACTCAGATTCAGACTCTGAGCCCGACAACAGCACCGCAAGACCTGCTGGAAGAATTGGCGGTGCGCGCGGCAGACGGCCACATCAGCACGATGATGGTTGTGAAGACGTCCACGATCATGGCGAGGCCTCTGGTACCCCGCAAAAGCACAAACGTCAACGGAGGAAGCCAAGCCCGAATGCTTACGAGAAGATGCCGAAGCAGAAGAAGTGAACTTCAATTGCGCTTCAGATGGCAGACTCACTTGGTCATGCCGGGAGCTGGCTTGTACGACTTGGAAACGATTCTCATTGCTTGGAGTTACGGGTGTTCACGAGACACGTTATGATTGGGACTGCGTCATTGCATAGCGCTGGTAACGGACTTGGATAGTCCGTAAAACTTCGTTTTTCGCTGTTGAAATTTGGCGCATTGAAGCTTTTACATCATCCTGTAGCATTAAATTTGCGCATGTGAAGTTGGGACATGTATCCCTCTTATGCTTATTCCCGTCCCCTTGCCTCTCATTGGTGCTGTCTTCACCGTTCTTCGATGCACACGCTATCCCTCAGCTGTAGGACCAACTGCAGCTAACGTTGGGCTCGATTGCAGCTGTGCTATGTGCATCCCAAGACGTCCCATTGCTTGCAAATGCTCGTTAATTGGACGGCCAACGCATGTATATGCAACCGATCGCGCATCAATCTTCCACCCTTGGTGTTCGTTCTGCCTCAAAGCGTTTGGGCTCAGCGAAAAGCTCCATAGGATGCCAGGCACATGTTGTCCACATGCTCAATCCTCTGCTGTTGCTGCATTGGCCTGCTCGATTACCGCAGGCGCATGCTGTGTGGGAATGCGGACAAGCGTCTGTGGCAACGGCGGCTCATCCTCTGCCTTCTTTTCCGAGTCTTCCTCTTCCTTTGGCTGTGGAAGTTTTGCTGCTGTGATTTAGAACGCAATCCTTCCGATGATCGCACAACTTACTGGATGCCATGTTAATAGCCCTTAGCACATTATGCCAATTTGACAATACTGCTGCGACCGCTAATCAACCACCAAGTTAGCATGATATTTCTACTGCGCTCCATGCTTGAGACTGCCTGTAAAACTCATTTACATACCTTCTGTTCCATTTGATAAAGTCGACAGCTTATCAGCGAGCATCTGCATTTGGTCTGCGAGTCCTCCACTTAGTGCTTGCAGGTCTTTCAGGTTCGCTAGTTCGGCTTTTTTCTCTGCGATGCGCGCGAGCAATACGGGAGACTGTTGCTGAGAGCCGCCCATGGACTGATTACGGAGATGAGTAGGGAGGGGGCGCGTGAAGTTTGACATCCTTTACAGTTGGTGTACGTTCAGCACTTTCTTCGGCGAAAGTATAAGTAGTACTCGTAAATAGTAGGTAGATGTTCTTGCTTCGCGGGATGCGCGACCAGAAGTGTTTTCTCTGTGGAAGAACAGAGGACAGGAGAAGTGTCAGGTTATTGGTTTTTTGTCATTAATATGGTAGACAGTTGCCAAGCGTGATACGGATATGCTGTGCTGATACGCGTTCATGCCCCTCGTGTCACGTGGAAGCGCTCTTTTGGCTAGCCTATTTTAACTTAGCTTTGTTGCTATGTAAACATGCAATGACGAACACAGAAGGAACACCCACCGACGCCTTGTAGTATCCACGTCGCCACGACCGCGTAATCGTCTACAGCTTTATAATTAACTTCGACATACCTATTTGCGCATATGGCGCGTCTCAACGAGCCGCCGATCGCACCTCAGCCATCGACGGATTCTATAGAAGCCCTCAAGCGACGCTTTTTGAGGCAGAACCGCGAACTCGCAAAAACGAACTCGATTCAGTCTATACGCATACGAAGCCTCGAAACAGACTGTTCGCGATTACTCGCCGAGAATTTGGCATTGCGCGAGCAGGTCCTGAACCTTCACAACACTATTGAGTCGCGTCCGGCACTCGATCAGATTGATGTTGTTAAGACACAGCTTGAAGCCAAGCTTTCAGAGCTCGGTAGCTTGGTAGCAGGTTTATCGCAATCAAGAGGTGGGCATGAGAAGGATGCGGGAAGACGAAAAAGCCAGATGACAGCAAAGAGAAAAAGCGGAGAAGAGCGACAATGGAGAAGTGGATTGGGTCTTCAGGAGGTAGAGAACGGCATGCTGCCTACAATCACAGAAGACAAATACTATCCTCGAAGGACAATGGGGTATGTCTTTGTTGCCGTGCTAGAAATAGCATGCGCAGACGCACGCGAAGCTAACTTGTCGCAGTGCAGACGAGCTTCAGCAGGTTTTAGAAGACCCGGACAGCCAATCACCAGACATCGGTCCTCCACCAGTTGCGCGATTCGAAGACGAAGATCCCATTGGTTTTGATCCCAGTCCTGCAGTAGAGGAACAACGTGAGGAGGCTGGAGATGAGGGCGAGCCTGCGTTGTCGGTAAACCTTGAGACGCGTAAGAAGCGACGAGAAAGTGGGCCGAAGCTTAACATACGTCGCGTGTCCCTTTTCGAATCTCCGGAAGAAGCTGAAGAGACAGCTACAAAGCCTCTGCGTACTGGAGCGAAGCGGAAATTCAGCGTCCAGGAAGACGAGGAAGTGAGCCAAGCCAAGGGTGACGCTTTCAGATTCAGTCGCCGCAATATCTCAGGTGCTCCAGGGATAGAGACATCTAGTAGCGAATCCAAGCCTTCGTCATTAGATCGGCTTCCCGTTCTTTCAGCTAGTAAGTACACACAAAGCAAGATAGGGTCAATATCTGACTTGATAGAACCCGTCAATACCGATCCAATTTTGTCGCCAAAGAAGCATCGCTCTTCAAACCAAGACAAGCCCGAGAAACCAGAGAAGCCCGAGAAGCCAGCATCGAAAACTCGTAGTCGTCCTCGATTGAATATTACACGCAACACCACTCCGGACCTTCCGCTGATACCCATGCCTGAACCTGTACCTACTGCAGAGATCATACTCGATTCTCTACCTCCTAAGACACCTGCTGTGGACACTATTCTCTCTCCACCTTCTACCGAGCCGTCGACGCAACGACCAGACAACAAGGATACACCGCCACCGGGAGATCTCAGTTCCGCAGATCAGACCGGTCAAGCAGGTCGACCTGGCAGACGAGCGCGTCCTCAAGTCAGTTACAAAGAGCCCAGTCTCAACGTAAAGATGCGACGTCCAGATGCTAAGCTAGTTGATGCGGTGGTCGATCGCAGGACAAGTGTAGAAACCCAGCATGTACCTTCAACCCTTGTCAAGCGTGACGCAGATGGCGAAATCTCTTGGAAGCCCGTGTCGGTAGTCTCTCAGCCGAGAGGTGAAGAAGAGGCCGAAGCAGGTAGCCCACTGAGACAGAAACTCGACAGAAACCAAGACTCCAAAGCATCACCAGCGTCGTTTGAACCTGAGGAGCGATCGACAACCTCGAAGGCCATATCCGCGCTCATCACCGAAACCAGTACTGCTAAGAGAAGAGTATCGTCATCAACTGCAGGATCCGCCTCCGAGCTTGCCATCGCCAAGCCAGTAGATCTTCCTCTTCTAAACAAGGATACCATAGCCGTTGAACAAGAGCCGAAAGAGAAGGACAGCTTGGCCGTGTTCGACTTTACCGACTCTTCACCTGCGGACCCAACGACCAACCCACGTACACGGGTTAACGAACTTGCTAAAGCAGCGCGAAGTGCGCGGCGACACTCTGCTATGCCTGCTTCTTCTACATCAACTTCATTAGAAGAGCGCAAAGCCGAGAGGGGAAGGGTTGAAGGGGCACTCCCTTCGTTGCATAAGCGCACTGGAAGCGGAAATGTGAAAAACAGTAGTAGTACTTCGAGTCTAGGAAGAAGTACTAGTGCTAATGGTATCGCTAGGGGCACGTCAAGTGCTCGAACGGCAGGCGTGAAGGAGAAGAGACTTACCGATACTGCAAGTGTACCGGCTGGTGCCAGTACGGCTGACGTAAGGGCGAACGCTGATGGAGCCGAAAGCATCAAAGTGCGAGACGGAGGGAGGGAGACGAGTACATTAAGAGCTGAGCGCGCAGCTAGCCGTCGAAAAAGTATGATGCTTTAGGGCTGGACTTAGGATACCATGTAGATGATTGGGGCGTTCTCATATATTGGCGTTATGACTGGCACGACATGAGCTGTTTCTCCATAGCGACGGCGTTTTTCTTCGCGAATGATACCTGATCTCACGGGATCATTTTCTCTATTCAGTGCAGTCAAATCGCTCTATGACGGTCATGAAGTCTAACTTGTTACTCTTCTCGATGGCTTTTTGTCAGGTTGCGCTCCTGTTGCGTCACGAGCGCGTCTCCATCGATCCATCTAAGAGCATCACTCACATGTTGCATACAGTATATCGCCCATAATCATATTAGTGGATGTATTGTTGCCGAGAAGCTGCTCAGTTAGCATGTCACAACATGTCGACAAGGTCATATGCGGTTGGTGATGTGATTGGTTGTATTGATGTGTGATGTATGTCTGTCTCTCAGCCTGATGAAGCCTTTGTTCGATACGATTTTTACCTGGACCCCATCTTTAACGGTTCCTGTCCTCATACCAGTCCTTTCCACTGTTGTCTTTGCTAAAGACTCTCTTGAAGCCTTTGGACACAGCATCAGTGACACTAAAGTCGTTGAACAACCATTGGTTGCTGTGTCGGCCATAGTACTTGAACTCCTTTGGCTCTTCGCTTCTCGCACTCTTGCCGCTTCCAACACTGCTTTGAGTGTCTCTGCGGTTGCGCTTGTGGACACGCGGTTTGCTGAACTCGCCTGGTGCGACACCAACACTTTCAGCATGTGTCTTGGAACTAGGCTCAGCGCGCATAACGCGGAGGCCGGAGTACTGAGAGTAGTGGGAGTCATTGGTGCCTGTTGTGGACATTGTTGCTGATTTGGTGAAACGGGGCATGACGCCGCTGTCGATGGAGGTGGATCGGGGACATCGCTGGGACAGAATTGAGTCGGAGGAGGTTTCTCCATTGCCTTTGGCAGAGTTGTTGTTGTTGTTGTTGATGTTGTTGTTGGACTGGTGTTCGAACGAGACAAGCCTTGAAGTCAAGTCTTGAGCGTCGATGCGTTGGTTGTTATAGTCAGTCATCGGCAGTATGGTTGGAGACTGAGTAGAGAAGGTGATGACCTTTGGGTCTTGGCTGATTGTGGAGTGGATTGGATAGTCTTGGATCGTGTTTGGCCCTAGTGTCGAGGCAGTGGAACTAATGCTTGTAGATGGTAGTAGCATCGAATGTGGCAGTGCAAGCTAGGGGGGTGAATGAGGTATATATGCTTTCTCTTGTTTTCTTGCCAAGACCAACACTCTCACCATGGAATGCAGTCAAGACTTATTCCCGCCTCTAGGCGTCTTGGGTGGAGTCACTGGTTCAACGTATGGGAAGTCGGTTCGGGACAAACGTGTCTCTTGACCCAACCGTGAGCCGCATTGAACCTTACTAACCCACTTTATCCTGAAATACTCTCACTTCTGTTCGATTAAACGCTATCGTACGTCAAATACGAGAACACATGACCTCTAACCCTTGATAGCCAATGTCAGCCTTACCCGGCTATCGGCAACCGCCACGCAATCCTAGAGGATAGTTTTAGAGACCGTGCAACAGCCACAGCAAGCCACATCCAATCCGAGCTCTGCAGCAACCTCAAAACGCAAGGCCGCGAATGCATACTACTGCAATTATGACATCGATATCGTTTTTCACGGCTAGGCGGGTATGGCTCGTGACTCGGAGCCTTCCAGTTAGGGCTAGCTGTGGCTTGTGAAGAGTTTTAGGGTGCCCCGGAGCCTTACGTGGCTTGAACAGTTGAGGCGCACGAGTCGGTTAAGCCACAGACAGGTGCATTGAAGTAGTATGAAAGTGGCCGTCGGGTGGCTTGTGAAGCTCAGCAGCCAAATAGAGGTTGATGTGATTGCCGGTGTCCGAATCTGTAATCGGAAGGATAGCCTGAACGGATGTCAACAGCCGACAGGGCAGAGCTTGGGCAGGAGTCCATGCTCGATAAGAAATTATGCAGGACAAGACAAACTTTGGGTCAACATCGGTGATTTATCCTCCGCCAGGCTCAGGACCCGCGCAAGGATGCATGGAGAGACGACGAAGATATGATTTGTAGGTGTAAACAGTCTGCTAGGACCTAGGGCGCTGAGGGATTTCAGAATGCTAGATCAGCAAGAGTAGGCAATTGCAGCACGAAAGCAGAGACACTGCTCTGATTCTTGGAAACCAACAAAGTCAAGACGGCAAACTCCCTATAGTAACACAGCATCTCATGTTGCCTAGCAAGAAGAACGCCATACGCCGCATCATCGTAGTGGGTATATCGATATCAAAAACACCTGTCAGCGCCGCACATTGAAAGTTCACACCCCCACTAAACACCAGGTACACCATCCTTGCTGCGGATGCGTCCGTTTTTGACCGAACCTATGGTGACACCAGCTTCACCAGTCATCCAGCCTGGCATCTTCTCACCGTCTATAATACCTTCTTCTACCAACTGCCTGATACCGGCGAACACATGCGTCCCTTGGAACGTGACCCGTACGTTCGGTACCCAGCCCTCTTCATTTTGTATTTCCTCGAGATCTTTAGCGGTTCTGTCGAGAAGAGAGGGGCGGCCGCGCCGTGTACGGCTGCCAGTTTGAGCATCAAGGTTCGATATATCGTCGTCTAGTTGCGTCGGAGTACTGCCGTTAGATGGAGATGGAAATGGGTCATCGATGCGGACTTCGAATCGCTCAAGACCTTGACCATCGTCAGGCTGCGCTGAGGTCCCGAACCGTCCAGCAGCTACCTCTTTCCTACGTTTGGCCTCTGAAGACTGTTTGTCGTCCAGTGGTCGCTTGGGTCGACCGGGTCCAGCTTTGGATCCACCATTGGTATTGCTCTTTTCCCCGGTCATCTTGTCTTGCCCTTCACTCTTTTGTGTGGTGATAAAGTCTAGTGCATTCTGACTAAAACTATGATCTTGAAAGATGCTCCAACCACCTGCTGCAGCATTGCTCTTCCCAGGCCCGCGGTACGTCAAAAGGGCATCGAGTGACTTGGTGGTAAAGTTCGTACTTGTTAACTGGTAACGCGCAGACGGTCTTGAGAAGGCTTTCGGTATAGCTTGCTGCACGATATCCCTCAGATGTCTCCCTTGGTCTCCAACGACTTGGCCGGTAAGCGTTGCTAGCGACGAGTATACGAAAGGCGATCCGTTAGGCCATACGAAGAATACAGCTTTGGCGCTATCCGTGCTGCTGGACTCGACGGTCAGCGACGCTTCGGTGCTGTACGGCGAATCGTGAATGTAGACTCGTAGTATGGTCATGGGCGACGATTTTATCCGTGTAATCAGGTAATGTGCCTTCATAAGCGGCGTCAGCTCTCTTGCGAGATTTGACATGAAGGTCTGCGCTTGGAATCGTGGAAGATGGTCTGAATCGTTTGTGACTTCCATGTCCGTCACTGGTGATCGCGCACTAGGTATCTTTGTGAGGCGCTTCGCCGTCCAACGCAAGGCATTCGGATGATCTAGTAAGTACTGTATCTCTGCCGTTGCCATTTGGTACATGGATATGCCGTGTCTCCAATCTCCCTCAAGTATGCGGTCAAGCACCTCCCTCCTGCCACCTTTGCGCGCAGCTAGCTGTTTGTACGTTTCTTGAAGCACTTCATAGCTTTGCGCCGGCTCGTATATCTCCTCGTCGTCCTCATCCACTCGATCACTGAGCAGATACGGCTTGCAGAAGTCGCGGTTTTTCTTGCTGAGCCATTGCAGCGCAAGCGACACGAGCGATTGGCGAGAGAGCTTTGTAAAGGTGCGCTGGACCTCGCGGTGGTTGATCGGCAACCGGTGAGAGTGCGGAATATTCTTATAGTCGGGGGCGGTCGCCATCACGTCGGTGCGGTTTGCGTCTACATGGAGGGGCCGTCGGTTGTTGTTGATTGGAAGCTGTTATCGATAGTGTGAGTCGCGACGCGTCGAGGAGGACCAGGGCCCACCACGTGACTTGGCCCACCCCCATTGTGCTTAGGTGGTCAGGTACCTGGGCGTCTACGTAGCGATAAACTGTTGTTTGTAACATTCAACACAGACCTGTAGATTATGCATCGCTCCCAAAGCTCTCCACCTTCAACGTATGTCGTCTGGATGAGTCTTGAGGTTCTTACGGAGCCGTTTGAGGATGGGTGTAGTGTATTCTTTCCGGTTCAAAGCTACCTAGGTGCACAGTAGTCTCGCTGCACTCCGTCATAGATAACCATTAGGTATTACCAATATTCATGCACCCACAGCTCTCTCCAAGGTAAAGACCGGAGAGACATTAGTTCCACCAGGATTCTGTTCTGGTGAGGCTCATCAGTACATTCGCTGGCTAGGAATCCCTTACAATTCTTGCCAGATTCAGATGGACACTGATCATATTTTTCTTGCCGAAGATAGCATAATATGCCGCGTGGAAATTGCCGCTTCTTGGATGTGCGATCCGCTCAGGTGTCCGGTCCAGTCTCGGACAAAGACGCTCAAACATGATTCGTCGTCGGCAAGATGTACGTCCTGATTACAAACAACGAATGCTCAGCTGCTGTGGAAACAATACGACGAGCTGACGGTAAGACGACAGTCATGCTGAGTTTCCTTGAGCCAGCAATCCGAAAGGAAGCAGTAGTCATTCACAGTGCTCTCATCTCGAAACCCTGAACTCGGAGAGCGAAAGCTGGAGCCGTTGCGACTCCAACCACACGTGGGGTGAGGCTCGGCGTAAATGCGGCCTGGGGTTTGCGGTCGCTAATAACTCTAGTCATCGACCGCGGGGCTTCCATTGATCGAGAACGCCCTGCGCACTTTGACGTTCATCCACGTCACGATACACACACACATTGCTCTTGCTTTTTGCACCCTCATCAACGGCCTGTGCAACAGAACGTATACACCAAACCAGCGAACGATTTCAAACGTCGAACCAGGCTCCAGCCGCGCAAAATCAGCTTCGGACACGCAAGCGCGATCGGATCGGGCCTGAGTGGAGCACCATCTCCCAATTCCTCAACAACGACTTCCAGCGATTCTCCCGCTCCATCGTCTGGATAGCAAACATACGCCCATGTCCGCCTACAAAGGCCAGCGAGGGCCCAACGTGTCCCAGTACATCGCGAACCTCAACCAGCTGTCGCCACAGCAGGATCTGCTTGCCGATCCAGCACCCACCGAGGACTTCTCCGACTTCCTGAACGGAGAGTTCTTCGACGTGGACAACGCCCGTAACGCCAGTGTCGACTTCGCTTCTGCCAGTGCTTTTGGCCTTGATTTTGATACCGAGCAAACACAGCCGCTGAAGACCGACGGAGAGTTCCCGCGCAACCCGGGCACCAGCGCCGACGCGAACATGGACTTTAATTTAAATGGTAAGCACATTTCCATGTTCAAAACTGTTCCATTTTCAGTCAATGTGGTTGTTAGCCATTGAGACTCGTCCGTTTGAATTGTCGCATGGTTCGCATTACTCCGTCCAATAGCAGGCTGGCGAGGCGCATGCAAACCCCGCCCTGTGTGTTGCATGCATCGTCACCCCACACCTCGTACAACAGCCACTCACAAGGCGTCCTATATATGCAGCCATGCATCACTGCAAGCACGTAACTGCTTGTTCCGCTGAGCGAAGAACACCACGCACTCGCATCGCGACTCGAGCACATCATCGTCTAGAATAGCCATGACTGACTTTGATCTGCTAGTAGGCGACTTCCCATTCACCGACTTCAACAACTTCGGTACAACACCAGCGTTTGACCCCTCCATGCCCCTGGCGCACTCTCAGCCTACCCACTACCCGCTCGCACCCAACTACGCCTCACCTGCCTCCTCGTTATCTCCTGTTGCCCAAGGCTTTGATCAGTCTTCGAAGAAGCGCAAGCTCGACAATGTCGCTCCCGTCATGCCACAGTCTCTGGACGAGAACGCCCGCGTAGCCGCAGAAGAGGATAAGCGTCGCCGTAACACAGCCGCAAGCGCCCGCTTCCGCATCAAAAAGAAGCAGCGTGAGCAAGCTCTCGAGCAGTCCCAAAAGGAAGCGCAGGAGAAGGTCGCCAAACTAGAAGCTACCATCCAGCAACTGCAGACGGAGAACGCATGGCTCAAGGGACTCATCACCGAGAAGAACGGCGGCAAGAGCACTACAGACGAACTCAAGGCACTCATCAACAAGCGCGAGCAAGCCACAAGTGGACGGAGTAGCGGTACGCACACGGATGGCGTAGGCACCTCGATTGAGAGCCAAAAGGCGGATGCCTAAAATACGTCCTTTGTTTCTTCTTCTTCTTCTTCTTCTTCTGTCCTTTCTTCTCTGTACCTTTGTTGCTCTCAGTCAAGCTGGTCAATCTTTACTTTTGCGTACTGAGCCCATGTTCTGCTGTGCTGCTTCCACGGTTGGTCGGGTGGGCGATGGAGGATATGCCATATGATTAGGAAGAGTACGCGATCATATCCATGTAGACGAACGGATGAATAAGTAGCCGATACCATTTTCAACACATATAATGCCAGATGTTCCAACAAAGGGAAAAGCCTGTTTTCTCTGCCAAGTATCAAACATGGATTCTGAAGGTGTTTTTCCTGTTTTACATTAATGTGCTCGTGAGGAGAATGCGTTGTAGCGTCCAGGTTATAGCAGGAGACGATGAGTGGAGTAGCAAGTATCAATATAGTAGGTATCAATTTCGTTATGTCGACGGGGGGAAGCGCAGGACTATGCACACTGTGGTTTCAACGCCGTACCCAGGAAGAGAAGAGCAGCGGTTTCCAATCAAAAAACACCCCCAGCTTTCTTCTCGGCCCTCAGCCTCAGCGGGCCACTCACGTAGCTTTCGCTTGGCCCTTCATACGGGCCAGTCTGCATCCTACCCACCTTGTTCGATCGTCTGGATGGAAAATGCAATGGCTCACACCTGGGACCATCAACGCCCTTGGCGCTATTATCCTTCTAGATAGCAATCCAGGTGATGGTAATGACAATGTCCATGCCCTTCTTCTCGGCAGCCTCCCACTTGTAGCTGTATGTGCCGTCCTTCTCGTTGTTCCAGAAGGCGCCAACCGCGCTGTGCATGCCGCGACGACCGTGCTTGTCGGGTTCCGCGGGAGAGCCAATGTGTTGGATGACGGTGCTGTTGGCGATGTACTTGTAGGCAGGCTGCGAGGGAGTTTCAGGGGTGGAGGATTCGGATGAGGGTGTAGTCTTGCTGATGAGCGTCTTGAGGATGTATTGCTAGGGTAAACGTTAGTACATGATGGAGGCGGTTTGACGTCGCGTGCATGGTTGCGCCAGCTAGTCTAACTAAAACTTACAATAATCTCGCTGTTCCAGTCTCCAACCTTTGTGTGGTCGTATGATTCAGCGGCGCCGATAGCTTGCTCGCAGGCCTAGGTAGTTTGGTTAGCTCATGCAGCCTCATCCAGACGCATGCAGGGCGGCGTACCTGCTGAGCAATTTGCTCCAGTTCAGAGGTAGGAAGCGGTGACGCGGACTGTCTCTTTGTCAGTATACAATAACTTGTGCTTGCCGAGCAAGACACTTACTGCCATGGTGTTGACTGTGCTGTATAGTGATGTTGTGAAATGTGGAGCAGGAGGTTTATCGATGTCTCGAACAGGAACGTAGTGTGATGAGACGTAAATGTCGTGTTTACTCCCAAGGATCAGTGTTTGGACAAAGCTAGCGTCGGCGGCCGGAGTTGGATAGACGTGGCAGGTGCGCAGGTGGCACCCAGGGACCGGGCCATCCCCGCATGCAGCCTCAGAGCCGATGCTGTCACGTGGGCGACATGATAGGCCAAGGGAAGGCGTGAACTTGCATGGGTTTCCCATCGCGACCCGCATCAACGAGAGCTTTGACGGCATTGTGATGCAGACTTCTTTTCCTCACCTTGTTCCTACCACGAGATTCTTCGTCTGAAGCTGCATCAATCCTTGGCTCTCTTGGTGCCACTCAAGCGACCGATACTCAACCTCAAAAGTACCTCTGGAAAGCTCGCGTCGCAACATCAGCGGGACCATCACCACCATCGTCATGTCCACCCAACCGCTTCTCCAAACCGCTCCCGGTGCGTCGCGTCCTTCGCTCCGCCCCCAAAACGCATACTAACACTCTCCTCCAGGCAAGCGCATTGCTCTCCCCACGCGTGTCGAGCCCAAAGTCTTCTTCGCAAACGAGCGCACCTTCCTCTCATGGCTCAACTTCACCGTCATCCTCGGTGGCCTCGCAATCGGCCTGCTTAACTTCGGCGACAAGATTGGCAAGATCTCCGCCGGCCTCTTCACTCTCGTTGCCATGATGGCCATGATTTACGCCCTGTTCACCTTCCACTGGCGCGCAAGGAGCATAAGGCTAAGGGGCCAGGGCGGCTTCGACGACCGACTGGGTCCTACCATTCTGACGATTGCGCTGTTTGCAGCCGTCATTGTCAACTTCGTGCTGAGGTTGACAATGGGTGGTGAGCAACACCATGGCAAGAACTAGGAGAGGTACCAGGATGCAACGTGCGCGCAGCAGCTGCCATCACCCAATAGTTTGTGTGCATAGTGGCTCGGGCGCACATGGTCGGATTGAACGTGGAGGGTCGTGGAAAGAGGCAATAGCGGGTCGTCAAAACATACTTGGGGATGCAGAACTGGTGAAGACGACATATTTGGATGAGTTGGAAGGGCGTTTTGTTATTCAGTAACATGGTCATGTTTTCAAGAGTTCTGTACAATTACATAATGACATGCATGTCGAATCGAGGTGCCTGTTGTACCTCTTCTTGTTTTTGTTCTAGTTGCAGCTATGCAAACCACACGTAAAGAGGACGCAAAGTACATTTGTTTTAGCTTTACGATCTTTCAGTCTCCTTGAGAGGACCGTGTGATAGAGAAAGACAATCCTTACCAGCGGGCGCTCCACTCGCATCGAATCGCTCACCCTACTGCTTAGAGATGAACTTCCTATTCCATACGAAAACAAGGAACAGGAACTTCTGTGGCCACTTGCTCACCTTCTGCATGATATCCTCCTAGGTTTTCTGTGTGTAACGTTTGATAGCTCGGTAAGTCCATGAAGGCTTGGACTATATGTATTTAGATATCGACGAGTTCCCACATATTTGGTTTTAACGGATGTTGGTTTTAGGCAGATGAGACCTGTGTTCCAACACACGGCGTGCTTGTCGAGTAACTCATGATGAATAGAGAATCTTCTAGGCACAGCAATGGAGTGTCCTAGCTGCTCGTTTGCCGAGCTGATCTGGTGGTGGGTAAACTCTTATACCGATGAAAAGATTCACCTATAAGAAGCAGGATACGTTAGATTTATCGGTGTGAGCCACGGTAGAAGGAAACACTGATCTGGAGTAAGCAGAAGGTGTAAAGGCGGATATGTTAACAAGAGCATATCAAATGATACATTCGTCTGAGAACTAGCTTCTTGAATTCCAGCCGTATGAGCCCACCCAAGTGGATGCAGACAAGAGAGACAGGAATTACTACGATGACGTTAAGCACTGTAGAAGTGTGCCTTGTGGTTGGCTTTGCAAATCATGAAAATAACATTGCATTTGATTGCACATGTTTCACATTTTCAAAGGACTAGTATTGCTACTAGAGCTCACCGTTCGACAGCCTCTCTATGGTCCTAGTTCCAGCTCTACCAAATGAACCTCTGCAAGTTACCAGGCTCACTGGACCACGTGAATGTACGATACAAGAAAGTATTCGAGACAGCCGCATTAATAGCGAGCAGCCAAACAGTCTCCAAGACCATACGTACGTCAAACCCTCTGCTGTTCGACATTGCAGCTTGGTTGCAGGGTACATGCAGCCGCCAGATTATCCATGGAATGATGAAATAACGAGGCTCTACTAGTGGAGCAGTAATGAGTGAGAGCGCAGTGGTCACTAGCCACACAATGACGAAGCTTATCTGACAAGTAGGGCGATCAGCGTTGTCTTTTGTAAGACTGGCTTTACTTTTCTCCATTGGTGTTTGCTCCTTCTCAGGTGAGACCGGCTGTGGTGGTGAAGCAAGCGCTTGAACAGTAGTCCATGCACATACATAGTATACTGGGACTGCAAGGTACTTCAACGTGGGGTATAGTCGAAGCACCTTGAAGACGTAGAAAACAAAGTGTCGGTTGTCGGCCAAGGTATACGGGTGAATGATGGTATTGAAATGGACTGCAAGGAAGCTGCCGGCTATGAAGAACGCAGTCGTTGCAGTTGTCGGGATTCCGTAGTAAGAGATGTTGAGATATTCATGGCACAATATCCGGAGACGTCTCGGTAAGAAAGTGACAGCAGGTCTGAGCAGGGGTCCAATTAATAGTGGTGCCGAGAAGAACGTAATGTAAGGCCAGATGTAGAGCATCTGAGGAAGATGAATAGTAGCCGTGTGGGCTGATTTGTCCCCTATCAATGTTAGCTCTTGTCCATACAAAGACGTATTCTACGCTTACCAAGGACAACACTGCCGTTCCAGATTACAAATCCAGTGAACAGAAATAGAAGGGTGATATATGGTAAGGTGATCTTGAGTACGACCAAAGGTTTCCGTATGGCTGCAACCACCACAGACAGCAGAAACATGACAACATCTAGCAATACATTAATATCGACTCTGATAGCTGAATACGAGGCGACGTACCATGGAGACCCGCGTCTTGAACATGACTGTCATAGATTGCACCATCGTTCCAACTGGTCTGTACAGCTGACCTAAGGTCTGAACTTGTTGAGATAGTTGCCGGCGCGTCTTTCTTCAGTGTGTCGATGACCGCAAGCCCAGCGGGGAACACAGCCACCCAAAAGATGTTGGTTTGTCGAAACAGAAGTGCAAAAACTCCCAGTGCTACTGCACTGATCATTCCCACGACAGTTCGCTTTGACATCGAACTCGTCAGATATGCACTATATGCGAATAGTACCGCCAGAGTTGACATCACATCTGTGTAGTACAACGCAGAGAAGAAGAAGAGAGGGGGGAAGAGTGCAATGTTAAGAGCGGAGTGAACGTCAACCACGAAGGTAGGGTCTCTCACAGCAGAGTCGCGCTCTGCAATGTTTTCGTCCTCCTGCAAGCTCTTGCCTGGGTTCTGACGCTTTCGAAGTAGACGCAGAATACCATAGCTCATAATCATGATGATACAAAGAGCTTCGGCGTTCAAAATGCGCAAGGAGGATGTTTCGCAGCCCAATAATGGTTTCGATAATTTGGAGACCAAGTAGCTTTGATCAATCATTAGTCATGTTCGGCCAGCAGGTGTTGTAGGCGATCGTACAGGCCAGGTGGAGTGGTGATCTTCGGATCCCATGAGTAGTCGCCTTTGCAGTACTTCTGGGCTTGGGGAACATGGAAGTACTCATCCTCGTATTCGGTCAGTATTAGAACACGTCGATGTTGCTGGTACATACCAGGTAAGGGTTTGGAACTTCATGTAGCACTTCTCCATACCATATAGTGGTGATGTACACAATGAATACAATGGCGCTGGGCAAAGCCCACGCCTCGAGTAGTAGAGGCATCAGTCTTCTTTGGTTGACTGCCCAAGCAATAGTCTAGGAGAAAGAATGGTGTCAAATGTCAGTGGACAGTTTGAAAGATGCGGGTGATCCTGATTTAGTTAGCTTACCGCGGTCCGGGCGCGTCGTGCATCTCAAAACTTGGACAAACAACTTGAAGTCCCCGATATTACGCGTTGCAACATGGCATTACCTCTTCCGCCGGGGCTGACGCCCCCCGAGATAGCGTTCTTGTGCGAGATGGAGCTCGTCACTGTCATACCGCGGCAGAGACTTGAGGGATTGGAGCTTCTCGGCGTAGGTGTGCCCCTCCACCCCGCCATGCTTGCTTGTGTATGTGTATTGTGTATAGATTGTTTATGTTGATAAATCATAGGGACCCATAGAACCGCTCGTTCCTCCGCACCGAACAGACATTCCTCTGTGGCTAGCTCTCCTGCTCAAGCGACAGCGCCGCGCCAACATACTTCCACCGCCATGGCTTAACACGCACTCTCTCAATGCCATCCTCGAACACGAAATCGAATACGCCGAGACCTTCTCCCCGCCACCCCGACTACCACCGCAGCCCTCAAACAATACACTTCCTATCTCCCCACCGTTCCTACCCAACTCGACAGCAAGAGGAGCACCAGACGCCTTGCCATATCACTGGCTTGAGCTGGGCGAAATGCTGCTCGAAACAGCGTCGGACGACTTCGAGGAGCCAGACAACGTACGGAAACTGCTGAGAGGCCTGAGGGAAGTACGAATGGCCAAGCTCAGAAGCGGTGTAGAAGTACTGGATGCAGGAGGTGGTTTCAAAATGAATGGTGTGGGAGGTATGGAGGTAGGAGAAGGAAGGACGTTCATTACTGGCGTTATTGATGGGTTGAGGTGCGTATCATGCATAGCATCAGAAGGTTGGTACTAACCGTCAACAGGAAGATTGCAGCATCGCGAGAACAGCAACGCAAAGACCGAGACCGAGAGGAGGCAGAAAACGGTTACGCTGGTACAGCCGACTATGACGACGACGAGATGGATATGCAATGAACCCACGCCCTTTCCAATAGCTGTTCTTAAACGTCAGCTTCCGAATGGAGTAAAAGCTGTACAAGGGCAACTCCCAGAACCCAGCTACGAGCTATCCGCGGCGATATTCGTTGTCAAGTCCGTCAATATCTCCATCGACAACATGGGCGCTTGTTTTCACGACGTGCACGAAACTGGTCGTGTTCTACACCGGCCTCGGCGCATTACTCCAACACTTCTAGTGCATTGCTGACAAGTCATCTTGGATGTCGGCGGCATAACAGAAAGAACGCGGCGCTTGCTGGGTGCCTCGTTCAGGTTCTGGACTCAAAATCTCACTTTGCGGATTTACGTGCCATGATAGCAAGGATGGACCGTGAGTCCCCAAGATCCATGCTCGAAAGTGACATTTTGAGCACGTATGCCCATATAAGTGTCACTATGGATCATACCTCGTTCAAGATGCTACTCCATTGTGTTGCGTTAGCTGGAGGACTATGGAACAAGGTGTTCCCAAGTCGTAACTTTCATAGTCACGCTACACATCCGCGATTCAATTCACATATCGCTCGGCAATGTTTACTGTTGTATCCGAGTTGAACGCGTTCAGCACGATCAAGACGATCGTTTATACCTAGATAGGCATTCCTTTGCATCCGAGGTATTTACGAATGTAGCTACTACGCCGGTCTCTAGACGCGGTGAACATCGTCCCCGTGACCTTACCTACCCCATGTGTACCGGCAAAAAGTTCCGATGTATGTTTCTAGGGACCCTTTCACAGTCAAGGGATAAGATACCCTCATATGCAAGTCATGGAAACTCGATATCGCCGAGCCTAGAACAAGGAGCTGCCCTGAAGAAGGCCCGTCAAGGCCGTTCCTCGGCCCGCGAACAGCGTTGCGTGACAGCAACACAGGCAATACCCCAAGAGATATTCGATAGCACACATGAACGCCTCGATGCGAAGGGCCATGTCAGCATGCGCGTCATCATAGTCTGTGCAAGGCATCATATCGTTGATCTGGCGGTTTTACGGTCTCATCGGAGGAGGGTTGTGATGAGATTAGAGTGCCGGCGGAGCCGCACGTCGCCATCCAAGCCATCCAAATTGAGTCGAGACTGCAGTACCAAGGTGTGCACGCTCGCTGAAAAAATTCAGTGCAACTATACTTGGGCGACCGAGTGAATCACTTCAGCAAGACCGTGTCGTGGACAGGCTATAGGGCAGCAATGCGCGTGACAGCGTCGATCACTACCCACGATGTGCGAACAACTGATTCATGTAGTCTTGGTGGTAGGTGAATCGGCAAGCGATTGGGAGCAGTGTCTTTCCGCGCAACACACAGATGCGAAAACACACCTGTATGCATGTGAAGAAGGTGGTCATGGCATTACCATGCCAGTGTTGCGTAACGTATCTTTACGACTTATCAAATATGAAACGTTAGCTCAACAACAACAATTTAAAACCCTCAAATTACTGAACAAGTAATCCTAGACACGCTTACCCGCTCTTCAGCCTTCCCGGAAGCACCGACACGTGGTTAAGACATGGATGGGTCTCTCTTCTCTCGGCTCACTCTGGTTGCACTGTCCACGCATCTATCCCGGCAAATCGACTCCACAACAACAAGCGAACAATCTGTCGCAGTGAGGCTGACAACAAGCTGACGAAACTAGTCACGGCCAAGTGTCCCGTCCTATCTTACCGTATAGTAATAACACTCATAACACCATGGAAACTTTCCATCCTTCGAATATGCGCCCAAGAAGCAAGGAAGACGGCGTGACAAAGCATGCACACCCCAAACAGGCATCATGCATGCATGAAAGATACATGTGTACGTGAGTCGCGGCATTCATGCGCGAGGTAATGGACACGGGTACTGGGGTTGTGAGTCGTAAACAAGAAATAGAAAAATAGGATGATTACGTGAGTATTTTGGATAGAGTGGTAGACTACTACATCGGCGAAGGAGAGCTCAAGAGAATGAGAAGGAAAAAGTAAAGTAAGGTTTCGTGTATGCGATGTGGTGGATTGAGAAAGATGGAGCAAGACGAGGGGCGTGAGAAAAGTATATCTATATGCCGTAATTGGGAATGAGTGAAGGGAGCCCAGAGGTATCCTACCATGGGGTGAAAGACAAGAGTACGCTAGCATCATGTCCATTGGTGTTGTCTTAGTGATTCGCCCAAGAACATTTTTTTGAGGTTCCAATTCGATCATCCCACCCTAGGTCGCAGGATCGGATCTCCAAGCTAGCCTTACGGCGGCAATCCCTAGGTGGTCGAGCTTCTGGGCTGATGGAAGAAAGTTTTCGTCATACCACTGGGCATTGGAGTGCATAGTAGTTAACAACACACGTGGCATTGCATTGCATCGCATGCCAGAAGCAACACGGTTTCGATTTTTGGTGTGTGAGTAGATCTTGGTCGAGAACGTTAAGGACTGCCGTTTCTTCCGAATGTCTATGTCGCGTGTGAAAACATTCTTTTGCGTATCGGATTAGAAAACGATAATGCTTGTTGATCCAAAAGCAGAGCATTGTGCATAAGCCCAGGATCTAGAGGTTGCCTTTCCGCCGTTCTTGTCGCAAAACAAAGCTAATGCCGTTGATCTCTCGGTAGTCTTTTTTTTTTCTCGTGTCCGACACGTGCGCACGTTACCTACCAAGATTTCCATTCCAAGATCCCATGTCTGACCTTCCCGAGACCATATATCGAACCCGACGCAGCTAGTAAACCTTCACCACCACCATTATCGCAATACCACACATCGCAATACCACACTCCAATCTCCAAGACTGTAATATCTTACTGGGATTCCAATAGCAGCGTTCAACATCTCTCCGCCGACTTACTTATTGCAGTAAGCAGTAAAGAAAAATGAAGAATGTGAGACATGCCTCATACACCTCCAGTGTGATCTGATGCCAGCTTTCCTTACGCACCTTACTTTACTACATGTGGGTACCTTGCTTGTGTTTATGGCCAGACGAGATTTGAAGCGGAGGTCGTTAATGAAGACATGACAGGGATATTGTAGCTTTTTCCGCGAATAGGCATGAGGCGGATGTACCGGATACTGAGCCTGTGAGCTGCTGTATGGGGGATGGTGAGACGGGGGTCCTGGTATGTGGATTATAGCTAATGGAGAACTCGTGTTTGCACGATAGCGATACGATATCTGATGAAGGTTATTAGCTAGTGGAGAGGAGCTAGGGTTGGCGAGTTTTACTGTTGCACATTAGCAGCTTGGATGATTGATACCCGTGCGATGATTTCAAGCTACCAAATGGCGCAGCATTGGAGAAAACCATAAGTGTGATTGTTTGTTACAAAGTGGGTTTGCGGCTCGATCATCGATGGATGGAACCTTGCAAGCGCATATACGAAGATGCAGACGCAAGCAGCCCCATCTCTGTGAAATGGGACAGATTCGCATGCTCATGGCCCTGTGCAGCGTTTCGCCATATGGGTCCAAGTTGCAAAGCGCTGATCAAGGTTCCCAGTTTCCATGCCTCATTCTCCTCGTATGCAGATGTGGCGTACCAATAACCCCTTAGGGAGATGAAGCGTACTCCGCGGACTACGCCGCAGGCAGAATTCCATTGCAGCAGCGGAGCTGAGATCCTGCAGGAATCACATTTTGCTCCTCAACGTTGTTGAAGAAAAACGCCACATGGCTCCATGCTAAAGAGTTCTTTTGCTTCCTTGAGGCGTATTGCTTTACATGTTTTCCAATCCCGAGTCAAGTCCGTACTCGCGCATTCTCACGTGCAGCCAACACCAAAAACACATTCAATCCTTGGAGAGGACATACTATTCGAGTTGAACGCAATCTTCTGCGAACACAATCGATCTCTAATCGTGCGTCATGGTTGAATATCGATACGTCGGTAGCAATCATCGCGACTGGGGTCGTACAAGCTATACGCGCGCAAGCGGAAGAAGCGATGAGATTCGTGGACAACTGCAAGGGATGTGCAAACTGGTTAGATGCTGAGGCTGACGACTCGTACTTGCTCACGCTCAACATCCTGGTTCCACTCGGTTTCCAGGACCTTGGCAATGCCTTTTCCTGTAGCGCTGTGTGTACTTCTTATGGCATACATTGCTCGAAGCAGACGTCAGAAGAGACCGAGTTGTGCACGAAGTAGCCGTCAATCGCCGCTTAGTAGCTCTTTTGCGCCGCCAGCCGTAGACGTGGGCAGTACCACGAGATAACTCGGGATATTGATCAAAGTTTGTGCAGACGCGGCAAATGGTCGCATCCATCGCTCGTCTCATCGCGACCCAGAGCTGCGCCGCATCGTGTTCGTCTATACCACGCCGCAGATGCGCATTCTTCTTCGTTCACATGACTTCCAGCTGCCTTTTGGGACGGTCATTGGTAGCCGAGCCTCGGTAATAGTGCATCGGAGTGATGTCCGTTCTGCAATAGATCCACCGTGCGTACCGCGATGCTGGGTCGGCGTTGGCTCTCGCGTGTGGATTGTGGCCTGGGCGTGGAGGCTGGTGGGATGTTTGCAGCGCATCTGTAGAAATGCACTGATATCTAATGCAAACAAGGTTGTCGGCAACTGTACCATCATGTTTACCATGACGTCGTTCTGGAATTACATTATCGACGCTAGTCTCAGCACCCGCACATTGCGCAGCAGTGAAAAGCTGGCTGGCTGCCGGCAGCTAACGTATCCCCGCGGTCGGGAAGTTGGTAACTTTCATGGCCAAGCTACAGCTCCTAGCTTCCTGTGCGGGAGGTTGCTTAATGGCCTGTTTGTGATGGGATTTAGACAGAAAAGGGCCGAGATGTTTGTTAAGTACCTCCAAGTGAGCGAACTACTTTGGAGGCGTCAGAACGATGAAACACTTGTATGCGCCGTCTTCACGCTATCACCGTTAACAGGATTTCGAAATTGTTTACACAACAAAAGCGTCTGCACTATGGACTACTTGCGGTTGAAGATGAGGTAAGGTGGCCTGCAATGTCGATCTGTTGACCTAGACCTCTATTTAGGTCTCGTGCGACAATGGGGAATTTCCAGAATGATGATCAACAACAGTGCCCCTTGTGTTGACATAGTTTAGAGGCTAATCACGTTCGTGTACTCAATAATGCAACTTGACTCAGGGATGTACGGACCGACATGATTGGCATCCGCTGTCATTTGAACATCGCACAAACTCTGACAGGGTCCGCCGCGAACGGGAGTGTCGTCAACCGAAAGACAGCGCTGCTCTGAGTGGCGTCGGTCTTGGGATCTTGTATCACCAAGTTGCCTGGCTAAAGGGAGTAGGCAGTGTTTTCGCTTCGCCGAATTCGATAGTCGCTTGGCGATTGTCAGTCCCGAACCTATTTTTGTTGTGACAGCAAGCCCCAAAGAGTTTTGCCCGCTCTTATTCGCTCAGCGTCGCTCTTCAGTCGTCTCCGGAATGAATGCGCATGTGATAACTTTACAGTACCAGATTGCAAAAGACCATAGTGACCGGACGATTAGGATCTTGATATTGGAAAAACGAAACAACGCTCAGCCGTACCGCGGGAGGAGAGTTCACGGCCCGCGTGCACCCCGATTGGGAAAGCGAAGATGCAGATCGGAGCCTCTTTCGGCATTGAAGTAGGGAGCGTGCCATATCTCAATGTGCCAACAGGGGTAGACAGTTCGAATGAAGTTTTCACCAGGTGATCGACGTCGGGATTGAGCGCATCTCAACTGTGACGATGCGGAGATGCTCGAGGAATGTATCTGGCCGGGTCCAGCCGTAGGATGCTCGATAAAACAGTCGCTCAACAGTGGGGAGCGTCAATACGGTCAATCCCGTAGTGGGGGTTTAGTTCAAGACTAGGACGCCTCGCCGTGGTCTTCGAAGAGCGCACACCAGACGTTTTGTATCATACTGACACCACGGAAAGTAGTATACTTGAACTCTGTTTCGAGCCACGGTGTACGACTTACTGAGAGCAATAATCAAAACGAAGCAGTTCTGAAATACTATGTATTTCCAGCATTGTCCATGTTGCATCATTGAGCGTCGAGTGTAGTCGTGCAGAGGGATAGTTTAGTGTTTGATATTATCCGTAGTACTGCTAGCCGAAATCCGACTTGTGCTGATCGTTTTCTGATGGAAAAGGTGAACAGGTGGTATATGTGGTGCTGGTTAAGGCGTTGATGAGAACAGCAGCAAGGATATGTTCTTGCCAGTCTAACACCTTGAAACCGGCATGTGATACTCGGTAGGGATGTTGTCGTCAAGTCGCCGTCTTTATGTGCATGCTGCTTAAAGTCGTCACAGGCGCAGATCTATTGCTCTTAGTGGGGACGAGGCGGGTCGTCGCTTCGATCCTACAACTGCCGGGGGATGAGTCCCATATCGAAAATGACGTTTGCGGCCGCTGGGCATTATTGCATGGCAATTCGGTTCTTGTGTGGTTGGAGATGGCAAACTGATACTAGACGGCATAGGCCCGATTGACTCTTCCTCAGTTCCGACCGTTCGGGGGATTCTAAACGGAGGCTTGCAGTGGTGCAGCCGTACGGACAGCAATATCTTGATATTTGTGCATACGGCCAATAGGACGGACTGCGGGCTCTGCAGAAGAAATTTGGGCTAGGATGATTGGGAGCAGTGCACTTGAGCCGGGGAAGATGAGCCGGCGGAAGGTGCCAAGACAAGTTAGAGACGGCGCGAGCAGAGGGGTGATCTTTGCTGCATCCAGACATCGAGTCTGCGACCGGGGAGAAGGTTCGCAGTGGGTCGACAAGCCTGATGCTGCAGGTCCTGGCTCGCGTCCGCGCGTGTGCGTGTGCTCTGCGGGTCTTGATGCAGGCGACGGTATGTTGTTATGCTTTGAGCGCAACCAACATGGGGGTTTATGCCTACTGAGTGGTGATGTGATGGCATCGACAAAGATTGTCTTTCACCTTCTGCCAGTCACCGCCGACAATGGATGCGATGCGTACTGTTGGCTCTTCCCGTCGAAGGCCATGGGTGGATCGGCTGGGTGAATGCAGTCAGTGCGTGCACGGTACCTCAACATAGGGACCGGGCAAGGGAGAAATGCCGGGGACAAGTCCTGGCCTCGCTCGCCAGCACGGTCTCGCCGTCGCGATTAAGGATGCTTGCGGGCTATAGTCGAGGTTGGGAGCAGGCCGCATCCCACATGCGCCAACGCTCCGTTAGCCCTGGCTCAACCCCCCTGCAACGCCTGACAGAAGGCCCCTGTCCTGTTCACACGAAGCTTTTCTCGAGTAGGTGGGCGGTAGGATCCTCCATCGGGATGTGATAATAACAGGACCATCCGTCCACTGTGGAGAAAGGCAATGTTGCGCCGTTCCATTGCATCTTGGTCGCCATCCTCTAACCCTCTGCTGGCAGCGTCTGTTTTCTTTTTGGTCGCTCTTTCCCTCGCTTGGGCCGCGACTACCTCACGAACCGTTGGAAGGAACCCCACGCTCCCCTGCAGAGGCAAGCACGACCCTTGCAAGCCTCTAGGTCCATCCTGCTCTGCTATCGCCATTACAAGACAGCGGTCCTTCCCCAGCTGCAGCCCCTCGTTCAAGTTAGCTCTAGAGCTTTCACTCTCAAACACCTGCATACGTCCACGAGAGACAGACGGTGTCTGAGCTTCTACCTTGCTACCGTCTTTGTGTAACGGAAACGGCGCTCGTCCCAGCGTCAGCGAATCCAGTACTGCGTTTCACGACAAACACCACGACGACAGGCCAATTCGTCGGCCTCGAATCCACATCGGGTAATTGCATTCACTGCAGCATCAGTCACTTGCTTCACTATCTAGCATTCACATTACCGTGCGCTAGCCATCGGGTACGTCAGGCTCCGTTTGTCGCATCTTATCCGTTAACATGGAAACAGTACGACCTTTCAACATAGACTTCAATTATCACACATAATCTTAATCGTGTGCGATTGACCAACCTATCTTACCTTTCTATCAATCTACCTGGGCGACTACCAGATGCTTGGGACGTGTGCTAGCCGAAGTGCAACGTCCAGCTAGACGACTACAAGGAGCATCTCACTTCAACATCTCATCCGCTTCACGTACTTGTCATGGATACCGTCATGGATACCGACATGGATACCGACATGGCGTCATTCGTTCCCGAGCAAGAAGAGATGGATAAGCGATCGAGCGCACTAGTAGCGCCACTGAACATTCAGAAGTCACCAAGAAGGTCGCGATCGCGTGTCGGCCGGGGCGTTTTCGGTCACAGCAGGCAGTCGTCCTCAAGAGGAACTCTATCGAGCCGGTCGCAATCACAGATATCGCCTCCTCTAACACCCAAGACTTCCAGCGAGGCTATGGCTCAACAGCAGCAGGAGCAGCAGCATCCTCAACCCGTCTTCCACAACTACCTCCGCGCATTTTACCATTACAGCCCAAGCTCAACGGTATCCTCGTCGACCGACGAATCTTCCATCACCGTCGCCATCAACCAAGGCGACGTTATCCTTGTTCATTCCGTTCATCCTAATGGTTGGGCTGATGGTACACTCTTAGCTTCAGGGGCCCGCGGGTGGCTGCCCACCAATTACTGCGAACCTTATGACAATCCAATAATCCGGAACCTGTTGACCGCGTTAACGTATCTCTGGGATTTGGTGCGCGATGGAGAGAATGGCGATCTCGGTGCATTTTCGAGACAAGATTATGTAAAGGGCATGATTGTTGGCGTGCGCCTGTTTCTCGTAAGTGAATTCAGTAACGGCGTAGACGAAGCGTGTTTCTAGCTCATTCACTAACTTCTATCAGGAAAGGACTGAATGCTTGCAGAAAGACTCACGCCTCATCCTCACCCATGTAAGCTTACGGCGTATGCGGAAAGCTCTCTTGGGAGATTTGTCCACACTAGTCAAAACAGCCAAGACCTTGCAAGAGGCCTTGCAATCGAACGAACTCCAGGTTCCCGTGTTCGAGCACATGGACGAGCTTGTTTTCAAATCATTTAAGCTGGTCACCCGGGCCGTCCGGTTCCTCGACATCTGGACAACGGACGCGGTCGCGCTGTCGCTTTTCGAGCTTGGCGACGCAAGTAGTCATCGACCACTCACCCCGCCGTCCGACTCAGCCGACGCTGCTGTGGAACCAACAGAAACATCAGCTCCTGCTGGCGAGAACAGACTTCTAGCGAACGGCTGCGACTCTCCAGTCACACAAGGTACACCGTCTGCACACGACGACTGGTACAGCGCAACCGCACACCCCTCACGAAACCTGAACCGCCTATCGGTTGCCTTTTCTTTGCCTTCAGAGCCAGACTCTCTTCAATCACCGGTACTGCCTTCGCGCTCATCAGTCCAGTCGAAACGTATTTCCGTGACGCACCGATTGTCGTACACCGGTAAATCAGCAAGTGCACGTAAAGGAAACTTAGCCACCGAGAAGCTGAACGCCGCACACGACGCTTTCTTGGGCTACATTGGTTCTTTCATCGGGCTGCACCTCCAATCACGGTCTTCTGAAGAGCTCGCCCAGATTACCCAACACTCCGTTGTTGCGTGTCGCCAACTACTCAAAGTCGTCGAAGAAGTATGGGAACGAGACTCGCGAAGATCCGAACAGCTGGAAGAAGCACGAGATACCATGTATACCCGTTTGACCGACCTAGTGCAAGCGACCAAGGACATGTTCGTGAATGCCGACACTGATGTTGAAGAGGTGGTAGCGCCCGAGGCAGGGAAGCAGATCGTCGCTGCTGCCACAAGCTGTGTTCGCTCTGCTGGTGACTGTGTCACCAAAGCTAGAGTAGTGATTGAGAGGATTGGTGACTTCGAGTTTGAAGCTGAGCCTGCTGGTCTAGGGCTGTCAGAAACGATGTTCAACGAGCCCGATACGGAGAACCAAGTGTCCACGGTTAGGTCCGCCTCGCCGAAGCCTACGGATACCGTTCTAGAGACGAACAAACCACTACCCGCTACGCCAATTGAGCAACGTGAGATGCCTCCACCACTAGTCATCTCAGAATCGAAGCCACTTCCTGAGGTGCCGCAACCCTCACCTCTCGATACCAACAGACTCAGCCTTCAACCATCGACCCAGTCCGTCATTGTCGAGAGCCCAACTGCCGTGTCGTTCAGATCGTCCCGATCATCGTTGCCTCCTCTCAATGCGGTACCAACTCCGTCACTACCTCCGCCTCACGCATCTGACTCCGTCGAGAGTCCCATAAGCACGGCCCAGGAAAGTTTCGCCGGTTCTACTAAAACTGATAGCATCTACGTTTCTGTGAATGACGGAAGCAGCACCTACTTCAGTGCCCAAGGTGATTCTGGAAGCATTCTTTCGCACACGTCGACACGTGCTACTACCCCAGATCATTCGCCTACGAAGAAGGAGAGTTGCCAGACTTTAATCAGCAGTTTCGGCAGTTCCTCCGAGCTTCGATCTTTAGCAAGCGAGGATGTCGCTGCTGGCGAAGAGCACTTGTTGGAGACTACCTACGTGCATGAATTGATCTATAACAAGGAAGGTCAAATCTCTGGCGGTTCCCTTCCAGCGCTCGTAGAGCAGCTGACCACTTTCGAGTCTACTCCAGACGTCATCTTCGTCAACGCCTTCTATCTTACTTTCCGTCTCTTCACAACACCGCTCGATCTGGCGCAGTGCCTTATCGACCGTTTTGACTACATCGGCAGCAGTCAGACAGTTGGAGTTCCGGTCCGTCTCCGTGTCTATAATGTCTTCAAGGGTTGGCTAGAAAGCCATTGGTGTGGCGAGAGTGACTCTGCTGCTCTGGGCGTGATCCTTGCGTTTGCAACTGGAAAGCTCCGTGCAGCCATGCCTGCTGCTGGCAAAAGACTCGCCGAACTGACTTCCAAGGTGACAGAAGTAAGGGCCGGAGCTCTTGTACCTCGCTTGGTGTCTTCAATCAGCAAGACGGGTGCTTCAAACTCAGCTTTCACCCTTGCTGATAGCAACGTTCCGTCACCAATTGTAACCAAGAGCCAACTTAACGCCTTGCGAGGTAGTAAAGAGGGCAGAACGCAGTGCAGCATCCTGGACTTCGATCCTCTAGAGCTTGCCAGACAGTTCACCATTATCGAGTCGAGGCTCTTCTGTGCCATTCAGCCCGAAGAGCTCCTTGCCTTGGAATGGACAAAGAAGAAAGATTCCAAGGCTCGCAACGTCAAAGCGATGTCAACTCTCTCGACCGACCTGGCAAACTTGGTTGCCGATACCATTTTGCAGCTTGAGGATGCAAAGAAACGCGCAGTCGTTATCAAACAATGGGTCAAGGTTGCGGCGAAGTGCTTGGAGCTCAACAACTACGACTCATTAATGGCCATCATCTGCTCGCTCAACTCTTCCATGGTCATGCGTCTCAAGCGTACCTGGGAGCTTGTATCTGCAAAGACCAAGACTCGTTTAGACGAACTCAAAGCGATTACCGACGTGGGACGCAACTATGCGGTGCTCCGACAGCGTCTGCAGAACCACATCGCGCCATGCATTCCGTTCGTCGGCATCTATCTTACCGATCTTACTTTTATTGATGTCGGAAACGGCACCACGCGACAGCTTCCTGGTGACTCTGGTTCTGACAGCGTCTCTGTCATCAACTTCGACAAACACATGAAGACAGCCAAGATCATTGGTCAGCTTCAATCATTCCAAGTTCCTTACCGGCTAGCTGCCATCCCAGAGATGCAGGAATGGATGGAGAGCCAGATCCAGCGAATGCACGCAAGCGATCAGGCCAATGTCCAAAGCTATTACCGTCGATCGCTGCTTCTCGAACCGCGAGAGGCACAGCACTCCGTAAGAGGCTCACCATCTATTGACAACAGTGCGCAAAGCACCTTTTCGGCAGAAAGCCGAACCAATTCGAAAGATAAGTTCGAGTTTCTGAACTTCAACTTCTCCACCGCGAACCTGAAGGGTTCATAGACATGTATACTGCGCTTCATTGCGCCCTTCTTCATCAAACGCCTCTGGATGGCGACTTGCCCGACATACCTTAATGTTTGCGTTTTTACTGCATCTGTTCTTGCCCTTTACGTCACGGACACTTACGATACCAATGCCGGAGTCTCTTTTGTTTGTTCTATACCACTTCAGCGATTTCCTTTCTGGGAGGCACATTCATATTTTGCGACGGCAGCTTACAGATATCTGCACAACATTTGATACCTTTTGCATAGCTACTGAGGCTTCTCCAAGCCTGCGTCAGCCGGTTCTTTGGCGTTGGGAAGAGGAAAGAGGTCGCTGTCACGGCAAACGGTGTGTTGCTGCGATCGAGCGCTAAAAAAGCGTTACAAGAATGAGCATTGGAAGACAAAAGGTGTTTTTGTACTCATAGAACCACATGTAGAGTGGTCCATCGGACTGGCAGCTCTCCTCTGAATGAAAAAAATTCTTCAACTCAAAGATCGCCCGTCCACAGCCATACATGCAAGTTGTGAATGATTTTAGTGTTTATCAAACGGAAGAGTCCTATCAAGGAGCCCGTGCCGGATAAGTTGTAACGAACAATCGAGGTAGAGGAATGGATTTTGCTGTATCTTGTGACTCCAGTGACGAAACATACCATAGATACCTCAGATAAATTTCTTATAGTACCATTTAGGGACATATGGGTTCTATCTAGGATGATCACAGAGGGCTGGGCTCTTGCCTTCGGGGTGAGATTTCCATGCGGGGTTAAAGCTAGCGATCGGAACCAATGTGCTACCCCTCTATGCCACCATCGCGTCGCACAACCGCCCGCCCATCTGCAACACTTCCCTACTCGTCCACATATGCGCTCGCACATACTCACGATGTCAACACAAGAACTCCTAGTCGATGTACGCTCCCCCAGTGAGTTCTCCACCGGCTACCTCACCTCCGACATCGCACCTACCGTAAACATCGAGTACCAAATCATCGATCAGTTACCCGAAATATACGCTGCAAAAGGCATAGTTGTGGGGAAGGATGATGCAGTCACACTGTATTGTCGCAGTGGTAGACGCTCAAACATTGCATTGGAGAAACTGAAGGAGCTAGGGTTCAAGAGGGTGAGGGATATTGGGGGGTTTGAAGAAGCGAGGAAGGTTTTGGATCGCGAGCAGGTACAAAGACAGTTAGATGCTGAAATGGAGAAGAGCATGGGACAGACGGCCAAAGAGGCAGGGAAAGAAGACGAACCCAAGAAACATGTTAGGGTTAAGAGCTTCGGCGCATTGGTGGATGGGCTGAAAGCGCTTGAGAACTAAGAAGCGCAGGACAAGACGGAGAGCTGATAATGCATGGGAACCTTCGAAGAATACGATCACGTCAACACCCACGACTAGGCCTCCAATCGACCGTTACACGAAGCGACAATATGGACAGGTGTGATATGGAAATGCGGATGTCGGAGCATGAGTCCGGTTGATTCGATATGATATACAGGTAAATAAATGCTCCCTCAAACGAGTGTGTCAAAGTTGGCTCCCCCTAATCCTCAAAACTGCTGCGTCCTCCTTAGCACTCCCGCTAACTAGTTATGCAGTTCTACAATAATGGTGTCTCTACACGTCCTCTGGTCACCTACACATTGCTTTGGAAAGAGAAGCTGTTAGTACTGTCCTTGAACATGGGTGTTATGTCGGTTCCGCTGCTCCTCTTCGTTGGCATGGTTTTGGTGACCCTTACCACGTCCATGTCCACCCTGAGGAGCGTCAGAAGGCATAGTAACTCCAGCGGCGCCAGGGGTGATCTCACTGGCAACTGAGGACGCGGCTGATGAAGCAACAGCGGTACTCAGTGACGAGACAACCGTGGTACTCATGCCTGACTCTACAGCATTTCCTGAAGGCATGGCTCCCGTAGGCATAACGGTACCAGAAGGCATAGTACCATTTGGAGCACCGCCAGGACCGCCGCCCATACCACCAGAATTCTCGTTCTCAACACCTCCCTCTTCAGTCCAGTATGCCGCGGGGGTGATATTGTAAGAGTTGGTCGAGTCCATGCCGAACGCCAACCAGCCAAACAGACCCTCAGAGATGTCATCGCCCAGCATGACGTACTCCACGAATGGATCAACATCCTCAGCTTCTTCAGCGAGGATAGAGTCATCCGAGTTCGAAGTGACTTCCTGTTCGTTGCTAGCATAGGGTTCTACCGTGTCGGCGAGTGTGATAAGGTCCTGGTCGAAGAACATCTGTCCCACGTGTGTGATGTGGCCGCCTGAGAGGGTCGAGTTGGCGTTTACGGTTGCGTTGAGTCTGGACATGACGTGGATATGCGTCTACAATACAGTCGTTAGTTGGTATGAATTATGCAAGAAGAAGATCACGCGGAATGGCGAGGACTTACAGCACGGCCGGTGTAATGTCCTGGGAAGATGGTCTGAAACACAACAACACCGTTTTCGTCGCTCTGCTGGATGCCACGCAATGCAGTGTTCTGCAAGTTTGACTCGTCATCTTCACCAACCCCGTTACCTTGAGCCACAACACCAGAGTACACACCAGTGGCGTTGCAGTGCCACATCTCGAGGTAAGCCTGGGGAACAGGTTCACATGTGTTCACATCGATGATCTGGATGTCCAACGTCATAGGGATGCCCTCTTGGTTTTCGGTAACGTCTTCTCGCACAAGCTCGCCTTCAACCCAGTAAGGACCTTGTGTGACCTCAGGTGTAAGAATGCAGGAGTTGTTTCCTGCAAAGAGAGTGGCGGGATCGGTGTTGGCAGTGACGCCAGTCATGTTCGACTTGTGATCGGTAGCGAGCACAGTATCAAGGTCACGGATGCGCAGGTATGGTTTGTCTGCTCAATACATCAGCTTCCAGTCTAGGGACTTTTCTCGGGAACAAACGTACCTTGGGCGATGGCCCGCTTAGCTCGAAGCTTTTCCACCATGGCGCTGCGACGAGCGTGCATAGTGATATCGTTACCACGCGCCTTGAGTGTATCATCGCAGTGTGAAAGAGACCGCTTGTTATTTGCCAAGTAGGCTCTTCGCTCAGCAGCGTCTCGCGCATGCTGTGCAGCACTTTCGCCTGGGTGTGCGAAAGAGCTCTGAGCCAAGAAGGCGACACTGATAAGGGCGGTAAGCTTCATGATAGGCAGTCGCTTAGTGAACTCGTGAACTAATGTAAAGAAGGAAAGCGATGGCGATGGAGACTTAGACTGCTACCGACCACTGACTTTATATCTGCAGCTCCTTAGCCTCCCTGGGGTCTCTAGATCACGATGTCGATGATGGAAACGAAACAGAAACATGGTGTTCGTCCTCCTATCCTTGACCCATACCCATGCCCTGCATGATCCTCTTCGACCTGTACGAGTCGTCACAAGCATACGCAAGACATGCTACTCTTTCGTAGCTTCAGCCGGGCTTGGCGACATGGAGGTCTGGGAGTATGTACGCTTGGACCCACCATTGGATCACTTCCTATCATTTTTGCTTGGTGTTGTATATGACCGTTGCTGTGATACGAAGCGCGCGTGTACATACCCAAGTGAATTCGCCGCAATCACAGCCCATGATGCAGTTTCCATTGTCGTCCAGAACATTATCACGATACAACCGGTCACAAAGCCCGATAGTTCACATCAACATGCCGAGCCTCAATGTCAATTTCAAGCTGCAGAAGAACCCCATCAGTTCAAACCACTAGCCTCGCGTCTCCCCATGCCCGTTCTTCCAGCCCTGAACAACACGGCTAGTCAGCCACGTAAGCCTCCAATGATACACCACGCAACTCAAAGCAAATCGGACCCAACTGAATCAAGAGACCAGATCTCATCACTTGTAGTTTGGTCTCCAACGTCTCTGTGTATAGTCGACATGCCTTACGTATGTGCGGGTCGAGCATCGGTAGGTTCCGCCGAAGAAGACGCGTAGACATGTCTTGGCAAACACTTCCAGCACCCAACTCTACTACTTTTGAGGTCAAGCGCACTTCGGGAGAGCCGCATACCCAGCGTGAAACTCTAGAGTGACCAATGAGGCGCTTCTTGATTATGTAGGTGACAGTTCTCGTTCAAGGCAAATCCCGGGCATGAGGCTTGGCGGGCTGTGCTTGCGTAGGTGTGCTAGGAGGCTTGCGCGTGGGCAAGAGACGCGTAGCGAGGGCTAAGCATCTTGCATTGGTGCTTGACCTGATGTTTGGGGGCCGAGAGAGTGCAGACAGGGAAGGAGGGGCGTTTTGACCTTCCAGGATTGCGGAGAGTCACCGATGTAATCCTGAGGATGAACTGCTACGTGAATAGATCTGTGATGTTTGTCTTGTTCTTTTATATCATGTACCAGTCACGACGCTGCAATGCCGAGATTTTGGTGAGGCTTGAGAGTATTATTTTTTCATTCGACCTTCTCGTATCCGTTCTCTGTACGCTGAACAACAAATCGACCACCATGTAAACTCACCCTCCATTAGTCGAGATGCAGCTCGCCTTCGCGGTCGGCGTAGGGGTAGTACTTCTGCGTCTCGGTCCATAGCGTCTCTTCGTCCATTTGACTTGCATCCAAGCCTGCAATGATGTCCCTGGTAATCTGTTAGTCTCACTCTTCCAATCGCCGAACTCAACTTACTTATCTTCAGCTAAAACCTCGAAGCCTGGTACACAGTCAATGAGCGCATACATGACGTAGCTTACAATGAACGACCACGAGAATCCGACGAGGGCTTCCAGAACCTGAATACCAAGCTGCCGTACATTGCCGTCGAAGAACACTCCGCCAACGATTTCGGTGAACCCATCGTAACCAGCGACTTCTTTCTGCGCAAAACAGCCGGTGGAGATTGTTGCTAGAATACCACCAAGGCAGTGTGTTGCGAAGGTGTCGCCGTGGTCAACCCATCTCCAGCGTCGAGCAAAGTCACTGAACTTGATACGAAGCGCTTGACGACAAAACAACGCACCAAGTATACCAAAGAGGAAGGCTGTTGGCAGGTCGATAAAGCCTGCAGAAGGCGTAATCATGATGAGTCCAGAGATGGCACCCATAAAGCATGAGTCTAGACTCCAGCGTCCCACTTCCACGTAGGTGTAAACCATCCACGTGAGCGACCCACTTGCAGCACAGAGGTTCGTAACACACAAGGCCATTACGGACTTGAAGTTGAATGCCAGAGTCGTCCCAGCATCAAAAGCCAGCCACGAACCCCAAATACTGATCAGAGCGAGAAGTTGGCAAAGCGAGTTGACAGGACGGTGGACGACCAAATGGGATGGCGTTCGGGTCGACGACTTGCGTGAGCGGAACAACGGGTATGAGAGATATACGGACAAGGCTGTCGCTGTCGCTCCAGAATTAATATGCACTGGCGTACCGCCCGCAAAATCCACCACGCCTAGATCCATGAGAAAACCACCACCCCATACCATGTGAGCTAAGGGGTTGTAAACGAAGGTAGACCAGAGCTATTGTTGGTCAGTTGACCTCGTTGGCGCAATCGAGTTGTGTGAACTCACAAATATGAATGGTATCAATGGAAGTATTCTCCCTCTCTCACATGCACCGCCGACAGCGATAGCAGCCACCGTAGCTTGGAAAACCAATTGGAAGAAGCTGAACAACACTGCAGGAATTGTTCCAACGGGTTCTGCTAGGACATTCTTGTGAAATGCGTATTTGAAGTCTCCGAAGACCGCTCCTCCCTCACCGTATGTCAAGGTATATCCAATGAGAAACCATTGGATTGAGCAAACAATTACTGATAGGATAGCTGGCATGATGGCTGCCAGAGAGTTGGAACGTGTTGTATAACCAGAGTAGGCTATACCTACAGCTGGTATGATACCCCAGCCTTGACAAAATCAGCCAACGTGGTGAGTATCTGTGGAAGATGTACGTACAAAATACCGAACAGACGAGCACAAAGAGTGTATCAGTTCGATCGCAAGCCTCCCAGGCCTGCAGCACCTCTGTAGGTAATCCCATAGTCAACAACTGTTACACGAAGCCGACCCCTAAGATTGAGCAGACGGCTCTTTGACAATCCTTGTGAAGATACAATTGAGAATAACGAGCCCGTAAGGTGAAAGACGTCGACATGGGTTTAAGCAGCCCGCAGGAACAAGCAAGCCACCTCGGCTGAACGCAACCCGCTCCCGGTGTCCGCATTCCATCCCAAAGCGCCCAGCATTGAGGCGCTTGATAGGCACCAAGAAAGGATGTCATTGGCTTGACTACAGGTTGATGTCGATCGCGGCGCGACAATAAAGATAAGGAAGCGTCCCGACGGTCAACAACAGGAGAGCTGGTCGAGCAGTGCATTAGTCGACATTCAGCCTAGCATCAACGCGTGGTACCCGTGACTCTGTGGTTTGCTTCTGCAACGCGCCATATCCAGATATGGGGGTTCCAACAAGTCGATGGAGGACAAAAGAAAGTTGATGAAGCGTTATGAAAGTCTCGGTCGTTGCACACGGCGGATCCATCTCCACATTTGGTCGCACTAACGTCATTTTGAGCCTGCGCGAACTTTCCAAGGTTGGAAGGCACAACTCCAACTACGAATTGTGAGCGCTGTCCCTGACTAACCTACTCGAAATGTCCGATAGCGAAGAGAACGATGTCTTTGGCGTTGCACAGGATTTTGTTCCTCCAGCGCCCATTAAACCTGCTGGCGATTCCGAAATAGATTTCGACGGTCTGCTGGCACCCCCACTCAAACTTCATGAGGATCTGAAGAACGGTTGCGGCGGGCAGCTATGGCCAGCTGGCATGGTCCTGAGCAAATATATGCTCCGGAAGCATAAAGATGATCTCGCGGGCAAAGAGATAGTTGAACTCGGCGCCGGAGGAGGGCTGGTCGGGTTGGCGGTTGCGATAGGTTGCAAGGTCGATACTACGCTGCATATCACAGATCAAGAACCAATGTTTGAACTCATGAGGCGTAACATTGCGTTGAATTCTCTGCAGTCTCGTGTCAGCGCATCGATATACGATTGGGGCGAACCGACGCCGTCACACCTACCAAGACACCCGGATATCATCCTAGCAGCAGACTGCGTATATTTCGAGCCCGCATTTCCATTACTACAACAGACGCTAAAGGATCTGATCGGCGAGACTACTGTGTGCTATTTCTGCTTCAAGAGGAGGAGACGAGCGGATCTGACATTCATGAAGACGGCGCGGAAGATGTTCGACGTGCAGGAGGTGGTCGATGATCCTGATAAGGAGGTATATTCAAGGGAGAAACTGTTCTTGTAAGCGTAAATGAACCGACCATTAGCAGTGGCTAATACATGCAGATATCGCATCACTAAGAGGACTACGTGATGAGAAGGGTCCAAAGAGTAGTACGCCAGCGTCTAAGTGGGTGATTTGATGCGAAAACTCCTGGTGTGTGCTTCCATTGGCCATGGGGTTTAGGTATGCCAAAGTTTGGAAGACTCGATTCGCAGCTCAACCTTCATTACATCTTTCTTTCCGATTCATGGGGCCTCCTGTTCAAAATGCTCGCTCGTAAGAAGAACATCATCATCATCATCATTCATCTGTCAGCCACACTAGGCTATGCTTAGGAGTAGTAGGCTTTGATGAAAGTACTGAGTTATTATCCGACATGATACTCAACCCTTTGGTTCTATCTTCAATCGCCCACGCAACTTATGCGCTCTCCTTGTTCTTACGATGACTACTAGCCTCGTGCCGATTCTCAAAGAACTTGGCCGTAATCCCAATGAGCGCAATGACAGTCGAAACCGCTAGGAAATTGACAACCATATTGCCCTTTTCCCATTCCTCTTCCACCTTGATGCCATCCCTGCGCAGCTTCCTTCGCCTAGCCCATATATGATCATTTACGTTGTCCTGCGTTTCTTTGTGCCTTATGTCGTCAAAATGGGGAACTTGATTGCCTTGCTTCTGCTGTCCTGGACCAAAGCCGCCCCATTCGCCGTAGGACTCTTGACCGGCATCCTTACCTGCTTCCCCTCGTTCGTGTGCGTTGGAATATGCGTATTCGGCTCGCTTCGCACCATGGCGTCCATAGCCACCAGATTTGTAGAACGAAGGCGGTGGGCCTCGGAAGGTACTGCGCTTCTTGTTCAGCCCACTAGCCGGTCTTGAGCCATAGGCAGCGGAGCTGTAGCTCCCTTGCGGGTATTCATTCCCGCTCTGTCCCCATCGCGACTGCCGTTGTGAATGCTCCAGTTGAGCGTCGTATTGTGCACGTTTCTCTGGGACGGAGAGAACGTGGTAGGCTTCGCTTATAGCGACGAAACGTGTCGAGGCTTCGGGATCATTGCGGTTGTGGTCCGGGTGGTTTTTCTTGGAGAGGGTATAGAATTGGCGCTTGATTTCAGAGGCAGAAGCCGTCGAGGTCAGATGCAACGTCTCATAGTGGTTGACCAGCGCATCGGCGGGTCGTGGTGCTGTGGCATGCAAGTGTGCGACCTGAATGCGCCGCGGAGGAGCAGGTATTGTGCGACGGAGACATGCGTGACAGACGTATTGCGATGACAGGCTCGGTAGACGCGGGGCCGAGGATGAAGCGATTGATCGCAGGAGAGTAGATGGGCGGGGTGGCATTGCCCATTACCAGTATCCGGGGGTGTAGGTGCCCATGCAGGAAGTATGGGTTTGAGTGAAGGGTGGGCGCGCATGGAGGACGTCATCGCCAAGTTGCCGAGGCTAAGACAAGCATGGCCTAGCTGTGGCTAATCGACCGAATGCGTGGGCGATAGCCCACCGGCGTCTGTTAGCGGGGCGATTCGAGAGGCTCGTAAATTTCAAGATTGTCCACGAGACAAGCACTGAACGATCTCCACGGTCAACATGGCGGCCAAGGTAGCGGACGAAGTCGCCAACTTGAAGTGTACGGCTTTCTGCGGCCTCTTCGCGCGCGTTGTAGCCGCTAACAGCATACAGTGGACGACACCAGCAGTAAGCCAACCAACGGCGCAGCACAGGACGGCGACAAGCCCACAGGCGACGCGGACCATGAAGACTCGGACGACGACAATGAGGCCGAGGATGGTGCTCCCGAAGGCGGCGAGGGTGCTGCGAAAAAGAAGAAGAAGAGAAAGCCCCGAAAGAAGAAGAAGGCTGGGGCAGCAGGCGGCGCAGGAGGACCCAAGGTGCAGACATCACCGCCACGAGTCCGCATCGACGAGCTCTTCCCCAACAACTCGTATCCCGAGGGCGAAATCCAGGAATACGTCAACGAGAATGCGTACCGCACCACGTCCGAAGAGAAGCGCCACCTCGACCGCATGAACAACGACTTCCTCACCGAATACCGTAAAGGCTCAGAGATTCACCGTCAAGTCCGGCAATGGGCTCAGAACTGGATCAAGCCTGGCATGTCGCTTACCGAGATTGCCGAGGGCATCGAGGACTCGGTTCGCGCCTTGACAGGACATCAGGGCCTGGAGGACGGTGATGCGCAAATAGCGGGTATGGGCTTCCCAACTGGTCTGAGCATAAACCATTGTGCCGCACATTACACGCCCAACGCGGGCAACAAGATGGTCATCAACTACGAGGACGTGATGAAGGTCGATTTTGGTGTACACATCAACGGTCGCATTGTCGACAGCGCCTTCACTCTGACCTTTGACCCTGTATACGACAACTTGATCAACGCCTGCAAGGCCGCTACCAATGCTGGTATCAAGGAGGCCGGTATCGATGTTCGCATGAGCGATATCGGCGCTGCCATCCAAGAAGTCATGGAGAGTTACGAGGTGGAGATCAAGGGACAGATGCTGCCCGTCAAGTGCATAAGGAACCTTAACGGTCATTCCATTGGCCACTACACCATTCATGGCGGCAAGACCGTGCCCATCGTCAAGGGCGGTGACCAAACAAAGATGGAAGAAGGCGAGACATTTGCTATCGAAACGTTCGGTAGCACAGGAAAGGGTTATGTTCGAGACGACGTAAGTCACTCACCCAACCTTCTGCACTCTACTCAACTAACAACCACCTCAGATGGAGACATCACATTACGCCAAGAGGGCGGATGCACCGAAAGTCGCTCTTCGTGTTTCTTCGGCGAAGACACTACTTAACTCAATTACAAAGAATTTCGGTACTCTGCCTTTCTGCAGGCGGTACCTCGATCGATTGGGCCATGACAAGTACCTCTTGGGCTTGAACAACCTGGTCAGTGCGGGTATCGTCGAGGCTTACCCCCCGCTGTGCGACATCAAGGGTAGTTACACGGCACAGAGCGAACATGTAAGTAATCCAGGTGGTTGACTAATCTTTGCAAGGACATTTGCTGACGCACGATAGACATTCGTACTCCGACCCAACTGCAAGGAGATTCTCAGTCGCGGTGACGACTACTAAGCCCCACTTTTATGCTGCACATGAATTATTGTCATACTTGTAGTGAATTATAACAAGTAGAGATGAGGCTTCAGGGTTTCCATTCATGAGGTAATGGCTTCACGTTTGGAGTCAGGCATAGCATACATTAGAAACAACAAACAGTAAACAAACAGCATAGCTCATTGATCAAGGGTCATTTGCTCGGCTTTGCAATTTGCGTGTTGTTGAAGACTGGCGTGTCAGGACCAGTACATGTATAAATCAAGTAGTCATGCCGACACATCGTGTCCTCAAAACCCCGACGAAGACTCCAGTGAATGGCATTAGACTTGGTTAGGAGCTGGTCATCATCACCACGAAAACGTGCATTCGAGTCTGAAAGTCCAAGTATTGCATTGGGACAAGTCGTCGTACGTGTCAGAAAACTATACTACGCTCGCTCTTGAGCACTAGATTGATATGATATCGCTTCGCGAGAACCAAAGGAATCTAAGGCAATTTCCCCCTTCTCCTGTCCACAAATGTCATTTTTGAGGTGCTTAACCCTCGAAGGTGAAGCTGGTGCCGAGCTTGTGGCCGGCCTCGTTCAGCTTCTGGGTATCGAAAGAGCCACCAATACCGAAGGTCAAACCGCTGTTGACCTTGGTGTTGTAGGCGAGGGAAGCAATTCCAAGGTTGTTGATCTTGGCCTATATGGGATTAGCATGAACGCCCTCGTGCATACCAGGGACCATCATACCTTAGCGAAAGACGCAGGGTCAAGCTTGTACTTGGCAGCGAGCTCGAGGCCAACGTTGTTGCCAGACTTTGAGTCCCAGACAGCGCGAGCACCGGCCTCAACAGCGGGATTGACGCGCTGGTAGTAAGAGGCGGTGAAGACGCTCAGGGAGTTGGTGGCAGTGACGGCAGCGTTGTAGAGAGGGGTGGTGTATCCGACAGCGGCGGAGTACTTGGTGATGGCAGCCTTCTGCACATCGTAACCGACCTCACCACCGACGACCATGCCCTCGTGGCTAACAACAGCATCGGCAGTGGTGCCAATTGCGCCGGCGGCCGAGTAGTCGACGAAAGCACGGCCGTGGAAAGCGGGCTGCTTGAAGTGAAGGTTGACCTTCTGGCCCTTGTTGCCAGCAGCGGGGCTGAAGTTGGAGAGAACCTCGGTCTTCAAGCCGCTGGCGAAGGTGTCGTTGAGCTCGACCTTGGTCGCCAGCATGTTGGCAGTATTCCATGACTGGGTGATGCTGATGCCTGCGTCGTCGGTTGTCAGCAGGTTGATCCCGTAGCCGCTTACAGAAGCACCCTTTTTGCCTGGGGGCTGCTTCATGTAGAATATATAAGACTGAAAGTTGGAAGACGTATGAATGGGAATTACGAGGCTCGTAGAGCGGGGGAGAAATGAATGGTTTGTCGTACCGTTGGAAAGCGACTTCTTGCCCTCAAGCTGGTTGGTTCGTTAGCAATGGTATTTTTCCGCGTACTGTCGCATACTTACAGAAGAGGTGACGGGCCCATCGTGGGCAGAGGTTCCCTTGGCGGTGAAGTTGACACCGTTAGGGGCCTTGAGCTTGACCTCAAGGGCAGCTGCGGGCGCGTCAGTGCTTGAGCTTGGGAGTCAATTGGTGTCGCGGACCTGCGGCAGTGTGGTAGAAGTCCTTGTTGATAAGCTGGCGGCTCCGTTAGCAATGGCGCCATGCGGGAGCTCGTCGCGGGGAGCCAAAACATACGTCGTTCGAGGCCTTGGCGATGTCGCTGAACGCCGGCGGCGGGAACTTGGGGATGATCTTCTCGACCTTGACGTATTCAGTCATAATGGCGGTTTGGTGGGGGATGCGATGGAGGATAGAGGGGTGTTTTGGGGGTGGTGTTGCTGGCTGGAAGCAAAACTTCTTGAGAAGTCACGGCAAGGGTCCGCGCTAGTAATCCCGGATGATCTTCGTGCTGCCAGTTGGTCGGCAACGTGCGCGGATGGGAGCTCATCTATTCACCCATCTGACTCCATACTGGCCGTTATTTCATACGCTTTGTTGTCTGGTCTTGGTATGCATCGTCCAGAACCTCTTTCATTCTACTTGACACTGGCTTGATCCGATTGACACCTGCCATCTGTCCTTCTCAACCACGGAAATGCTCTCAGGCGCAGTCACCCTCGCGCGTGCCATCGTCTTCCAGTTGTTCGACCCACTCGCCCACGTATATGTCGTCGCCAGTCCTTCCTTGACCGGAAGCTTTGTACAGCACAAGAACAGCACATGCCATGAGGGGTGGGGTTGTCTGCTTGGGCGACAACGTTGACCCTGCAAGCACATCCCCATGCCACTATAAACCAATCACCATTTCAAGGGCGAAGACTGCCAACCTATTTGCCAATTCCTGCGGTTTCCATGTCAAGTCTAGCAGTCGAACAGGATCGAAGCAGTCTAGGTATATGCTTAGTCCGCATCTGGAGCGAAGCAGCCCCGGAGCTCTTGATCCCTTCTCCTCATGCTCGTTCTTGTTCCCATCGCATAGTGCAAGCCAGTGCCTCCGTCGGCTTTTCTTGGTTATATCTTAGAATCTTAGAGACTCTTTCCTGGGCTGCAGTTCCGATTGCTCAATTCGCATGAAGTGCGTTGAAGCACCGATGGAAGGGAGACATGGGTTGCCTATGTAATCGAATCCAGCCTTACCATCGGTGGCCGATCTCGGGTTTCCAGACGGCTCTACTCCGCGCCCCGCTAAATAAATAAAACTCCTAGAGTGACTCTGACGTTGATTATTCTAGCGCACGCGTCTGGACTTGCAACAATACAACAATTAGTCTTCTACTATTTTTTTTAAACGTAGAGGCACCTCTGCATACACCGGATACACGTTTCCTTGGCTAGACTCGCTGTTCAGAAGAGAGCCGGATCTCCACAAGCTCGCCAACACCACAACCACAATGTCTACCTTTGGTACGCACTTCAGGGTCACCACGTACGCACCCACCTACCATATGATCTACTATAGTATACTGAACCCCGTAGCTATGGTGAATCCCACTGTCTTTCCGTCGGTGCCATAATCGATGGTTGCCCGCCTGGCATGGCCCTCACTGAGGACGACATCCAACCCCAGATGACGCGCCGTCGACCCGGCCAGTCCGCTATCACAACACCCCGCAATGAGAAGGACCGTGTAGAGATTCAGTCCGGTACAGAGTTTGGCATCACATTAGGCACCCCAATTGGCGTCCGGGTCATGAACGAGAACCAGCGCAAGCAAGATTACGGCAATCAGACCATGGACAAGTACCCGCGACCCAGCCATGCCGACTGGACATACTTGGAAAAGTACGGTGTGAAGGCTAGCTCAGGTGGTGGACGCAGTAGTGCACGAGAGACGATTGGTGCGTGACTTTACGCGCGATCACTACGCGAGTGCTGACAATACCCAGGAAGAGTAGCAGCTGGCGCCATAGCAGAGAAGTACCTGCGCGAAGCCTACGGTATCGAGATCATCGCCTTCACCAACTCCATCGGAAACGAGTTCCTCTTCCCCCCCACACCCGAACACCCCACCGCATCCACGAACCCAGAGTACCTCAAGCTCATCGACTCAATTACACGCAACAAGGTAGACGAGTTTTTGCCTGTGCGATGCCCGAGCGAAGAAGTCACAAAGCGTATGGAGGACTTGATCGCCAAGTACCGCGATGCGCAGGACAGCATAGGTGGCACAGTGACTTGCGTCATAAGAGGCTGCCCAACAGGCTTGGGAGAACCATGCTTTGACAAGCTGGAAGCCAAGTTGGGACATGCCATGCTGTCGATACCGGCGACCAAGGGGTTTGAGATCGGCTCTGGCTTCGGAGGCGCACAAGTGCCTGGTTCAATTCACAATGATGCCTTTGTCAAGGCTCCTGCTGTTCCGGCTGGCGAGAACCCTGATGCAAGCAAATATCGTTCGAAACCAAAGCTCACTACCAAGACGAATAATTCAGGCGGTATTCAAGGCGGTATCACGAACGGCGCGCCCATCTACTTCAACGTAGCGTTCAAGCCCGCAGCAACTATTGGGCAGGCACAGTCGACAGTCACCTACGACCAGGAAGAAGGTGTTTTAGAAGCCAAGGGCAGACACGATCCTTGTGTAGTGCCTCGTGCAGTGCCCATCGTTGAGATGATGGCTGCATTGGTCATTATGGATGCTGTACTGGCTCAGCAGGCGAGACAGGGCGCAAGAAGTCTGCTGCCGCCACTGAAGGGTGTTCTGCCCGTCAATGGTGCATGAATAGACTGAACGGCACTGGTCGGGTATAATGGGAGTTAAGGTGTCAGAGGCTGCGAGTTTTCCAACATTATTACCCCCAAGACAGAAAAAGTTATCAGACTTGATGTACAGAAAGACACGTCACTGCTCAACAACTCAAGACCCATGGATAAGCTTGGGAAATCGCTCTAACATGCTCTTTTTCTTTCAATTCGAACCATGAGAACTCGAGCCAGAGACTCCCATTCAAATCGAAAGGTAATTCACCTCGAACAGATCTGGCCACACCATTCGGCCGAACTGACAAATGTGACGAAGAGACGACAGTTTCACATGCGAACAGGCTACGCGGCAAGGTTGGTGGTCGCATCTGGACCTTTGGTGCATGGCAAGTGGTCGGTATGTTGAAGAGTGGTATTGTAGAGTAGTCGAGACAATTCCGGTATAATGGTAAAGGCACCGCCACCTGGTAATACCTTGATCCGTAAACAAGCCGAAGTTCACCGGAGACTAACGGCAATGCATTGGCAGCGGATGCTATCGGGCCTTCCTCTCCACCAAAAGCAAGAACCCTGGAGATCGGTCGCTAGCGCATGACATAGGACATACTCCGCCATGACAACCCCTCTTCATCCAGTTTATCTTCTTGCCCACAAGCAGCGCTTCTCAGGTGCCGCTCCCTCTTGTCTCGCCGACATCGAGATTGCGCACCAGGACATGTTCCTCCTTGAGCCTATGTGACGCGGCCGTGGCAGATCGATCCAGTGCTCGGTGCGCCATGCCGAAGCTAGTCGGTGATGCTCCTGGTGCTCCAGAAAAATCTGTCCTGTCGCAAGCTGATGCTGCGGTACCCGAAACAAGCTCCATTGGTTGAAGCGTCCCAAAGCGCGCCCTGACGTTTGTCGCATCTATCTCCGCAAAAGCCTTTCGCGTCCAGGCACGTCAGCTGATTCATGCCATTTCGGAACTTCGATTCGAAATTCCCATGTGTGGCACACCTGTGAACGCTTTTTTAACCCTTTACCGCCCACCGGCAACTGCAGAAGGCGTCTGAAACCCGATCTAGATCCTGCAACAGACCAATCGAGCCGCTTGGTCGTGGTCGCGCCTTGTCTTTTGGGGTGCCGCTTCTAGTCTTGCCACCCTGCCGAAAATCATCCATGTGCTTTTGTATCTTGCCGAGCACAAACTACGGCAGGCACGTTGGATGTCGCGACGGCCGCCAACGTCACAACTACCTAAACCGAACCCGCTGTTCTTCTGCTGCGACCGCGGTGGCTAACCCGTATTACTTTCCCACCCGGCCCAGAGGAATGGCATAACTAACACGTACGTCCTCGGAGCCTGCGCGGATTGTCCCTTCACTCCCCTTGTGATCAACAATGGCCCGCGGCGCTACTGCCACCTCTTTCAACAGGGACGATCAAGACAGCTCGCAGGCCCAGGATACCAAAGCCAGTAAGCGGCGTTGTGTACAGTCGGCCTGCGTGCCCTGCCGGAAACGCAAGTCCAAAGTGAGTATCATTCCTCTCGCTGCATGGCCCAATGCTACATGAAGCTCGTACGTGCGGCCTGATGCTGGACATTCGCCTCCGCGGACGACTCATTGCCTGCTGAATGCAATTTGCAATTCTTGTTTGGGCCACTCTTCGGGGAACTCTTCCGGCCCCTCGCGAATCGCCCTCTTGCTGACACCTCATTCACAGTGTGACGGCAGTACTCCCGTATGCGCAACTTGCACTGCCGTCTACAAGACTGAGTGCTACTACGATGCTGATAGCGAAAGTCGTCGTACTAAGGCAGCCCCCGCAACTACCAACAACACTGGCACCAAACGCGATGCCTCCCTTGTCGCCGCCTCCAGCTCCGAGAATGCGTCCAACGCCGAGTTCATCATCAATTCCCTGAGACGCCTGCCAGAAGAACACGTCCAGGAATTTCTCAATCATATTCGAAGAGACCCCAACCTCGACCTCGCTTCTTTGGCCGACCAATGGCGCAAAAACGTGTTGCTGACACAGAGTGAGCCCGTCGACGTCCAGAGTCTCGAGTCGGACTTGAGTGTGCTGCTTGGGAAGCCAGCTGTGACGTCCACCGGCCAAAGCAGACACTTTGGTCATTCTGCTAGCTTGGGCCTGGTCCCGGAGGATGAGAACTTCTCTGGTGGTCGGTTGCGTACCAATAGTGTGATGCCAGAACGTCAAGGTTCTACGTGGACCAACGTGACGGACGACTTGGCTTTCGTTGAGAAGCTACTTGATCTTTACTTCACCTGGAGTCACCCTTTCTATGTTCTCTTCAGCCGAGAGTGCTTTTACAAAGATTTCAGGGCAGGGCGCGACAAGTACTGCTGCTCCTTACTGGTCAACGCAATTTGCGCATACGCATGTCACCTTACAGACGATCCGGCGGGCCGCACCGATCCCGACAACTTCCGCACAGCTGGCGATCACTTCTTCGCTGAGGCCAGGCGACTATTATTCGACGATGAAACCCCGAGCCTTACGACGGTTCAGGCCCTCTGTATCATGTCCATGCGCGAGCCGAGTACGGGGAGGGAAAGCAACGGCTTTTCCTACATAGGAAGATGTCTTCGCATGTGTGTTGAGCTTGGTCTACATTTGAACTACGGAGCCAATGCTACCCTTGGCTTAACGCCGAGTGAAGTCGAAGTGAGAAAAGTCACCTTCTGGGGCTGCTTTACTGTGGATACGTAGGTCTTATTCTACCTACTTTGCATTGGCTAGGCTAACCTCACACAGGGTCTGGACAATCGTTACTGGTCGCATATCTCAACTTCCTCGAGCCGCTATAACTCTTGACAAGCCCATCCTGGAAGAGACATCCAACCTCCCTGAGGCTTTCCCCGCACCTTTACAAGTCGCAGCGGGTGGTGTCGTAACCACCCGCATGTTTCTCCAGGAGTTCACCTCACTCTCGGAGCTCGTCAATGACAACAACCACATGTTTTTTGCGCCAAAGGAGCGGCTTACAAGCAGTAAACTACTCGACTGTTACCACAAATACCAGGCGTGGTACCGAAGACTACCACCTTCTTTAGGTATAGAGGGCACGAAGGAACCCGAGCCCCACATCTTGGTACTACAGTACGTCCAAATAATCCATCGATGCTAGGACAAGAACTGACACTAGGTGTAGTATGCTGTACTGGACAATTATCGTCCATCTCTTTCGCCCGCTGCTCAAAGTCGACCTCATTCACTCTGACATACGCCCTCGCGACATCTGCATTAACGCAGCTAACAAAGTGTCTGAACTCGTCAGGATCTATCGACAGTTCTATAACTTCCGTCAGGCTCACCTGCTCATACCGCACACACTCCTCACCGTCTGCGTCGTGCATCTGCTCTATTCGAAAGATAACAGTATCTCTCGACAAAACCTTATTGAGGGCATGCAAGGTTTGGATGATCTTCACGAATGCCATTACTTTGGGGCGAGGAGCTTCCGGATCATATACACCTTGGCGAAAACGTGGAAATTACCTTTCCCAGAGGAGCTTAGCAATTCTGTCTTGATACCAACAAGTGACCCTAACAAGCCCAAAGGCCAAATCAGTCCTCCGGCTGACCCTCTCTTGGTACCGCCCAATACAACGACGATCACCGGTAACCGGATAGGGCCTGGTCGCCTCCATCCACCTATCGCTCAAAGAAGGGAGAGCTTGTCAATGTTTGCCCCTCAACCCCGGTTACAGCTGGCTACACACCCTGCCAATCCGAGACCAAGTAGTGTGGTGTCCAGCCAACACCATCTGTCCCCTGTTGTCGGACATACACCTTTACAGAGTAATTACAACACAGGGATCCCCATGTCGACATACCAGTACTCACAACCCATGTCCTCCGCATCTAGCATGTCTACCACAATGACATCGCCCGCCACAGAACCTGCAGAATCCATGTTTTGGAACCCAATTCCCGGTGTGCCAGGTCCAATCGTACCGCGCCACAACTACCAACAAATAAGTCCTATGGGTCTGGAAAGCGTACTCCACAACACTGATATGAGTGATCGTCTTGGTCGCGATGGTTTCAAAATCAGCGAGGATTGGCGATCGAGTCATATTGATGGCTTCGCTACCGGTGTATACGGCAATCCACACAGCCAGGGAGGCCCTGGGTATGCACATCGAGGAAGCTATGCGCAACAAACGGATAACGTCAGTTACTCACAAGACACGCACGAAGGGCACCATCATCACACACAAGAAGAATATGATCCAACATGGTGGCAGAATACGAATGGAAACCAGGGACCGATGAGCTGACAACTGCACGGTATGAAGCATAGAGATTGGAGTGTGGCCTTCTTCGGGCAGCAGCTGGTTCGGTGAGCTCTGCAAAGGGGTGACTCCCGCGTAGAAATGTTCACAGCATAGAAAGTGTATCCAGGCATCGTTCAGTGGAGGTATGGCGCACAGCCGCTGGACTATACGCATGTTAATTTTACATGGAAGGTTTAATTCTGGTGGCTACGAGCTGTTATAGACATGGTCATATTCAACATACAAACAACCACTACCAGACAACTCACAATCTGGCTTCCACGAGGCTGTTTTCGACTTTCAAACCCTAACAGAGCACCTGTGTGCGCACTTCAGTATGATTATAGTTCCATCGTGATGCTTCCCCCCGACAAATCGAAAAGCCGGACTGATTACGCAGCTGTAACAGTAGAAGCGGGAGTGACAAGGTGTGTATCAGATTTATCGTGATTACATGTATAGATATGCAGGAAAGATAGGTATAGGTGATGAGAGATGTCGAGGGTATAAACATGTGTAAGAAAGAGAAACAATAAGGAGTCCAGTTGAGTAATACAGTGTGAAGCACGCCAGCAACATGTAATCAACACAACACGCCGCCTAAAATAACCGTAGAGCACTCAAACACCTTTCTGCTTTCCAGCTTGAACAAGAACACTAGCAGTACCAGCACGCTCCTCATACAACCGCCTCAGATCTTCAACCGATTGCTTTTTCAGATCCATTTTCTTAGGCTTCAGTGTTCTGCCTCTTGCAGCCCCATCTTCAGCTTCCGCACCACCCTTGTTTTGGTCTTTGGCAAAATTCTCGAAGCTGGGCATGCGCTGCATAAGGCTTGGGCTCGGAGTGCGTAGACGGGGCGGCGCGGCCGGAACGGGAAGGGTGCTTGCCTTTGTGGGCACGCTTATAATAGGAACTTGAGGGGTTACCGGGTAAACAGGTCGAGCGAGTGAGTTGATGCTAGGACTGCGGTTCATTTTTGTTGCAGAGAAGTGGATGCTTGGGCGGCGAAAAGCAGATTCTGTCGCTGGTGCCGAAACTGCGCTTTGCGGAGAGGTCATTTGAGGCGATGCTACACCTTCGCTTGATGCGTATGTGGATGACGGACCTCGCTTTACGGCAGAGTTGCTGTAGTAATTACCTGTAAGCCCAGGAAGCGCCATGCCGCCCATGGGTTGTCTATGAGCTTCATCCTGCGCGACGACGGCCTTGGAGACATTGTCAATCTGCGTCGAAGTCAGGGTTTTCCTTTTAGGAATGTTGAGTCTAGGCGCAACAGTAGCAGTAGTAGAAACGTGGGGAAATGAAGCGTCTTCTTGTGCGCCAATAGATGCTGACATGGGAAGGACTGGAACTGGATTACTCGTACCAGACTTCTTCTCATCCGACTGTCCATTCCATCGTGGTGGTACCTTGGGGGGCTGACCGATGCGATTGTCGTCATTTCGAGGTGGAGCAAAGCCATCAGTGGTCGCAGCGTAGGTCACAGGTGATTCGGCGACGTTTTCAGGGGCATCTGATATGACAGTAGAGTAGCGAGGAGGCACTGAAAGGGGCGGTGCAGGTTTCCGCTGAACAGAATCGGCAGAGGATTTTGCTGACGGTGCGCGAGACCGTGGTGGTAATGGAGGCGGCAATTCCTCACTCTGTGTCTGTTGTGGCTCGTGATAGGTAGGTAACTTTTCGTTGTCAAGTAGCGTTATACCACTCATCTGATCTTCCAGCGAGCCTTTGCTATCTGCAGAATCTCGCTTCGCATCTGCAGGATCTTCCCAATCGTTCTCGTCTCCAGGTAGCTTGAGCTCTTGGTAGAAAGCTTCCTCAGTCTGCCCACATGCTTCTCTTAGCCCTTCAGTCCACATGTCAATTGCTTGCGTAAAGATTCTCCTAATTATGGAAGACATCTTAGCGTCTTCTAGCTGATCGGGACCACACAGCAATCCTGGTGCGAAACAAACAGCCAAGTTTTCGGCCGTCATTTTGTTTTCCTCTTCACGTGCGGCTATGGCACTCAAGAGAGGCAGGAGATGCCTACATAGGATCTCGCGGGATATGCCAGGTAACAAAGACCACTCTGAGGTTGGCGAAAATAGATCTGTGAGCTTTTCGAGTTCAAGGATTTCTTGGCTATCCCCATAGAGTCGCTTAAGATCTCGATACGAGTCTGTTGGGAAGATGGGCTGGCGCAGAGATGCGTACCATGCTTTGATCATAGCTGCTGCCATAAAGACCGAGTATGCGTCGGTTGGGACCACCTCAGCTAGTATCTCATCTTGGTGTTCTGCATGTGGATATGGCGGCAGGGGAAGTGTTGCGTCGTTGTCCTTCCAGATGATGTATTTCTGGCCCCTATCATATGCCTCCTTCAACGCGTCGCGCAGCCTCGAGTGTGGGGGTACACGGAAGAGACCCTCGGAAGTGATGTTCTGCTCCATGAGCACGAAGCTTGTTGTTTCTCGCAAGACGCGGGGAAAGCGTGTCTTGCCATTAGTGGCTGTAGGGAAGGGAGTGCGGGCACCGAATGCTCGCTTCCCACTGCCATTGAAGGCAGAAATGTGCTCTGACACTCGGCGGTCGGCAAGATAGGTCGAAGGAGGAATCAAGAGGTTTTGGATCTGGATTTCGTGGGCAAGCTGAGTCAAGTTGGATACTGGAAGGAGTCAGCATTGGTGCGCGCTAGGGGGACATGTAGATACGTACGATGGTAGATCTTTCTCCTGAACTTGGGGCTGACAATGGTAGAGAAGATCTCGGTCAGTATCCTCACCCAAGCTTTCTCGTGCACAATGTATAGTCTTTGTAGCCTCTTTCGCATGGCCCTGGACAGAACATGGTACGCCTGTAGAAACCAGCCCCAGCCAGGCCGGTGCTTCTTGCTAGTCACGGAGCCATCGCCATCTCCTGCAAAGAAGACGACCTCGTACTCGAACCCCTTGAGTAACTCGTCTTCTTCCGGCAGACGCGCAAGAACATAAGGCAACAGGGAGTCGTAGTCTGCTTCGTGCGAGTCTGGGAGAGCGGCGGCGTTGAGGATGAAGACGGGCCTTCCCTCGTGCGAAGGAAGCGGCGAGCGGTAGAGGACGGAAGCCGCGATTTTGGCCAGGTCGGGGGAGTAGTTGGAACTATGCTGTGGTGGGGGTACTGCTGAGAGCGAGGAGCTGCGCAGCCGACTGGCGATGTGAGCACGCACGCCGCTCATGGCGCCGAACTATGGTGGTGGGGAGCTTCAGTCAGGGTTGCGGTTGACGGGGGACGAGAATCGAGGGCGAATCGAGTATATGAGCACGTGTGCAGAGAATACCTAGGTATTTGGAAGAGTTGGCCGAGGGCCTGAGGCGGTGCGGCGGTGCGGCTTATGCGGAGATGCACCGCTCGAACTATAAACAATCCTTTGGTACGTCACATTCACGAGCGGCAACAGGGTCTCAACTTTCTTAGCGCAGTCGAGCACGGACGTGGCTGGCTCTGATTTGGCTCTACTACTCTAGAGTCCCATGTGTTTCAGATGCCGCGTCGCCTCTACGAAGAAGCTAGCTGTCTTCCAGCTGGTACCTTTCATATGCACTGAAGGTACGCGCGCCAACTTCTGTATAGAGGCAAACAGGATAACGCCGACTGTATACTTTTAGCCTACATTATAATTAGCTACAGCCCGACAAAACAAACTATCTCTATCGTAAGATGCTGCTCAGCAATCCAAGGCCCAAGCATTGCTGGCGTGGGGCCAGATTTGGGATTCGCCCTGCAGAAGACGCGCGGGGGGCTGCACATGTAATATCACGCATTACGGTCAAGACAAGATACCCATGACTGAATAGTACTGGGCATCATTTTTCGCCTGGGCGGCAAACTCTACTTCCAAGTATCGATAATCATTCCATGACATGACACGCGTTTGCTGTGAGGCGCTCCCGCTGATCAAGTCGCACATTGCGCAGCATGGCCCCCCAGCGCTACTCATCCGTCTCCGAGCCTGTGCCATCGCCTGCACCCTCAGCAGCCTGTCCATCGAATACTAACTGCACGCCTTCTTCTTGCAACCTCCTTCGTAACATCTGGAAGCGGTGTGTTCTCTCGCCAAACTCTTCCATACTGCTGTTCGCTTCCTCCAGCACCCGTGCTAACCCTTCCTGCTCCAGACCTGGCTGCACCAACCTGTCTATTCCTATGCTTTGGAAATATATTTGGAATTGTTCGAGTTCGGCTAGTAGCTCTTCTCGCACCGCAGGATCGCGGGGGCGCCCTGAGAGTGCTCCAGCTACAGAAGCATCGTAGGATTCTATGCTGTCATCAGGAGGCAGTGGGTCAGATACTGATGTGAACTTGGCCTTGACTTTGGGATCGAGAAGAGCCATGAGCGGTTGGTTATCCGAAAGAATGACATGCCTGCCAAGGTCCGTCTCTGGCATTTGCGCAAGCCAGTATGGGTCCTCCCCAGCTCCCAGCTCTTCTTCGAAAGAGTAGCAGATTTCCACAAGCAAAGTCGTTCCTTCGGTGTTGTTCCACAAGTCCTTCGCCTTGGGTACATAAAGCTGGCATAATAGTTCTTGGTACTCGCCGTTTGGTTCTTTTCCCCATACAGGTTTTGGTATTGGGGAAATGTCCAACTCTTTGCACAGGCGCGCCGCTAGCCATGGGTACTCTTTTACTGCGTTACGCAACGTCGAGCGTGCTTTTTGTGGCTGCTTGACACGATCGTGAGCAAGCGCAACACTGAAGGCGAGGTTTGGCGGAACCTTCCACTCTCGCTGTAGATAGTCTGATTCTACCAGGTCAATCAGGGCTCCCGGTTCTCGCCCCCTTAGGGCTAATTGGTCTATAAGTAACCGAAGACAATAAGGATCGTGTTCAGGGTCCATGGCAAGTAGCATCTTAGCCCACTCGAACGACGTGCGCCATGTCGCGCGAACACCCAGTGTGGCTATGTAGCGCCATACAGCAAGCCAAAATTCGCGGTTTTCCGGACGGCGAAAGTCCATACGGGCTTTGCCGGACGCCAGGTTTGCAGAGAAGGTGGAATGCACAGAGCGTCCAAAAGTGAAAAGGGCGCGCTCTAACATGTCGGACGCAGCAGCAGCCTCTCTTTGTTGCTTTGCAATTTCGGATACCTGGAGCAGAGTGGAAATGTGGAAGGCTAAGGACAGATTTAGTATTTTGACTTGAATAAAACACAAGGGGACTTACGGTTGTGATGCAGGAGTTGGATCATACGCTCAGAGTCCATGCTTGCAACGCAAATCTGGAACTGTCGCTGGACATCCTGATACGTTTTGTTGTGAACAAACCTGTACTCGACTGTGCCATCTGGTCGCTTCTCAACAATCTCCATGCCGAGACCACCAGAGGTAGCCCGTGGCCACTCCTCTTTGCCTTGAATAAAAATGTTTCGTCGAAGTCCCAAAGATGCAAGGTTGCGATTGCCAGGGGCGTTACGCCCTGCGATTGCAGCGGCGATGCCACCTTGCTGACCACGTTGTCGAGGCCGCGCCTCATCTTCGGCACTTTGCACTGCTGCTCGACCAAAGAGCCTCTTCATCTCGTTGGCGGCATGAAGATGTTGTGTGTCCACACTGAGCACGGAAAAGAGCTGTTTTTTCTCTTCACTAATAGTGTCCTGCTGATCGGACCCAGTCTCCGTCCGACCGTTCATGGCCATATTAAGAGCAAGCAATGCCTCATCGATCTCATCGAGATCTGACTTCTTGGCTGAAGCAGCAGTCTTGTCGGCATCTGTAGCCTTGCCTTTAGCTTTTGCCTTCTTTTTTTTCTTCTTGCTCTTCTTTGAGGGCTTTGATGCAGGCATAGACTCGGCCTCGGCCTGTCCATCAGAATCTCCAACCTTGGGTTTGACGTCCTGGTCTGCGTCTTCTTGTTCCTCCTCATCTTCTTCTTCATCTTCTTCACCACCATCGCCTAGCATCGCGAACAAGCTGGGTTTCGCCGTTGTCTTGGGCGCCACGTCAGGCTCCGACTCGTCCTCGTCTTGGTCATCTTGAGCAAGTTTTTCCTGTATCTGCTTCTCTTCAAGTTCTCGCTGCGCCCGGCGCAACGCTCGCGAAGACATTTTGTTGCCTCGAAAATTATGTGGTTGCGGTAACGTGATGACGTCGTAGTGGTGGTTTGGAATGTTAGCCGCAGGCGCAATCGGCTTTGTACGAACAGGGGATAATTGGCCCCGCTTAGGCGCTTGGATGTAGCGTTCTCCCGAACTGCACCATGATTTCACTGCTGTAGTCCATCGTGCTGGCCTACCTCACTTCAACGATCCTTCACTCCACCTGCCAGATGCGGGCTGCCTTTCAAGTGCTTCGCTCTGCGCGCCGCCCGTGCCTGCGCAAGCTTGCCCGCAGTCGTGTCGGCGTCTTCGCGCCGAGCAATGGCCTAGGCTTCCGGGCTCATCATCACCATCACTACCGCCAGCGCACCTCCCCCAACGTCCTTACCTCGTCCATGCAGTTACGTGCCCTCACAGGTGCGTTAGTGGCTGCCGCCTTCGCCTCGGGTGCCTTCTATGCTTACAGCGACAAATCCTCGACAGGACATTCGCATTCACCCGCCGATCAAGCGAGGAACCTGACCAACGCCGCGAGTAGCGAGCCTACACGAAAGGCTCTGGTCGTCGGCCCCGGTGAACTTTATACGGGAACAATCACCGGCACTGGCCCAATCTCAAAAGAGACGGATGACTACGGTAGAAAGGTGCTGGAGATGCTGGACCCCGACCAAGCTACTGCCAAGTTGAGGAAAAACGAGGAGTCGTGGCTTGTAGGGAGGGGACAGGGAGTTGTGCGATACGACGTGGTGCAGATCCCCAGCAACTCTCCGATCGAAGATGACCATGCCGAGAAGATTATCGAGGTACCATCAAATCTGGCAGCTACCGACAATGGCGCTCCCGCCAGCGACTGGATGTTCTGGGGTGTTTTCGACGGACACAGGTAGGCTTGCCCTATATCAAGGTTACGCGTCATTTCAATGCTAATGTCCACAGTGGCTGGGTTACTTCAGCCAAACTCCGTCAAACGCTCATTTCCTATGTCGCACGCGAGCTCAACACGACCTACAAGTCCGCCGTCGAGGACCCTGCACTCCACTTCCCGAGCTCCGATGCTATTGACAAAGCCATCAAGACGGGCTTCATCAAGCTAGACAACGAGATCGTACACGAATCTGTCAAAAAGGTTCGGAAGGCTCAGTCAAAGATCGCTGCTGCCGAGCTGCTTGCCCCCGCCTTGTCCGGTTCTTGTGCACTTTTATCCTTCTACGATAGCCAGTCAAAACTGCTGCGAGTTGCCTGCACGGGTGACTCGCGCGCTATCCTAGGTCGACGAGGCCCAAATGGCAAGTGGACAGTGACACCTCTGTCTGAAGACCAAACTGGCGGCACCACAAGCGAGGCAGAGCGATTACGCCGAGAACACCCAGGTGAGCCCAATGTGGTACGTAACGGTCGCATCCTAGGTGGGCTGGAGCCATCCCGTGCTTTTGGCGACGCCTCCTACAAGTGGTCGCTCGAGACGAATGCAGAGCTCAAGAAGTCCTACTTTTCACGGTCACCGTCAACGCTACTCAAAACTCCCCCATATGTCACTGCTGAGCCTGTTATTACCACAACCAAAGTAGAGCCTGAAAAAGGCGACTTTGTGGTCATGGCTACTGACGGTTTGTGGGAAATGCTTACCAACGAAGAGGTCGTTGGCCTAGTTGGGCAATGGCTCGATGCTCAGGGCAACCCGAGCAGTCAAGGTTCACAGGCTCAGTCCTGGCTCAAAAGTTGGTGGTCAACACAAAAGCAACTGCCTGTCGAGCAAAAGCCAGGTGAGAAAGGGGAGGGGCAGCGTGCACCAATCCGCCAGCAGCAGTGGGGTACCAAGACCAGCCTGAACGAGCGTTTCGTAGTCGAAGACAAGAATGCAGCAACTCATCTTGTTCGAAACGCACTTGGCGGAAAGGACCAAGATCAGCTGAGTGCACTGCTCACTCTTCCAAGTCCCTTTTCTCGACGATACAGAGATGATTTGACAGTTGAAGTCATCTTCTTTGGAGAGGGTACAGGCACTGGCAACGTTACCCGGAATCAGGAAGCGAGCGCCGCAGAAGCTGAGGCCAAGGCAAAGCTATAAAGCGACATCTCGTTTCTAAATCTGAAGATATATGTAGTGATATCCTTGAGCGAGCTGACATGCGGCTCACGGCGTTTGTGGGCTCTTTCGAGTATGGCGTTTGGTAAGAGCATGACGCGCCCAGCGAATCTCTTTTTGAGTTACACCGTAGCATAGCATCGCTTTCGAATCCTGAACTGTAGTGAACCAGGTTCTCGACCTGTTTAATTCACCTCTCTGGGTGCACATGATTATTTCTCTGTTGCGTTTGGCTCTTTCTACACGCGCAGATGATGCCATCTCTGTGTGCATTCGAATCTTCGTGCGTATGATTATATACCCGCGTGAATCCGATTCCATCACGACGTGCTCGTGTGTCCATTACTCCTTTCTGGTTAGATTCCGCAACCTCCGCATGATGTCATGGTTGCGACTGGAAGCATCATGAACCGCCCACAATACTGCAAAACTTGGTTAAAGCTCTGGTAATTTAGTACTCCACAGCCATTTTACACTTGTCGTACTTTGCTGTCCGAATTTCCAACTTCTTCATTTATCTGAATAAACATAATGGCCGAATCACTAGCAGCATTCCGTGACCGCAGGTCGAAGGATCTCCGCCAGCTTGCAGAAGAACATCTGCAACATGAGTAAGCAGCTTCATACTGCCGCCTAGGACAGCAATGTCTAACCGAGAACAGCCTCAACCAACAAGATCGCGACATACTTCAGAAAGCGGGCGGCAAGGTTTCGACGCACACTGGTTTCGCATCAGCAGTCGGGCTAGGTCTAGGACTCTATACGGCATTCCGACTACGAGCTATGCGCCTTGCATACTTCAGAGCTTTCCGAGCCATGGAGAAGCCGGTAGAAGTGCGCTTCGCAGATGGTCGTACTGAGCCTATCCCAGACATCACAGCGAAAATATCTGGGCCTTCACGCTGGGGCGATGCTGCGACCTACTTCCTCTTTTCCGTTGGCGGCCTCTTCCTTGGTGGTGAACTGGGTCTGTTGACGGGTACAGCCAGCGCAGCGAGAACGGTTACCAAGGACCCGGCGAGTAGGGAGAGGATTGAGAAGGCGTTTAAGAATTACCGAATTGATGTGCTACAGAGAGAGATTGAGCAGCTGAAGGGCAAGAGTAAATTCGAGGAGTTCTTTAGTAGTGGGCCGTCTAGTGCGTAGGTCGTCAAGCCTACGGCCTGAGCTGTAGTATCTGGGAAGCTGCATTTCACGTACGTGTATATATAGTTTTGTTCAGGCGGCATACTTGCCCATCTTTATGTCTGACAAGCCCTTAGCAGCATACAACTGACATATGACTGCAGCAACCACTAACGTAATTTTTCCCACTATCCAAGTGAACCAAACCATTCAGAATCATGGATGTATACCCTGTATGCATGCGCATCGATATCGATGCTGCTACGTTTTTGACGTGCATGCCATTCTTGTAGCCATCGCAGCCTCGTCGTTCCAGACTCGCGCACATGACGTGTCGCGCTAAAATGGTGGCGCGGCTGTTGCAGATCGTTGGATGAGAGACAAGACCCGCGTGGCTCGCAACCTTAAAACAGAGCTTTACGTCATAGCATATTGCCTAACTAGGGAGTCCCGGGTGGTCCGTTCGGGGGGGCTTGGAAAACAATCGTCGTCTGGAATTTCTCAACAGCAGCAGCTTCTTTGCAGCAGGTATCGTTTCTTTAACTGCGTATTTCTCCGCATCCTCTCGCTCTCGACGCCGTTTGTGCCCATTGTACGACGTTGTACCCAGCGTACTCATTTACCCCGTACTCGGATCGAACGGCACTGCATAGCAACCAGACCCGCTGGAACTTCCACTGCATACACCTGGACGTCTGTACAGCTCTCGCTATCACTCGAGAAGGATTGACATAGCCGATATCTGTTCCCACCTGTGAGCCTATAATCTGGTCGCGAATTTAAACAACAACCACCCCTGTGGCGATCATGAAGGGGGCGATACTTTCCGTGGTGTGGCTTGCGGGCCTCACTGCAGCCCAGAGTAGCTCGGCCTCGGTGACTCCATCAGTCATCACCTTATCTGGATCGCAGCGGAGTCTGACGGGCGATGATGCGGCTCCCAACCCAACCGTTCCTTCGGATTTCGAGGGCAGCACATTTGCGACCATAACCTCGCCTGCGTCTTCTGGACCGTCTGGTAGCACTTTCTCGGCCAATGGCACGGCCTCACTTACAAGCACTCAAGACCCCGTTACAAACATCGGAGGAGGGAACAGGACATTGACACCGACTGGCACTGGGACAGCTCCGGCGCTGCCATCAAACACACAGCCGTGTAATAACTATCTGGAGTTTTGCAACCGCAAGTACTCCAATATCACCGAAGTAGCTGCGCACAATTCGCCCTACACGCGACAGAATAACATTGCGCGCAACCAAGAGTATGGCGTGACACAACAACTGAACGACGGTATCCGCATGCTGCAGGGCTCAGCCCACTACGTCAATGGCACGCTCTACTATTGCCATTCGTCTTGCGACCTGCTCAACGCTGGTACTGTGGAAGACTACCTTCGTGAAGTCACCGCATGGGTAGAAGCACACCCCTTCGACGTCATCACGATTCTCTTCGGCAACTCCAACTGGGACGAAACAACCGACGATGGCAAGCCACTCGTCACATCCTCCAACTTCGCTGATCCGATCGAGAAGTCTGGCCTGATCGAATACGTCTACCAGCCACCAAAGACCGCCATGGAACTCGATGACTGGCCAACGCTCGGCGAACTTATCCTTCACAACAACCGTGTCATTACATTCATCGACTACAACTTCGATACTGATGCGGTTCCATACATGCTATGGGAGTTTTACAATATGTGGGAAACACCCTTCTCTCCCACCGACCCCGATTTCCCATGTACGCTTGGCAGGCCCGAAGGGATGGCTGAGGAGAAGATGAGAGATATCATGTACATGGCAAACCACAACTTGAATGCCGAGATTTCATTTGCTGGATTGAACCTTCTGGTACCTAATGTAGCCCAGATCAACCAGACCAACGGTCTGGAAGGAGAGGGCAGCCTGGGTGCTATGACCAACACTTGCACTAGTGCGTATTCCCACACTTCCAGCTCAGTTTCTCCTCTTGCAACTTGCTAACACGTCTCTCGCAGCTAACTGGGACCGCCCACCGAACTTCCTCCTCGTCGACTTCTATAACCAAGGGCCTATCAACGGTTCCGTCTTCGAAGTTGCTGCCCGTGCAAACAACGTTACGTATGACCGTGAGTGCTGCGGTACTACATCTGTCGCCAATGTGTTACTGCGACCTAGTGCTACTTACTTTGGCTTCGTGGTTGCGATTGCTGCCGCATTGGTCCTATGACCTCCTTCGACGGTTGAAGTCGTCTAATTGGGTAATTGATCGCTAGTTGGAAGCATGGGTTCCGAGGTACATAAGCATGGGTCAGGCGTTTACCGGTCGAGATAGTTTGTGTTCTTCTTGTATCATGATAGCGATTGTAAGCGATTTTGTGTAGGCCCAGCATGTATTCAACTTTCACGTCGTTTTCATACCCATCACCTTTGTCTCCCTTTTTTGTATCATCGCAGTATGGACCCTAGAGAGTAGTGGCCAACTCGGTTACTCACTGCTGAATAGAGATAAAGACAGTAGAGATGGAGCTTCCGTGGGCGAATTTGAGATGAGTGGGTGACGATGAGTGTCCGCAACATGTCGCACTAGTGTACGCTGTTCATTGCGTTTGTTGTTGACTCGCCTTGATTTTTCTACAACCACATCCTTAATACCTCGTTACTCTTTTGCACTACCAAGCTACCTGAACGGAATCGCGCAATGTCTGCTTCCGCGACAGGATTGGCAGATCAATATCAGATCTTGGATGTTAGCCCCGATGCCGCCCATGATACCACTGAGGATGCTTTCCATAGGCTGTCAAGAGAAAACCATCCTGACAAAGCTACCCACGATAAAAATAAACCCGAGCATCAGAAACAGGACATACTCAGAATACATGCGTCTGATAAAGCGCTTGTCAATGCGATGATTCTGCGGGTCCACGTCAACAAATTCCACCAGGGCAGAAAAAGATAGGTAAACCTTGACGACGATATTACAAGGAGCATCAGAATAATGAGCCATGGCCGCCAGCACGGTTCGACCAACGTCTATAAAAAAAAGGCTCTAAATCTGGATTTACCATGGGACAGCTTTGTTTGTACCTTTCCACCATAAGAGAGACATAGGATGCGTTCATGGCAATACCATTATGTCAAGCACCAACTGAAAGATGGAATATGGATGAAATCGGCATCACCATTGCGGAACCCCGTGCTCAGGACAACTATCGTTGGGTAGACTTTGTGCAATGGCTATCCGCGGATGAGAAGTTTGCTGACAAGAGTTACTCTAGAGCGATAGTCTATACCATCCGTGACACATTCTATGTCACTTTTGGTGTACACCTAGGGAAGCTCAATCATTTCCGCAATTCTTCCGTGTTCATGTTACTAGTCAGCTCGTTGCGCCAAGTTAATCTTTTGCTCCACAATGACCATACTTTATGACGCCGCAGATGATCATGGTTTATGATAACATACATTATATCTAGAGTTGAATCATTCCATCTTGTGGCACTATGAAGACGCAGAACAGACGAGCTACTAACAGATTCTGTGGTTTCGAAAAAGAAAAAAGGGAATAGGAGATGATTGCCTTGAATATCAGAAATCACCGCACTGAATGCTGCTCAATCTCGTCGAGACCGAGAGAGTATTGCTTCCTTCGCCACCACCAGACTCGAGTACGTGTTTCGAGTGAGAGACATTAGGCACTGCAGAATTTTGTTCTATCAGAAAATAGGTACATGTCTCTTTCAACTACGAACAACACAGCGATGCGTGACTTACATGTGCTACAGGAAAGTCAATATATTTACGTTCTATTGAAGTCCGCAATACAGACAAGCTTGGTGTAGATTTCGAAGATTTGAAGTGGCTTAGGTTGCGATTGCGTTGTCGCAGGACCGACAAGTCGCATTCATCGATGTGGCATTCGTATCTTCCTTTCACGTTTCAACAAAAGGGTTCAAAGCGCATAATATTGAGAACATTAGCTATATAGACATCCTCACAAAAAGGAACACAATCTTACGATATTGGTCGTGACAATGGTGTACTAGCAATGATTGTATTTGGCTACGAAGTTGCCATACGTAAGATGTGAATGAACCATCTATGCTAGGTCGGGTCCCAAATGTAAACAATCCCGTGGTATCTCCCTGTTACGCCATATGCGATATAAAAACCAGTTCTTTCAGCGTAGACACGTCGAACAACGCGCCGAGGTACAAGCTTGTCAACTGCTGCTCATCGAACTTGATGAGCTCGGCGTACGAGTCCGTACAGGTTCGATGGCCAAGCTATCACTCCGCGGCGCTAATCCCTCGGGCCAACTGCGCCTTTCTCTGTGTTCAACAGAGGGCAGTCTCTCATCTTCCTTATTTAAACTTAACCTCTTCTTGACTTTACTCCATGTCCTCAGTTTCTCGCCTGTGGAACCCCGTCGCTTCTCCCCAGCCTCCGATTCTTTCCTCGTCTTTTCGTCGCGCACAGGGTCGGAGAGATTCCGGGATGCAGGTAGTAAGTTGAGGTAGATAGGATACAATGCACCACCAGCATAGGCTGCCGTGATGACGCAGAAAGCGTATTGTGCATTGTTGATCTTGAGTGCGGCGTACATAATTGGAGGAATGACGGCTCCTCCGCCAATAGCTGCCGTCAGAAGTACGGAAGCATCTTTCGTATGCTTGCCCATACCTCGTATCCCCTGTGCAAAAATCTGAGGGAATAGCGGGCCTTCGAAGAACATGACGATGACAATGACTGCTGCACCAGCACTGCCCGAAGCATGCATGGCCGCGGCAGCGGAGGCAATCGCGCCCAGAAAGAAGACTAAGAGACTGAAGCGCGGTTTCACCCAAATGTCGATGAAAGCTGCCAGGAATCGAGAGACTGCAAACGCTGTGTGTCCATAGGCTTGCTGTGATACGTAATCCACTGAAGGCGAGACGCGATTGACGTACTCCTTGTACGAGGTGGAAGTGGACTCTTGACCGCCGACATAGCAGAACTGTGACAAGACCGCCATACCCAGACCAATCCAGAGAATTTTTACTGGCTTGGATCCAATATTGATGGTCGCCTCGCGGGCAAAGGGTACAGTACGTTGACTGGCAAGTTCCAGTTCTTCGTCGTTAGCTTCGGGAAGCGGTACGTAGAAGTAGACAATCGCAAGGACGATGTTGAAAAAGGATATGCCGAGGTATGTCCACTGCACGTCGATCAGGCTCGCAGCGTTGGCAGGGAAGAGTACTTTCTTCGCCAAAAGTGGGGAGACAATTGTGCCAACAGCCTGAACAGCTTGTGATAGATTGAGTCGCACTTCAGCATACTCAGGTGGCCCGCAGAGGGCTATGAATGGGTTTGCGCCGAGTTCCAAGGTTGACAGCCCTGCACCAGTGATGAAATTTGAGATAAGGAACGCTGGAAAAGAGTTGAGTACGGCGGAAGGCCAGAAGACGAGTGTTCCACAAGCATAGACCGAGAGACCGACCATGTAGCATGCTTTGAAACCCCAAGTCTTGAAGACGATCCGTCCGAAAGTTAAAGGTCCCACAATATAGCCAACATAGTAGGCGCTATGTTGACCGACCGTCTCCCATTCGCTTGTGCGGGCTACTTCTTGAAAGCGGGAATTAAGAACGTCCAAGAAGCCATAGGCGAAACCCCAAATGAAGAACAGTATAGTCACCATTATCACAGGGTATACGCTCTCGCGGTTGCTCCGTAAGGTAATATTCTTTTTCTGTCCAGTGTTGACGAAGTCGAAGAAAGTTGGTTGGCGCTGAGTGCGGGCGGTCGTTGCGTACGTAACATTGGTGTTCGATGGCCTCAGTTGAGGTAGCTCAGTCATGTCAGGCGTAGTCAAAAAATCCATCATGCCCATAGGCTCGTCACCGCCGCTTCTGCGAGCAAGAGGAGGTTTGCTGAGCGGAGAGGCGGGAGGTGTCAGCGGATCTGACCGCCGTCGAGAGTCAAGAATGTCGGGGTGAAGTACGGCCTCATCGCTTGTATGCGTCGTGTTGTCGCGCATGGTATGATCGATAACCCAACTAGGGAGGAATCTTCTGACGAGCGGCTTCAGAGCAGGAACACATCCACACATGATGCCCAGGTTGATCTCCACAGTGCTCCACATGAAGGATAAAGATGAAAACCAGGCAAAATCGCCAGTGTTTCTCTGTTCGTTGCCAGTTTCAGAAGACTGACGTTGAGCGGCTTCGAGTGTGTCGCGTTGAGCGTTTTGCAGGTATGCGATACGGATAACATCGACGACTGCGACAAAGATACCGAAACCGAACGTGATGACCAGTATTATCTTCTGCTTTTTCGGCAACCGCATACTAGTGAGTATGGGCATGGGTAGAAATAGAATGGCTATGTCGGTGATGATGTTGAGCGGTGCCGAGGAAAGATATATCGTGACTATGTTAGTGCAGTGAGCTGTATCGGGAACTGGAGAATCCCAAGCAGCACCAATAGGGCGACATTGAAGTAGGTTTAGAATAGTCAAAGCCAATCCACCAACATTGACAACGACAAGAGTCGTGATGGTGGCCCAACGAAAAACTTTATGCGTCCTGGACAGCGTGAGGTAGAAGAGGAGAATTGAGGTTTTGGTGGCCATCAAAGCTGGGTTCTATGGGGTCTTAGTGGGGGCGACTTGTGTATAGAGCATGATATACGTACATAGAGGACCGAGAAGACGAATGACGACTGCTTCATGGGCTCCCGCCATTGTGGGGGTATGTTCTCCTGCTTTCGTCCCAAACCTTTCGTTGTGCCATAGCATATAGAGAAGGATGCGCCAAATGCGAGAACCCATGCAAGGATCATTGTGTAGTCGTCCCATCCTGGTTTTCTGACGACGAGAAATCTGGAAATTAGACGGAAGCCAACGAAGACGGAGCATATCGCAAGCGTGGCAGCCGAAACTCCCAGCACCACGGGCCCTCTCGTAGGAAAATCGCCATTTCTGAAGTCATAATCCGCCATTTCGTGCGCCGCGCTATGATATGTATGCCGATGCCATAGAGGGAAGCGACCAGTGGGTACGGAAAAGTGTTCTATCGCTATCGCGGTCGCGGTCGTCTCGGGATCTGATGTTCAGGCCACGGCATTATCTGGCGCCAGCCTCGTCGAGTCTCAGTGTACAGGCGACGTGTGTAGTCTGGAAAGGAAGCGAGAGACGATGTGCAGATGGGTGGTCGCGAAGGAGACGGCTGCGTTGAGTCGAACAGTGCGCAAGACCACGCGGGTTGATGCGGTGAAGGGACTACCGACCCCAGGAAAGGCGGGCAGTTGAGCTGCGGCGAGCGATGTGGAGTGTGCATCGCTAAATGCGCGACTTGTAAACGTATTAGACGGCCTTGGGCCGGCGTTTGAATCCTTGCATCGTCATTGGGAGGAGCATCTGTCCACTTTGTGGGGAGAGAAACGCCATTTCGTCACAGCGCCTGTCCCGGTCGAATCTCACCGAAATGCCGGCTCTGTCGCTGCTGACTGGGCGGCGCCGTTTAGCCTTGGCGATCGCCCCATGGCCTGACTGATGTTTGTACGCTCAAGTCCTGAAATCTCGCTGATCTTTCTTGTATGAAAAGTAGTGGATGTTGCGCCATGAGTGTGTTTGGGCGCAATAGGTGGAACATGCAACAGCGGCCACCGTCATGTCGAACGAAGCTGTTTCACACAAGCTTGCGACTAGAGCATCATTCTAACAAAGTTAAGGAAACGCCAGTATGCACGTTGACTCGAGGAACCAGCCGTGACCTGCTTCCCCAGACGCCTTGTACGTACACAGTAAACCCTGTCAGGAGAAGGTGCGCAGCCTTCGAGCGATCACTGCACCTAACAACTTCATTCCACATTGCGGGGAAGTCCCTTCCACAGATCAGGATCTCAGCCGGCCTCTAATCGGCCTGGAACCGGCGAGCGCTGAACCGTTCGTACGGATATGGGGAAGTCATGTGCACAGACCCACATAGACGCAGTAGAGCCTCATCATTGGGCTTCGATCACTCTCGCTTGGCCTTGTCAATGGGTTTCGAAAAGCGAAGATAATAAGCCGAAGACTGTTGCACTTCACCTTCGCCAGACTGTCCAACTAGGTACGCGTGTAGCCAGCGGCACAACACGAGGTGGCACCGGTCTTCGCCCCGTGTCGTTGCATTGAAAGCGACCGTCCAGTAGCCGAAGGAGCTAAACCAGAATACAGGCTATTGAACGATGATCAACGTCTAAAATAGTAGATCATGTTCACGTAAGGCACGATCAACGGCATGCGCAGTTTTTTTCTTCGAGGTATCCTTTGGACCAGCCACCCCTCACTCACGCCACGGAGCCGTCAATGTCGTTTCAATGTAGATCGCTAGAGTTATGCGACCAAGAGTAAACAGTAAATGTAAACAACGATACTTCGATGGTTGTCACTTCTCTCGTGCCTGTTGCCTATTGCCTCGGTACACGGGTACCCTGGGATCTACCACACGTGACCTGATCACCTGGATAAGCCAAGTTTTTCAAGCGTAGAGGCGCAGAGGCAGCCATGTCTAGCTTACAGGCACGAAGTGTCCTTGCATATCAAGTTCATCACGTTCTTCGATCGATTGATATTTCCTAGGTATTAATGAGGCTAGTAAGCGGAGTGGACGACCTGGTCTTTGATCATACCAAGGTATTCATGAGTACACAACTATGGCTATTCCCATCTACGGCATGTATTGTCACACTCAAGCAGTAATCATGTTACAAAACTCCCACAACAAAGGAAAGTGAATAACTCAGATTAGGTGATTGTAGCAGTCTGAACACGGTAAGCGCGCTTCGGTGCACCGTCGGCCCGCGCTGTCTTAGCGCAGAATTCTCACTTTTCTTCCTCGCGAACTTTTAATGTGAGCATTCCACACCAAACAACACCCTTCGCTCTCAGCAAAACCACGCGCATGCTGTCACAACACGTAGCTTTATGTCGGCTACCATGCATCGCGTCGCTTTTCCGTCTATGGGGAAGGAGTATAGATTAGAACATGGCTCTTTCGAAGACTCGGTGATTCGCTACTCTCCACGATCACGAGTTCAATTTGTAGCCTAGAAGAAGCCAAAGGATCTGCCAAGATCATCCCACTCGTGTTGCAGTGTCTGAGCGAAAGCCACGACGACTTTGCGTCTTTTGTTGGGAGACATACCCGTTCCACATCAACCGGTGTGTGACGCGAATCAGTGCGAATGCGTATTTGATTGATGATTGATAATTGATGTTGTACATATGTGTCCTGAAGCAAAGGACGTACCCACGCGATTCCCTCACAATTCTTTCTTCTCTGTAGGTTTCTGGTTTGCACTAAATGCCATGGCCTCCTGCTTCTCGCGTTGCTTCTCTGCAGCCACAGGGGTCGGTTTGTTCATGACAAGTACCCAGAGCGCCGCTACTGCCTCTGCTGCCAGTGCTATCATACTGGCACATGCAATACCCCAAATGTTTATGCTCACGCTTCCAAGTGGTGCGCGCGGGAAACTCAGTATCCACTCAACATAGTATGGCACCCAACCAGCGGGAATCCAGAACATGGGCGACTTGGAGAACCAGAACTGGAGGACGAAGCGAAGGCCTTGGGTGCCGAGCCAGCGGAGGGTCGAGACGGCGGATGTAAAGGTGGACTGATGTGAGCGCAAGGAGCCATCTAGACAAAAAGGCGTTAGCGATTATAGCTTGCAAAGATGTCCAAAGCATCTGTCAGAAGAGATACACACCCAGCTTTTGGAACTCAGCCATAGCCTTGTTGTGTTGCCTGTCCAGTTTCGCCCATTTTGAGAAATTGTCCTGAGGCGACGTGTTGCCCAGCTCGCGCTTCAAACGAACAATGTCTGCCTTGAGAACCTGGCATCTCTGCGCAGATCCAGAGGTAGGCGTCGGTAGCTTATTGTAGAGGATCCATAACTGCAATGTGTCAATCCGACGTCCTTGCGCATCTGCAACTTGATGCGGGGCTTACCAGTTCATTAACCGTGGTTGCGCCCACCGTGTTGATGATGTGGAGCAGTAGCTGCAGGGTGAAGACTACCAGTAGAAGGGACGGCATGTTCGGGGACGTTGGACCAGTGTCGCGATGCAGCGTGTTCTCATTGCATCGTGTTTTCAGACGGGGTGGAAGCGTCCTTGGGCTATGTCATAAGGCAATTTGGCAGCTGCAGCAAGCTAAGGCGGGGGCCGTGCGCGAAGGCTTCTATCTATTCGCTACACTGTTGCTCCTTCACACACGTCTACCAGCCTTCACTCTGTACCCGTACCATCAAAGCGCCCGGGTTGTCCGCCATGGCAATCAAAGATGGTCAGAGTAACGAGTTTCAGAAGCTGGCTTACAAGTCTTTGAGCAACTACTTCCAGGAGCACGCGGATGAAGTTATTGAGATTGAGATTCTGCCTCCTGCTATACAGCCGCCGGATGGTATTACCATGCAAGACGGATCGAGCCTAGGAATCCCGAAAAAGGTACTCGCCTTGGCTTATGTGGAAGCTCGGCACCTGTTCTTCATGAAGGACCAGGGGACTCAGGACCTACTGGCTAGTTCATGGGCATTGCAAGCGACAAAGATCATACTTCTGTTCGATCCTGAGCATCTTACTGCAGCAAATTACCGGAAGCGCACACTGTCGCTGCTAAGAAATGAGCACGGCCCTCATGTTGGGACCCCATATCACAGAGCACTACGTCAAGAGCTTTGCTTTCTAAACAGTATCCTTACATCTCCACTTCATCGTCAGTCTAAGTCGCCTACGTTATGGTATCACCGCTCGAATATCGTGGAATCTTTGAGACTCATCGAACTGAACGATGCGCCGCAAGACCGCATAGCAGAATTTTGGCACAGTGAACTCGCTGCTGTTTGCAAGTCTGGAGAGCAGCATCCTAAGAATTACCACGCTTGGCAGTATGCTCGTAAGCTTGTACACAAGATCGAGAGCCATGGATTGGCCGATGATGTCGCTCGTCGTGTTAAGGACTGGTGTTGCAGACACCCAAGCGATATTTCTGGTTGGTCTTTCATGCTGTGTTTGATGCCTATCACAGCTGCGTCGTTACAGCAAGAGCTAGTGGGAGATGTCATCAACTACGCGATCAGTCTCGACTGTACACAAGAGTCACTTTGGATATTCATACGTACAAGTCTAGCGCTAAGCAGCACTACGTTTTTAACGTCCTACCAATCGCTACAAGCTTATAAAAAGGATCTGGAGGAAACCGATAGGCACACAGTGGCAATGGAACGCGTGTGCAATGCTATAACCTGGATTGACACCCATCGACAGTCAGGCACGTGAACAAGATATTTCATCGTTGAGCAGTAATCTCATCCTCTATACTGAAGCTATAGCCACAGCCACCACCCCTTTTGTGTTTGCCCAAAATTGGGCCATCGGACGCCTAACGACAATTCGCTTGGTCATGGTCCTCCGCTCAAATGCCGCACTGATGCGCTTCAACACACGATCAATTGGCTGCCATACATCCCATGGAATGGAGTTGCGGGCCGCGGATGATGCTATAATACTCGAAGATGCTTGTCGAGGTAGGCTACATGTATTCTGCTCAATGGCACCAGGTGCTCCGAAACCAGATTGAGGAGAGCTAGTCGTCTGGGAACATTCATCCAATACTCTGAAGGCTGTATCCGGGACCAAGTACCTCCTGGCTTCGACTTCCTGTGTGACATGTGTCGAAAAAAGCGTAGCGTCAGACCCTCGTCGATACAACGTAGGCTTCGGTCGTTCCAGCCCAGGCTCGACTTGAATCCCTATTGAGCTCGCAGAAACATGCCTTAGGAGTAGCACACCTCCTCTTTGCTTGTCGAAAACACGATTCTTATCCGACGATCGCGCTCTAAACAACCGACCGAAGTAAATGTCTCGCGTATCTGGGGTTACCAGGTTTTTGTATACCATGTAGCTGTCTTCAAATGGACCCCAGACCACAACGATAGAGTCCTCGTTATATTGTTCAGAAACGCCTTTTCCACTGTCTTGGTCCACCGATCGTCTAGATAGTCCTTCCTTCGCTGGCAGCCAGAATACGAAACCGTGGTCATATTTCGCATTTTCCAGTTCTGTTCGAACATATTGCAATATTGGTTGCACATTTGATTTCCACTCCAACTCGCGGTCGATACTGGAGAGAAAAGGCTCATGAAAAACAAGCATGATAAGAATATGATGTTACGATACCTGCATCGATACTAGTTGCATCTCTACTTATAAGGTCTTGCGGGACGCAGGTATTAGCCAAGCTAAACCGCCATCCACCCCACAACGTCACTCATGCCGATCCCACATTCAATGGGTCGGACCGGTCGTATAGACTTGCTTCGACTGTTCAGCCTCGACGGACGTGGTGCGCCGCAGACTTGACACGTAAATGCTCGCGTCACCCGCTCAGCCAATGATAATTATAGAGCCAGATGTGGCGGTGCTGAGAGTGGCGGAGTTTACCAACAAGCAATACGATTGGTCGGTCCAGAACTTTGGTCAGGATAATATCAGAAGAATCGCTGTAACTCATCTTGCAAGCACATCCAAAGGATCCAACAAAGTAAAAAGCTAGCGATACTACTAAGAGGGTGACGCTCGAGGCTTTTGGTGGTAAATGGAACGAAACCAAATTGCGAACCCAAGTGCTTTGCAACATCTGATTCAAGTGCGTATGGAGGTATTTTAGCTGTTATAAAAGTATAGAATCTCTGGGTACGGGGCTAACTGCTAATCGAAGTAAACAGAACGAGGACACTACCTAAGTAGGTATTATGGCTTTCCACCGAACCAGATTTTAACTTTCCCAAGCCGTCTTCCATTCCCAGCGTCTACCAAGTCGCATCCTTTTACCCTGCATAGACTTTGTCGAGAGGGGGTGATTGGTGTAGATATCTTTCTTGGGTTCAAGAGCTTCGTCGTCTGCACGGTCTGCTCTCTTAATATGTCCGTTAGTGGAGGACTTTACATGCTTGGTGGCCTCAGGGCTACCAACTTCACTTTGGCCTCTCAATTCCCTTAGGTAGCTTGATAAGAACCAGCAAACCTGCTGCAGTCATCAGCTGTACACATACCGCTGAACTTCCGTAGCGCAATATATTTGCTTATCTACTGGTTAATCCTTCAGATACCATTTGTCATGTGATAACACCCAACTTTTCAACAGGGCTCAAGACATGGCAGATTCTGGGGGTAAGATAACATGGTACACAAGAAGCTTGAAGTATATAATGAGGGATATGTTGCTCAACGAAGATTACGAATTACTCAAAGATTATGGTTAGTAAACTCTTACTATCACTGATCGGTTCTGGGCTCCTTGGTTTACAACGCTTTCCAGATACTGTTCAACAACTGCAGCGGAAGAGAAGGCAAGACTAGCCAAAGAGCAATTAAAATGTATTTCGTGATCTCATAAGCCCGAGCACTTCGCGCTAGACCCTTCCATTTCAGTCCCAAGAAATCGAAAATCATCCCCCTAGTACCCATGCCTAGACCCACACGATAGCCATCGGAAGTCCGGTGCAATCCGGAACCCATGTTACCCATGTCAAGACGGCCGTTCGCCAACAGGATCCGTTGCAAGATATTTACACCACGCCTAGACCTTATTGGGCCCACGCTTTGAGCCATTCGCAAGATCAGCGAGATCCTCCATGAGATCATTCCAGATCTGCTTCACCATTCCTTCTCCCTCCTGGCGGGTCGCGGTGAATTTACTGGCAACAGCCTCAGCCATACCCTGGTAGGCGGACTGGTTTGAGTCGGTCATCTCAGACATTGCGGAGGGGGAGTGGATGTGGGTGCCGTCAGCAGAGACGGTGTAGATGGTGGGTTGCATGGGGATCTAGGAACTCTCTCGTTAGTACTCTTGCGCAATGAGCAGAAGATTAAGGCTAGGGTAAGACTCACGGAATCCTCGCTCTCAGCACTCCGGCTAGCAACATTGGCCCATGGTAAGATGGGGACTCTAATTCCCAAGGGCGCACTTCGGGTCTCCGGGTTGAAGTCCGGGAAGTGCATAAAGTCCAGTGTGCTGGAATCGCCGACGGACTTCAAACTCCTCGATGTGTTGAAGCGTCGGACTTTGTTGCCGGTCTCGGTGGCTTCGGGAACTGGGATGGTTTGCTCGCCGTGAAGGCGGATAGGCCCAGCTGGGCGATTTGAAGCATACGGCTTGTCGGTTGTGAGGAGGGATGACGACGAAGTCGAACCTGTCATTGACAGCTGGCGAACTGTGAGACGAGGACCCAAAAGGCGAGGGCCGGCGAGGGCACTGATGATGCGAACGCTGGGTTTTGAGGCTGCCATTGCGAAGATGTGTGTAGTGTTGAGGTTTGTGGGCACTGTTGTGAGTGGAACGCAGCTGGGCGCGAAGAAGTAGTAGGACTTGAAAGAAGCAAGACGAGCGATTAGTAGTGGCTTATAAGACGATAAGGTTTCAGTGACGCAGGTATGCGGTTCGGAAGGCGTCGGAGAATGGGAAGCGCTATCAGATGCACCGGTAGACAGGAACAGGTGTTGAGAGGACAGGAATGACAAGCTGAGCTCGCGACACAGTGAGGGGAAGCCGTCCTTTTTCTAAGCCCTCCAGCCTCACACATGGCAGCTGCGACCACGTTAGACTCCTTGGCCAGCGTTCTGGAATCTTTACGGAGAGCGGTCAGTGAGCTGTACAGCGATTCAGGACACCCTCGTGGATTGTTCACTTCATAACGACAGGCCACATCGGGGATGCAGCGTTGGACTCCGTGGTGCTCAGTGGATGGGAGCTTGCAGAGAGGGAGCTTGGGCCATATACTATGCTCGATGTGGCACAAGGGCTGGCCCGAGCCAATGGAAGAGATCCGCTCTCGCATGCCCAGCACGTCTCCCCCGCACTTTTGATCATGGTCGCAGCGTGCTCAAATGAACCGTCTCACGTCTTGAACACTCGTACAGCATCCGATTGAAGCAAAAAGAAGATGGCCACGGACAGACGACCCAGAGCATGTCTGTCGCGATGTTGCTTGACTTGCAAACAATGGCGCCAAAATGTCGGTGTAGCAGTTGTTGAGCGCACAGTTGCAGGGGGGATCACCATAGGTTTAGCGATGTCGGCTCCCTCCCGTCACCATGCACAGTACGTATTTGTGCCTGTATGATCGGCTCTCCACCCAGTGCGCACAAGCTTTCGGTGACACTTGACTGGGCAAATGAGGCGGGCGATAAGGAGATGGGAACCAGCCTATAGTAATTTACCAAGACGTCAAGATCGGGATCGTGTGATGCATATATGCCTGCCTTGCCTGTAAGCATGATATAATCTGGTAGTGGTGGTGTTGCGCCTGGTAGTTCGCATCTTGGAGCTGTGGAGGGTCAGCGGCTTCAACTCGGTGTCCTATCGACCAACCTCTGTAGCACAGACGGTCACTCTCGACCAGGACTTTGAGATTCCATTCGCAAAGTCTTCCCAATAGGGTAAAGTGAGGCTGTGAGGCTGTGGAGTCCATGAATAGATGCGTCCCACCGCCCTGACTAAGACACACGACTGCCCCGCTATGAGCTGCCTTGCCTCCGTAGCGAATCCGGCTGCAATCATTGCAAACCAACATGCTCCACAGCACCGCTTGCAGTCGTTTGGCCTATGTACTACAAACCATCAACAACTAGTACTACAGACCTCAAAAATTTGCCATCCAACAGCAAAATCGGCCTGATGGTCTAGTGGTATGATTGTCGCTTCGTAAGCCAGCCCACCAGCCATCTCCTCTCTGTTCTCCCATCTAACAGTCCTTTCAGGGGTTTCCTACCTGGATACAGTGTATCTGTTGTGTGACAGGCCCCGGGTTCGAATCCCGGTCAGGCCCATCCGATCTTTTTGTCTTTTATGCCTTCTTTTCGCTATTATATGCTGTTAAGGTAGTCGTCGGATCAGTTTTGGTGTTGAGGGAAGAAAAAGAATATTTTTTTGCTTCGATAAGATCGCCAGACGTCGAGTGTTAGCCGCATGCAGTAGCGAATGGTTTGCAGGAGATCGCAGCGTCGTTGTGGACATGTGGTGCGCAAGGTCTAGGGGTCACGCGAACGGTCGTAAAAAGGCAGTAGCAGTTTGTTGCGAACCTAGTCTGTGCATCCAGACCGAGCACAAGCCTCACCAAGGTCGCAAGTAACGAACCAGTCAGCAGCAGTCTGGGCATGCTTGCTTCTAGATACGTGCGGCACAGAAAGCAAAGGAAAACACATCTCCTAGCAACCAACGCCCCGGGAAGATCAAGTTCAAGCTCAAAGCTGCATTTCGTGTGGTATCTACTCTCGTCTAAACCAGGCACTAAAACGCCAAAAGGTAAAAAACCACAACAAACAGGCCTCAAAGCCCATCGTCTCCAAAGCAAAACTCCCTCGTGTTCTCCAATCCGGGGGGTATCAATGACCCTGAGGTGCGAAGCAATGAAAGTGGTATCCAAACGAATCGTGAAATGAAGTCGTGAAAGCATTCGAAAATCGTAAAGGCAGCAAGGGCCGCCAGAGCAAAGGAAGAGGACGGACAAGCAACATCACCGCCCGTCGTAGGAGTCGCTTACCCAGCCGCTGTTGTTGCCGCCAGCGTACATGGGCTGCTGACTCCCCTGCTGGTAATCGCTCTCTTCCTCAAAGTATTCGCCTCCACTAGACGCATCAAAGCTGCTGCGACCGCTAGCGTCGCCATCTTCATCGGGTGGCCCAGCCGGGAGCTGGTCCCACTGGATGCCCGCAAGTGCAGGGTACTGAGCCAGAAGTGCGGCAGGCAGGAAGGGCTGTGGAGCTTGCATGCCACCCGCCTGAGGGAACGGTTCGAAGCCAGATTGCCCAGGCATCATGCCGTTGAAGTTTTGAGCTGGCATGGGCGCGAACATGCCGTTGCCATTGTTCAGCTGCTGATTCTGGCCATCCCATTCGCCCTTCTCACGCGCCTCCTCTTCGAGCAAGGGCCGGATGCACACGCGACCTGCCTCAGATCGAAAGTGGCGTCCGAGGGCATCTGCACGAGCAAAGCGCCTGCCGCAGCCCCAGTTGTTGCCGTTCTTGAGGTTACCACGGCATACAAACTTCTTCTCGCCTGAGTGAAGGCCTTCGTGTCGCTTGCGGTCATGTTGGCGGGCAAAGGCTTTGCCACAGACACTGCAAACAAACGGACGTTCGTCTGTATGTGTTCGCAGATGCGAACGGAGGTTGTACGCCCGCGTAAAGCGCTTCGGACACAGTGTACACTGGAAGGTTGCAGGGTGCTTCTGTGTGCGCTTTGGGTTCGACCCATCGGCTGGCGCAGGTCGCGATGGATCTGCAAGATCCAGTATGTAGTCGCGGTTCGGCACGCTAGATGTAGACGAACGGCGCGAGGATTTGTTCGAGGGCGAAGGAGAACGAGACTTTGCTGCGTTGGGAGACAGTGAACGGTGCACTTCTGAGCCTGGCGTGGATGCGCGCGAGCTGGCACTACTGAAGGGATCAGATCTGGCGCGAGTTCTGTTCCGGCTGCGTGCTAGTATAGTGTTAGAAATGCTTGCACGACTTCATCGGACTGCTTACATCTGTCTGGTGGGCTCAACGCATCTACCTGATGCTCTGGCTTCGGCGGCTCAAAGCTCGCTTGTCGCGACGGCGGTGCAAAGTCAATGTTGATTTCTGGCGGTGACATGGCGTCGGCCTGACCAAACTCAGGCACAGGCTGGTTCAGTGAGGGAAACGGCTCGGCTTGACCTGGGTAGCCATTCATGTCTGGAGGCGCGTATGGGTTCATGTTCTGGTTGAGGCCAAAAGTGTCAGGCTGGAATGGCGGAAGGACTTGTTGGTTCTGCGGGAGCAAACGAGGCGAGATATGCGGGCTGTTGCCCGCGCTGATATGCGCATTACTGCCGTTCAGATTGAATCGGTCAAATCCTGGGACAGGGTCCTGGAACAGCTGAGGATCGTTCTGCGCATGGAGGAGGGGTGACGGCTGATCGTTATCCAGGCTATCCTGGTGGTGCAGGTATGGGGAGTTGTGTACCGAGGACGCATGTACCGAGGACGCAGCATCGCTGTTGCCCCTAGACCTAGACCTATGTTGGCCAAATCCGCCTGCCATCTGCCCCCATTCTGTAATCTGTCCATATGCTGCGCTGGGATCCAACGACGTGTGTCGCGAATGCCCTGGTGATCTGAACGGACCCTGGTTGATGTTTGGCGACGCATGTGGACTTGGGGTTTGGTGGCTGTTCATGCTGGGCAGAAGGTGCGGCGGCGTAGGCGCGTTGTGTTGTGTGGCTGCCATTTGGTGCATAAGATCTGAGGGATTGATGGATTGGCTGTGTTGCGACTGAGCGTCGAGCATGTGTGGGTCAAGCGTATTCCCAAGATACGACGGAAGCGATTGGTTCTGGCCAAGGTCGTTGCCCTGGAAGAAGTCGTTGAAGTCGGGGTTGTTAGAGTTCGCAATATCAAGTGGGTCGGGCGAAATGTTGTTGTTGTTGCCTTGGGGGCCAAATTGCGGCGTATTATGCTGCGAGATAGACTGAGTAGCCTGGAAGAAGCTTGGGTCGGCAAAGCTGTTCTGCTGAGGGAATTGCTGTCCTTGGGTCGTGGTAAGGAACTGGGTGCTGTTCAGCCCCGCGCTTGTGACTGCGTACGAGGATGGGTCTTGAATAGAATCGAAGCCCAAGCCGACGTTATGCTGGTGCTGGAAAGGCGCATGTGGGCTAGGCGAGGGAGAGTGCGCCTTATGAATGCGCTGGCCTACTGAGGGAGAGCGCCCTCGCTGTTGGATATCCATAATGTAGGTATTCGCGTGTTCCCAAGAATAGGTGGGATGTGGAGGAGTGAGCCCTGGAGGCCGCGCTTGGGCCAGCGTGGAGAGCTTCGTAAACACCAAGAATCAAGGGCGAGCTGTGAATGGTCCGATGCCCTCCAGGAACACGCAATGTCCTCTGTTTACTGGCTTCTCTGCTGAGGCTGGTGAGTGTGAAGGAGGCGCAGTGTTGTCGTCGGTCGCAGAACACAGCCCACCTCACGAAGAGCGACGACGCTGGAAGCGGCCTAGTCCGCTATTATTAGCCCCGCAATGGGAGAGCCCGCTGCAAAGCTCCCTTGTGTATTCCTCTGTTTCAGAGTCTCGAGAGACGTGAAACGATAAGCTAGGGGATGTGTTATGCGTTGCTGTTCTGCCTGCTGCTTGTGACGTTCAGTGAAGCTTGAGAAGGTAGCTCGACGTTGGCCGTAGCAATGGCGACAAGGAAGCGCGGGTAGGAGTCCCTGAGAGATTACGCGCTGGTCGAAGTTGATGGTCGGCGCGTGATAATCGCAAAGCGACTCAGGACTGTTAGGTTCGGTGGAATCGAGCTGACCGCTACTGTCACTCGAGGTCTTGGGAATAACAGTGCAACTCGCCCCTCAGCCCCCAGCCTTATACAACAAGATCGCTCGCCTGCAAGACAAGCGCAGGTTCACACGAGCCCGTCCATTGGTGAAGCGTCTAATAACCGGGCGGTCGAAGACACCGCTGAGGAACACCAAAATGGTGCCGAGCCGTCACAAAACGTTCGATATCACACCCTCGGCGATCAATCCCACTGCAAAACTACTGGTCCAATCTCACAGACCGCGCGATTCTTGCGCGCGGAGGCCATCCAGCGAGCCGTTGCGTCCGTGAGGTCATTACCCGGGGCCCACAGCAGCGTTCTTTGCACTGCCTCACTCGAACCAATGTCGCAAGGCACACTTCCTCAAGGCGGACTTCCATCTCCCCACATACCAAGCCCTTATTCCCATTCTCGACAATTTTGTGAGATGCATTGCTACCATCGATAATAATAGTATATTTGGTCCCAGGGAAACATTTTCGCGGAGCCGCATACGTGCATATACATCGAGTCTAAACCTTGGCTTTCCCCTCCATGTGCTAAACAATGTGCTGTACAGAGCCCATGTGCAAAACACGCCACCAGTAACTTGGGAAAGAAATCCACAGGTCAGTGCATTTGCGACCACGTTGGTTCTGCCAGCGTCCCGTGTTCTCTATGCATCCTAGTAGCTCGCACGCGCTACGCATCTGTCACAGCAACAGAAAGTCTAGAAACATAGTCGGAGCAATGTAATGCTTCTGTTCTTACAATGGGTATCCTAGAGAATAATGTCCAAAGAAATGAATTGCCGCCTCACGCCCGCAATTTAACCAAATTTTAGACCTTGCGCAGGATCCCATCGCCCATCCTGCGGAGGACCAGCCGAAGGTCGAGCATTGCCAGACGATGTAGGCACACCACCAAATCGAATTCCAACCTCTGGTGTCCACATACCGGACGGTGGAGGTACGTTTGCTCTGGTCGGCGTTGGAGCTGCTAATGGCTCCTCTGCATGTGCAGTGGCACCATAATTTGGGTTTTGTGCGTCTGCCTGTTTCTGCTGATGCAGCGAATTCGTCGTCGCTTGCTGAAGGCCGAGGGAGCTCATTCGTGTAGTAAGATCGCTAGCAACATTAGCATATGTTTTGGAACTGACCATGACATTCACGTACCCCTCCAGGTGTGACGCCTCTGACTTGCGGTTGTAAGCAAAAGTCCGCGCTTCATCTCTAAATCGGTTCACGATCTTAGCGAGGTCATTGTAGAACTTTCGTCCAACGTCGAGATTGGAGATGATCTCCTTGTACTTGAAATATGCATTCTCCAGGTTCTGTAACGCTTGCTCACGCTTCTTCGTTGATTGGTCGCCGCGACGAGCGATTAAGAATGCTGCGTTTGCATCTTGCAGTCGCTTGATGGCCTCTGTTTGCTCATTCTCTTCGTCTTTGATCATGTCTTGGTCGGCATCGTACATCTGGAGACGCTTGTCGAAAAGCCCTTCGAACTGCACAGCCTCGATTGTCTGCATAGGGTACTCCCGCTCTAAGCGAGCAGCTTCACGCAGCAATTCCGGATCTAGCTCACTGTTAGGATATGGCATGTGTGAAGATGCGTGACACTTACTTATGTCATCCTGCTTTGCCTTTGTTCGCAATGCCTCGATCTTTCGTCTTCGCCTGCTTTCGAGCCTACTGACCTCGTTGAAGCTACCACGAAGCTTGCCAGCTTCGCGTTCGACATCTCCAGTGATTGCGGGTCTCCTACCGCTTGGTACATAGTTTTCAAGCTCGTGATCCGGTCCGCTGAGTAGGCGTATGAAGTGCTCATTCTCCTTCAACTTTGTCTTCACAATATTATCGCTGTTAGTGGCGGCCTTGAAGTAGCCATCAATTTCGTTGATCTGGGCATAGAGCTTGGGTGCGGCTTGTTCTGCGGGGGGTCGGGTCCAACGTTCTGTGCCAAACTTGCGTCGTGCGCCTTCGTCCTCTGCGGCTTCCGACCTGAGTATGTCGACGCCTTCTTGATAGATAGCCTGATCCGTGTACATGAGCTTCTTCGTATCCTCCATCGAGCGTAAAAGACGATTGATGCCATCTTGCTGGCGAATTTCTTCGGCGTGTGCTACAAGACCTGGCGGTAGTCCTAGTGGCTTCTCAAGAGCCTGCAAGGAGCCAGGTAGATTCAGGCTGCGGAGTACCTCATGGATCTTGTTGGTCAATGCCTCTAGCTCTTCAACAATGGTACCATTGACCAATCGATCACGGCGGTCCACATAGATACTAGCTGCCAGGTGCACGGAATAAGGTACCAACTTGGAGAAAAGCGCAGGGCCAAGCTCACCGCGCTCTCCTAACATGGAGTTGGACTCAGCTATCTCCTTTGGAACTCTTGACACAACCATGTTGGCTCGATCGAGGATTTTGAGCTCTGCTTTTGGCGGTACAGGTAGCAGGTAGATCATATCGTTGTCCTTCTCGGCCCGCTTCAGGTCTTCCGTGATGCGGTTCTTCAAGCCGTTCAGGTCTGCAAGTACGACCTTGTTGATGTAGCGCTGCTCCTTGAGGGCCTCGTTCACGCAAGTCAGACTATCACGTAGTCGTGCCACTTCCTCGCCGTACTTGCGCTTTTCGAGGGAATCGCAGGCTGCACGGTATTGAGCAGCAGCAGCAAAGTGGTGGTGCTTTGCCGTCATGTGGTGTATCCACTCGCTGCTTATAGCGTCCGATTGTATCCCAGCGTCTCCCGCCTCGTTGTAAAGATCAGATACACGAGCGGCTAGTTTGGCGATAGTCGCGTCTTTCATTCCATCCTTGACAGCCTTCTGCCAGAAACATTCTTGCCCTTGTGCCAACATCAGCTTTTCCAAACACTCGAGTGTCATCAAATCCATATCCTCTGGCGGCTCTGTCCGTATCTCGGGCAAGATGGTATTCCTCAAATGCGACAAGACTCCAGCGGCGAGGCAGAAGTTGTTGGCTGCCATCTTCAGTCCGTCGGGCGTGCTTCGGTTCGACGACATGGCTAGCTGCGAGTACATGGCCGCGAGGTTGAACATGATGTTGGCGAGTTCGAAGCGGAGGTTGTTGCGCGATGTCGGCCGGCTCGTATTGTATCCCAGCGCAGGATACCATGGGAACTCTACGCCAATGTCGATGGGAAACTTCCCACTCAGCCATATCAGCTGCGCCGCGTATTGTTGAAGCTTCGGGATGTTGCTGGGGTGCGGTTCTTGGGCGTGTGTTGCAACCGAACGTAGCTTCTCGATCGTCTCCAGGTCTTTGGTGAACATGTCTGGATGTTGGTCATATTTGGAGGATATGTACTGCTTGATCGCGTCGGTGAGATTTACCGAGTGTGACCGTCGGAACGGGAGGAACAGGATGTTGCTGGCCATTTTGTAAATTTTATCGTGTTCTGCCTGGCTGTTTTTACTCACGAGGCCATAGGAAAGAGATGTTCGGCGTTGTTTACACAAGTCCAGTGGGAAGACGTCACCGCCCGCAGCAAGGTCCAAGCTGTTGGGCATAGGTGAGCGATGCAGCTTGAGCCCCGCGCTAGCTAACGTGGGGCGGGCGCCTTCTCAGGGTTCATTCACCTGCAGGAACAGGGCCCAGCACATGCGACATTTCCTATACCGGCATCGATATTGTATGAATCTGATGCGTGTTCTGCCATCTTAGGCGGCGCGTTCGTCTTAGAGAACGTGCGCTGATACGACACCCGGGGCGGAGACGAGTTCGGTTTTTCCCGCCGTGGAAACCGAACCATTCGAAGCCTCGCACCAGCCAAGTATTGAACACTCAGCGCGTTGAAGTATGCGCGACTTGTAAAACCGAACGCGGCAATTTACGAGTCACAGGATCAAGGACACAGTGTCCTGACGCGATGGCATCAGCGATCAAACCAAATCGTCCGCTCCCGGACCCTCAATGAGCATGTTTCATGCCACCAAATTGTCGGCACGTCAAACGAGATGCGGTCAGTGTACATGGCTGAGGCGCGTCGGGTTCCACAACCCGGAATGTCGTGATGGAAGCTCGATATGTCAGCGGGGCGCGACCACAATCTATAACAATCTAGCCGAATTACAACACCATCTTGAAACCTGCGCTTCCGTTGTTCGTCAGGTCCATCCGCTAGTGAGTCCTATATATACCAGTCACAACTGCTCTTCACAGTTATCGACTAAATCCAACTACTACGCCACATAAAAGCCCCACGACCCGCACTACGCTTCGGACATACTGCTAGCAACATCATTCTATAACTTCGCACCACATTTACAACCTACAAAATGACGCACACCTACAAGTTCAACGTTGCCATGAGCTGTGGCGGCTGCTCCGGCGCCATCGAGCGCGTGCTCAAGAAGCTCGATGGTCAGTCTTCCTTGCATTAGCTGTGCGCTGCGATATGCAGCATGTGCCAAAACCCATGCGAAATTTGCTCTAATCATGTCGCAGGTGTTGAGTCCTACAATGTATCGCTCGAGACTCAGACCGCCGAGATTCAGGCAGCCGACTCGCTATCCTACGACACCGTCCTCGAGAAGATCAAGAAGACTGGCAAGACCATCAAGTCTGGCGAGGCTGATGGTGAGGCCAAGGACATCTAGGCAGCGCAACGTACCGATCCACGTACGACGACTTTCTGATACAATTCTTTTTGGGGGAACGAGCGATGGACATCACGGTCGTGTTTACGAGCAAGCTCTGTGCTGCCGCCACGGCCCTCTACATCTGGAGCGATTTTACAAATACCGCGATTGAATGAAGGATACCCTTACCACATACATCTGCCTTGCTATGTGACGTGAACTGAGCTTGCTTTCTGGCTCGATTAGACCTGTTGCATCATTGTTGCAAGACTGTTTGATCTAACTAGGAGATAATACCAACCTCTCAACAGTGATGCACATGCGCCATCATAGTCCTACAGCGTCGCGGCATCTCGGTGTTCCACCAGATTGCTACTGCCACAAGCGGTGCGCAGACGTCACATGCCACGAGTTGAAGCCGGGTCGCCGCTCCCTTGTCGAGAAGCCACCGTGTCCAAGCTCACCCATCGCTATTCCATTTGCTATCTTTGTCGCAGTCAAATTTCCGGCACTGATGTAATCCCACGACATCTGACCAGCAGAGTCCAGTTCCTTAGCTCTAAGGCGCTTCGCCGAACCTCTTAGCCTCAAGCTCCCTCCAAACATCTCCGACATTTCCCTTTAACTCCGCTCACAGCCACCGTCTAATCATCTTTGAGATGATTGAATGCGTTCAAGTGCTTACCCACATCTCGTCGCACCCGTTGCTCGTGCCGTCTACCGAATGCGTTCATCCGCTGGTATGGAAGCGAGTTGCGATGCCTGGCAGCCTCTGCACGCCAGTATACGCAATGGCAACAGACAACCACATTTCAAGTTGAGCAACTATCATCACCCAAAGACATGTTCAACTCATCTTGAATGAAAAGCGATGCATCGAAACCGTCATACGCCCACGTGACGCCTTGTTATACGAGAGCATGGGTGTGGTCGGGAACAGTCGGTTCGCGAGCGGCTTCTAACCGGACTAAGTCAGCAAGCCTCCAAGGGGCTGAGCTCCGGGCCTCACCAATGCAGATCGGCAGTACAGCGAAGATGTTCCAAGTAAGCGCGGGATGCGTATCCGTATGACGCTTGAGTATAGCATCCACTACCCTTGTCACTGCTACCTTGGATTCAGTCATGCAGAAGGGCCTACAGGAAAGGTCATATAAAAGCCGTCCTGAGGCCACATGGTGAGAACATCGCACACTGCCAGCTCGCCCGATCAGGAACAAATCTATCTGTTTATTTCTAATCTCCACTCATTCATACTATCTGTTATATATCCTCATGCCGTCTCCACCTAGAAGCTCAATATCGTTTCCGAGTTCGGCGGATCTGTTCTACTTCTGCACGACATCGTCGACCTCTGAAGAAGACCTCAACATCCACTACGCACCTCCGTCAAGCTCCTCGTTACGCATTGGTGTCATTGTTCTCGGTAACGATCAAGTCCAACTAGCCGATCTAGCCGCTCTCGACCTGCTCGCCATGGTCGGAAGGAACAGAATCTGCAGAACGAACGCCACAGCAGTAGCCATGGAAAACGCCGTGGACGAAGTCGACATTCGATATGTCAGTGTGACCGGAGAGGGGAGTTTTCCTGTCACGGCTGGCACGCGAATGCCGGTGACGGTGAGCTAAGCTTCGAATTGCTCCACATCGAAACACGAACAACACGACACCCATACATCCCCCCGTACAGCCAACTCCTTTGGCCAAGAAGAGCCAACTTTTTGGTCGTGCTGGATTCGCCTGGTCTTGGCTGCCTTTCACAAGTAGTCATCTCTGACAGTCTGGCAGGGAGGTAAAGGTTAACACACGCCCCTGTTCCTACCCATCATTCGCACTAACATCCTCTCGGGTACTGTGACTGACGTCTACCCAGAACTCATTTGCAAACGCGCCTCAATTCGACATTCTCTTCATCCCTGGATCCTTCTCGTCAAGCGAGTTGCCGGTGGAGGCGACCTCATTTCTCACCTCACAATGTCTGAATCCCAACCTCATTGCCATCATGAGCATTGCTTCAGGCATATGTCACCTCGTACAATCGGGTATCTTACGTGGAACACGAGCTGCAGCACCTAAGCCTTTGCTTCCCGTTCTCCAGCAGCAATATCCCGAAACGCTCTGGCAGCGCTCAGCCTGGGCTCGACACGAGAAAGTGTGGACAAGTAATTCGTCTGTCTCAGCGCTTGATATGGTTTCGACATGGATGCGCGAGTACTTTTGGGATAGAAGCCAGGCTGTTGAGTATGTTCTTACAGCCGCGGGCATGGGATCGCTCTACGATTATGATCATTGCGACTACTGATGATTTCATGACATGGTATGGGCATTACAAGGCGTTTTGTGTGGTACGATCTCAACTCTGTATAACAAAGTCCTTTGTTTGGCGTATATGAGGTACTTCCGGATTTTATACAGATATATGAGAAATTTTGACTTCAGATGGAACTCGTATGTTCATGGCCCAGCTCACATGTAAGCTTTCTGATAGCCATCTAGAGCCAGATTCGACTGGCCTTCCCCTTGCGCATAGCCCTCGCTACATTTGAAAAACTCAATTTTACTCCATCTTTCTCCTACACAAGATGCACATCCCTGTAGACCCCAAGTATCCCTACCCAATAGAATGCATAGCCATCGCCATCGCCCTAGCCTGGTCTTCATTCCGCCATATATTCTTCTTAGCTTTCATCTTCAGCCTAAGCTCAATAGTAGAGTCAGTACTGAAACTAGATCGAACATTGGCTTCGTACAAGTGGGGTCTCATATCGTCCTCGCTAATGCCGTTGGCTGGCGTAATGGCCACGTCGGTGATTTGATCGATGTTGAGATGTGTAGTCGACACAAGCAAGGCGTCTATGTTCGAGCCATCGATCGTGTCGTTGTCACTGTTTAAACTCATTGCCTCTGAGGTTAGGGAGAGATAATGCGATGATAGACTGCTTGCTTCTCCCATCGTAAATAGAACGTCACCCCCTCTCATATTGACGACAGGCTCGGCAATTACTTCAGTCTGTGCGTGTATTCCTTCTAGCCATTTCAGCGTCGCAGCATCTGCGTTATCGAATTCGTAGCATGTGTTCAGTCTATCGTGATATGGGGATCCGGGCGTAGGGCTTAGTGGGAGTACCTCTCCGTCGTCGTGGCGGACGAAGCATCTGCCTTCACTGTCTGGCAGATCAAACCGTGTTTGCGGCGTGCCTACTGCACCACTGGTCTAAATGCAAACGCGCGAGATTAGTATATGTCTCACATGCAGTTTATAGAGGTATGCTTACAGTGGCGAAAGTATGTTCCAGTTGTTGGCTCACGGGAAGGAGAACTGTTGACGCTTTAGGTGACAACGAACGTGCACGAGGTCCGCTTCTAGCGAACCCCGGATGTTGAAGCCGTGTCGCACCTCTTGACCGAGTAGGGCGACGGTTCGTGTCTGCAGTTGGTGTAGCGGAGGATCCACCTCCGCGCAGGCCTTTAGGTGCGATGTCTCCCGGAATTGCAATTTCTTTCAACCTTCTTCCCCACCTTCCACGCCATTGCTTGTGCTTCGATTCCTTGACTTTGTCTACTCTTCTGCCTCTCGGGTGCTCCCAGCCCCTGTTATCGCGCTGTGTCTGACCACCTCTGCTACTCGGTGGCTGAACGCCAGCAAAAGTCGTCTCCGAGCTGGGTACTTGAGTCGATATGAGCATCCCTTTTGCCGCTGTAGAGAACGATTTACCATTTCTGGGCCATCCAGTAGCATCTGCTCCCAATCCTGGTGGTTTCTTCTCTTAGTACTCCATCAGAGGATGCCGTTTCGAATACGTCTTGTATCTCGAGCCTGAAGGCGCAGCGAGAATCAAACGACTGATTTCCCCTGCCTTCGAAAGAACTGTCTGCAAAGGGCTCTGACCTTTGACAGGAGCTGATTCAGCAACTCCTGGTGTAGATACGATAGAAGGGTAGCCGATGGTAAGGTACTGCGCGTTCCGCTGTTGGGGTACAACCTGAGCTTTAGCTGTGATATGGCCATAGTGAGGGAGATATCGCGATGGCGTAGGTGATCCAGGAGGGCGACGCTCACCCGAGACTGCCATACGCTCTAGGTCGTGCCGTCTGTCGGTTGATTGGCGTCTCATGACCGCAGTGAAGCTATCGTCCAGCACTGTTGTGCTCAGATCAGGCTCTCGCCGTCGCAGTTGCTCTTGTAGTCTTACGTTCACATCACATATACAATCTGCCTCTTCGTATCTTTGTCTCTCTTCTTGTATACGTTGAATAGCAGGCTCATGCTTAACTCTTCTGTACGCATCAGTTTTTTCCAAACCTAGCACGTCCATCAAGTTATCATCCAAAGTATTGGCGGATAGCAATGATGATGCTCGACAACTGTCATCGTCAGAACTTTCGAACACTTCGGGTTCGGATGAATCGGCTCGCTGGCATCTGGGTGGGTTTGGCATTGGGAGTATAGGCGGCGGAGGAGGACGTTTTCTGGCCCACCTCTTGTTGTCCCTTGGGTTTACCACATGACTTCGCAATGTAGCATCAGTACCTTGATGTTCTTTTGACTCCACGTTGTTCCATAAAGCGAATTTTCTACTCGCAACTGGATACGAAGGGCTCATGGAGTGACACGTCTCATTCTCGCCTGTCGGCGCACTTTGAATATTCGGTGGTGCCAAGGTTTTGTCGATTCGAGGTGACCGCGGTCCATCTCTTATTGGTAGAGACATTTGAGGTCCAAAATACTGATTAAAGACTGCCTCGGTACAAGCCCTACGAATAGAGCTATCGTTCGTATCTTCAGAGTCCAGAGTATCCGAGCCTTGCCTTGTGCCTATCTCTCTGAAGAGTTGGCCATCTCGCCTTGCATCGACGGTACATGGTCTCTCTGGCGTCTCTTCTGTTATCTTGTCAATCTTGCCAGCACGAATGACCGGGAACTGCGATCGCATACTTTGCGGTGCTCGACTTTCCGGACGTTCAATATAGTGGATCGGAGAAACGACTCGAAGAATACCCTCCTTCTCGACAGATTCTTGCAAAGAAGTAGAACCAAAGGATTGACCAATCTCATTGGTGTCAGTTGTCTTCCAGAACGATTTGAAGTCGTTCCAGCCTCCACCACGAAGATGTACGATAGGTGACGAGATATCCGGTTCAGAGTGTTCCTGACTGTCTGATACGACCCGTTTAATAGGCGATGTTGGTGGGGAATGTGTCGTTAAATAGTCCCGCTTGTTCGAAGCTCTGTAATTGCCATAAGCATCTCTCCCATTGCTCAACGGAGACATTGGACATATAGGCCGAGAGAAAGGGCTGCCTGGTGGTGTGTATTCTCTATTTCCAGTCGACGGAGACATTGGTGGAAAGAGCGAGAGATTGACATGTCTCGAAAGGAAGGGGCGATCAGAATTGCTGGTGGCCTGCCTAGGGGAGCCTGGCTCATCAGAACGAGGGCTGAGAAGCCCTTGTGCGAGCCAACCCAGCGCATTTGTATCCATCTTCTCGGCACTGTAGTCGGAGGGTGGTAATGTGTTGTTGGAGCAGATCGCGTGGTTCGTGCGGGTCGCAGAAGTTGTGCCGTCGTGACTTCCTCGTAGAGAAGGCACGCATTCCCGCACCCCGATTTGCCCGAAAAGACCCTCACTTGGATCTCCCGTAGCGTTTCGACTATGATTAGTTGAAGCTGTCGAGGATATCTTTAATGGATCTGATCGTAATATCTTTGGGTAACCATCGAAGTAGCTCACTTTGGACTCAACTTCACTGGAGCACATGTCTTCCAGAGTATTACCTGTTTGCCTTCTCTCGGTCGTCGTATCGGTCTCTTTCCCACTATCCCAGCATGAAGATTCTTTCTTGCTATTCATGTTCTTGCCGTCCAGAACTGCACTGACTAAACTCTGTGTTCCCGTCAACTCATGATCAAACTCTTCGAGGAGATTCAGAGAAAAAGGAAACGACGGGGCGCCCTTAGAGTTTGTGGGTATAGAACGAATAGCGTGCAACCTTTTCTGATATGCTGATCCGTTTCGTAGGTGGCTGCGGATGGGAATAGGCGGGGGCATTATATGTGGCTCTGCGGGAGCTGTATAGTGGGCCATGACGGTGGAATGTCGACAAAAACGCCAGGATCGTCAATGCGAGTCACATAAAAAGGATATAGCCTGGCAAAGGGTGTGAAGTTTAGGACGTGAAGCATGGACAATTCAGAGAGGGATGACCTGCATGACTGTGGGAAGCACGGTTTGTGGCGTGGGCGTTTGTCAATTCAGCATATGTGAATCCGGCCTCGCTGATCAGCGTGTAGACACGTCGACTCACCGTCATTGATGGTGATCAAGACTCGAATGTATGCGGTGCTGCGTTTGCGATGTTGACCGCCATGTTGACATGCTTTGCGCAAGGGTCTGATAAAAGTATACATGTTAGGGGCGTTCTCATAGGTAGTGGTATATTTACACAGTCATATAATTGGTTACCTCGATCAAGTGTTAAATGAGCTTGTACTTGCGAGAACCTATAGAAAATCAACCGTATTGTCCTACAAACGCCAAAGCTTTAATGCTGACAATGCCCGAAGATGCTGTCGTGTATGTACAGACGTATAAACAAGCAGAACAGGAGTGTTCACTAGGATATCTCCACTCCTAACCCACGACTAAACGCCACGTAATATGCCCATCGGTTCATGTGAAGTGGAAGGCGAGACCCAGCTGTCCGCCATCACTCGACTTCATGTTCTAGTTTCTTACCCTCGTTCTTGAGTTTCTGGTGTACGGCCTTGAGCGACTCGAATGTTAACATGGTCGTGACCGCCGCAGGTACAGCGCGGACCATGTTAGTGCCCATTCCGTTGTAAAAGGCTCTCCATCCCTCTTCTTGGAGGATGACGGTGCATGTTCGCAAGATACCGCGATACCTCGGTAAGTTTATCATACCATCCGACGAAGCTGTGCCTGGTGGGCGAGTGTGAAATCGGTCGTGTTGGCCTCCCCGGAACGATACATGGTTGTCCGAGTGCGAGGGTAGCGACCGTTGCTGTGTCTGCAGCCGAGTGCGTAAGACCTCGTGTGGGTACGTCGCAGAAGTCGCAGTCATTTTGCTCAAGACTGTTGCCAATGCAATAGCAAACCAGTGCACGTCTTCTGTCTTGGCGTCTGTCTGGCCCATCTCCAGACCGGTAAACTTCATCTTGAGAAACTCATATAGCGGGAATTGAATAGCGACGTGGGTGAGGCCAAGCAGTGCAGGTGTAAGGCCTGAGTAGAAGGACATGATGCCTTCCTTGAGGTACATCTTGCGAAAGGCATCAAAGGTGCTTGTGTAGTGCCACGGCGGCCGGTGTTCGGGCGAGGCGCGGGCGCTGACTTGGGACATGAGCCTTGTCTTGACGACCCATATGGGATTTGTGACTAGCGTCGAGCAACCACCAGCGAACAAAGAGGCGATGGTCCTGGCCAGCCATTTATTTTCTGTAGATTGAATCTTGTCAGCAACTGGAACTCGGACGCCGAGTGCACTACTAACCCATCTGAGGATAGAGGACATTTTTGGTGGATTCATAAGTGCTCATGTAGACAGCCCAGGTTGGAATGTATCCGAGCAGCATGGGGCCGAGTCCTCGGTACAGGCCGCGCATGCCATCCTCGATCCATATGACCCGTGCGGTGCCGGTCAGGCCTTTGTACACTGCGCGCGTTGGGCCAGTATACGTCCTGGGGCGAAAAGAGCCCTGCGCTTGCAGGCGGGTCTTGATGACATCGAGCGGGCACGTTACAATGCCCGAGGCAACTCCAGCAGAAGCTCCGCACAGTGCATTGACGGAGCTATCGGGGAGTTTGGAGATCCTGACGGCGAGAGCGGCAACGGGCGAGCTCCACGTACTGTGCGTGTTTGAGGATGACATATCTCGCGGTTCAACTGTCGCGGCGGATGGCGCATACCGATCGGGAACTTTAGTCGGGGACGGCGGCTCGGAATCAGTGGTGGACATTAGGGGTACTGCAGTCGTCGACTTGTTAGGGCCATTCGCGCCGAGTGCGGAGACAGAGGGTGCATGCATACAGGCCGTCGTCCCCTTTGCGGTGCCTCAGTGTTGCGGAAACCCCGCAGCACTTGAGTAACACGATGACTAGCGATTGTTCGGCTCCATTGACAGGCGGACGGAGCGTGAGGAAGTCGCGGAGGGGATGGTCGTCGGCCAGCCTTTGCCCGGTGCGTGTGTGTGTGTGTGTGCGCGAGGAAGGCTGAGGGGTTGCGTTGCGGTGCAGAGCTGGGTTCGTGGATCAGACGTCAGAGCTAGCGTGGAGCACGAGTGAAGTTGCTTTGGTGGGTGGAGACCAGGCGCTGATTAAGGCGAAGGCCTTCTGCGGGCCAAGCGCTGCCCGCCGGCCTATTGGCTTTCGCTTCTTTCGCATTACGACCTCACCACCTCCGACCGTCAAAACTGCAATTGACGACAGCACCCGCCTGCGACTACTCGAATCCGCCGTCGAACAACCGCAACCATGTCTGCCCCGTCTCTCGCCCCCTACATCATGAAGCGGCCGTGGCTGCAGAAGTGGATGAAGCCGCTGGCCAACTGGTACTGCAACGCCGCCGGCTACAGGCAGCTCGGTCTGAGGTACGGAGCCCCCGATACGCATACGGCGTACAGAGCAGGATATACGGATGCTATGGAGAGAACAGCGGGCTGCGAACCGATGGGCTGACGGGATCCATGATGCAGGGCCGATGACTTGCTCCCCGAGGAGAACGATGTCGTGCAGACTGCCCTGAAGCGTCTCCGACCACAGGAAGCCTACGACCGTGTCTTCCGTCTGCGCCGAGCTTTCCAGGTACGGCCGAACCAGATATTCAGGACACGGCAAGCGTCGCTAATCTACGGCAGCTCTCCATGTCCCACCAGCTCCTGCCCAAGGAGGAGTGGACCAAGGCTGAGGATGTACGAGTACCGCCACTACCATCAACACCAGACGCTGACAATGCACAAGGACACACCATACCTTTCCGAGCTCATTACCGACATCGAGGCTGAGATGCACGAGCGCGAGGACCTCGAGGCTATGGTTATCCAGAAGAGGCAGAAGAACGCCGCCGCCAGCAGTGGACACTAGATTGTACATATCGAGTCTGGCATGATCAATTTGAAGCTTGGTGGATCGAGTCTGAGGGCTGCGCGATAGAGTGTACCATACCAACTTTTTTTGTACAGGACTCATCTCCATCAGAGTATGCTTGTTCGTTTTCTCTCTATGCGCTTTCATGCGCTTCTACAAGCCTTGGCACACTCGCAAGTTGGTTTGTCTTATTATGTGCTAACAATGACTTCTTTTGGACGGTAACGGCATGACTCCAGTGTATGCGCCTGGCAAGCGTTGACAAAGCGCAACAAGCTCGGCATATGTGGTGCTTCTTCATCTATCCATTGTAGCAAGAGAAATGAAAGGCCAAGTCTGTACACGTTACAGCCACATGTGTTCATGCGTCCTTTTCTTATGTCATGCAATTTCTCGATACCCAATTATCAGGGACAGGAGGTACCAAGTGCGCGGCCAAAAAGAACAGAGATGGAATGGGTGTAACATGCAGTGCACATCATACGAAACGGATTTACTACAGGCCGTTATGAGAAGCGGACCGTGTGTCGATCGCTTCAAACGAGAATGCCGAGTGTCAGGGTTCCGGATATGTCAGCGCCACGCTATCATGTGCTCAGGCGTCAGCTCAAGCGCATCGCGTCAGTCTCTCAATCCACGCAACTAACAACACTCTACATGATTCACCAAATTGTATCAACAGCAAGAGTATTAAAGCAGACGGTACGTTGTCGCAACCTTGTTCCCATCATATATCCTAACCAAATGACGTCAGACCTCCCTATTCACGAGAACGACTAACATTCTGTACAAACCTCAAAACATGTCTCTGAGACGCTCAGCTCGCGTTGCAAGTAATATCACGCCAGTACCATTGGATGTCAAAGCCCAGGACAGTGTTGCGAAATACGAGAAAGTCAGCAAAGCGAGTGTACCTGCGAAGAAGCGCAAAACCACAAAGGCGCCTGCCAAAACATTACCCGATGCAACCAAGAGCGAAAGTACTACCAACGGAGCAGAAAGCTCGGATTCAGTGAATCCAGCTTCATTCCTCCCAGCAACGCCCCTACCCAAGAAGCGCAAAGCGGTATCGAAGTCAACGTCAGAACCAGAATCGCCACTAAAACCACCATCATTCACACCAACACCTGCTAGTGCCAGCATCTACTCCTCTACGTCTTCGTTCTCTCCCCCTAATCCCACCACTCGACCAGCAGCTCCTCACATCACAAACGCCAATTTGGCCACTCCAAATGGCTCGCACGTGGTGCAAGCCTACGCTTCGTCTCCTGCAAAACCCGCTGACCCTTCGCCTGCCAAGAAGCGAAAAGCAAAAGAGATTGTCCCGCCGGATGTTGGTGCCATTCCCCCCGCGAGCACGGACATCGATAATCTGTTGAAAGACGCAGAGGAGTTTCTTATCAAGACAGATTCTAAATTAGAAAGAGTTGTAAGAGGACACAAGTGTGAGATTTTTAGTCCAGATGGATTGAGAGAAGTAGTGAGGCCGTTCGAGTCGCTGGGAAAGGGGATTATTGGACAGCAAGTAAGTATGGCTTGGTAATACTGTTTGTCATCAGGAAAATTGAGGAGAAATATGCAGAATGAATCGCTGCAGACCATTATAGAGGAGAAGAGTTTGGACGTATGTGTATGACTAACAATCTACCTATAGGTATCAGGCCAAGCAGCCGCATCAATTCGTGCAAAGTTTACTGCTCTCTTCCCTGAGACACACCCTTCTTTCCCTTCTCCCGCCCAGGTTCTCACCAAAGATATCCCTACATTGCGTACAGCAGGTCTCTCCCAACGCAAAGCAGAATATATCTATGGAATCGCCGAGAAATTCTCTTCCGGTGAGCTCTCCGCTGAGATGCTGGTTAGTGCTAGCGATGAAGAGCTCATCGAGAAGCTAGTAGCGGTGAGAGGATTGGGACGATGGAGTGTAGAGATGTTTGCTTGTTTTGGGTTGAAGAGGATGGATGTTTTCTCGACTGGAGATCTTGGTGTACAGTGAGTTATTTCCCTGTTTTGGAGAATTCGTTGAACAAGATGATTGACGTGTTTGCAGACGAGGCATGGCCGTATACGCAGGCCGTGATGTAAACAAGCTCAAGAACAAGGGTGGGAAGTGGAAGTATGTACTCTTCATGGAGTTTCATGTATCGGGCAGTCCACTAAACGCAAAACAGATATATGACCGAGCAAGAGATGCTCGACATGGCTTCCAAGTTCAAGCCATACAGGTGCGTTTATCTCTACCGCAAACTCTTCTTTACACACACGTTAACCCATCTCCTTGCTGCTAGGTCGCTCTTCATGTGGTACATGTGGCGGATTGCCGATGTGGATCTTACTGTTCTGCAGAAGACTTGATCAACAGGAAGTGACCATTGTGTTGGGTCACATTGGTCCTTGCGGTAGGACAAGCATGTACATCATGTGGTCTATGTGTGGTGGTGGGGTGATGTACTGCTGGGTAGAGGTGGGGCGTGGGTCGCGGGCGGTACAGGCCGTTTCCCCGCTGGGCATAGAACACTTGGTTTATGGATCAAACATCTCGTAGAGTGCCCGTCCACACTTGTGGTTTGTTCGATGCACAAGGGTTTGTTGCTCAAATAAAATACCCAGACAGGAGGTTGTTATTGCTCGTAGGCGCATGGAAATTGTCATCCGACATCTTTCTGGTTGAATATCGATAACATGTCATACCATTCTGGTATGCTTGGCCTCGAACATCCACAGCAAGTTGGCTTCAAAGCAGACAATGCCAAATGCATGCTGCCATTGTGTTCCTCTGTTTGGTTGTTTCCATTCGTAATGGCAATTCATGCTTGCACCCAGCCGAGCGGGACGGCGTTTGCATGACAGCAGCCATCGCTGGCAGCCTGCAACGATCTTAGTGCACCATAATAGTGGTAAGACGACCATATGCGCTGAATAGTTCGTCTTCGGTCTGGATTGTGTTACTCTCTTGCCATTGAGAAGCGCTTTGCCTGACGCTGTGTACAAAGTACTTGTATGTTGGTTTGCATACGACAAGAGAAGAGAACACTCAACGACAGAGGAGTATACAGGTCAGGGGGCGAACGGTGGTTAGATGTAAGTTGTGACTGCACGAAATATACGTGGGACATGTGTTGACTTCTTATCCCTACCTCTGCAGTGATACAGAGCACAGGATTGCAAAGCCAAAGTACCCTTCTCGGCAACATCGGATCAGTTTTGATATGTACGAGATGCATACAGCACCCATGTGCACTTCATGGTCTATAGCTTGGCTCATCGCGCTATGGGTGAAGTTCATAGTGAAGCGACTTCGTTAGGTAGTAGGTCAGTTGTTGACCACTAGAGTGTGCGGCTGAACTTACTCAGTTTTCTAAATTCTCCCGGTTGCGGATCTACGACGCTGGAATTCCCGATATTCTTCCAGCCGTCATCTGTGGAGGCACATGAAACGGACCCACCAATCGGCCGGATAGTTTTGTACCAGTGACGCCGCGCAATGAGATGAACAACAGAACGACACGGATCAGGGAAGGTTGCAGCGAATATCCTCTCATTTTGGAAGAAGTAACCTGACAAGCGATGTCGACCACACTGACGTTGAAATGATAATAAGTTGGATTGGTCTACAGAGTTGCTCGATTTGAGCGTCGCGCCTGGGTAGCTGCAAGCATTAGAAGAATGGCAATGTCGATAAGCAATGGGTAATTCTGGAAAAACCCGGGCACTGAAACAGTAGCAAATGCCGACGTCATATTAGCTGATGGCAGCGACACATGAAGCTGGGTGCGTGCCGCGTGGGTGGAGAACAGAAGCCTGAGGCTGGAAATGAGAGACTAATCAATGCGCGTCAAGCAAATAGCTTGGCCGGATGGATCAATGGTGAGGCTGTTCCTCGGGGGGACGGTCGATAAGCGAGCCGGTTCATCGCAGGAGGATGCGGAGAGCTGGAATAGCGAAATGAGTCAACAATGCAGGTCTGCTGGGCGATATGGACATAAAGGGGAGACGGGTAGACGAGGCTCAAAGCAGTCAGCAAGCTCGACTAGGCAAGCTCGAGAGGTAAATATAACAGTTGCTTTTATTGTTCGGCGTTGGGGTTGGGGCTCGAGAGATTGCAACGGCTGCGCTTTGCCTAAAGCGGATCGGATGTAACCGCATTGAAACCATTGGGTAGGAGCTCGTGCCAGGGTGGGCAGGGGTGGGGGACATGGTCAGAGGCCGCGCAATTCACGGTTGCTTGTTGTGTTTCGAGTCGGCCAGACGGTGGCAAAAGAAGAGCTTTGGATGCGCGGACATGGAGCGAAGGTGCCGCATTGCCGTTTGGTGAGCGGTTACCAGCAAACACTAAAAGGTCCGTCGACAATGGACAGAGACGTTGACGAGCAACGGATTGCTGCGGGCAGTCTAGCGGATGGTCGTCTCCTAGGGTGACGGAGCGGCGATCCAAACGCCATAGGCTGTTTGCATGTGGTGCATGTGCTGTGCATGGAGCTTATCAGGGCAGGCAGCGCGTTCAGAGCTTGAAATTGGGAGCAGCGCGCTCGGCATGTGAAGCTAAGATTTACAAGCAGCGGGAGAGAAGGGATCATGGATGGGGGAGCATGGCGAAGAAATGGTAGCCCTCGCCTGTCAAACCACACTGTGGCACTCCGCACGCGCGGGACAGGCCCTGGGTGGTGCAGTCATGGCGACACATTATGCGGGTAGCCACGAGCGTGAGCGCGACCGCGAGCACGAACAAGTGCGCTCGTCGACGACTTGCCCAGCTGTCCGTTGGCGGCAGGACAATCAGCAGCCAGGGCAGGGCAGCAGCTTTCACTGAGCGAGCTTGCTTGCTTGCTTGCTTGATCGATGATGGTGGGCACGCTCTGGCCGCCTATGATCTCCACCCGGCCCTACTAGCGTAATTAGCGCCTGCCTGGCCTGGCACCACCGCGCTCCCCTTTTCTCGCGCCGCACCCCATTTGAATGCCTTTCTGCCCTTCCTCCCTCAGTCTTCACCCACATTCGCTCGCTACAGACGAACGCGCCTTCTCCATTGCGCCTCTGGGACTACTCCGTTTAATACTGCCTGCTTTACTTGTTAATTCTTCCTCTCGCTCCAGCATCTTTCCACCACGACCAAACAGCCCGCCGAACCCACGCAACTGAAACCGAGCGAGTAGTCTTAATATCCCAGGTCCGTGTTGCCCAGTCCACATTTCTCAATCGCCTCTCTCGACGCGTCCGCTGACTTTTCCTCCCAGTTACCAACCCACGCCAACTACACAAAATGCCTTCCATGATGAAGATCGCCCTCCCTGCCCTGGCTGCTGCCAGCGGTGCCTACGGTACGCTCTACGAGACTCCATTGACTGCCTCGTTGCTTGCTAACAAGTCCGCCAGCTGCTTGCAGTACGTCTGCCACCATGACCATCCAGAACGCCGGTGACGCCAGCGCCATCGCCTCGTGCTCCACCTTCTCTGGTAACATCGCCATCGCGACTGGCACCACCGACGACATCTCCCTCAACGGCGTCAAGAAGATCGACGGCAACCTCGTTGCCACCGACAACTCCGACATGAAGCAGATCAGCGCCAGCGACCTCGAGGAGCTCGACGGAGAGATGCAGCTCGATGGCCTCACCCGTCTCTACGCTGTCAACTTCCCCAAGCTCAAGAGCGTCGACTCCATCAAGTGGAACGCTCTGCCCAACCTCCAGGAGATCGGCTTCACCGCCGAGGTCACCAAGGCCAACAAGGTCGACATCCAGAACACCGCTCTTCGCTCGCTCAAGGGCATCAACATCGAGGAGGTCGACACTGTTTTCATCGCCAACAACGGTTACATTGATGAGATCTCTATGCAGCTTGGCAACGTCTCGACCTCGCTGACTCTTGCCGACAACAACGAGGCCGTCAAGGTCGACCTACCCAACCTCATCTGGGCTAGCAACCTGACCTTCCGATTCTGTGCTTCAGTTTCAGTCCCCTCCCTCGAGCGCTTGAACGGCTCTCTCGGTCTCTACAACAACGGTTTCGAGTCATTCGCTGCTCCTAACCTTACTTCCGTCGGCGAGGCTGTTGCCCTTGTCGCCAACGAGAACCTGTCCAACGTCTCTTTCCCCATGCTCGGCAAGATCTCTGGCAACCTCCAGATCGCCAACAACTCCAAGCTCATCGAGGTGGATGGCTTCCCCGCTCTTAAGAGCATCGGCGGAGCTTTCGACATGAGCGGTAACTTCACTGAGTAAGTCTTGTTTGAATCGACTGTGTCGTGCAATTTACTGACCCTTTGTAGCGTCTCTACCCCCAAGCTCAACAGCGTTTCGGGTGCCTTCAACCTCCAGTCCACCGACAACGTCACTGAGACTTGCGCTACCTACAAGCCCCTGAAGGAGAAGAAGCTCATTGAGGGTGGCTACAAGTGCGAGGGCAAGCTCATCGACCCCGCTGGTGAGGGCCACAAGGGCACCAAGCAGGGTGGCTCCGACGACTCCACTGGCGCCGCCTCGACTCTCAGCGCCGCCACTGGTGCTCTCAGCCTTGCTGCCATGGCCGCTGTTCTCCTTTTCTAAAAAGCTCATGACGCTGGCGTTCCTTAATTGCATAGACTACCCCTACCATCTGACTTTCTTTGATAGCGTATAGCATCAAGCGAACAAGCGCTGACGTTGGAGTTCAGCATCTGAGGACTGAAGGGCTTCTGGGGACGGTTTCATGGTTCAGCATGTAACAATTGTATGTATCACTTGGCTACGAGGGTCGAGCAGACTGTTAATCCGCAGTACACTTAAGTCTGCTCCGCGACATGGAGTGCAGAATTGCAGAAGGAGTTGCTTTATTTGGGATAGTGGCATGCAGTCTTTCTCTTGAACCTTGCTCGTATTCTTTGTGATGTGTGTCCAAGTTTTGGTGCTTCGATGTTTGCCAGTTATTGTAAACTTTTGTCTACTAAAAAAAAGACTTCCTTCAACCCTCACAACAGATCAGTAGCACTGAAACATGGCCATGTCTCATATGTGACCGAGATGTTATCTTGAACGTTGTAGTCCCTTCGCCGTGATCGCCGTCTAAATATGAGTGTTTGATAGGAACACTCTAGACTCCCGGACACTCCATACAGACCTCACATCAGTTTCACCTTTGTCGAGGTCTCGACGAACCCGCAATGGCTGGCGGCTCTGCTCTGGCGGTCAAAGTCACGCATGCGAGAAGGACAGTCCCATAAAGGCTCAAATCAAGGCTTGTCATGGCGAGTAGCTGCTTTCCAGGCGTCCCGAGGCGTATCACATGCGTGGTAAGACGGAAAGCGGGCTCTAACGTGCGGGCCGCAGTGGCTAAGTTCGTATAACAGATGACGTGGGTAAACAAATGGGCCTCTTTTGTAAATATCACAGACTGCCCAAGGCCAATCACGCTGCAATGATCCCATGTACCGGCGGCCTGTATAATGCAGCCTCGCTCTTGACAACCGCGGCGCAATAGATGTTGATGTTACCGATCCATGTTTTCACGTGCGCATTTTAGGATGCAGGTGGTGTCGCGCATTGGACGCAAGACAACTTGCCAGAGTACACCAAGCAGTAATAGTGGCCAGAGAAGCATTGTTGCCGGCTCACCAAGTCTTTCGGCGAATTATGAAAGAATCACAGACTACTTTATTTCCGAAGCGTCGTCATCAGCGGCACTATCGCGATTGATCTGCACTTAGCGTCATTTGCATGCTCGTCGCGCTCAACGGTAATCTGTACTGAACGAGTTGCTCCTGTAACGCAATTGCGCCTCTCCTTCACCCCATCGCTGCTTTCCTGCTCTGTACCACCGTGCAGCCAGTCAGGACCCTGCTTTCACTAGTCATTACTGTCTGTCGCTTCCGCTCTTGCTAGCCCGCCTTCGCTGCGACGTCACCCGCAACATTTAGTTCCCACCCTAAACGTCGCGCGCCCCGGCGCTCCCAACCGCCAAACTGGAGAGGCCACAGTCGCAATCGCCGCCGCTTCATTCACAGAGGGAAACCAGTAATACGGACAGCGTCCGAGCGCGTAGCTCATCGATACGCATATCTCAGGCTAGAGGGGAAGAGGTGGAGAAAGAACACGCGGGACCATTCCGACTCAACATGCTTGCAGGAAAAGGATACTCGTGGAAGGCCGCTAAAGCACGGCTGCCACCATCACGGCAGGTCATACACACAGTGCGGAACCCAAGGTTTCTGGTGTCAGTCGGTCTGGTTGCCGCGATTTTGCTGCTATGGCGGTCAATGGGGTCCGCAGCACAAGAGGTGCAGAGGTATGTCACACGATTCGTATTTACAGAGCTCCAGCAGAGGCCTCGTCATGATTCGCATCGTGCTGATGCTAATCTTCTCATACCAGATTCTACTGCTTCGGCCCCTCAAAACCTCCAATGCACATGACAGCGAACGAGAACGAAGACTGGCATGCGCATCTAAACACACCTGTGATATTCAACCACCACAAGCCAGTAGAGGTCAATTCCACCGATATTGAGCATGTAGACCTAAACAAGATCACATCGACCGTTGATGCAGCGAAGAACAAGGAGCGCGTCCTGATCCTTACTCCGCTTCGCGATGCCTCATACTACCTTGCGAAACACTTCGACCTCCTCACCTCGCTCACTTATCCCCACGAGCTGATCGATTTGGCTTTTTTGGTCGGCGATTCGACCGACGATACTATGGCTGCGTTGGCAAAGGAGCTGGAGAGAGTGCAAAACAACCCTGAAGTTGCTTTCAGGTCGACGATGATCATTGAGAAGGACTTTGGTGTCACACTCTCGCAAAGTGTCGAGGACAGACATAGCTTCGAAGCACAAGGCCCGCGGAGAAAGGCACTAGGTAAAGCCAGGAACTACCTGCTATACACTGCGTTGAAACCAGAGCACAGCTGGGTTTACTGGAGGGATGTGGACATTGTCGATAGTCCGTCCAAGATCATCGAGGACTTCGTGGCACATGATCGGGATGTCCTTGTCCCTAGTATGTGTTGCAATACCATCTTGGGGCGCTAGCGCTAACAATACACAGATATCTGGTTCCACCGCTACAAGGAGGAGAACGGCAAGATGGTCGATATCGAAGGGCGCTGTAGGTTTTCCATAACTTAGCACTACGGTCTTCACTAACGGGATTCAGTCGATTACAATTCCTGGCAGGAATCTCCCGAAGGTCTCAAACTCGCTTCCACCCTCAACAAAGATGTAGTCCTTGCAGAAGGTATCACTCTCTTCATCTCCCTCCCCACTATTTCCATTCGTTAATTCATCTTTATAGGCTATAAACAATACCCCACGAACCGCAAGTACATGGCCAAGATGGGCGATTGGCGCGCCGACAAGGATGAAGAAATACCCCTAGACGGCATCGGTGGCGTTAACATCATTGTAAAAGCAGACGTGCACCGTTCTGGCATAAACTTCCCAAGCTACGCATTTGAAAACCAGGCCGAGACAGAAGGGTTTGCGAAGATGGCTAAGAGAGCAGGCTATGGCGTTTATGGGTTACCGAATTATGTCGTATGGCATATCGATACCGATGAAAAACCTGGCAATGCTTAGTTGGGAGAGGAGAGTGAGGTAGGACAAGTGAAGGAGAGTATATACCTTGGAGTCGGGCGCACCTCGCATTAGAAACATGGTTTAGTTGCAGGCGAATCTTGGAGTCTCTTTTAGATGGGTGGATATGTAATACTTTGTACGAGTATGAGTATAGAGACCGCGGCGCAGCTGCCCTTAGACGATACGATAACGATCTCCTGTTTGCAACCATACAAGGTTCCATCCCCTGACATTGTCGTATAAACAAGCCAGCGTGTAGGTCGCGTTAAAGACAAGATACATTGATGTGATGGAATCATGGTGGACGCACAGTATTACGTGGGCTCCGTATCTTATGGTGGTTGATTCCAGGTGCATAGTATAGGCTTCTAGTATATCACCCTCCTTGAACCATACCGTTGTACACGTCTTCCCCCTCAAGCATATCTGAATCGTGACAGACGTGCCACTTCCTTCAACTTCTCGTCCCTTGCCATATTCTATGTCTCCAAGCACACCAACCATAAAGTCGAACACCCCGATAGTTCTTCAAACGCTAATAACCAAAGCACGCGCACTCAACCGCACGACAACAGTAGGAGTGGATCCTAGTGATCGTAAATGCCAGAGTGAAACTTGCGCTCGTCGTAGAACTTGGCAGTGATCTTCCTGCCTCTGAATTCCCATCCTTCATCGAAGCGGTTGACGGCGTTGAGGGCACTGAGAACTGACTGGAAGTGGATATAAACTACGCCGTCCTGGTTGTTCTCGTCTAATTGAACATGCTCAACTGGACCAAACTGGTTCTGTTAGCATGTGTACCTTCGTAACTTTGGAATGGAATTTACCTTGTTGCTGAACGCTTCACCCATGTCTTGTCGGATACCACCGTCGTTGCGTTCGGCATTGGCATCCCAGTCGACACCGTCCACACAGCCCCAAGTGACCACAACAGCGGACTCCGCACCAAACTTGCCAGGCTCGTCTTTCTGAGTGCGCATACCACCACTGACATCCCAGACCTGTTGTGACTTGACCTTGCCGTTTTCGTCGTCGAGAGTGCTTGCACCCTGTGGAACCTTGCGTTTTTTCACTTCTAGATGGGTAATAACACCATCGTTGTTCTTTCCGAGACCTTGGCCCTTCTTATAACCCATTTTGGCCATCATTGCTTCCGCCTTGCTAATCTTAGCGCGCTTGGCAGGGCGTTCTTCGCGGGATGGCTCGTTGTCTGCATCTTCCATTTGAACGTCGGAGCGCTCGAACCGGACTGGTGGTGCAGATATAGTCGCATTTGCATAGCGTACCGGTGGTGCAGAGATAGTCGCACCTTGATAGCTCGGCGGAGGTGGGGGCGGAGGGTTATCGTCGGTGACTGATGGAGGCGGAGGCGGTACGACATCAGGCTGTTGCTGGGATAGGCGCATGCGACGGGCATAAGCGTCTTCTCCCAACAGGTCAGACGAGGGAATTGCAGAGCTATCTTCGTAAGATGCAGGCGGGGCGAAAGACGGTTTGGTAAACGTAGCAGGTATTGGGCTCGAAGAAGACGCTGAATGGGAACCGTTGGTCTCCTCACTGTCGTCACGAGACTTGTACTGGGCGGCAGCTCCCCGTAAGAAAGCTGTGAAGCCTTCCTTCTTGCGCCGGTAGCCGCCACTGGCCTTGTATGCTCGAAGGTTGGAGTACCGCTCGGGTTTGTGGGGAGCTTGAGGGTTCCACTGTCCGAATATCTTGTTGAACTTCTTCTGCTCTTTCTTCCTTTGCTTCTCCTCATAATTGCGGATCCTCTTTTCTTCCATAATCGACAAGTCGTCCTCTACGGTGCTGCGATAATAGTCGATGCCATGCTGCTGGTTGTTGGCCGGACCAGAACCCGAAGAAGAGAGGGGTGCAGCTACAGGCATGGTGGCCTTCTTGATGGTTGGGCCAGCTTTCTTGGCCTGGGGACGCTTGATATTGTGTGGGTTATGGAAAGCTACACAATCACATGAGTGATGCTTCAGGACAATGGTACGGAGCAGTTCAGATAGATACCAGGTGCTTTCTTCTGTTGCTCGGCCTTGGCCTGTTCCTCTGTATATTTGACAGGCGCAGCGGAGATGGTAGCCGAAGCATACGGATTTGGAAGGCCTTTCTGGGCGTAGGGGTTTGGAAGACCATAGGGGTTGGGCAGGCCTTGCGCCTTCTGCGGCTGCTGAGACGCCATGCTAATATCGATGTGCGCGCAGGCGCGACTTGGGGTAATGCGAATGTGGCTGCCCACGTCACTAGGTGGATGGCGGCGGGGGAAGCTAGAGTGCAGAAAAATGGCTAGATTAGTAACTGTTTTGTGGATGCACAGTACATGGAGCAGAGGCGGCGGTTGAGGTTTGTGGTTGTGGTCGTAAGGCTGTTGTGAGGGTGGTGGAGTGGCAGGCGCAATGTCAAAGGCCCGCCAAGCACCCCAGCCCGCGTGTCGGCGTCGGTTCCCCACGCTAAGGCGTTAGCCGCATTACGTGTGCATACATGCAGGAACGCCCATTGCTATCCTGTCATACCAAATCCTTATCCTTGATAAGTCATTTCCATATCTCTTGATACATCTGAGCAGGCTCCGGTGTCCGCATTAGACCTTAGATTTTCCTTGCGCGTCATAGAAGCATCAAGGTACCATGGCCCTGAACCCCAGCGTTATAAGTGTCCATCTAATTGCAACCGCCAGATCCCCTATCTAGTAATCATCATGTCTCCAACCACTTTAGAACACGCCTTCTCCAAGGACTCGACATCGACCGCTGTCATCGTCCCCGGCAGCCCTGCCTTGACTGTCACGTACAAGAAGCTTGCCACCGACGTGAAGGCTTTCCAACAACAATTGGCAAAGGTCGGCGTTTCTGCCGAGGCAGCTGTGTCCATCGCACTGCCCAACACGTATGAGTTCATCGTGTCCTTCATCGCTGCATCATGGCAGAGAGCTATCGCAGCGCCACTGAACCCGGCATACAAGCAATCCGAGTTCGAGTTCTACATCGACGACCTGAGCTCAGCAATTGCTCTGGTACCAAAGGGTGCATTTGCGCAAGATGCGGCAGCTGTCCGCGCAGCAAGGAAATACAATGCCGCCATCGCCGAATGCTACTACAATGGCAGTGAGGTCGTCCTGGATGTGAAGGAGGCTGGAAAGCTTGCGGGTAAAACCGCGCCCGTCCAGTCTGCGCAGCCCGACGATGTCGCTCTCGTGCTGCACACGAGCGGTACTACTGGACGACCCAAGGCTGTACCCCTGACGCATCGCAATTTGTTGCGCACCATGAAGAACATCCAGGGAACCTATGAGTTAACACCCAACGATCGTACCATGCTGGTTATGCCTCTCTTTCACGTGCACGGTTTGCTCGCTGGGTTCCTGGCTCCCTTGGCGTCGGGAGGCTCAGTCATTGTGCCGCCCAAGTTCTCCGCCTCCGAGTTCTGGAAAGACTTCAATGAGCACAAGGCAAACTGGTATACCGCCGTCCCTACCATTCACCAGATTCTGCTGAAGAGTCCCCTTCCGAGCCCAATGCCCAAAATCCGCTTTATCCGATCTTGTTCCAGTCCCCTTTCGCCCAAAACGTTCCACGAACTTGAGAAGGCGTTCGGGGCCCCAGTGTTGGAGGCATACGCCATGACAGAGGCTGCGCATCAGATGACTAGTAATCCTCTTCCTCCCAACCAACGTAAGCCCGGCAGTGTGGGACTTGGCCAGGGTGTCGAAGTCAAGATCCTTGACGATGCTGGCAAGGAGGTACCACAAGGAAGAGAGGCAGAGATTTGTATCCGTGGTGAAAACGTCACCAAGGGATATCTCAATAACCCAGCTGCCAACGCCTCATCTTTCACCAAAGACGGTTTCTTCCGTACCGGAGATCAGGGCAAGCAGGATGCTGAAGGATATGTCATCATTACTGGTCGCATCAAGGAGCTGATCAACAAAGGTGGTGAGAAAATTAGCCCGATCGAACTGGACAACGTCATTGCACAGAATCCCGCAGTGTCTGAAGCCGTGAGCTTCGCCATCGAAGACGAGATGTATGGCCAAGATGTTGGTCTTGCGGTCGTGGTCAAAGAGGGCCATGCGCTGACTGCGGGAGAGCTGAAGACATGGCTGACGGACCGCGTTGCTAAATTTAAGCTACCGAAAAAGGTATGTCGACGTCCAATCGAACCCAGCGGTGTGATACATAATCTAACAAATGGCAGATCTTCTTCACCGATATCATGTACGTCAACAACAACAACAACAACAACGCAGATGAAACATGCACTGACTACGCACTTACAGGCCCAAGACCGCAACAGGAAAGATCCAGCGACGCCTTGTTGCCGAAGCGATGCTCAAGCAAGAACAGCCCAAGGCCAAACTATAGACACTTTACTAGAACTATTCCAAATTGCCATGTGCCATACAATTATACCATTCCGGGACAACCGACAGTCTCTTGGCCTAGATGTAACATACTTGTTCGACATCTCGTCGCGTGGATAGATTGGACAGAGCGATGTCAGATTTCCCCTCTATGTCTTTCGCCCCTCTCCAAAATTGCGTGAATCTGTCAACCTTACTCAAACTATCTTTCACGGTGCGGGGGCGGTGCGCGTGTATTGTTCCCAATAAGATAGCGTGTTCGCGAGGCCGACTGGGACTGGACTTCGCCTCTCTCGCCGCTGCGGATCTCATCCATAACCCTTCAAACTCAACAATGTAAGATCCTTGGATACACAAATCTCATTCTGACTCTACAGAGCAATGATGCGGCTGGTGAGTGTTCAATAGTATAGGCGCGACGTGTTAGGCGGCGTCTGTCAACGCAGATAAATAGGCTGAGTCCGCAGCACCTTTCCGACACAAATGCTGTGTTTCTTCGTTTTTGTTTGCTTTCCCATCTGCGGAATACTTTTAAACGACTCAACCGCTTTGAAGCAGGCTGTACTGCCCCTATCTTGATTCGTACTTTTCCCGATGTTTACTTTTCAACCGCCTGTCTGCACTACTCACGTCGCCCTCTAACTTTTCATCTGACCACTCCGGAGACTACTGTTTTCCTCCTGGACCACAGGATGTCCACTAGATCTCCTTTTCGTCCCATCGATAAGCCCTGCATGTAAGGCTCGATTTGGCAGGTTGCTGGCATCATCCCTGCCCGTCATGTCTCAGGTTATACATCTAGGGACTGGCACTATGCGACCCACCCAGCAATCAAAGAGTACACAAAACTCGACAGCCAGCCATATTCCCTTGGTCAGCACTTCAACGAGTCGCTCCCCAACAGTCACTACCGATACTCCAACAATAGCAGACCTAATATCTCCTAATATGCCTTCCGTCGATACAGCTTCCAGCGCCCCCTCAACACCACGCTCGTCTCAATCGTCGTTGAATGATCAATACAACACATCGCCATCTTCCACCTCATCACCACTGAGACCTCAAAGATCGAGCCTAAAGCCCAGTCTTAAATCTTCCGAATCGGTGACTATGATCTCTAATAGAAGATCGTCACCACCGGCGGTGCGGTTCGCGGAGCCAGATCCTCTGCCAAAGCCACAGACCTGGCCAAGAGCAAGACCGAAGACTATTCAGCTACCAGAACCTTTGGTCAACAAGATACCGAATCCTCTCACAAAGGCTCAATATCATCATATACCATCGTTTACAAGTCCAACTGCGACCTTGATGGAACAGATCGATAACTTCCAAGCGTGGGGAACACCAATATCGCCAACTCCCAAACGCCCAGTCTCTCTTCCCGTACGTTCAGCTGGATCGCTTAAGGTTGTTAGGAAAAGAGTAAGCAGTCTCAAAGCCAGATCGACTTCTTGTCAAGAGCCCGATTCAAGATGGGAAGGAATTCCACTACCAGCCCATTTTACACCGCCAAACGTAGGCTTGAAGTCACGAGTGGCTTCCTACCAGTCTACCAAGTCCACCAAGTCCATCAGGTCTACCAGGTCTACCAAGTCCACCAACCTACGTATCTCCACTCAGTCGGCTCCAGTGGTCTTAGAGCCTTTGGTGTCCTCGCCGCCAGGTCAATACAACCCTCTAGACCACTACATACCTTGCCTATATCCTTCATGTACCTTGCATTATACGCCTGCTCGTACGGGATCGAATTACTACCTCCCTCAGAGCCCGTATAACATGTCCCGTCTTCACGGCTACTGCCCACGCCATGCCAACCAAGATTTGAATCAGGCCAACGTATCGTGCAAGCGCGAGTACGAGAATCTACGTCAGAGCGCCGGGCGGAAGACCCTGGGCGTCATAGCTGCAGAGTTTGAAATACTGAAAGAGGGCTTCAGACGAGAACGCCGACACAAGGATGCCGCACTAGTACAAGAGCAAAAGCAAAGAGTGTTGGGTGTCCGTCCGATATCCCTAAATCAGAAAAGTAATGGGACAAAAGGAAAACCAGGAGCCCAAGAAGATGCATGGGATTGGCGCTATACACTCCGTCCTTGCACATCTTCACACTGCAAAGCCTACTACACACCTTATTCGAACCATTACACCTACTACCGTACACCGATTTCTGGCTTTCTTCCACAGGAGACTCTTTGCTCTGCTTGCGCGAAGACCGAGCTTGAAGGCTTTGTTGAGAAGATCAAAGAGAAATGGGGGAGTAGGTGTGGGTGGGATCATAAGGAATGGCACGACTGGTACGCCAATGCTTGTAATGATCGTACTATGGAGCAAGAATATTGGATCAAGGCACAAGAAAAATGCGTTAGAGAGAGGGGACCTCCAAAATGGGTTGGCAGATTGAGGGATAGTGCTGTAGTGGAGGAGGATGCTATCGAACTGAAGAGAGAGAGGAAGAGCCTGATGAGGAAGTGGTTTGGGAGCATGTCTGCGTAACGTGATATCTTGTCAGTAGGGTATAATGATAACCGGGCTTGAGTTTGGATCGAGGCGTAGTTCATAAGCATGCCAATTGGCATTATGTTCCCCCAGAATTTACATAAGAATAGTACCGTAGTCATACATCCAGGGATATCTCTGCCTTGTCTTGGCACCAATACGCACTCTATTGCAGTAGATTAGAGGAACGACCTGAAAGCGATGTGCAACTATGAACGTGTAATGATGGTATGTTGTTCGATTTGAATCAAGTCGAGTCAGTTGGCTGAGGGTCTTGACATCTAGTGCGGGTCGCGAAGATACTTGGGTTGGCCAGTCGCCTAACCTCATGCTCGGCAGATGCACACAAATGTTGGCAATAGACATTATACGTATCGCCCAACATCATACTCTCCAAAGGGAGGATACGTCGCATACTCCGACAGATTCCCTTGCCATAGATATGAAACATGGTTCCGAGCAGTTCATGTCCTCCCCTGCACTATTCTTTGAGTGGCTTGGAACACATCCTTCTCAGCTCTTATTTCACTCCCAATGCATAGGTCAGAGGTGATCCATATCCTCGTCGACCAGAAGTACATGCATCAGCTGCCAGAATCCTCCCAAAGGAAATTACCCCATCATAGCTCAATACTTTCACATATTCTCTCCAGCTATTACGACAACAGATACGTCAGTACTTGTTTGCGACTGGTTTATGAAGCTTCAGAGATGGTACTGGATAGTTTTGGGATGTTCTCTATGAGAAGGTACGCAAGTACAACCAGTGGGTGCGTTGATGCTGGTATAGGTGAGAGAGAATATTAACCGAATTCGAGTCAGGAGTTCCAAGACAGTTGTGAGGCTTGTGGAGATATTGAAGAAACAAGAGCTTTCGATTGAGTAATTTACGACATGTTACGTAGGTCTGGAACAACCTGATGAGCGAGTGTCTCTTCCAGATTGTTCGATCGCTAGATTTGGTCTTCGGCTCAGTGTACAAGCCAAGGCTTCCCAATAATATCCACCGTGTTCTGGCGAGAAGAGTAGGAGATGATTTCGGTCTATGACCAGCACATATACTTAGTGAAAAGCAAAGTAACTGTGTTTCTAAACTGCGAAGCAGCCGTGGGTATCTCAATAGTACAGAAAGCTCGTCAATCGTAGGTACAATACTGTTTTGATAACAAAAGACGAAAGCTTACAAACTTAACCTATAGTCTCTTACAAATCTTAACCAGAAGCGCATCCGTATCGCAGTTTTCGACCTGCTTTTGCCCCATAAATCGTATAAAAGGATACCGAGACACTTTTCTGGGCCACTCAACGTGGTGCCTCAAATGACATGGTACATTCCAATATATCCCTTCGATCCAGCCCAGCACCGCAGTCGGGGCATGTACACCCTGAAAGTCGACTCTTTCAAGATAAAGAATTGGTGTAAGGATAGCTTGGATCGCGATGAAGTGAGCCAGGAGAATTTGTGCAACGCTGTTATTGGGATCTATGAAGGCTTGAAACTCATCATGGGTCCAGTGGGATGGCGTGTTGTAGAGCATGACGAAGGTGGTGTATGTCTCTACCGGACTGTCATATGCATGACTGACTGTGCATACTAGTATTTCCCAATATGAAAGCTCCCAGTCCGACATGCTTAGAGCCTTGATGAGGTTGAGAGATAACGCGGCCATGTTGAGATCTTCGTGGTTAACGCAAGTCAGCGGCGACGTCCCGACGCGCATTCGCATTGTGTGGAGGTGGCCATCGTCACGGAATGCCTATATATCGTCAGTATGAGCTTCGGAACCATTCAATACGAGTGTATTTACACTGAAGATTGAGTCATCTCTCAACGACGTCTCGTCGCCTCCAATTAGATTGCACCCACGGACCATCGTGAGGAATTCTGCCATACCATCCTGTAAGTGGCTTGATTGGAAAGCAAGTGCTAGGGCTGCGGCCATTCTTGCATCTCGTTCGCAACTGGTCTTTGGAGGTGCCGAGAGGGCTTCATTGAGAGACTTCATAGCTAAGATTCTATGCTGTATGGCCTGTTCGGCTACACCGGAATGCGTAACAGCATCCAAGTGCGACGCGGCTAGCGCTAGGATCGAGTGCATGAGGTACTCATACTGAAATATTCAGCACTTCGGTTACCTCTTGGAGGTGTGGAGGAAAGTACATACCCTGTGTGCAAAGCCAGGAATCGCTGTGATCCAGATCTTGTCGGCTCCAACAGGGAGGTGCGGGTAGGCTGTAATGAGAAAATGATGGAACAAACGCATATCCGCCATAGACTTCGATTGTTAGGTGTTGTGATGTTGAATGTAAGCCCAAGAATACACTCACGAAAATACCCAACGCTGATCGCGGGTTGCCTACTTCCTGAGCCTGTGGCGATGGTCGAGGTCGCTGCATCGCTTGAATGATGTTCGCTGGATACTCGCACTGCAATCCCGCCTTGATACAATGGCTGCATTCAGGGTGCCTTTCGTTGCATTTGATCCTTCTGTGCTAGTGTCAGAACGTATGTACACACACATACATACACCTGCGCTTGATCTTCTCCAAAAGTACCTCTTCTTGCAGTTGAAACAACCACGGCGTGACTTGGTATGTCCCTTCCTTGGAATTGGTTTGCGAGGCAGTGGCGGCGCACCCCCATTTCCGCCGTCCGACAAAGTTGGCGAGTCACTTGAAGAGCTTTCGACCACACCACCGCGATCTTGAGGCGACGACATTAACAATAAAGATACCAGAGGTACAAGAAAGATTTAGCATGTGCAATTCGCGGGTACGCTTCCCCTGTAGCAGTATATATTCTGCTGTGCTATGCAATAGCCCCTAGATATGAACTACGAGATCTGGGGGCTTAGACTGTGAGCGTGAAGCGACCCCGCGGATGGGGGTGGTTCATGTTAATCAGGGGACGCCAGGTGTACGGCTGAGCCCTAGCTGGCTTGCAGCACTATACTGTAAAACAAACAGCTCCGACTAATAGGATTACGATCTCGCTTAAGAGCTCGATGACCGAGGCCTCCAAAAGGGTCTAGCATGCTAGGGCTCCAGATGTCTCCGGTTACTAGCCCGCTCACCGGTATGCAACCATACCGTTGGATGGCTTTGAGGGCTGTGTTACTCTCATGCGTTAACCTGCTGAGCATCTGTGATATGCAACCACTGCGGGCATACTTGCGAGCGCAAATCATAAATCGACAGACAACTTCGCCTTGATGGCCTCCAGGCCATCCCGGTTGCGTCGAGATGGCGTCGCAGGACCACCACTAGAATGCGACAACATATAAATATGGCTTTCACTGTTGCCTGTAGATGTTTGACAGACTATTTTTGCATCACGAGATGGGGACAAGCATTACAAGAGAGATCTGCGCTGATAGGTTGGCTTCTTGCTGTCGGCGTCCAAAAGACCGGTTATTGGAAGGGCCCAGAAGATTGCATGGTGTCGCCTTGACTCACCAAGCAAACGTGTACCAGGATACCTATTAACAATAGTTGGAGCTGCATGCAACTATCTCTGAGAGGTGATGTAACGCAGTGGCCACGGTAGTCGAAGAGGCGGACTGAGAGTCCGTGGGAGACCAATAGAATGGTATCGATCAACCGAGGCAGGAAGGTTTCGCGTAATCTTGTTGTCTGTAGCATGCGAGGCGTACCAGGCACAAATGATGTTCAGGCAGCGAATATGCCAAAGGAAACGCTGGCTGGCCTTAAGCTAATCGCACAGCGGACAGTGGAATGCCAAGGCGCTATCAAAGCGACCATATTGGCGGCCGTCGTTCCAGGTTTCTCCCGAGTGCCGTCCCCGCCGTGCTCCTCTTCTTACATGGTTCCCCTTTACGAGGTTGGTCCACCGCACAAAGTTTTGCGTTATCCACATTCATGGTGAAGCATGGCGGTCCTCGAAATCACCCAACTGCGTCTCAGGAAGGTGGCGGCAGACGATCCAGCACTGATACAAAGCCTGTCATCCGTCCGAGAAAAGCTGCGTACAAATTCACAGTTCTACAATTGCGTCAAGGACCCCGCTTTGATCTACATTCTAGGCATATGGCCAAATTTGGATGCGCACCAAAAATTCCTGGATTCTCCAGCTCGAGACGAGGTTCTTGGCCCCCAAGAAGACATGCTTCAATTCTGTTGGACTATGCACGTGGAATTAGATGGCATGCACACACTTCCTCTAGAGGCCCCGATACTGGCAATAGAAAGGCTTATTTTTAAGAAAGAATGCATGGAGTCTGTCGAGAAGGTCGTCGCCAGATATACGCAACAGCTTCAAAGAATGAATTCGTTCAAAACGGTATACGGCTGGCGATGTGATGCCGCACAAGAAACGCACGAAGCCCTCGTGTTCACTGGACATGGGAATGCACAAATTCACAGCACCTTCGCAGCAAAGGGAATTGATGACAACAATACCGCCATGTTGAACGAACAATTCGAAACTGTGCAAATCATACTTGGTAGAAATTTGGAGCGGAAAGATATTGGAATTTAACACTTCGAGATGGATGTCTTTCTGCTTGAGTTCTGCAATTGTTCACTTCTCACATGAGTGGTAGGGTTTTCCAATACTGCCAAGGTGGCAAAGGAACTTAAAGATCATGTCTGGTTGAAAAAGCACAACCGTGTCTGTTGTTTCTCCAAGGGTCCGGCTAGCCGGGTACACGACCCGGACAAGACTAGCTAGCCTATGGATCGCTGGGCTCCAAACCATGCATCGAAGATTATGCTCCATACGAGAAACCACTCCTTTCAGAACCAGCAATAGAGCCTGTAGTAAGCACACCTGAAATTACGATTGCATACCCACCGGCATGTTCTTACATCTTTCGGTGGTATCCATTTTAGGACAATGGTCTTGGACTCGACACACAACCAATGGGATTCGTGTGCACTTTTCTTATTGCCGTATAAGACCTACGGGTGCTGTGGTTGCTTCGTAAGTTGCACAGCAGTACAAGAAGCCGGTTGTGGGGCAGGCAGCACGGGGCGTGTTCTTGGCCTGCAACAAGGCGAGACGCTACGGCGAGACCGCTGTGCAAGGCTGAAGATAAGCTCAGAATCTTAACCCCATGTCCTATTGCTAGCGCTCTGGAGTCACCGACAATGATCAACAGATGCTACAATGCAGATGAGTCTGAGGTTACAATACCGGACAGCCGGTTTCTCTACCCCGCAATACACCCCGCTCAGACAGGAAGGAACCATCAACCTCCTAGTACAAGTAAACCTTACTATGACGATACTCGTCAGACACTTAACAAAGTCAGTGCCAGCACGCGTCGCAACCTTCGTTCACTGTGTACCCCATCCGTTCAACTTCCAAACCGTAGGAGCGACCACACGTACCGTTGACCTGTTCAAAGGGCATCGAGGTTGAAATTGCCCACCAAGATACACGCTCTTCTGCTCCAGCACAAGTGTATAGGCGGCCGCGAGCACCAAGCTTCAACATGAAAACCTTGATTCTTTGTATCCGGACTTTCACATATCTTGTAACACTGTCAAAGACAGGAACACATGCGAAGCAAATCCAAGGCTTGGATGCCCTGCGATGGATCGATCCGTTGATCGGCAGTAGGGATGGCGGAAATGTCTTCGCAGGTGCAACACTACCTTACAGCATGGCAAAAGGTTAGCAGCACGAGACAAATACCACCATCCAATGCTAAAACAAACAAAGCCGTTGCAGATGTAGATGGCGAGAATACTGGAGGGTTCTCCACCGATGGTAGCAACATCACTGGCTTCTCGGCTTTGCATGATTCTGGAACCGGAGGAAATCCAAGCTTAGGCAACTTCCCTATCTTTCCTCAAGTCTGCTCAGGCACTGATATCAACACATGCGAGTTCTCAATCGCAGCACGCGCAACTCATTATCGAAACGAATCAGTCGAAGCACGTCCAGGCTACTTTGGGGTAACACTGGAAAACGGGATACGCGCTGATATGACCGTCTCTGAACACGCTGCGCTCTTTCGCTTTAATTTCTCAGCAGCATCTATTCGAAAAGAAAGTTACGATCCGCTTGTAATGCTTGATCTGACAGATTTATGGGCGAGTCGCCAGAATGCTTCCATCACTATAGAGGCGGACGGAGGCCAGAAGGTGGGCAGAATGAAAGGCAATGCCACTTTTCTGCCAAGCTTCGGGGCAGGTTCTTATATGGCCTACTTTTGCCTGGATATATCTGGAGGGTCCGTCAAAGACTCTGGAGTATGGGTCAACGATAGGGCTGGTGAACAACCAAAAGAGCTGCATGTTACGCGTGGGTTCAACAATTTCTATGTTCAAGCTGGTGGCTTCATACGCTTCAATGGCCCACTTTCTGGACCACTACTTGCGCGGGTAAAGTCTCTTCTGTATGAACTACACGTGAAACATACACTGACTTTTTTGGTTGACAACTTAGATGGGATTGAGTTTCATTAGCACTGACCAGGCTTGCCAGAGTGCTGAGAGCGAAATTCCAAGGCCCGATGCAGACTTCGATACACTCGTCACATCGGCCCAGAACGTATGGCGTGAGAAACTCACTCCAATAGTCATCGAAACTGGCGACATGGAAGACAACATACAGACCAGTTTTTGGAGTGCGGTCTACCGTACCATGATTTCACCTCAGAACTACACTGGCGAGAACCCACACTGGCAAAGCAACGAACCATATTTTGATAGTTTCTACTGTCTTTGGGATATGTGGCGCGTGCAACTACCTTTTCTCAGCGTCTTGGAACCATTGCTCATGTCTGGTTTGATACGAAGTCTTCTTGATACATACAAATACCGCGGCTGGTTACCAGACTGCATGATGAGCACCTGCAAAGGTTGGACACAGGGCGGTTCGAACGCCGACAATGTTTTAGTTGATGCCTACGTTAAAAACATAACCGGTATAGACTGGGAACTCGCCTACGAAGCTATCGTCAACGACGCGGAGAACGAGCCTTTGGAGTGGAGTAAAGAGGGTCGTGGTGGCCTAACTAGTTGGAAAAACTTGAACTACATCCCAGTATCTGACTTCGACCCTTACGGCTTTGGCACAAACTCGAGGAGTATATCTCGATCACTGGAGTATGCTTACAACGACTATAACCTCGCCGCCCTGGCAAAAGGTCTTGGTAAGAATACGACAGCAAAGTATTTCTCTCGTGCGACAAACTGGCGAAACCTTTTCAAGGCTGATCAAACCTCTTCCATCAATGGTGTCGATACGGGCTTTACGGGCTTTTTTCAACCGAAGAATCTAAACGGAACCTGGGGCTACCAAGACCCTATTGCCTGTAGTCCTTTGACGGACTTCTGTTCGCTGACGTCCAACCCTTCCGAGACATTTGAAAGCAGTGTATGGGAGTACATGTTTTTCGTACCTCACGATATCAGGGGAGTTATCGAGTTACTCGGTGGCGATGAGACATTCCAGCGCAGACTAGACTACTTCCACACGAGTGGTCTAGCGGATATTGGAAATGAACCAGTTTTTCTCACCGTATACCTATCGCACTTTGCAGGGAGGCCGGCGCTCAGTGCCGAGAGAGCGCATTACTGTAAGTCTTCCCTAAAGGAAGAGACAAAGTCATGTGAGATGGTCTATGGCCACTAACCTGAAGCACAGACATCCCATCACGATTCAACGCCACACCCGCCGGACTTCCAGGCAACGACGATTCCGGTAGCATGGCATCCTTCACGCTCTTCAGCATGCTTGGTCTCTTCCCAAACCCAGGCCAAAATGTCTACTTTATTATTCCTCCCTTCTTCCCTTCCATATCCATTACCAATAAGCTTACAAACGCCACTGCTACTATACATAACACCAATTTCGACAAAGAGTACAAGAACATCTACATTCAGAGCGCTAAGTTGAATGGCATGGTGTATACAAAGAATTGGATTGGACATGAGTTCTTCACACAGGGTTGGACGTTGGAGCTCGTGCTGGGGGATACGGAGAGTGATTGGGGTACGAAGATGGAGGATAGACCACCGAGTATGTCAGACGGGCAAGAGGCGGTGGATAACGGTCTGAAGGTTGGGTAGGACAAATTGGACGGACGAGCTTGATGCGCTGTGAACAAATGTCGGCGGAAAGAATTCCTTCTCTCGAGCACTCACAGTTTTCTGTAGTGCGATTATAATCATGGATTGTCTAAGTGATCGTAATCAGAACAAAGCTTTAGAAGCAACGCTTAGTAGCCATGCAGCATCTTGCCAACCGCCGACCTCTTCATTAGCCGCAGTACGTTGAGATTCCCCAGTGGTTGGTCTGCTATCTGTATCCGTAGTGGTCGCATCGCCTTGTCCACGCAGAGCTGACGCAGCGATGATCGCTTCTCGTTCGAGCTTGCGTCGCTTGGATTCGACTTCGCGACGTAGTTTCAGCTCCTCTGTGGTGAGGTTATCCAGTCGCAAGCTTCTATCCTCTTCCACGTCCTCGTCGTCGGAGCCTTCTCTATCTTCTTCAACCGAAAACAATGTCCAACCAATGAGACGATCCATCCAACTTCCAAGCCCAAACCCGCGTTCGCGCGCCAGACGAGCGACTTCTTCTTCATCGCCGTCGCTCTCCTCATCTGCTTCGATGAAATCAGGCTCAATAAAGCGCTCATCTAGCTCTGAGATCTCGAAGCTGGCTCTTCCCGATTGCGGTTTCGATCCCGCCGACATGATTAGATCGACTCGACTACCTGCTCTACTACCTCGTCGACTCTGCCGTGCGCTGGGTACGCGAGAGCCTACGCGACTTCCTACTCTAGACATGCGTGGCGAGAAGAAGGTGGGGAAATCCGAGTCACCAAGGTGTTCGCCAGAGAGTAGAGCCATACGGCGATCGTCGTGTGAAGCATGTTGTTCGTATTGGTCACTCTGTCCAACCAGACTGGTAGAGCTTTCTCGTCTCACAAGCCAACCCTGACCCTTGCTATCCCTTGTCTCGCCAGCGATTGCTAAGCCAGCGCGGTGCAGCCACTCTTCGTTTGACTCTCTGGTATGGTGCTTCACGAGAGGAGAGTGTAAGGGCAAGGGTGCTGTGCCTTTCCGTGTATGATGTCTCTTCTTCCCAGTATCTACACCTAGTACATCGTCTGCAAAACTGACACCCAGATGCAGAACGCTTGTACTCTTTGCTTTTGGTATGTCTCCGACTTCGCGAACCTCGGAATGGGGATTGACGAAATAACTCTCGTACGCATATGCTTTCTTGGGACGCTGCCGCGAACTGCTGCGGCTCTGACTAAGACTTAATACACCCGGTGTTGCCGGCGCTGACTTTTGCGCGATGTATGATGTTCGAGGGGTGCGCGTCCCTGGTTCGTCGGGTGAAGGCGGTACGGATGCATCGAGAGGGTATTTGGCGCTGAGAGGGGCTATGGAGAGATTGTGGAGGTTCGGATAGGAGCGACGTGAGCGCGAGGTTGATCGCAGTGGCTCCATATTGTTGAAATTCAGAGCAAGAAACAATGAGTTGTAATGAGGATCTAGAAATGTTACGATGCTTACCGTGTTTGGTGGAGTGACCGAGGTTCGACGGTCTGACACATGGACTCTGGGGAAGAGATGACTAGCCCTTTATGGTTAGCGGATCATCGCATGGGTTTTCACGTGAAAGTGGTGAGATGCAAAATTCGACTTGGAGAAGTGTGAAAGAAGGAAGCTGCAGCCTAAGGCACCGATGCGCGATCGATGTCTGAGAGGATGTTTGTCCGCACGAGATCCCATGCAATCGTGGGAAAAGGTTCTCGATGCTTTTCCGGCATATCCCCTTGAGCTTCAGACTCTGAGGTTATGTGGATGCGAACAATGGCGATGGCAAAGCACCTGAAGGAAATAGCAGGAGAAGTCGGAAGTGGCGGTAGTGACTATCAGCATGATTGTGGCACGGAAGCTGAGCTAAGGCAAATTATGAGATGGTTGTATATGAGTAGTCGGCCTGCTTTGTGGGCGAGTAGCCTGCTAAGCCTCGCCAACTGGCCTTTGCCGTGTACAGCAATGCTCTGACGCGCCTACTGTATTATTCACGTCTCTTATGTGCCGGTTGTTCCGTGGAGTTCTTGAGAAGATTTCTTGGTTCTACCAAGAAACCAGACCCACGGCTCCATATCGTACGAGTGGAGCGATGACGGAGCCGACGGGGTTAGGAGGGCATCAAACCTGTCGCTGAGGCTCGGGGGCGAGACGGTGTTGAGACGCGCCGTCCAAGTCCGAACCATGCGACAGACGGTGGTGGGGCGGTCGCCTTGGAGCAGAAGCGAAGCAGGCCCAGGTGCTACTGGCGCTTGCTTTGTGCTTGCCGTCATTTGGCAAGGCATGGCAAGACAAGTGCGGGGTTCGCGTCCTGTTTGCTGGTCGCTGGAGAGGGTTGCTATCACGCAGGCGACAAATTCACATGGATGAGTTATATGCTCTGCGTTCCTGCATGCAAAAAGTACCGTTGGAGAGGTGCGGCAAGTGACGTACGGAGCTTGGCGGACCCTGAGATTCGTCGACCAGGCAAGCGGATTTATTCCGACGCATCTTACTCGAACCGTGAAAGGCGCGCTAGGACGACCCGATTTCTTCCACTGTCCACAACACCAGCCTTTGTTATAATCACACTACTTCTCACCCCCCGCGAACTACGGCTGCCGTTCCTTCGCTACCGCCCCGACTTGTCACCACACAAATATCCGAACACTGCCCACACCACCTCACCCACAGTACACACCCCTACCTTTGAACCACAATGAACCTCGCCGCCTCTTCGCATCACCGCAAGACGCTCCCAACATGTGTCCTGTAACCAGCCGGTAACAGCGAGGTACGTTCCTGCTCTTCCATTCGCGCTGCACCTTTTGTCACCCTCGCCCCGTGAACAGCCCCGACAATTCCAAAGCGTGCCCTTCCATTCGCCGCTGCGCACACGACCACTCCATCCGTGGTTCACAGCGCGATTGCCTACCGAGCACCCCTCAAAAGCGAGCCTCAAAAGCGAACCTCAAAAGCGAGCCAGTTACCGCGCGTGATCAAATCTAACAGTGAAAAAGGCTGCCCGCGTCGGCTTCTGCCCCCGTGTCTCCTGTCTTCGAACGACTTCACATCCAGGACACTCGCACCTACTACCGAGCATATCCAGCTACTGCGACCGACACTGTGAAAGTTCGACCAAAACTTGTCCAGGCACAACACAGGCAGGGCTTGAGCATATACCTTTAATACCCTTAATACTATCCTCACACACTCCGACTCGAAGCTCTGCAGCGCTTCCAACATGTCTGTACCAAACCGAGACTCCGCGACGTCTACCAGCCACGACCAAAACGCTCAGGAAAGCGTATTATTCGAAAGGATCAGGGAATTTGTCGCCTCTCTTGGGCTCACTGCGAGTGATGGGCTTATCCAACATGCTGGCGAGACCAAGCACGAGGACTTGAAGGTTATCGTGGATCCTCAAAACCACGAGTGCTCTGTGACCTGCACAGCAGAGTCTCATGGTACTCTCACACCCGCCGTTTCCATTCGTTCGGTACCCGATCGGCTGCAGTCTCTAATTCCTCCCTCCAACTACGGTGCCGTTCTTCCAGGTTGCATATACCGCAGCAGCTACCCCGAGGAGAAGAACTACGGATTCCTCAAAGATGTTGGAATCAAAACAATTCTGACTCTGGTCCCAGAGCCACTCTCATCAGAGTATCAGGGCTTCATGAAGGAGGCTGGTATACAGCACTTCCACGCCCATATCAAGGCCAACAAGGGCGAAGTTCGCGTTGAATCGTGCGAAATGTCACGAGCTCTGCGCCTGATCATGGATCGCACCAACCATCCGATCCTCGTCCACTGTAACAAGGGCAAGCACCGCACAGGATGCACCATTGCCTGCTTTCGAAGGATTCTTGGAGTTGACCCAGAGACTGTTCGCGAAGAGTACCACACCTACGCTGGTGTCAAGGCTCGCTTCCTTGATGAAGTCTTCTTCGAAAATTTTGACCTTAACTTGGTCATGTGGATAGCCCGCCAGGAGGGCTGGGTTGCGCCTGCAATCGATGTTGCACCACCCACACCACCAGCTTCGGTCACATCAAGCGCTAGCGCAAAAGCTGTCGCTCTCGCTTGATACTTTCCTTGGTCACATTGCATTCTCAGGCGTTCCAAAAAGGTCTTTGGGTATGTCGGATCACATTGGCAAATGTTGAGGTTTCAGCGCGGCGTTCTAGGCTCGGAAGGCATACTAGGACCAGTGGGCATTGGGTACAGGATCGTGGCGTTTGAATTCAAAATGCTGTTGATTGGAGGACCAGAAAATTGTCTATATCTCCAAGCGGGATCTGTTTCTTTGGTCTGCATCCGGATGGTCTTTTCGTTGGTTTTTGTTTTGGGACTAAATGTGTCAGTGTTGATCCCGGAAGAGGCGAGAAACCGTCAGAGGCAAAAGAGTGGCTATTTCCTATGTTCCATATGAAGTAATACATCTTAGCTGTGAAGCCTCGAAGCGAAAGCTTCAGTCGACTCGTCTATCTAGGCTTTCCCTGAAACCTATCTCGCTACCACCAAATCTCTTATGCCCACTATATTTTCTTTTTCTTTCTCTCTCTGCCACAATTATCTCGGTACCGTTGAAAGTGGTATGCCCATTGGTCTTTCTTTTGCTCGTAACGTCGTCAAGGGTGCTCGGGTCCCCACCTTAGCACCAATATCTTTCTTCTTCCCCACAAACCTTTTTTTTTCTAAAATTCCCGAAACTACAGATCCTAAACTGACCCTGAAGATCATGGGATTCTAGGCCTATGGACCTGACGATGACCTGTCAGATACGAGGATCCGGTATCCTGGGATCAAGGGTACAACTGCAGTTTGTGAATATGCGAGGCTAATGAGGTCATGGTGTGGACGCTAGGAGTGATGACGATGGCATTGTTCTAAGCAACTGAGAAGATGGGTACTGTGTCTTTGTTCTGTTATCTTGCGGAATAGGTCTGTGGCATAACTGTGACGTGAGAAAGAGGTTACGTGGGTGTCGTCAAATGCTACTAGTATCGGCTGATAGTGTCTCTGAAAATGTATCACAAGGAGTGTAGGCTTTCGGCTCGATGGTGTATACAAAAGAGCGATTATGTGAGATTAAATCATCCAATCAACTGCTGGACGTATGCTTGGACAGCTGCTATGTAGTATTGATTCACGATAGACCTCACACGCCATCCAAACACCAAACGACCACATCACCAGTCCTCCTCGAATCATCGTGGAAGTGGCTATTGAACCCCCTCCAACACTCCTGATACCTAGTTCCCTCAAGATACTCCTCCAGGGTTGCTTCGAGCTGCTCAAAGAAAACAAGGTTTTGCGGCCACTGACGCCGATACTTGCGCTTAAATTTTGGATCCTGGCGCGTCCAATGCTGGCCGGATCTACTTCCACTCGCCTTAATCGTCTGTACATCTTCCATATTACCACGGAGCCAGGCCACCGGACCAGGCTTGATGTAGAATTCATCCGCCTCATCGAGATAGGTCGAGCGCTCGGAGAGGGGAATGTTGATGGGCGGTTCGCAGGTCAAAGCCCATGCGGAGATTTCAGGGTAGACGAGGTGGGAGCGCCATGGTGTGGAGTGGCAGGGCATGAGAAAGCCGACTGTCGTATTGGACACGGCAGGACTGTTGCTCCCGGTACTGCTACGAGTATTCAACAGGCTGTTACGTGTTTCGTGTTTATGACGGAGGTAGGCGAGTACGTCAATGACCCCCCGCTGATGGACCTGAGATGCATAGCTAGCAAGTAGGACATTTGAAGCTAGAAGAAACAGAATAACTGCTTTGTGCGACAGTGCGGCATGGGGAGGGAGAAACCTGCTGAGTGGCCTGGCGGAGATGATGTGGAGGAAGGGTAAGATCGGGTAAAGAAAGCGAACTTCTTTGTGCGATATCAAACTCAATGTCACAGTCATGGCAGTCACCGTCCATGATAGACGGGCAAGTATCCGACCGCCTGTAGCATCTTGACTTGAAGCTGTTGTGTTATCCGGTCTGTCACTTTTGGCTGAGCCAAATGGCTCTGGCTCTGGGCCCTGCAGCGACTGCCATAAGCCGATCACGGCAAAAGGCAACGATGTCGTGAGGAGCAACGGCAAACCCTCGGTGAAATAGTAGTCGCCGCGGTTCCTCCCGTAGAAGACGGCTAACGACTGGGCGATGTTGAAATAGAGAAATCTAAGCGGCGGAAGAGTCCAGACCCTGTAATAGAGCCGATCGGTCGCGACTGAGCATACCAGTACGGCGGAGCTAGCGTCGTCAGTTGGAAAGGTCTGGTGACCTCCGGGGATGCAGAAAAGACAGACCCGACAATGGATCTTTGCACTATGGGAACGAGAAACGTGCAGCGGATGCAAGGAGAGCAAGAGCTTACCCGCAAATCAGGATTTCACGGGCCAACACATAGCGCGGCCGCTGTGAGGCTTGCCACAGGGTTGGGATAGATATGGATAACCAGATGAGAGCATTGGTTGGCCGGAGAATACACGCAAGCGCTGCCAGAAGTAGTGACAGGCGCAACCTGCAGGAGCATGAGCCTAAAGTGGTGGCGGAGCAGGCAAAGGGTGTTTTGATTTCATGACTTACTCTGAGAGAGAGCCGAGGTTCTGGTGTGCAATATGCGTTTTACAATCACCCCGCCAAGGCCAATAATAGATAGCAACCGAAGTGATGGTAGTCTCAAGACAATTAGATAGTGTCCGTGTCGCGCAGAACCATTGCCATGGGCTGCAAACAGACAATGCAAGCTAGAAGTAGGGAGGATCAAATATCAGAGAATGCTGCATCATGATTACGGGTGTCGCGTACAGTAGTGAGAGCGGTGCGACTGCCACGACCGTAAACCTTTTCCGCAAGTTTCCAAGTGTAGCAATCAAGCAAGGCTGCAAAGACGGCTTGGGTAACTTTCGGGGCAGCTAGGAGTAGTTCGGCTTTAGCAGGCAAGCGCAAGCCGCAGAGGTCAGCAACATGTGCCGCGACTCGATAGACGGCTGCGAATAGCGCTGGATGCAGGGACGACCTCAATTGGGATCTCCACTCCTGCCCACGGTGAGCTAACTGGTGATGATGGAGCACTTGAAGGCAAAATTACCCAGGTGATCCAGGCATGGGTGGCGGGGCCAAAAGCCAGCTGCCATGCAGGCTCGAGCGACTGGAAGAACTCGTCGGGCTGGAAGAAGGTGCGCAGGGTTAGTGCGTTCACGATGCGGAAAGCAAGCAGCAATGCGAAGATGCCTAGCGTCGAGTCACGATAGCTGTTGGACTGCGCTCGTGGTGGAGCACCAGTCCCGCTCGGATTCGTGTCCCTCGCAGCGTTGGTGCGGGTCGGCATTGGATAATAGGGAAGAAACAACGAGCACAAGCGGAAGGCTGGGGCAATGGTTGGCGAGCAGAGTGAGATGAGATTCGCAGCAGAGGTGAGGATGCGAAGCCGGTGGTCTAGCTCCTTGGCGCGATGCACAAGCAGTCACGGTTTGTCATGCATCCGTGCTCAAGCGTGTCAAGGTGCAGAAAATTGATGCTGCGTGCCTTACCGTATTAGGACTTTCACGATGATTGCTGAGGAGACGGGCTGCGCCTAGACTCGGCTTCATCTGTGCTGGCCCTTTGCAGCATGCGCCGCCGTGCGACTGTGCACATACGGGGCCGCGAATCTCACGATAGTTGATTATTGATAATTTGCCCGTGTCTGCAGGCGGTCTGGAGCGGGTGTCGTGGCATCAGAGGGGGGAGTTTGCAAAGGAAAAAGTACCTAGGTATACTAGAGGTACTCGCTGTGGTCAACAGCAGCCGCTTGCAGAATGCGACCTAGTGCATACGGCCTTGAAGGGTTGGATACTGGACACAATTCAGAGAGGGTAAGATGGAGGTGATTGTTGCAGTCGTCGTCGCACGATGGCTGTGGCAGTGTATGTGTGCGTGTGTGCGTGTGCCGGCCCAACAACAACGGGCAGTGACGCAGAGATAGCGTGAGATTTGACGTAGCATGTTGAGTATGCACGGGAACGAAGAAGCAAAAAAGGTCGAGTACCCGAGCATCAACGAGGGTAAATCTGGGGAAAGGCTTGTGTGCTAGAGAGGGTCCGTTAAGAGACGACGTGCTATGATGGTTTGGCCAGGGTGCTTATCGCGCTTCATCATGTAATGCGTATGCCGACCGAAGCGGAGGCGGCAGAGGCAGCCCCTGCGCGGCCACAGCTGGGATACAGGCACATGGTGCTGAGCAGAGGGAGTTTGGTTGAACAAACGAACCACACCCCTCACGCAGTCGAACGCCACCTGTTGTTGAGGGCAAGGGCTCGAGCTCGCCAGGAGGCACTAATGTATGCAGCCATACCCGTTCTTGTCACCTGCATATCTTAGTCGGTTGCCGTCCAGAGGCAGCTGTCCCAAGACAAAAAGATGGCCATATCGCAGCTGGCCTGCTCAACAAGAAATCGGTCCACCGGGCGCATTGTGGCCTCTGGTCGCCGTCGCCATCTCGTCTGTGAGCGCGCCGTGGGTACGTTTGACGGCCTCCACCTGCGTCTTCGCCTATGCTCTGCGCGATAGAATAGCGTCCCCACCTTTTGCTGCCAGCCCCGGCGTGTCTCTCCCGCTTCAGAGCGTCATCTAATGGGCCCCGAAATACTCACGACTATCATCGCCGCTTAGGGAAAAGCGCAAGTGAGCCGATCGTGTCTCTCAACCAAATCCATATCGAGCCGTTGAGCCCACCACCCGGCCCACTGCTACCATCACAACCTGCCCTGCCACGCCCATCGCCGCCGACCGTGAACCTCAGCCCAGTCCACACGGCCGCCATTGTCCTCGCTGTGACACCGCCGCCGCCGTCTAGCCCGCCGCGATATGAGACTATCCGCCCACGCACTGCGCCTCGACAAACCGTAGAAGGGCTGGCATGTTTGCACGCCGCTGCTGAGCTGACACGTCCTGAGCTGTGTGGTTGCCATGGTCGACCCCAATGCAGACGTGACAGCCGAAGGGGACCGGCGCGACGAGCAGGCGCAATCGTCGCCAGCGTCACCTGCCTGCCACCGGGCCCCAGACGCCGCAGCACCAGAGGCAGCTGCAGACCAAAGAGAAGAGCACCAAGTGCACCATGGCGAGGAGCCCAAGCCGAGTCAAGGCCCTGCAGACGGCGCGGCCACGCTCCCCCTCGACGACGAGAACGACTGCACGCCCCGCTCCGAGGTGCCTTCGGTGCCAGACGCCCTCAACGCCAGTCTCTTGTCGCAGATTCACACCCTCGACCCGGAGCCCTCCTACTTCTCTCCACAACCCCTCCGAGTCTACTCGTCGCCCCTTCCCCGCGACTCGCCCGCCTCGACCAACCCCTCGCCCAGCACCAGCGCACATGCTTCACAGGCCTCCCTCACCACCGTCAACGAGGCCCCTCACTCGTCGACTCCGCACCCCGACCGCCCTGCCTTTATGCGAGACCTCTCGAGTGCATCCACGGCCAGCAACGCGACTGTACGAGCCAACTCGGTAGACCCCATCCACCCCTACGCCTACCCTCACACCCACACCCACCCTCACGCCCTCCCTCCACGCCAGCGCGATGGGCCAGTCTACCCCAACCAGTCCTATGCCGCTCTTCACCTGCAGCAGTACCCCCAGCCCTATGTCCCGCCCATCATCCGCTCCCGCAGCTCCCACCCCTCGCACTCGGCCGCAAACTCGCTGTCCAGCCTGGCCGCCTTCGGTCTCTCCCACGAGCACTACAGGGACATCATGGAGTCGGCTCCACGCACTGTTGGCAATTCTCCCGTGAGCAGCCCCGGCCTCTTCAACCCTACCAACCGCCGCCCCTCCCAGGAGCCCGATCAGCCCGACGATGGCACCTATTCCACGCCCTGGCTCCACCATACCCACAGACAAGCGCCCAAGGAGACCCACATTGCCGATGTCCAGGCCGACCCCGTTTCCGGACGCAAGATTGTGAACCAGTACGAGATTATCGACGAGCTCGGCCGGGGCGTCCACGGTAAGGTCAAGCTGGGCAAGGACCTGGTCCACGGCCGATACGTCGCCATCAAGATTGTCGACCGCTACTCCAAGCGTCGACGCCTCGGCAAGAACAACAGCCACGAAGACAAGATCAAGCGCGAGATAGCCATTCTCAAAAAGGCTCGTCACCCCAATATTGTCAGCTTGCTCGAGGTCATTGACGACCCAGCTAAGAAGAAGGTCTACATCGTACTTGAGCACGTTGAGCTGGGCGAGGTCAAGTGGAGGACCGAGGGCGCTAGGGAGATCTGTCTTGTCGAATGGCGTCGCTTCAAGCGTGAGTCCGAAGGCATTTTCGACAACGACAGTGCAACACTAGAAGATGAACGCATCATCCGTATCGCCCACCAGAAGCTTGCTCGGCAGCAACGTCGCATGGCTAGGGAGGCACACCTTCGTCGGAAAGACGGCTCCTCTAACCAGCCATGGAGCCTGGAATTTGCAACCGACTCGGAAGACGAGTATTCTGAGAACGGGCGTAGCTCGGTAGCATCTTACCGTGAAGACGATCGTCCACTCAATCGTGTCCATTTCCGCGAGCGACCAGACCCTGTGAGCCACCACGATGACCACATGGAGACCGCTTTCCGATCGCCTGAGCCTGTGAACAACTCCTGGGCTGATGGGCTTGAGGGAACCATGTACGGGCCATACGACACGGAGCTTAGCAGAGGTCGCGTACCAAGCGTTGCTGGCAGCTCCTCGTCTCGTGTGACTGACCCTGGTGAAGAAATCCCTGAACACTTCAACTACGTCCCCTTGATGACCATACACGCTGCCTGGGAAGCCTTCAAAGATACTGTGCTAGGCATAGAATACCTGCACTATCAGAACGTCATTCATCGTGACATTAAGCCCGCCAACCTTCTTGTTACCAGGGAGCATCGTATCAAGATATCCGATTTTGGTGTATCCTATCTGGGACGGCAAAAGACAGATGAAAGTAACGGCGAGCATTCCGAGTCTGACTACCAAGAAGTTGACGAAGCCATTGAACTAGCGAAGACGGTAGGCACTCCAGCCTTCTACGCCCCTGAGTTATGTCGTACAGAGATCGACGCCGAGACCCCCCTCATTGATGGCGGAATCGACATCTGGGCCCTCGGCGTCACGCTATACTGCCTTATCTATGGTCGCGTGCCTTTTCACGACACCAACACCTTCACTTTGATGAAAGTCATTAGCGAAGACGAACCCTATATCCCCAGGTACCGGTTGAAGCCTGTTGCTGAGCAATCAAACTCGCGGCCCAACTCACACGGACGTAACAGTCAGCCGATGATGAGTAGCAAGCGGGCACCGCATGACCTCGAGTACGAAGAGGTCGACGAAAACCTACGCGATCTACTCCGACGACTGCTGATCAAGGATGCAAGACGACGCATAACTATACCAGAGATCAAGCGCCACCCATGGCTACTGTCTGGTATTCCTAACCACGTCTCGTGGGCTGAAGAGACGGACCCCAGCAAGTCTTACGATGGAAGAAGGATTCAGATTTCCAAGGAAGATGTTGAAGAGGCTGTTGTCCCAATTGGCTTCGTTGACCGCCTCCGCTCCGCTGCTAAGAAGACATCTGAGTTTGTCAAAGGTTTCACAACCCGCAGTTCAGGTTCAAGACGGCGCGCACAGAGCTCAGCCACCAACCAGGACGCTCCTCCAAGCATCAGCGCGAACTCTTCGAGCAGTACTATCAGTCAAGATGCTCGCCCGTACGAAGGTCGACGTGGCAGCCTAGCACCTGGCGCTATCTTAGAGATTTTGACTCGCTCGCGTGAAGCAGAGCACCCGCTCTCTCATAGTGTTACAGCAAGTCCGGAAGCAAGAGAACGGTCAAAATACTTCGATAGCCCCAACTCCCGTACTGCATCGCCCGCGCAGAACCTCGAAGGCCTGCAGCGACCTCAGATGCAAGACCGCGCCCTGTCTTCGATAAGCACTATCCGCCAAGCAGACCTGCACCACCCAGGTCGATCGGCGTCCCCTGGTTTCCCTCCAGCTCTACCAGGTACTCCCACGGCCCTAGACACACCTGGTGGCTCACAGTTAGGCGGTCTCTTCGGAGGGTTGCCTCGGCGTGTCGTCAACAGCATGAGGAGCAAAGACAAATTGAAGCCCCCAAAAGAGCATAGCCGCGCGAGGTCAATCGACAGGCTTGTTGGCGCAGACGACGATGCTCATGGCGTCCCAAGCCTGGCAATCAGCACCACATGTGCTTCTGGTCAGGTCAATCAACCGGACGCCCTAAAAGACCTATCTCCCATTGCTCGAAGCTCATCGCCTAGTCATTCGGACGCTCTATCTTTTGGACGTCTTGATCCCTCGTCGCGGCAATCTTCGTTGTCGTCACTGTCGTCACGCCTCCACAGAAATTGGGCAACTGCTAATAACCTCGAGGCTGGTCCCACTCTTGCTATGGCGCCCGAATCCAGGCGATCATCGCAATTGCTTGACCAAAGACCTTCCAGGCCTACCAGCCCTAGTTTGATTGCAAGAGAAAGGTCAGAGGACCGATTTGACCGTGCCAAGGATGAGTATCGTCGTAGACTTGGGGTAGAACAATCAGCAGCTCGTGAGAGGTCCAGTTCTATTACACAACGACCTCCTTCTTCTCTCGCCCAGACTGCCTGTCCTCCAAGTCCAGATGACGAGATAGCCTTCCGTCAGCAAAACGATCAAGAAGGCTGGCACCGAAACGATCAGTCCTCCGAGAATAGTCCTCTCGGTGGATCAAGCCGCGGCTTGGCTCTTTCTTCCTCCGAAGACCAATTCTCCGCCATGTCTCAGTCTGAGTCGAACCCATCAATTCCATCGGTTGCGTCGGCTGGTTCCCCTAATCAAGGTGCATGCGGATCGTTTGATGAACATTCCTGGATCTCCCCTGTTTCTGGCAGTCGATTCGAAGCCTCTATCGACGACGCTGATGGCTACGACGGCGATCACGCTATCGAGAGCGAAGAAGAAGACGAGGACAGTGAAGACGAGTTGGTCATGAGCTTTGCTAAGAAGAAGACGCCAGCCGCGCCTTCGTCACATCGGAGCAATTCAGTATCCAATGGAGAACTAGCTCGCGCCAACTTTCACGCAGGAATTAACAGCCGCCGTCGATCGACTCGGAGTGGGAGCAACGGGACAGTCAAGAAGGTTCCTCCACCCGAGCTAGAGCCAGCGCACGACGACCGGACAGCCGAATCACAATAACAACACCTACATACCGTACACTGACAACTTTACTGTCATCTCCGTCATCAATTACACGATACCCAAGATCTACCACTGTACGAATACACATATACTGGATTCCCGTTTCACGCGTGTGTACATATACGAATTACAAAGCAACAACATGACTTTACCACTGCTGCGAAGGGCAGGCGCAGGGCGTTCTCACACAGCTTGGATCTCGGTTGCATGCATCGGCGAACGTTATCAAAAGACGGCGTTTATTACTTTCTCTTCTCTCCATCTACTGTTACCATTCTGTATCTATTGTCGCGTATCTTAGTGTGGCTTGGGCCTTTTTTTTTTCCCTGGTTGAGGATGAAGGACGACTTGTTGATGATCGTTGATGAACATAACCTTCTGAGGCGACGCGCGCAACAAGGGGCTTTGGCCTTCTTGGAAGTGGCGGCGCATCTGCAATAGGAACTGGCAGCATTCTCTCGCATGATAGATGGAGTGGTTTGGATTGCTGTGCTATAGGCTACTACCTACTACTCTTCGCTTCTTCTCGAATTGTCTTTGATAGCATGTTTGGCTGTTTCATCAGGCCGTGTAGTATAATGCATCAACAGGCATAATGCCTGGTCTTGTTGAACTTGACTAATGTGAGGATGATCTTCGCCTTGTTTAGTGATGTCCGCTTTCTCCACACCTCGGTTGCCATGCATCGCATCTCCACCATATTGACAAAGCACGTCTGTGGTTCCGGCAACCCCAGTAAGGGTCATAGTAAAAGGTCAATTTCCGACATCGCTCCCTCTTTGAATGTCTGCATGTGCTTCATCTCCCAACAAAAATCCCACCAGATTGGTACAGAGTTGGTAATACAGAAACATGGCTTACGACAGCCGCCTTACCGGTAGTCTATTATTGTGCTCAGACGCCGGAATGGTCATCAAATTCCCACACCAAAACTTTACCGAACTTGAGATATCGTTAAGAAAACAGATCGCCGATCACGAACCTGCATGCATGCACGTGTATGGATCGGGGTCCTTCTTACCCGCATAATTACTCCAAGCTTTTCTTTTCGCAATTGTACAGTATGCAGCTATCGGTGTTACTCCAGCATGCGGAGTTTTCTGGAAGAAGCGACCTGCAGACTTCTCACCGATCATGACAAAGCTAGCAAAAGATTCACATGCAGATGTTGTTAGCGATATGCGATTTTCCGCGACTGGCAGCATGGGAAAGTAAGCTGAGAGGGAAACGAGCAAATGCGATGTGACTGGGGCAGCAACGGGCTTTCTTTCGTGGCTAACGCGGAGGATGCTGGGGACGGAAGGGGGCTCGATTGGGATTAAGACTATATTGACGTGCAGGGTCGCACTAGCTAGTCTTGTTGATTGCATGGAACTTGGAGTCCGTGGTAAGCGAGGTGAGGTGCAGTGCAGTGCAGTGCAGTATCGCTCATGGATGGCGCGCAATAATGTATTCACGGGACTTAGAGTGTCTGGTGGATAGGCTTCAGAAATGAGTATTCTAGAGGTTGGTGTTCGATATCGTCTTTGATATGCTGTGCATACACCATAGAGCGACCAGCAGGACCACTTCCTAGTGTATTGGTAGGCACAGGTCGAAGTGCAATCCGTCACATACACACACAATCGCATCCTCCACCCATACCAAGGGGTTGGGTTCGGAGTTGTCTCCCTTGTTTCCTACTCGCTTCGGTTGCCGGATCCGAGATTGACCCTTTGTCGGGAAAGGTGTGGATGAGAGACACGTTGACGTACATAGATTTCTGTATCTCGAGATAAGTGCAGAGCGGTCAATTTAAGAAATGCTAGGTGAGGTGAGCAGCAGGTAAATATGCGAAAACAATGGAACTACCTAGGTAAGTGAGAAGACGTGGATCACAAATCACGGGCGGGGGCTGTCCTATCTGAGGCTGACGATGGATACAGGTCGGTTTGGATATGAGGAATAGGGTTCCATCGGTATGATAGGTGTTACAACTTCATATTACCATAACTGAACCACTATGAGCTTTACTCCTAGGGTGCTTGTTTGATGGACGTCTCGCACATAAATGACATACACGCAGTCCTAAATGTAAGCGTGAATTAGGATTTTCTGTAGCCGCTGCAGTCCAGCGCCACGAAAGGTCTTCCTTCATCAGGAAAAAGAGCCCACGATCTTCAGCATATCGTGCCCAAGTGTCATCAACTATAGTTCTGCATTCACTGCATGGCATTCAAGTCAGCAACCTCCGAATTCCATAGCGTGATTGCTTTGCCGACTCAACCCAGTAACGTATGTTCGGTACGCTCCGAACTCCGACTCTACTAAGGCATTAAGGTAGACTCACGTCACCGTCTAATCTCATCACATCACATCACAATCTCTCAACTTTACTGCAAATCCTTGCCCCTTCTGCCGAAGACTCTTCTTCCCCGCAATTCCTCGCGTGGCAGAAACCCTCTTAATGCATGACATACTTTGCTATCTCACGTCACATGTCAACAAACATAACGTCTCACGTAAACCTAACACAATTCTACACCCCTCCATTGTCATGTCCAGCATACGAGATCCTCCTAATTGCTAGGCCGTGTTAGGAGCTCCTTCTTACGTCACATCAAACGATGACATCTGTTTCTTGATTCGCTAGGCGGAACTCCCGTTGATGCAAATTCCAAGTCGCTTGTCTTCTCCCTTCTCATTGTGTTCGATGTTACGGCGCCGATCTTTCTCATGCATGACATACGGGTATCACACCGATCAGAACAGCGCATCACGGTTGCAGTAGACAGGGACGTGCTTTGAAAGTGAATAGTGAAGTTACAAGGCTGAATGAGAGCTAAGTGAACGGTGTGAGATGCAGTGACCGGAATCGAGTTGCAGAGTCGGGCGTGTGTAGAAATATCCTAGTGACGGTTAGAGAAGGATGAAGACCGATAGTAAGCGGCATCGGTATGATGCGTTAGCGAAAAATTGTTGAGAACAGGTGACGATAGTAAGGGAAATTTGGCATACGTACACTAACAGCAGAACGTTGAGATGGAAACAATGGTCCGCAGTGCGCGCGATTCTTATTCGATTCCAAGATATACTGCAGTGATGAGGTTTGGAACATTGGCCTGCAGACCTGCTCCATTGGAAAGCGAGTGCTGTACACCGACGTTATACTACTTTCTCGTCCGTGTACTTTTGCGAGTACCTTCAGTAGGCTGTTTTGCGTCAGACGCCTTGCGCTTGGTGCCCTTGTTTGCCGCAGATTTCTCTGCTCTTTCCTCATCGTCATGCTCTCCTTCCTTCTTGTCATCTTGCTCCTGCTCCTTCTCCTTCTCACCCGCTTCTATTGTAGCATCCCTGCTTTCCTCTTCCTGCAGTGTGACATCTACACCTTCTTTTCCTAAGACCCAAGCTACTCTCTCGATATCCGTTGCCCCCGCCATAGTATCTTTTCTTCCAAGCCCTTTACGCAGTGTTAGTCTCAGCACATCCACGCGCTCGAGCAGCATCTCGTATTCTTTGAGATTGTACTTGATCTTCCTTTGCCAACCCTTCCCTTCCTTTCCGTTTACCACTTGCTCGTCCCACATGCACCATCTGAAGAGCTCATCTGAAAAGAATGGTATCTCCACAGGTTGAAGTACCGAGAGAAGCAGGGATGCAGTTGCTGGTCCTACACCTCTCAGCTTCACAAGAATCTTCAGCGCGGGAATGGCGTCAGGATGAGCTGATCTGCCCTTCGATAATGCTGCATAGGCCCGTTTGGTCGTCTCCTCAATCGCCTCGGGCTCGTTGCTTTGAACCAGGCCTAACAAGGCGGGACGAAACGTTCCGTGTTTCCTGCCTTATCATTAGTGTAATCACTCTCACACGAATTTGGTATGCGTACAGCTTCCATTCCACGATTTTTTCAACTTGGTCCTTGGTCAAGTGTTTCTCGCTTTCTTCCATTGCAGCTACCGCTGCAGGAATGATGTCGTAGCGTTGCGCGTCTAGGTCGCGTAGCTTCTCGGGCACCATTGCAGGGTATCGCGACAAAACATCTCTAAAGGCATCAAGAGTGATGCTCTTGATGTGAAGTGGCATCATTGCTGGTGATGTGTTGAAACTGGTTGTAGATGGAGGCGGAACTAGGACAGAGTTAGTACGACGCGATTGGGACGCTGAGACTGGATCACGTGAAATAATGATGAACCGGATCACAAGTTCACTCATAGCGCAATACGTTTGGATGTTTTGAAATGCTTGTCTTATTGTTCATATGCCTTGAGAAATGCTTTCAGGCCGTATGGCGTACCGCAGCTACTGTACAATTCTCAACTTCAGATCTAGAATCTGATGTCCCGTCTCTAAACATGAAAAACGAATCATCGAAATCTCCATCCTAGCCGGCAACCCCAAGAAAATGCATAGAGTCACCAACAACGCCTTGCTAAAAATACTACTAAAAAAAACTGGTATATGGGCAAACATGAATAGCACCGTAAGATACGAGGACCAAACGCCTTGCTAATTTGCATTTACATTGTTTTTCTTGGACGTCCACGACCACGCTTTCCAGAACTAGAGCCTCGTGTAGGGATCATCGAAGGGCGGCCTGATGGTCTACCGAGAGGCTTCTTGGGGGCTGGTGCGCTTGCCGGAACCTCATCCTCGCTCTCAGTATCTGATACATCTATAGCCTGAGGCTTCCTATTGACACCAGAAGACTTCGGTGCTGGCGCAGAAGGGGTTGTCGTTGTGACCTTGCTTGTTCTGTTGCCGTTCTTTCGAGAGGCTGGTCCGACAATTTTGATTTTCTTTCCGTTGAGTCTGCTCAAGATGGAATTGGTCGATGGGGGTGGCCCTGTACGAACAGGCTCTGGTGTCTTGTCCACAGGTCCCGACTCTCCTTGCAACGGCTCATCGTCAGCAGACAGATCAGCGAGGAAGTTATCCATCAGCTGGTCATCGTCTGATTCAGGAAACAGCGCCATCTTCGCTCGCAAGTTCTCTTCGGCTTCCCTAGCTTCAGCTTCAGCACGAGCCTTTGCCCTCTCCTCTTGACGCTGAGCTTCCAGGGCAGCGGCAGCGGCTTGTTGTGAAGGGATGAACGCTTCGCTGGAACAGTTATCCTCCTCATAAATGTCGTCTTGCTTAGAAATATGGTCAGACACATCGCCAGTGCTGTTTGACTCTGGGTCCTTTGATGATGACTCCGTAGGCCTGATCCCAGCTTTCGATTTTATTGGCGAAGATCTTCGACGCTCGTTGTACAAGCGGCTTCGCTCTCGGTCTTTCTCCCGGTTGGGCCTTATAGCTCCGTCTCTGAAGTCGGATGGCAGTTCAGTGGGCAGGGCGTCCTCGTATTCATTCCTCCGGGCCAACCAGTTTGACGTGCGACCACGTGGGCGACCAGTGTATTCAGGCTCATCGTTATCACCGCCAAACTCTTCGTCTGAATCGAGTGTGATCTCTTCGAAACGTTTAGAGCCACGAGGCCTTCCAGGTTTCGCGGAGCCATTAATTTCTGGATTGCGCTTGCGTGTGGAGTACGCCTCGTCCTCTTCTACACGAACACGATATGTCTTCGCGTCCTTATCCTTCTCGGCCCCACTCTTCAGGGCGTTAGGCTTCGGTACAACATCGGATTGTAAGATAGACTGCATGTCACCAGACGCATCGGCTTCCTCTGGAGTACCTTGTACGGTTGGTGCGCGCGTGGGAACTAGTCTTTGACGAATCCGGTCAAGATGGCCAGTAGCCAAAGACAGCTTCACCACTTTTGATTTGCCTTTCATCTTTGCGGCAACCAAGATGAATCTGTCTTCGCGTTTAGCGTCTTCGAGCAGTTTCCTCTGGACCTCTTTCTGATATTGCTTGCCAGATGCGTTCTTTGGTTGTAAGGGCGAAGCATCATCGTCCTTCTTCTTCTTCTTTTGCTTGTTTGCCTTGGTCTTTTTCCGGTGGCTACTCTCTGCTTCTTCATGTTCTTCGCGACCACGCTTCTGACCCAAACGAGGAATTTCTCCAGCCATGCCGGGATCGTGATAGTATGGAGCACCGCTCACACCCCCATCACCGTTTTCATCAGGAACACCATTAGCATCCTCCATAGGAGAATACGTGATGCCGTATCGGGTGTAGTTCTGGTCATCGTCTTCGACAAATCTCGCATCGAGGGAAGGATCCGCCATCTTGTCTATCTCCGCCTGCTGCATTCGTCGTTGCATTGCATTCTGTACCATGCCTTCTTCTTCTCTTAGCCAGTTCAGGTTAGAGACACTAAAGTCGACGAGACACTCTACTGAGCGTGGATCTGCCACTTTTTTGGTATCGTGACCTAGCAAAGTTCCTTTAGGCTCGTATGGATGTTGTCGGGGATCACGTCGGCAAGCACCTGTATTGCAAACTCTCATACAATGAGGGCACTTCCAATTGAAAGCTTCCATGATATTTACCGGCATTGTATCGTGCGCTCGGAATAGCGTGCCGTAGCAATAGGCCAGATCACAGCTTGAGCAGAATGCCATCTTCCATTTCGGATGTCGGTGGAGACAGAAATGGCAGGATTTGTGCTTTGAGAGCCACTGCTTCGATTTCTTGTTCGCACTCTTCTTGACGTTGCCGTATTTGTCAACAACAGGTTCCTCGTCGTCAGATACGGCCTCAGGCTGCGGGTTCTTGATATCCACAAACGGCCGAACTCGTAATTCTTCTTGACAGACCTGGGCCAAGGTCTTCTTGCCGAGATATCTTCGCTCTTCTTGTAACGGAAGCGGAGTTTTCTCATGGACATAGCCATCGATGTCAATAATCTGAGCGCGCCACTCCTCATATTTATGAACGAGGTCCTTCCACTTCCATTGCTCAACCCATGTGTACCCCGATTGACATCCACAGCTTCGACCCATACAGTAACAGTCCATGCAAACGTCGTATGGCTCCTCGATCTCGGAACTAAACAGGTTCTTGCACGATTTGCAGCTAAGGAAGCGATTGAAGATGTTGCATCTACAATACGCGCAAGTTACGTTGCTGTCGTAAGGGAGAAATTCAGGGTGTTCTCGTGAATCTTGTACGAACATCTCGGACAGCAGTACAATCTTGTAGAGGTCGAAGAGCTTCTTGAAGTCTTTCTGGACTTGCTTTATTCTGACAGAGCATTGGATCGCAACTGCTTGTTCACCTCCTGCTTCGACTTGTGCGCGGGCAGACTTGATGAGACTGGAGTACTTTAAGAGGGTGTAGTAGATAATGGCCTTGTTCTTGTATTGCTCGTCTCTACAAACGACTCGGGAGTTGGGCAATGCTTCGTTCAGCGCGAGTTCTAGGGTCTCGACGGTTGTGCGATTCCAGGCGATCTTCATAGTACGGGTACCCCGATTCCATACTTGATGAGGCGCCAGTGGTGGGATGAGAATGAAGTCGCCCGGCCGTTGCTCCACGACATAAGTCTGGAACGGAGCCTTCTTCCAGGCGATGAGCTGTGCGAAGTGGTTCTCCACTTCTATGTCATGGCCCAGCACCGAAAGCCAATACTCGGAAACCACATGGCGGTCTTTGCTTTCAGTCATGAACCATATAGATGACCCGGGACGCTCCTGCTTGCCGTCTTCACTGATAGTGCCTGAAGCGTTCACCATGATATTCTGACCCAGAGAAGCGCACATCTCTCGGTGAGACGGGGTGTAGGTGCCTTCGTGGCCGATGTAGCACATGAGGTTCTCGGCGCGCATGTCCGGTGGTAGGCTGCTCATGAGGTCTCCAGCCCGCCCAATGCCTCGCCCTTTGCGACCGCCCAACTCGTCCATGGCACCGGGACCACCAGGTTCACCTGTGCTCTCGTTGAGGTAGAAAAGCCCCGAAGGGATGTGCTCTTTCAGCTTATCATGCCATACTTGAGGGCAGTCGATATCTTTAAGATAGATTCGCTGCCTCGCTCTGTCGCGGTATACGTCTGGGCCGTCGAAGAATTGCTCGGTGAGCTTCGTCATATGCTTGAGGTAGTGCTTCATGGTAAGAGGGATATTCTCCTTGGTCGATAGATTTCGCGCATTCTCGACTATCCATCTGTTAGGTGTGCGTGTCGATTGTTGCGCAGGGGCGCACTTACCCTTGTCGCCATGGTTGTCACGCAGCCACGAAGGCGTAAAAGTCCAAGGATCCAGCACCTCCTCGAAGCCGTCGATTACCAGAGGTTTACCGCCTATGACGACGTGTAGCAAAACGAGCTTCTCGAAGGCTTCGATGCCGTTGTTGGCGATCATTTCATACGAAATGCGGTCGACATATTGGAAATTGTCCGCATTCTCCACAAAGGTGCGCACATCGAAGTCTGGTGGTATCGGCTCGAAGGATGCCCTGGGGCGCGCAGCCGGCATCGTGCGCGCCACCAGTTACCATCCGCAGTCGCGTATGAGGTGTGGGGTCGCGAGAGCAGGAAACACCTCCGCGGCGGCGTCGTGGTTGCAAACAGCTGGTATTGCAGAAAGTAAGCTCGCACGTGCGGTCGCGATCGTCCAGGGAGCGAGTGTCGCCGCAAAAGGTGAGCCGCAATCGATCCGGCGACGGCATGGTGAGAGCTATCGGGATGTGGACGCGACCGAGGAACCATGTTCTGAGCGGCGCGGAAGCTGTCACGTGCTGTCGGGAGTTAGCGCGAACGCTGCAACTTTCACTTTCCCCACTCACTCTCACCAATCTGGATGATCGAAATGAACGCCCGGCTGTGACCAGGCTGACTTTCCTAGTTGGGCGCCCAAGTTCTCACTTACATGCATGTCTTCATGCTGAAGGTAGCACCTTAAAAATCGGGATCCCAAACGATACTACAGCAAACGAGGAACAAGTGACTGACTTGCGTATCTTTGTATACGAACCCACATACGCTTTTAACCGGCAAAACACCAAACATGGCGTTACCACGTCATGCAGCGCGGCCCTTGGCTATGTGTCGGCAGTTCGCTAGAAAGCATTCCACTTTTCACTCTACTCACAGACAAAGGCAGTTGTCGACATATCTATCACTTGCAGGCTCCCGTCCACAATCTGTTCAGCTCGTCAAGCCGTTTACACAACATCGGGCATCTTTGCAATCAAGACTGGCGACGGTGGTAGCACAACACAATGGACCGTCGAGGTCACTTCCCGAGTACAAGCCACCCACTACTGGCTTCCTATCTTACCTGCCTCAAAAAGCCGTTCCATATGGTGAGCTGATGAGGTTGCACAACCCGGTCGGCACATATTACCTCTTCTTTCCTTGCATGTTCAGCACACTCCTCGCTGCAACTATGGCGACCCCCCTTGCTGCACCATCCGCCGTCATCAGTACAACCGCCCTTTTCTTCACAGGAGCTCTTGTTATGAGAGGTGCTGGCTGTACTATCAATGACCTTTGGGACCGAAACCTTGATCCACATGTCGAACGAACGCGGTTACGTCCACTTGCTAGACGAGCAATTACACCTCAGCAGGCTATTGTCTTCCTTGGGGGACAGCTTACAACGGGTCTGGCTGTCCTCCTGTCGCTACCCTTCGAGTGCTTCTGGTACGCGACACCGTCCCTTGTATTGGTCACTCTTTATCCTCTAGCGAAAAGAGTAACCTACTATCCTCAATTCGTTCTCGGACTCACCTTCTCCTGGGGTGCGATGATGGGTTTCCCAGCTCTTGGAGTCGACCTACTGGCGAACCAAGCAGCACTTACAGCGGCAGCTTGCCTCTACGCTAGTAACGTCGCATGGACCATTCTGTACGATATGATTTACGCACACATGGACATAAAGGATGATGCCAAAGCTGGCATCAAGAGCATCGCGCTCAAGCACGAAAAGGAAACAAAAGTGGTCTTGTCGGGTCTCGCTGTTGTCCAGCTTGGCTTACTATCCGCTACAGGAGTCGCGGCAGGGTTAGGGCCTGTCTTCTTTGTCGGAACTGTTGGGGGAGCCGCAGCCACATTGGGCACCATGATTCGACGAGTGAAGCTGAAGGAGGTCAAGAACTGTTGGTGGTGGTTCGTGAATGGTGCATGGTTCACTGGCGGTGCCATCAGCCTGGGCCTGGCTGGAGAGTATGCCGCGCATCTTTTCGGCTGGTACGGCGATGTGGAAGAGGGTGGAGACGATTGGAGGTCTGTTGCTGCTTGAAATTATACATGTATATTGGTGATATTGTACATATCCTCATGTACTATGACAGCAAAGTGATATTTCTACATGGTGGCGCTGTTGGGCGTTCCTGCCAAGGCTGTGGTTCTGCCACTGGAGCCCGCCCAGTGACAGCATAGGTAGCTTCCCCAACACCCACCTCTAGCTTGCGCAACACCCCCGTAAGTCTCCGCTGTATCCCCGTCGTACCTTGGGAGTCGCTCTGTCCTGCTCCGCATACAACTGAGCTATCCTGTAGCACGTGTTGCGCGCACAAAGATACAACCGCGCCGCTGCAATGGCTTCGCGACTGGTGCTGGTCCTGGGCGACCTCTTCATACCAGACCGAGCTTCAGTATGTTTCGACACCTAACCTGCACGACGCTAGACCTCACAAACTTACAGGCTACATAGGATATACCGGCAAAGGTACGCTTTGCTCTGTCTCTGTCACGCGCAACCACCGTCAAGACCTGCTACAACCGCACCTTTTGTCTAGTAGACTTCGCGCATGCGCTTACACGGCCCTATAGTTCAAGAAACTGCTCGCGCCTGGAAAGATCGGCCAAATCCTTTGTCTGGGCAACATTACCGACCGCGAAACCTACGAATTCCTGCGCGCCATCGCGCCCGACCTACAAATCGTGAAGGGTGACTTCGACGTCGAAGCACCTAATCTCGCCTTGTCAAAAGTAGTCACGCACGGCAGTCTACGCATAGGCTTCACACATGGCCACACCATCATACCACCCGGCGATGGCGACAGTCTGCTGATAGCGGCGCGGCAGATGGATGTCGATGTCTTGCTATGGGGCGGCACACACAAGTTCGAGGCGTATGAAATGGAGGGCAAGTTCTTCGTCAATCCAGGAAGTGCGACAGGGGCCATGTGTACGGGATGGTGGACTGAGGATGAGGAACCTACACCGAGTTTTGTATTGATGGATGTCAGTTTACCCACAGCTGGTCACACAAAGAGCAGCAAACAGCACAAGAGTCACTAGGCTATCAGGCTAACAAAAAATCAGGTTCAGGGCGATGTTCTCGTACTGTACGTGTACCAACTACGCAAGGATGCCGAAGGCAACGAAAATGTCGCAGTGGAGAAAGTGTCATTCCGGAAGAACGGCGGCGGCGCATCATAGACCAAGCTTATTACGAACAGCGGCTGGAGACGGCTTGTGGACGGACGAGTGCATGAAACGGAGTGGTTATACAAGCATAGATGCGCGTGCATGCATTCACTATGAGGAGTGCAAGTATTACACAACATGAACAATGAACATGAACTCCCTTTTCGCAATCGAGCTGATTCAGTTGGCTTCGGACTTGATTCCGCTGTGGTACCACCATCTATACCAAGGATGTTTATATGATAAACCGCGTTCTGTACACATTGTCCATTACGGCTAGACACACCATCTTAGTCTCGCAGATCCCATAAATCAAAACACTCGCAAGCATGCATAATGTGTTCAGGCATGTTCCTTGTTCATTATTTTATACGTACAGCCCCTCAAAGAGCGTGCAGCAGACGATGAACACCCGAACCCAGTTCTGCTCAGCTGAGACTCATGTCATCATGTCGTCGTTTCTTACTCCGCTTTTTTTTTTT